AGATACAACTATATTTTTGTCAGTTCTTATGTGAACGAAAAGGTGGTTGAGAAAATAACCAACGAGGGTTGGTTCAGTTGGTAAGGTCCCTGCACTGTGTGTAGCCCCACCATTGTTCGAGTCCCGCTGCCAGATTGGTGTGCAATATGTAATTTTCTACATAAATCCATACCCGTGACAATTGACAGTTAGGTGCCACGCGTAAGTCCTTCTGACTCTAAATTGTGGGTATGACCTAGTGCTAGTGTTGTGAGTAGTCAATCTTCTCCTTAAATAAAAAAAAAGGTGGTTGAGAAATTAAAGTTACACGTTTGCTTATGTATGGCGGCTGGTAAGAATTTATAATCTACCTTTTTTGTTTTCTTCTTCTTTCTTTTTTCATTGGGCAAGAACATCTTCTGGAAAATTGATGTAAGGGCTTACGAGTTTTGACATAATAAACAAGTAGAATTAATACATATAATATCTTGTCCACTCGAGAGTGGGGCAACAAGGGTAGGGATGCATATATGTCGCGGTCTGGTTCGACAGCTCGAGTTTCATATGCATGGAGATCGATACCTTTCTATATATATGGACAAGGAGAGGTTGCGTCAATGTTTGAAAAAAAGAGAACAAGATTGATCCTATACAGATCTTAAACCAAAATTTATGGTTTCTTTTTTTCTTGTTTGAAAGGTTACCTAACATGCAGACTTTTACTTTCTTCTAAGAGTAAAGGTGATGAGAATAGCTGAATGTGTAGGGCGGCTTTATATGTAAGCAACTTCTAAGAATAAATAATATAAAAAAGAACCATATCTCTGGGGGCTATATTCTTTCGAGTTTTAACAAAATCAATTCTGATATTGGATATTAGAGCATGCAATTTCGGTAGTTGCCATTGCCAATGATTGTTTAGTTTGGAGGCCTCATCTCCATTTTTGTTAAAGGAAAGCCTTGAGTTCATTTGGTTTCGGTTCCATTACAATCTACGATAGTAGTTTATATTTGATTCAATCCATCACGAGAGTATTTGTATTTCAATTTTCTCTGTTATAACTCGATGAATTTTTTAGGCTAGTCTAATATAGGCGCATCTAAATTTTAATGTTATGGTAGCAACATCACGTGATATTACTAATGATTAAGGTGGACGACATGATTGATATTTTATGAACATAGAATATAGCATTAATAAAGAGCACACACTAGCTGTCATATGACTGAATTAGTAACACTACGTGAGCGTTGAAATATTGTATCTCAACTCAATGATTATGAGGGAGGAAAACCGATTCATTTATACAGTGATTGTTTACAAGTCAAACATCCCGAGAAGGAAGGAAAGTTGTATAAGGTAAATTACTATTTTTTTTGGTGAACAAAAGTTTAGGGGCAGATTGGCTACTCTCACCACCAACGCCAGGGGATACCCTCAACCTCGAGCTGAAATGACTTACACGTAGCACCCAATTGTCAGCTGACACTAGTATGGATTTCTATAAGAAATTATATATTGCACACCAATAAGGACTGCTGGAAGCGAGACTCAAACTAGTAGAGCTACACACAGTGCAAGAACCTCACCAATTGAACCAACCCTCATTGGTGTAAATTACAATTAATTGATAGAAAATATAATCAAAACAATTGGAGTTGATTGCAATCATATAATTATGATGGAGTGATTTCCAAAATGGTTTGTGTGTCACACCCCTGCAAGATGGTGGGGCAATCTCACACCGTTAGCTTGGATCGAAGAAGGAAACGTCATAGGATAATCTTTTTGTGAAAATATCTGCCACTTGCTCAAATGTTGACAGAACCAACTTCCAATTCGTGTCTAACCAATTTTTCACGAACAAAATGATAATCAACCTCTACATGTCGTGTGCGGGAATGAAAAACATGACTAAAAGCATATTTGATTGCACTAAAATTGGCACATGACTCATCTCCGTTTGACAACATGTCAGTTTCTCAGGGGGTTAGTGGTCGGACTACGAGTGTGTGGTCAGCAACTGGCCCTACATAGTCGGATAGGGCCACATGTCGCATTTGTATTGGGTAGACTGAGCTCGGTCATTTCCTTATGTCAGCATATGTTAAATGTTCAAATATATAATGTAAAAATATGGCGCTTTTATAAATAAATAAAAAAGTTTAGGGAGATCACATTCCATATACCATCTTGTATATTATCTTTCTAATAGAGGTGAGACCCATTGTATCGGTGGGCTGCACTTCTATTAAAGAGGTGATATATAAAATGTGGTCTCCCAAGCATTACGGTATAAGGCTTTTACATTTCTCTGTTAGTAATTAATTAGAAAAAATTAATTAACCTTCATTGTTTCGTACACACAAAAAATAAAAACACATGTACACATTAATTTTAAAGCATATGTAGATGCACTTGACCTAGCAATTACGCATACATTCTTGATCATTGAAGTCATGATTAGGTTGGACCGCCCTACAAACCCTTCGAATGCAACTGCGACGGCATTTTGGTCTTACAGGCAACCAAATAAAATCATGGTCCATAATTATTTCATCCGAAGGACCAGACAGGAGAGAAGGCTTAATAAATATTTCATCCAAGTAAGAGGGAAGGCCAAGATGATCAACTTCTACCACAAAATGGGAAAGCTTAATTATGATCAGCACCATAATCATCACCTTAAGTACCCTCTTACAGTTAATTAATTTATCTTGCCATTTCTCATAGCTCTCTCTCCTCTTGGTGTTTTCTTTTACAATCTGAAAGTAGTTATATATATAGATATATACAAAATCAATATGGTATAGCCAAGGGGTTCCCACACCACTGTGGTGGTGGATTCTCCCTCTCCTATGATACCCAAGATCGAACTCCAGTGGGGTTTCTTCCTCCAATAAAAAAAAAAAAAAAAAAAAAAAAAAAATATTTCTTTAAGTCAATAATTTAAAATGATGGAAATAAAATTTAATATGAAGATTGATTATTCAGCATGTATGATCATTGCTTCAAACAATTTAATAATAATACTCCAAATGATTTCTTATGTAACCAAAAGGTGATAAAATAGCTGTATGGTTGTTGGTGTTTGGCCAAATATATATATATATATATATATATATATATATGGCTGTTGGTCTGCCCTGAGGTTGTGGTTATTATAAGCCATTTTCAGAAATAATTTATAAAATAAAAGACTCATATATCTTGACTATCTTATTTTACGAGTTTGACAAATATACAAGTCTAATATTAATTTTTTTGAGAACCAAAGTATGTATAAGATCACCACAAGTACCACCCTCATGAAATTTAATTTTCTTGCAATATTAATATTATTTAGCTCCCCTCCTGCTGGTGTATTCGTTACATCTGAAAGTAATTATACAAAACCCAGATTTTATACATAACTCTTAAGCTAATATAATTTTTAATTAATTATAATGTGAAGATTATCGAACACGTGACGATTGCTTTGAACAATATTATATGCAAATGTAATTTTCTTATCTAACCAAAAGGTGATAAGAGTAGTTTGGGACTGTTTCTTTTTTATTTATACAAGCAAATATTGGAGAAGGGGAAAATCGAACCTAGGACATCGAGAGCATGTGTAAATGCTCTTAACCACTTGAGCTACAAACTTCTTTCTAGCTCAAAACTGTTTTGTGTCTTCATTTGTGCCGCTATTAATTATCGCAGGTTTATGTATAATCTAACCACCCTTTGTGATGATTCATCAAAGACACCCTTAAAATACAAATATACTTTCCACCAAACATAAAAAGAAGAAATACTTGGAGGTGGAATCTAAGCACAGGCTTCACAGCCTGTAAAGAACAGGTTAGCACTTGGCATATTTACACATAGTTGTTTCCTCTTTTCTATTTTGGATTAGGAGTACTGTGCGATATAATACTATTTTTTGTTGCTAAGTTAAGCCAGCTAGCTCTTCACAAATCATGAAAGAATAAATTACACAAACCCTGCATATATATATATTTGTGGGGATTATACAAACTAACTAACAGCCAATTAACAAAACCGAATTAAGAAAATGACAAAAAATGTCGTGAACAATGTGAAAAATAATTTCATCATGTTCGACATGTGAAAATAAATATCCAACCATCACATTCCCTTGATATAAATAGGTACCTAATTTGAATTTGGGTGCGAAAGAGCATGCTCACTATTTTGGCCAATTAATCTAATCTACATGTACACGAAGGTATTTTTTATTATGACAAAGTACATATTAACTTTTTCACTAAATAACATACCCGCGCACACATTCAAGGGTGGATTTATGCCTAGGCTGGGGTGGGCTCCAGTTTAGTGGAAGATTTATAAATATTAAATATGATTTAAATTTTATAAGTTTATTTGGTTTAAAAATTATTTAGCCTATTCCTATAAAAATTCCTGGATCTGCCATTGCACATATTAACGTCTTACTTGTTAAAAATTTATAAGGTTAAGAATGAACTCAAATTTGAATAATGACACTCACACATCATATGTATGGATTTAAATTGGGGAACTTATACGCTAACAATTCACGAAGGGTATGTGTTACACATGAATTGGGTAAATTTCAAAAATTACCTATTCCGTAAAAGGATAATTACTCAATAAAGAACACAGAAGAATTAGGAAGCCGTAATTCAGAGTCAGAGCTTATTCCTTTCTATTATTAACTGCTGTCAATGTTAAGTAAATCGCAGTCAAACAAAACCGTCCCTCCATCCAAAAACCAATTAGTCATCATCGCAGTCGCGTTGGCTTGGCTGGCTCTGTCTCTTCACCAAAACACGCCTCTTTACGGCTCTCTCTCTCTCTGCTCCCTCTCTTTGCTTAGCTCAGAAGCTCAATTTCCGTGGCCTAATTGCTATCGGCGAATAAATTTGAATTACAGTTTTTACCCTCCTTGGATCGGTCACCACCTGTTTGCTCCTTGGAGCCCTAATTTTGGAGCTGGTTCAGCTGATTGATCTGTGATCTGTTTGGTGGACTGATGGCTTCGGCGAAGACGGCTCGGTCCAGAGGCACGCCGGTCAAAGAGAACGGCGTCAAGCTCGAGGAAGGCCTCAATGTCTTCAAGTCTGATAAGTTCGATTCCCAAGGCTATGTTCAGTCACGATGCTCTCTCAATGAAAAGGTCAGTTTTTGCTCTTGTTATACAGATAAATAGATATACACGTTGATTTGTTCCGCTGTTTGGTTGCTGAGAAACCATGGGAAAGTTGAAAAAGAAGGAACTCTTAGAATTATGAATGCAATGCTTTTTTGCTTAGTCGTAGGATTTGATTACTTTTAGCAAAATCCAGATAGGCTCTGAACTTCGATTTTATATGGAATTACGAAATTTCAAAGGGCCAAAGTTAAATTTATATACTTGAACTTTGCTTGCAGGAAATAAGACAATTATGTTCATATCTTTTGGACTTAAAGAGAGCTTCTGCCGAGGAAATGCGTAGAAGTGTCTATGCTAACTACACGGCATTCATACGGTGAGTTTTCATTGAATGGTTAATGTGAGAAGTTTGTGAGTTTGTAACATCCTTCATATGCAATTTTATATGTTCATGTTCCGAGGTGCTTCACTTTAACAGCATTGTATTTGCTTGGTATATGCTTGGGTATTTGGGTTAGTTTTTGACTCATTTGACACAATATTTGGATAGCGAGATTCTTTAGATTTTAAGTGTGGTATGTTAAACATTCCCACCATTTCTAGCTCTAGGTAAAAAGTATAAGACACTCCGTTGGTTCATTTAAATTGTATTTCACATAGTATGAAATTTTATCAATGAAATCAGTTGCATGGACGTATCAAGTTTTCTTTTCTTATTAGTTTGGTTTTTGCTGCTGTGTTTATGGCAGGCTTACCCAGATTTTTTTCTTTCAACTTGTTCAGAGTTCAGAGCTAATTAAATTTGAGATCCAAAATTTTATTTGTACTTGGTGCAAGGCGTAGTAATTGTGTTCTGTTCTTTAAGTGAGAGTTGAAGCATTTTCGGTTTTTGTACCTTTGTGTGTTTTCTTGTTGCTTTAGTTTTATGATTGATAAGAGTTGGTATCCAAGGTAATTTACCGCCAATATGGTCACAATCAAAGTGATTGTATTTGATATTTTCATTTTTGTAATTAGGAACTTCCAATTCTTGTCAACCTTTTTGCATAATTGACTCTTGTTTGGGTAACTTTCATGTATTTAGTTAACTTAAATGCCATTTTCACATTCCATTGGAAGGTTAAACTAGTTTGTTCTTCAATTATGGAGTCATTTCTTTTGATACACCATTCTTCGTACTCACAGCACTTCCAAAGAGATATCAGATTTGGAGGGGGAGCTTTCTTCTATCAGAAACCTGCTATCTACTCAAGCTGCTTTGATTCATGGTCTAGCTGAAGGAGTTAATATTGGTTCCTTATCTGTTTCTGAAGGTTCTACTGCAAATGGTGTATTAATTTCTGAAGATAAAGAACCTTCAGACCTGGAAAAGTGGTTAGTAGAATTTCCTGATCTCTTGGATGTTCTGTTGGCTGAGAGGAGAGTGGATGAAGCTTTAGATGCCTTGGATGAAGGTGAACGTGTGGCTGCTGAAGCAAAACAACTGAAGCTGTTGGATCCAGCATTACTCATGTCTCTGCAGAATTCTATTGTCGAGCGCAGGCAAAGGTTAGCTGATCAGCTTGCCGAGGCTGCTTGCCAGCCTTCGACCCGCGGTGGTGAACTTCGTGCAGCTATATCAGCACTTAAAAGGCTTGGGGATGGCCCTCGTGCACACAGTTTGCTGCTCAATGCACATTTCCAAAGATATCAGTATAATATGCAAAGCCTTCGTCCATCGAGCACCTCATATGGAGGAGCATATACTGCTGCACTCTCACAGATGGTGTTCTCTGCTATTGCTCAAGCTGCCAGTGATTCCTCGGCTATATTTGGCAAAGAAACAGATTATACTTCAGAGCTTGTGATGTGGGCAATAAAGCAAACCGAGGCTTTTGCCCTTCTCATTAAAAGGCATGCATTAGCTTCATCAGCAGCTGCTGGGGGATTAAGAGCTGCCGCAGAGTGTGTTCAAATAGCATTAGGTCATTGTTCCTTGTTGGAAGCTCGTGGTTTGGCACTTTGTCCTGTGCTTTTGAAACTCTTTAGGCCTAGTGTTGAACAAGCACTAGAAGCTAATTTAAAACGAATTGAAGAAAGCACTGCTGCCCTAGCTGCTGCTGATGACTGGGTTCTTACATATGCTCCAACAGCTACACGGCAACCTGGCAGGCCTTCAAGTACATCCCTTAATACGACAGCATTCCAACATAAACTCACAAGTAGTGCACATCGATTCAATTTGATGGTCCAGGTAAATGATTTTTCTCCCACATAAAATCAATTAATTAAGTTTCTGTGTGTGTGTGATCCCTCATTTCATTTTAGCTTCATAATTTACCTGATCTTGCAGGATTTCTTTGAGGATGTAGGACCATTGCTCAGTATGCAATTGGGTGGTCAGACATTGGAAGGTTTGCTCCAAGTTTTTAATTCATATGTGAACATGCTCATAAAAGCATTACCGGGTTCAATGGAGGAAGAAGCAAACTTTGAAGGTTCTGGGAATAAAATTGTTCGTATAGCTGAGAATGAAGCTCAACAGATTGCTTTGCTGGCGAATGCATCATTATTAGCAGATGAGCTACTTCCACGTGCAGCCATGAAGCTGTCTCCACTGAATCAGGCTGCTTCCAGGGATGATCTTCGTAGAAGATCATCAGATAGGCAAAACCGGCATCCTGAGCAAAGGGAGTGGAAGAGGCGGCTGGGCAGCTCAGTTGATAGATTAAAAGATAGTTTTTGTCGTCAGCATGCTCTAGATCTCATTTTCACAGAGGATGGTGATAGCCATCTTTCTGCTGATATGTACATAAACATGGATGGGAATGTGGATGAGGTTGAGTGGTTTCCATCCCTAATATTCCAGGTATGCTGAATGCTACTTTTCTCTATTGTCATTTCTGTTTGAACTATTTTCTTTTCTTTTTTTTATAATGGACCTGCAATTGCTAGTCAGTGGTATTCATTTCAAAGTAGTCCTCTGCTAATCTGCTTTGCATGTTTCATATCATTGTTAAAGAAGAATACATGTCCTCTATGGTTATGAAAATTTGTGAGGACCTCCTCTTGTGTATTTAGCACTTTGCCTGACAACTTGGTTTTATTTTTCTAAGGGTTTTCTGACTTCTTGTTGGAGGATCAAAGTTTCTATAAAAGAAATATCTTATGTATAATTAATTTTTGTCTATTAATAATACATGTATATCTTATGTAATGTACAACTAATCGTTCTTCATGTGTGCATACATGTACATTATTGCATTATTTGTTATTTTAATTTCCTTTTCGCCCTTTCAAGACTTGAAAATTCTTTTACGACAATTGTGGTTATCAATACTCTAGGTACCGTTCAATTATACTCAGAAGAGAGATTCTATGTATATGGATTATCTTATGCATATATGGAAATTGAACTTATTTGCAAAGTATTCTTGGACGCCTACAGATTTGTATATTCATGTCTCTGTTGCATTAGCGTCAATGGTACCTTCAAATTGAACTACTTTACTTAGTTACCTTGAATAGTATTGTTACATGAGCTTCAGGTGTGAAATGCCATCCTTACACTATCTATACTTGTTTTTTTGTTATTGACTGTCCGAACTAACAGCAAGTGCTTTTGAGACAATCTAAGATTCCAAAGAGGCATTGGTCAATTTTAAAGTTTAAGGACATTAGAATTGACCCAAAAGTTCAGGGGGCATATGATATCTCCCTTTAGATGTGTATATGCATATTCAACTTATTTGTGGTGCATACATGTGATCTGAACACTTTCTACTTTTTACATGCTTTTCTTATTGATTTTTTTCAAGTCCTAAGTTTCTTTTGTTTTTTTTTCCCAATCCAGGAACTTTTTGTAAAACTAAACAGAATGGCCAGTATAGCTGCAGAAATGTTTGTAGGCAGGGAAAGATTTGCTACATTGCTATTAATGAGACTGACAGAAACTGTCATATTGTGGCTTTCGGAAGACCAGAGCTTCTGGGATGATATTGAGGATGGGCCAAGGCCTTTAGGCCCCCTTGGCTTACAACAAGTACGTAATTTCTGGTCACACCATCTATTTATTTTGTATGTGTTGCATTGTATTTTCATGTGAAGATTGTTCTGTTTTAGCAATGTGAGAAGGACCTATATCATACAAAGTAGAAAATAAGTAAATGAAGATCTAAAATGTAGAAGAAACAAAGAAAATAGGATGGAAGGAAAAATCATGGCTTGGTCTATTTTGAGAGAGGGAGGGGAAGGGAGAGTAGAAGGCCTGTCACAGTGATAGCTCTAGTTTTTTGCAATCAATCTTTCGATGCCGACTGTATCCCCAACCTATCAAGCATGAAAAGGACTTCCACGATGTTATGCCGCTCCCCTTTTTTTTCTTCTTCCTTTTGCTTCCCAGTTTACTAACTGATAATTTATACAGCCTAACATTGGTTAAAAACTTACAATCTTTGCATGCCTACAAATTTGTGATGAAATTGATGTTAAATTAGAAATATGAACTTAATGCAGATTACTGACCAGAAATTGTATCATATTAAAGGGTTATCTTAACGAGGACTCATACGCAATGATATATCACAGCTGTCTTCTCTTGTCATAATTTTGAGGAGTTGCCTCATTGAACACCCAATGCTCCCTCCACCCCAACCAGCCATGTCCTACTAATTATGTTCTTACTATAACTTCTTTTATCTGTTGCAGTTCTATCTGGATATGAAGTTTGTCATATGCTTTGCTTCACAAGGTCGTTACCTATCTCGAAATTTGAATCGAGTTGTAAATGAGATCATATCGAAAGCCATGACAGCATTTTCTGCAACAGGCATGGATCCCAATAGGTATGCTACTTTATTTAGTTTCCTAATATTATCATCATCATGAATTATATATGTACGTATAAACATAAATGCACATATATTGAAGCAGCAATACACATTGTAGTATGAAATTGCAACTTATTCTAGTTTTCTATCCCCACACGGATAAAAATTGCCGGCTTGTAGTATTTGTAAGCACAAGTTAAGCTGGAAAATGTCCTGGTAGCTTTTAAACAGTTGATTTATTTTATACTGAGCTTTATTTTTATTTCAGTGTGCTTCCGGAAGATGACTGGTTCAATGACATGTGTCAAGATGCAATAGAAAGATTGAGTGGAAGACCAAAAGCCGCAAACGGGGACCGGGATCTTAACAGCCCAACTGCTTCCGTTTCAGCACAATCAATCTCGTCTGTTAGATCTCATGGGAGTTCCTGAGTCAGTGAGTTTCATCCCTGTAAATTAAATAGAAAACCATCCTTGTATCCTTAGAAGTTTTTTTCCCTCCAATATAATTTTTGTCGACCATGATCCTTTTTGTCATTTTTGTCATCTTCTTTTTCTAGTGTATGGCCCTACATTTCTGTAGGATGATATTTGGTGTCATAATTATGGGTAGGAATTCTTTTTGAATAATTGAGTTTGTAAAGTTGTTGATTGCAATTGTTTGATTTAAATACAAGTTTGTATAATTCTTTGACCAGTGTGGGATGGAGTCTCTATTGATGTCCAATCACCACCTGATTTCATGTGATTATGTTGTCTCGGCAACCAATAAAATTAGATTTCTTGCGTTTGCTTATAAATGAGCTTGAAGGTGCTATAGGGATATAAGCCTGTAAAATTGAAGATCATATGTCAAAATTTTCAATCTCTCGCCTTTGCCATGGACAGTCGTTCTCATGTGTAAGGTTCTATTGTAGGATCCGGATCCTCTGCTTGACTTTTATTGTGGCCTTGCCACCACATTAAATCCTAAGAAACCTGTATCTCTATTACAAGGAAATTTTTACTAAGTTGTAAATCCTTGGGTACCTTTTCAAATGATTTCCACTCTTTAAATTCGAGTTTACCATCGCTCATCCATGTGTCCGTTTTATCATGTTGGGAGGAGGAAGGTGTATCTTTGTAAGGAATGAAAGCTAAAGAGAAGTTAATAATCAAAGTAATCGCCACCACAAGCATCTTCACAATATCTCTATCCATACCTCTTCAAATATTCTGTTGTTTGGAGGTTAAATAGGAATGAATATTCATGATGCATAAGGCTTTGTCTAGAAGACTTATTGAATATTTTAAAATAATATAATTTTTAATTGAATTTGTAAGATGAACATATTTCACTAAAAGAAACGATTTTAAAATTCTCAAATAGCTTCTTTGGTTGGGGAAAGAAGTCACTGTGACATTTTAGATATCTAAATTAAGATAAGCACCTTTTTTCTATCTCAATTCAGGAATCTTGGTTTAGCTTTTGAGTTTTTTTTGTTCTTTATTTGCCAAATATTTTAGGTTGTAATTTATTTTCACCCACTTCTGGACACGCAATTTCTCTTTCCACAAATTAAAGGGGTTAAAAAAAGGAATACGAGATAGCATTTTATTATTTTACTTCTTTCAAAAAAAGAAGGCACTAATTAACAAGGATGCAAACACCCACAACTTGTTTCTTGGAATGCCAATGGACGCGGAATAACTCCTAGATGTATCTGATCATGATGACATTTGGTCTGAATTTGATCTGGAAATTTGACTTTTAGTGACGAAAAATCTGAAGAACACCGTCGCAGAAATCTTTTAGCCACGACAAATCTGATGAACAACCGTCGCTAAAAACCTTTGGTGACGAAAAATCTTCAAATTTCTGGGCAACACAGCAGCTGGGTTTTTTGGGTTTTAGGTCCTTTTTTGAACTTCAAATCGTCCTAAAACATAATTTAGGCCACCTGAGATCCCCAAACCTAGTCCAAATCATCATAATAACCATTCTAAACATGTCGGTGGCTTCAGATTGACCAGAAAAACAACAAAAAAGACATTAGGCCGAAATTTTGATTTTGGCCAAAATAAGAACCTACTTGGCTATGTTGCTATTTTCTGGCATTTAAACTCAACCAATGACCAAAAAAGCTTCTGTAACATGCTGCAAACATTCTAGGGCTAGAAAAATGCAAAAATTGTTCTTTGGAACACAAAATCCTTTGTTTGATGACGCAAAACTTAACAAAAACAACAAAAACAGAAACATGAAAAATGTAAGAGAAATCACACAGAAAAGAAAAAAAAAACAAAAACAAAGGTGAGAATGCTTGGGTTGCCTCCCAAGAAGCGCTTAGGTTATAGTCGTGAGCTAGACTTTGATGCACGGAGACTAGATAGAATCCGCAGGCTCACTCAAAGGGAGCAAGGTCTTCTCTATGTCAAAGGGTGACTTGAGGTAAGGCTTCAAGCGATGGCCATTCACTTTGAAGGTCGGCCCATCTTTAATATTCTGAATTCCATGGCACCATATGGGAAGACTTGCAATATAAGGACGGGTCTATACCATCATGATTTAAGCTTGCCAGGGAAGACTTAAGCTTGATAACACTTTTTTCTACTAATTCTTAATTCGGTATCTTGGTTTAGTTTTTTTTTTTTTTTTTTTTTTTTTTTTGTTTTTTCCAAAATATTTTAGGTTGTAATTCATTTTTCACCCACTCATGAACACGAAGTTTCTCTTTCCACAAATTAAAAGGAAAAAAAAAGGAATATGAGAAAGCATTTTATTATTTTAATTTTTTGAAAAAAGAAGACACTAATTAACAAGGAGGCCACTTAACATAGTCACATTAATAAGAATGAAAATAAGAGGCACATGCTCTTCCCTTTCTCTTACTAATCAATGATTTAACAAAACCATGAGCACCCTCATGTTTCTTTGACTAAAATCTCAACAAAGCAAATGATCCTAGCGATGGTAACAGTTGACATGATCTTCAAGAGCTTAATTTAAGGTGTAAATGTGTACGAAATTTTTAGTTGACAATACACACCAGTAGTCAGTAGGATCCAGCCCTATTTGAAAATGTCTGCACTTCAAGCTTGAAAAGATCCTCATCATTCATGTCTTAATTTCTCTAAACATTTTTAAATGCTGATCATCCTAATCTCATAGGGATGCAACACTGTAAAGTAGAAAAAGTATACCAGTTAGACCTATTATTTGGAAGATTCAAAAGCTAGCCTCTTATGCTTCTCACTTGGGGATTTGCTTCTAATAACTGCTTGATAACATCTCTCATTGTTGGTCTCTGTCTCGGATTTTGGTCAGTGCATCTAAAAGCCACCATCAGCACATCGACAACTTGGTTAATGATATTTGAATGCGGAAGGCTTGAATCAACTATCTGATCAATGTCTTCTGCGTTGCTCCAAGCTGACCTAGCCCAACCTACAATGTCTGTTTGCTCCCCAAATGACGGATCCAATGCCTTCTTTCTAGTTATCAGCTCAAGTAAAACAACTCCATAACTGTACACATCAGATTCCACGCTCCTTGTTGGTATGAATGCATTTTCTGTCACAAAATATGCCAAATCCTTACATTGTATACCACAAAATATAGAAACAATTTGATGAAAATGAAACTAGAGCAATTACCTGGTGCAATATATCCAGTTGTGCCCACAACTGCAGCGGACGACGTTGATGCAGAAGACTGATCCAACAGTTTAGCAATACCAAAATCAGAGACATGAGGCTCCATATCAGAGTCTAAGAGAATGTTCATCGGTTTGACATCTCGATGAACTATACGGGGGTCACAATCGTGATGGAGATACTCCAACCCGTATGCTGTTCCAAGTGCTATCCTGTAGCGGACACTCCACTCAAGAGTTGGTGGGGGTTTAATTTCATGTAGAACATCATGAAGGCTCCCATTTTGCATGTATCTGTACAAGATCAAACCATGGTCCTCTCTTAACCAGAATTCTTCCAATTTCAGCAGATTCCGATGCCTAATCGTCCCCAAGATTATAATTTCTGTAACCATGCTCGAACGGCTTTCCTCATGCCCTGCAAATAGAATCTTCTTGACAGCATAATCTTTGTCTGGAGCCACATGGGCCTTATAGACAGTTCCATGCGCTCCTCTCCCAATGATATATTGATCATTGAGATTTTCTGTAGCCTTCATTACTCGGTTGAGTAAGGAAGATGGATCCTCTTGGGTAGCGACCTCAAGTTCCTGCTTGGTCTTTTTGCGCAAGAAAAACACATACACAAGTCCATAAACCACAGAAACAACGACCAACGAAGACCCCAAGGCTGTCAATACAATTTGCAGTATACTAATGCCTTTACGATTGCTTGATTGACTGTTGCACAGCTTAAAACTGTTGTTTCTTGCACAAGTTGAGCCACATGATGGAAAGTAACTGACACATATGTAGGGATTGCCCAGAAATGATAATGGGGATGAGTTCAACAGCTTCATCAATGTCTCTGGTACTGCACCTGTGAAGTTATTGTCTGAAACATCAACCTCAATCAATGAACTCATATAACCTGGAGCTTCTAAAGTCCCTGTCAAATTGTTATGAGATATATCTAGTTGTTGTAGCCTTTTCAACTTCCCTAGCTCTGGAGGAATCGGACCTGTCAATGCATTGTTGCTAAGATTCAATGCATAAAACAGATTAACCAATTCTCCAATTGATGAAGGAATGCCACCTCTGAAAAATTTCCTCCAAGTTTTAACTCTGAAAGCTTTCCAAACTCCGACAAGAAAGGTGGAATACCGCCGGTGAAACTGTTGTCACTTAAAATCAAGGTTGATAAATCTGTCCAACTTCTCAAACTCGATGGAATGGAGCCATTCAACAAATTTGATCTCACATCAAACTTATACATTTTGGTACACTTCGATAGCTGAGGAGGCAGAGGACCAACCAAATTGTTTTCCGATATATTCAAAGAACGAAGTTCTGCAAGATTCCCTAGCTCCTGGGGTAGAACTCCTGTTAACTTGTTCCTGCACAAATTGATGCTTTTAAGATTGCTACAGTTTCCCAAGCTTGGTGGGATTTCTCCAGTAATCTCATTGCTGCTGATGTCCATGTATGAAAGAGTTGGATTTTTTGCAAACTGTGGAAGAACCCCAATGAGGTTATTCTGGTCCAGGCTCAACCTTGAAAGAGAAGAGCAAGTTCCAACATCAGAAGGTATGATACCTTGAAGTCGATTGGATCCCAAAATCAACTTCCTTAACTGCTTTCCATGGCAAAGATTTGGAGGGATTTTACCAGTGAAATTATTATTGGTAAAATCTAACACTGACAAGTTGCTGTGAATCCCCAAAGTCTGAGGTATAACTCCAAAAAACAGGTTGTTGTGCAATGATATATAATTCAACTGCTTCATCTCGGTCATCACTAAAGGCAGCTCTCCAGTGAGGTTATTATCGAACACAAGGATTGCTTTAGACTTTGAAGCTTCCATATGCTAACTGGAATTTCACCAGTTAAATGATTTCGTTGAAGCTGCAGAATTTCGAGGTACTTCAGTTGGCCAAAGGAAGATGGAATACTCCCTTCTAAATTGTTACCCTCAGCAGAAAAGTCTGTTAAATTTCTACAATTTCCAAGCCCTGATGGAAGGCCTCCGCTAAACTTATTGTCTGACAAATCCAATGAGTTTAACTTCGTGCAATTACCTGAACCCAAAGGAATGCTACCCTCAAGACTATTTACAGCTACATCTAGATCTACCAGGTTCTCAAGGTTGTTCAGACTCTTAGGAAGCTCTCCTGTCAACTGGTTGTTACCCAAAACCAACTCCTGCAACTTACTGCAGTTTCCAATTGATGATGGAATCACTCCTGAAAACTGATTCTCACATAAATTCAGCTGTGTGCTCACTCAAATTCCCAACATTTCCAGGGATAGAACCATTCAACCGGTTAAGCCCCATATTTACATAAGCTAAGGCAGGAATTGCAAACAATGACTCAGGTATTTCACCAGAAAAGCCATTTACAAACAAGTCCAAGTATTCAAGAAGACTGCAATTGACCAATTCTTTTGGGATTTTTCCAGAAAAATTGTTGACACTCAAATGAAGAGCCTGCAAGTGCCTAAAGCTGCCAACTTGAGGTCCCAATTCACCAGAAATTCCGTAAGCAGAGAGCTTCAGGCCAACCACATTGTGGTCATTGTCACATTCTATCCCAACCCATTGGCATGGAGTGGAATCAGAAGCATTCCAGCTCGAGGATATGGAAGCAGGGACAGATGTCCAATGTTTGGAAAGTGACAACAGAGCCACCCCATCAGAGTTCAAACCAAATACAGTGGAAATGGACAAATAGAAGCACAACAACAACAACAACAAGAAGATATTGAACAGATAAAGCTGCATGCTTTCTAATGAGTTGAAGAAAATTACTTGGTAAAGATATGAGCTTTACTGTCAGCAATGCAAAGCCAGCTGCTGTAAGCTCTCAGCAATGCATGCAGATTGAACTTGCCTTTGCAAACTCTGAAATGAGTCGGAAACAGAGCGGAAAATGTAGTGAGAGAGAGAGAGAGAGAGAGAGAGAGAGAGAGAGTGGATACGTTGTGTTGGCTTTTCAGTTTGTGCTACAATAAGAGATTGGAACAGGGTTTCTTTTCTGTTGCCAAAGATTGGAACAGAGTTTATTTTGTTGCTGAGGTTGAACTAAAAAGTTCAAGAGAGACGTGGGTCATATTTAAGTTTAAACTGAGAAAACCAGTCGAAGAAAATATCGAGACTCTTTCTTGTTTACTGTATGAACAAAGATTTCTTTTCATAAAATAAAATAGTATCTACATTCATAGAGTAAAGCTTGTGGAAGTAACCTCTTTGTTTCAAACCCAATTTGGATTGCGGAAATGGAGAGGATGTCTTGTTTTTAGTAATGTAAACCTATTATTGGGTTATGTGACTTGTGTTTACACTTACCTTACCACACTATGTTCGTTCATGAGTGGAGGAAGCTAGGGTAGGGTTATTGAGTGGAGGCAGGCTAGAGCCTGGAAGGAGTCGTCGAAACAGAAAGCGGCTCATAATAAGCTTTTTGTTCTTTGAGTGTGAATTTTGCCCCTCCTCTTTTCTAATTTTGGCAACAACAAAAATGAAGCTAATGTAAGTACCTGTGTGTGAGTTTTGTTCGTCTTCTCTTTCTTAATATTAGGCAACCATAAATATCAACCACATAAAATCTTTGCTATGGTGTACTAATAAAGTATCTTTCCCAAGAATTATGAACTTCTGGATTTAGTTCATGTGCAATTACCCGCATTTAATTAAATCTAAATCACTCAAACAATCTAATCATCCAACAGATGAGACATCATCAAATTGTAAGTCATTTTTTCAATTAACCAAAATTCATGTTAACCCTTGCGTTATAACGTTGTTTGAGTTTTTTCTTTTACGCGATTCCTCCCCCTTCTATCTTATGCGTGCTCTTTTTTTTCCCTCTTATTGCATGAACTAATAGGCTTTATATTATAGAAGGTTTTGTGCAGACCCATGGCCCTGGGATAAGATTAACTAGTGGTGATAATGTCATATGTCAATCTCTTGTAGAGAATTGTACATTGATTTGTCATGCATGCCACCAGTGTAAACCCACAGAGATGAAGATATTAAAATTTGAAATACACGCATAAGAACATGATGAAAGAAGGAAGAAAGACAACAATCGACACCAGCCAATTACATACATTACATAGATTACATAGTCGTGTCTATCCCTAATCTCAAAGATCCCTAAACACTCAATTGAGCTCATTGCAATTTCCTCCCCCCCCCCAATCTCAAAGATCCCTAATGTTGAAATGTAAGTAGTGAGTTGATAGGAAATGGAATTAAGCCTGGTCAGCTAATGGTGTATTCTCTCAGTCAATAAAAATGACTGGTGTTAGGCTTTAGTAGTAAAAGGTTTATAAGCCACGTGTAATGTTTTTATTAAGCAGTTATAGATGAAGGGCTGAGATACAAAGTGATGTAATTGTATCCAGCTAGACATATAGCTCACAGATAGCGTGCTCATTCAAAATAGACAGAACAGTGCAATAGAAAAATATATATATGAATTGATTCATTCTCTGCTCTCTCTTATCTCTGCATTCTCTCTTCTCTCTCAACCTATTCAAAACTCTAACATGGCCTCAGAGCCAGGTTGGGTCTTTTGATCTGGGCGTAATCTGTGAGGTCACTGAGCTCAATCGAAGCTCAGCTCAGCAACTGAGAAGAATTTGCTTGAATCGGACCAAAAGATGGCTGGATCTGGAAGTTCTGAAGTAAGAACCCCGATCTTCTCCGGTGAGAACTACGAGTTCTGGAGGATTAAGATGACAACGATTTTCAAATCGCTTGGGCTATGGAGTCTGGTAGAAAAAGGGATTCCAGCTCCTGATTCGAAGAAGAAGAACACGGCTGAAGAGGCATCAGAAGAAGAACCTGATGCAGAGATGATCGCTGTGCTCATGAGGGACGCGAAGGCTCTGGGCATCATCCAAAACGCAGTTTCTGACCAGATCTTCCCTCGGATTGCCAACGCTGACTCAGCCAAGATGGCGTGGAATCTGCTTCATGGTGAATATCACGGTGGTGATCAAGTCAGGTCAGTGAAACTTCAGAATCTCAGAAGAGAGTTTGAGTATATGAGAATGCGTGAAGGTGAACAATTAACTGCATATCTTACTCGGTTGAATGAGTTGATAAATCAAATAAAAACATTTGGAGAAGTGTTATCAAACGAGAGGCTGGTTCAAAAGGTATTAATTAGTCTTAGTAGAGTCTATGATCCTATCTGTTTGGTGATTGAAAATACAAAGAGTTTGGAGACTATTGAATTGCAGGAGGTTATTGCAATATTGAAGAGTCAAGAGCAGCGGTTTGATATGCATAATGTGGATACAGTTGAGAAGGCTTTTGGTTCTTTCTCAGTTGAAACAAAAGGGCAGAATAAGAATGGTTCTCAAACTGGTTCTGCTAAATCTCAGAAGAATTGGAAGTCTAACAATAAACCATGGGAGTCTAGGCAGAAGCCACAACAATCTGGTGCTGCACAGACCTCAAATGGATCACAATATGTGCATCAAGATGGAGTGAAGCCTCAATGCAAAGTTTGCTCGAAATTCCATTTTGGGGAATGTAGATATAAGGGCCAATCTAAGTGTTATAAGTGTGATAGATTTGGACATTGGGCTAGAGATTGTACTGCAAACAAAGGAGTGCAGAAAGCAAACAATGCAAGTCAAGTAGAAGTAAGAGGAAATCTGTTTTTTGCTAATTGTGCAATTTCAGAGAAGAGTGCAAATGGAGAATGGTATGTAGACAGTGGCTGCAGTAATCATATGACTGGGAACAATGGAGCCTGAGAAGTTTGAAGAAGCTGTGAAGGATGAGTCATGGATGAAGGCAATGAAAGATGAGTTGAACATGATAGAAAAGAATGATACATGGGAGCTTGTTGACAGGCCTATGGATAAACCAGTGTTTGGGGTTAAATGGGTGTTTAAAACTAAGCTAAATCTGGATGGTTCAGTTTAGAAAAATAAGGCAAGGTTAGTAGCTAAAGGATACTCTCAGAAACCAGGGGTGTACTACAATGAAACGTTTGCACCTGTGGCTAGATTAGACACAATCCGAACTCTAATTGCACTAGCTGCACAAAAGAGTTGGCAGCTGTACCAATTAGATGTTAAGTCAGCTTTTCTAAATGGTGTCTTAGAGGAAGAAGTGTATGTAGATCAGCCGGAGGGATTTTTGATAAAGGGGAGTGAAAGCAAGGTTTACAAGCTGCACAAAGCTCTCTATGGCTTGAAACAGGCTCCAAGAGCTTGGTATAGTGAAATTGATGGTTATTTTGCTGAGTGTGGTTTCACAAAGAGCCAAAGTGAAGCTACTCTTTATGTCAAAACAAGAGGTGAAGCAAGCATATTGATAGTATCCATTTATGTAGATGATATTGTCTACACTGGAAATGATCAAGAGATGTTAGAAGACTTCAAGAAGGACATGAAGGAGAAATATGAAATGACTGATCTGGGGCTCTTGCATCACTTCTTGGGAATGGGAGTCATTCAAACACCAACAAGCATATTCATTCATCAGAAGAAATATGCAACAACTCTGTTAAACAGATTTGGTTTGAGTGAGTGTAAACCGGTGTCTATTCCACTAGTTACCTCAGAGAAACTAAGTAAGGATGATGGGAGTGGTTTGGCAAGTGAAGAGCAATATAGAAGGATTGTTGGGAGTCTGCTGTATCTCACAGCTACTAGACCCGACATTATGTTTGCAGCTAGTCTGCTTGCAAGGTTTATGCATTGTCCCACTAGCAAACACCTTGGAACAGCAAAACGTGTCCTTAGATATGTAAAAGGAACCTTGGATTATGGTCTGGAGTATGTGAAAGGAAAAGGGGCAGTTCTAATTGGCTATTGTGACAGCGATTGGAGTGGCTCAGTGGATGATAGCAAGAGCACATCTGGATACGCTTTTTCTTTTGGGAGTGGAGTGTTTGCTTGGGCCTCAGTCAAGCAAAATTGTGTTGCACTCTCTATTGCAGAAGCTGAATACATCAGTGCCTCTGAAGCAACAACACAAGCTATTTGGTTGAGATTTGTCCTAGAAGACTTTGGAGAACTTCAAACAGAAGCTACACCTCTCCACTGTGACAACATTTCAGCTATTTCCATTACAAGGAATCCTGTTTTCCATCAGAAAACCAAGCATATTGATCGGAGGTATCATTTTATTAAAGATGCTTTGCAAGAAGGAACTGTGGATTTGATCTATTGCCCTACGAATGAGCAGCTAGCAGATATCTTTACAAAGGCTTTGGCCAAGGATCGGTTCAGCTATCTTAGAGAGAAGCTTGGTGTGAAATCAGCTCACAACTTAAAGGGGAGTGTTGAAATGTAAGTAGTGAGTTGATAGGAAATGGAATTAAGCCTGGTCAGCTAATGGTGTATTCTCTCAGTCAATAAAATGACTGGTGTTAGGCTTTAGTAGTAAAAGGTTTATAAGCCACGTGTAATGTTTTTATTAAGCAGTTATAGATGAAGGGCTAAGATACAAAGTGATGTAATTGTATCCAGCTAGACATATAGCTCACAGATAGCGTGCTCATTCAAAATAGACAGAACAGTGCAATAGAAAAAAAATATATACGAATTGATTCATTCTCTGCATTCTCTCTTCTCTCTCAACCTATTCAAAACTCTAACACCTAAACACTCAATTGCCTCATTGCAAAGAGGAGGAAGCACGTTAAACAAAATCCTCAATGAGTATTGGGAAATTAAAAATTAAAAAATTAAAAAAACTAACTTAATATTTGATGATGTGTCGTATGTTGGATAGTTAAATTATTTGAGTGGCTTAGATTTAACGAAATGCGGGTAAATGCAGAGGCTCTCAGAATCCCTTTCCTAGGAAAAAAAAAAACTTATCCTGTTTTTATGGATAACTACGGCACATATTTTTTATTTTATTTTTATTTTTATTTAAATAAATTGTGAATGTACCATTTTATACATAATTAATAATGTGTCATTTTTTGGGACAGTCTTTCTAATTATAAATTTAAAAAGAATGCCAGAACAATCCTAGCCCCAGAGAGAGAGAGAGAGAGAGAGAGAGAGAGAACTTCATATTCGTGATTTTCCTCTGGATCTTGTCAGATCTTTGGTGTTCTCCGACTTTTAGTCAACATATGTTGATCTATTGTTCATTAGTGCATTGAGGCTCTGGAGTAACTAAGTAGCACTCTCTATGTCATGTTATGGAGGAAGATTAATTAGCGGCGATTGATTTTCCTTTTGCCGTCATTATTCTAGAAAAATATGTGCCATTAATCACACACACGCCATTAAAATAAGTATTGTTGAGACATGTGTGAGAGCAAATATTTCCGTCTCCAATCACGGCACGACACGTGGAAAAGAAGATTATCTCTTAAATTAATTAATTGAACCAGTTTATCTGGCCAATTAATTAATTGAGATAAATATCTTAATTAATAGGATATTATCTTTATTTAATAAGATAATATCATTAATTTAGATATTATCCTAATAAAGAGAAGATAATATCATTAATTCATATATTATCTTCAATAAAGAGATATAATCAAGTCCGACTCGATCCCTACGAATTTGGATAGAGAATAAACTCATCATATTCTCTACGAAACCCTAGCCCTGAGGCTTCTATAAATAGACTACTTCATTCATCATTCAAGGTACATCTAAACCTACTCCTAAACCCAAGAAAAATACCCGAAGCTCTCTCTCCCTCTCCACTCTCCATATTTTCTCCACATGGCTCCTGCCACCACACACGGCTCCGGCCGCCTGATTCACAACATACATACAACTCCGTACCCTTTGCTTAGCTATTGTTTTTCTACAAACACTCGAACTAACTTCGGCATCGAAGGGCCTTTGGCCAACACCCCCCGGGTGTGATCTATTTACTCCAGTCTTTTTTTTATAGGAAACGAGGAAGAGAGAGAAGGAAGATCGAAGGTTGAATGATCAAGAAGCGAATATTCTCCCGCGAGATTATTTGCACAAACAACATGCGTCTAGAAAAATACAATTGGGGAAAAAAAATAAAAAATAAAAGTATTCAAGTCTTGCGTAGTGTGTATGATTAAACATTGCCTCTCACAAGAGTGAAAGTAGTGTGGAGAGGCTAATTTTCTTAGAATTACCGAAATACATAGTTGATGCATTTTTCAGTCTTTATACTCGTAAGAAAGTTTTTTTTAATCCTTTTTTAAGGGCGCGTTTTAAAAGTTTTTCTATTATTAAGCAAATATCATAAAGGAACCCCAAATATCACTTGTGGGAAAAAGTGAAATAGTTAAAACTCCTAGGTTCGATACCCCCCTTCTCCTAATATTGCTTGTATGAAAAATAAAAAATAAACTTCAATATTGGACATTTGTTCTAATTTCAATGTACACATTCAAGTTATCACTAAATAAAACAGAGTAAAATTTCAGTGCCAAAAGCTCAAAACCAATGCCAAGAGCCATGAACGTAAGAAAAGTTGAAAAACAAGAGCAAAAATATGTCTAGATAAAAAAGATCTATTTGAGAAAATATTATATGAAATGTCAACAAAATAAAAAGGTGAAAATGATCACCACAATTGGGACGTTAATAAAATTAGGGGGTGATTGTGAAAGTGATTAGCAGAAATAAATGATAGTTTGTAAAAAGGTGAAAATATCTTTAAAATAGCTATAAATCCTAACTTGCCAAAAAAAATTAATTACCAAGTAACATGTTTTCTTCTAATTCAGATCAACAATATCAAAGTCATGATTCGAATCTTTATCTCACCGACCACAAATCTTTAATCAAGGAATTCATTTACAAATGTTTGGCAATAAAATAATATCAAATCACCATATATAACAGTCACCTTAAGACTACCAATTAAAGTTGAAAGGTTGAGATGTAAGAAGCTGAGTAAATACACTGCACCCTGGCCTATTTTAGTAACACCCTTAATTACCATAATTTGAAAAATATTGACTTTCCATATATTTATGTCACAATAATCTCCTATATATGCATATATATATATATATATATACACACACAAACCCTCACTAGCAATTTACAACAAATAATGGCCTCCCCAAGTGGTTACTTCAAGTTATTGACAACATTGTTATTTGCTTCGTTGCTCTTATCATTTCTCTCGTCATCTCCTTCACCAGCAAATGCATCGACTCCTTTAGTTGAAAGTGTCTGTAGCCAAGTCCCAGGCAACCGTTACTGCAAGCCGTTTCTCGATTCGGATCCCCGAACACAATCCGCCACGAATCTCCTTGACCTTGCAAAAATCGTTCTCGACTTGACCATAGCCTTGGCAGAAGATTGCCTAGCTTTCGTCGACCTCTTGATCAAGAACCTGCCCTACAAACAGACTCTTGATATCTGTGGTGCTTCGTACAAAGTAGCGGTGGCTTCGCTCAAAACCGCAAGAGGGGAGGTGGAGCAGGATGCTGCGAAGGCCAACACTGACATCCAAAATGCCGATTTCGAGATCTCTAACTGTGGACTGGAGATGAGTATCAATGGTAGTAGCTTCAGGGATCTTTCCCTAATCAAAAGAACCCGCAACGCCAGCTTGTTTTGTAACATTGGAGTTGCGATCACCTCTAAACTTTAATTATCAGTGTTGAATTAAACTCACATGCTTCATCATCCATGTTCCTTCCTTTGGTATTATTCTCAACGACTACAATAATTATTAAATAAAAATCCTTTTAATTATGCGGCTGTCAGTTTGATGTTTTTTTGTTTCTTCTAACCAAAACATAATGCTCTTTTAGTATTAGAAAAATTACTTATTTTTTATCAAAAAATTTACGGCTTCTTAGGGGTACAAATGGATGCAGGACACTAAGGACCCATTAGGTAATGTTTTACGAGCCCGTTTTCTGTTTTCCCAAAATGAAAATAGGTGAGATTGCGTTCGATAGGCATGTGTTTGTACCTAATAAATCACGGTCATGAACTGATTGAAGGGACTTCCCTTCGGCCCTGGCGCCTACCGTTTCGTCAGGCATTTCGCCTTCCTAAGAGCAGAAGAAAAGCTGCAAATGCAGAATCCCCTCGGCCTCGCAACTGCAATTTTAAAGGCCGAGGCCAAAGGCTGTAAAAGACACGGTCTGAAAAGCTGTGGTTGAATCGCCACATGGCCTCAGGGCCCCACGCTCTATTTAATAAAGTAATGCCTCTGAGGGCATGTTTACGTATCAGTAATGGGTATGGGAGGAAAGTGAATGATTTCCATTCCTGACTTCTCCTGCGTTTACTTGCAATCATGAATGAAAAAATAAGTGGGCCCCACCTCAAAATCCGTAATCACATTCCCTCAAAACTAGGAATCAGATCAACTAGGGGGAGTAGTCGATACGATTCCCATTCCTGTTTTCTCTTAATAACTTCCAAAAATACCCTTATCACTTTACCATAATTCTAAAATTAATTTGGATTCTGATTCATGCAAATTAGTAAACAATAACAATGGGAATCAATCCCATTCCATTGCTGATTCCATATGTTTAGTAAACAACTTAATGGGAATGATTCTTCCCATACCGATTCAGTAATTCTCCGATTCCTAAATTCTTTGATTCCTTAGTTTCTCCATTACTGATATGTAAACATGCCCTGACTTCGCAGCAAAACCCACTAGTCACAAGAAGCATTCAATGCACGAGGGAAGTGACTGAAGTCAGGATTTGGTGATGGGAATCAGGGTGGTTAGGCGCAGACATTCTCACAAGTAATCTTACGACTTAGGGTCAGGTCACCAACCACCAGACCAGGGCATTAAATGCGTTCCCATGGCCAATGGGGCAGAACCCACGATCAGGGCGGTGGCTGAGATTTGCTGAAATTTATGGGGGTCACACCACCATGCTTCTCAACCCCAGACCACTATGCTTCACGATCCCAAATGCCGATTTGATTACCCACTTGCCCCGGTCAGGCTCCACCACGCAGGTCTTGTCAGCCTCGAATGTCCCTCCAGGACTCCTATAAATACTAAGCTCAGGACTACATTCAGAGGGTTCAAACACCAAAACCAAAAGCCTCCCACAGAGCAAATTATATTTTCCTGTAATGCACTTTCAATACCTTTATTTGCTTTCTTAGGAGTAGTGGTAGACTGTAAGGAAAATCCATTCATCAATATATCATACGACCCTTGATTTTCAAGGCGCCGGAGCACCATCTCTATTATCGCCTCACTCACCCCATATATCATATGACCGTCGCTCTCTGAGCAACGCGCCGGAGCACCGCCTAAAAACCACCACCAACACCACCACTAAACGGCCTTGTAGCTCAGGCCGTGAACCTAACGGCCGAGATTCGTTCCTCACTCGGCCACAATCGTTTGATTAGGAGTCGAACGCGAAACAGACGCAACATTTAAACCATCTTCTACCCAAACCTCATCATCATCTCGACGCACGGTAGACCATGCTGGCACGCCCGCGCACAATCACACCGCATCCAAAAGAAGGACGTCACATGTTGACACGCATCCCCTCGGCCCGGAACACCAGGCCGCGAGATTCGCGACAGACCAACAGCACAGAGAGAAAACATGGAAAACAAAATTGTGAAAATGAATTCAATTTCACGTACAAAAGTTGAAAACAACAAAACAACGTTTTCAGCCTTTTCAGTGAAAACACGAAAACACATTTTGCAATCTCCGAACAAATTTTTTTATTTTTTTATACATAATTACATAATGTATTTAATAAAGTTGTACATTCGTTGTTTTTGTTATTTTCCAAATGTACTATCACACAAGTTTGGACTATTTTCATTTTTTGATGCATTTTAATTAGAATTACACTTTCATTCTTAAAATGTACTGTCGGACACGTTTTTAATGTTTTTACTTTATGAATCTATTTTCTAATTAATCTACCAGATACATTCTCAAAATCCTGAAAATACAAATTCGTTTTTCGTTTTTATTCTCTGAAAATATTTTGAGAAAACATTCTCCAAAAACGTTACTAGACGGGGCCTAATTGACTCTTGTCAATATTGCAGTCCACCAAACCAATTGTGTGGCCACATAAGCAAATATATTTGAGATATTTACAACATGTGCCATTAGTTTGAAACGACAAGTTTATGCATATAATTTGTGTTTGACTTAGCATTGAGGTGCATCCAGATATGTCTTTACCCTGGCAGTGAGGTGGATCAAATATGTACTTTACCAGTTAGTTAGGTATATCAAGTTGAATGATTAGCAAGGTACAGTTTTAGGTTATATATACATTTATCTCTTTTGTTGCTTGGTAATTTTTTAATTTTTTAATTTTTGGCAAGTTAGGATTTATAGCTATTTTTGGGATATTTTCTTCTTTTCACAATCACCCCCTAATTTTATTAACGTCCCAATTGTGGTGATCAATTTCACCTTTTTATTTTGTTGACATTTCATATAATATATATTTTTTTGCTTTAATACCTATTCCTATGTGTTGCTAGCTAAAATTTTTACCTTAAAATATAATGATCTTTAAAACCATATAAACAAAAAAAAAAAGAATACATTTAACATAAAACAAAGACATATTAAATGTACAATAAAAAATATATATATTATCAAAATGAATACATGTTCAACAAAATAATCTTTATTCAAGTTGTGGATTAGGTGAGTTTCTCTACATATATGCGGGCTCAGTCATCGGTCTAACTAGGTAGCCTTAGGCCCTGGGATTTTTTTTTTTTTTTTTTTTTTTTTTTCCAAAACCTGCTTCACTTTAAAGTTAAACAGTTTAAAGTGTTTGGTAAAAATAAGATATCTTGATTATTTTAAAAGCAGTGGAATTTTGACAGCAACTTTTAAAAGTAGGTTCTGGGTTGCTTTTCAAAGCTGCTTTTAAAGAAATAGAAATAAGCCTTTAATGAATTTTTTAAATTTCCAAAATACCATCATTAATTTTTTAAAATGAGACCACCTCCACCGCCATCGCTGCCACCTCCACCACCACATCTTCCTCCGCCACCACCACCTCCTCCTCCACCTCCACCTCTACCTCCACAACCGCCATTTGCACCACCACCACCACTACCACATTCACCTTCACCACCTCCACCGCCACAACCATCACCACCACATCCTCCTCCGCCACCGCAACCACAACCATCACCTCCTTCTTCTCCATCTCCACCACCTCCACAACCGCAATCTCCACCACCACTACCTCTTTCACCACCATCTTCACCTCCATCTCTTTCGCCACTTCCACTACCACTACATAATTAGCGCATAACAATTTCAACATCATTTTTATTTGAGTTATTATTCACAGTTACAACAGTTTTATATTAAAATTCACCAAACGATTTTGACACTGCTAATTATTATTATTATTATTATTTTGGTAAATACCACGAGGTGTCCCCACACCCGAAGAGTGGGATTAATTCCGCTCGGGGTTCAGCTTGCCCCTGGCCACAAAGTGCTTCCAACGGGTTTTGAACCCCTGCCATTGAGGCACCAAGTAGCTCTCCAACTAATTATTTTCAAAGCACAACATAAATAACTTTTTTTTAAAGTGATGACAGCAATCCCAAACTGGCCTTTACTCTCTCAACCACAAACAGAAGAAGACACCTGGCCTCTGATAGATTTAGCCAAAAAGAAAAGATATTCTCAAATAGGTCTTTCTATTTTGATGAGAGTTACAATGAGAAATCCTACATCTAGACATATTTTTGCTCTTGTTTTTCAACTTTTCTTATGTTCATGGCTCTTGGCATTGGTTTTGAGCTTTTGGCACTGAAATCTGACTATGTTTTATTTAGTGATAACTTGAATGTGTACATTGAAATTAGAACAAATAGAGAAAGTTAAGCACCCAATATTGAAGTTTTTTTTTATATTTTTTTTTATACAAGCAATATTGGGAGAAGGGGGATCGAACCTAGGAGTTTTAACTATTTCACTTTTCCCTGATGTGATATTTTGGGTTCCTTTATGATATTTGCTTAATAATAGAAAAACTTATAAAACGTGCCTAGTTAATTTACTCTTCATCTCGGTGGGTTTACACTGGTGGCATGCATGACAAATCAATGTACAATTCTCTACAAGAGATTGACATATGACATTATCATCACTAGTTAATCTTATCCCAGGGCCATGGGTTTGCAAAAGCCCTTCTATAATATAAAGTCTATTAGTTCTTGTAATAAGAGGAAAAAAAAAAAGCACGCATAAGATAGAAGGGGGAGGAATCGCGTAAAAGAAAAAGCTCAAACAACGTTATAACGTGAGGATTACCATGGATTTTGGTTAATTAAAAAAATGATTTACAATTTGATGATGTGTCATCTGCTGGATGATTAGATTGTTTGAGTCACTTAAATTTAGTTAAATGCGGATATTTGCACATGAACTAAATGCAGAAGTTCGTAATTCTTGGGAAAGATACTTTATTAGTACACCATAGTAAAGATTTTCCTTTACGTGATTGATATTTATAGTTTCCTGATATTAAGAAAGAGAAGATGAACAAAACTCACACACAGGTACTATACATTAGCTTCATTTTTGTTGTTGCCAAAGTTAGAAAAGGGGAGGGGCAAAACTCACACTCATAGGTACTATACATTAGCTTCATTTAATGGATTATTTCATTTCTTAACTTTACAATACCCTTTTATTAACTAGACGTAATTTTTAGAATTTTGAAAATTTGACTTGAGAAAAACAACAAATCTGTTTTTGAAAAAGGCTAACACATGAAAAGTTTGATGAATTTTGTTTGGTTAGACTCTAGTCAACAGAGAACAGACTTAGGGTAAAGTTATTATTTTATAGGGGTACATGTAAGTCTTACTATTTTGTCTGTTTCAGTACCAAATAGATGAAGAAAAGCTGCTCTTTTGGAAGGGACCTTTTCTCCGTTATCTCACTGTTTGCCAAGATTGCATTTTTAAAGCTTGCTCTTTTGCTGCAAGTTACCTTTTCAATGTTAAGGTTATCTGGTTTGTCAAGTTAGCTCCTTTAAACTCTTGGTCTGTTAACATACGTCCTTTTCCGTCACATCCTCTTTGTAAGTTAGCATTTCTTAATCTGTGGCTCTATTAACCAAGGCACCACCTTTAAACCTTGGTCTAGTAGCACTGTTATCTTTCCCAGGCAAGATAGCATCTTTAAGTCTTGTTCTGTTAACACCATTATCTCAGCCAAGGCAGTAGCACCTTTGAGTCTTGCTTTGTTAACACCATTATCTCAGCCAAATGTCACGGGATGAGCGAGCGGCGTGGCGCGATGGAAACGAAACACACATTTCGCCGCTCAAAGCACACCAGTGCAGCCCAAGATCCGTTCGGATCCCAGTCAGCCTTCTTCCATATTCATGATATTCATAACTCTCACAACTCTGCGAGAGATCACCATCAAATGTCGTCTCTCACAGGCACCATGCCCCCACGGCTAGACAACGACTCACACTACCTTGTGACAATACAATCACCCCGCATCTGGCAACGAGCCCTCTACGCCCATACATCAAGCGTTGCATAAGACACGTCAACTACATTGACCACATTGCATGCCTAACTCGTGGCTAGCTCATGTCTAAGTCAAGACATAGGGATCCAACACACCGTCCGTTTACCCACACTTATGTCGGTCATTCCATTAGCAACCAAGATAGCCTACATCCTCAAGCTATACACGCAAGTTGTCATACTTGCATGTCGCCCAAGCCTTGGCGACATATGTATTCCGGATGTCCAACATAATAATCTATGCATTGCACGAGGTCACAACCTGTGCATACTGGCATCCGAATATCGACCTTCTATATTGGACAAGGCCGAACCCAAGCGAAGTCCATTAAAGTATTGTCAAATGCCTCGCTTGTCGACGACATAACTAATGTCATACGTTGACCTCATTCTTCACAACGATGTGCCATACAAATGCCCCGCGTGTTCGTACTATCATCGGGAATTTCTTTCCCTCGGAGACATAGATTATCCTTCAACAATCTTATGCCCGCCTTTATGACTACCTCCAATGTCATAAGGATGCTCACTTAGTACCACAAGGGTGTAAGCACCAGGGGTAGTAGAGAGCATGACACCATGTCACCCCCTATATAGCATTTTATGCATTTAGCCTTCTGTCAAAAGGGAACATCCCCTATGCACGAGGAGTCATAATTGGGCATAACTCCGAATGAAGAACCGTCAGTTGCGTTGCATACGTCTCAACATCACAAACGTTCCAGTATTCTTAGCTTCCTCAGATAAACCATTCTATCTCCTAACCCCGCCCTTCCACACTTAGACTACCTCATAAACACATAAATGTCCCAATTGAGTCACGTAGCACTTGCTTATGTGCGACCAGTGACATTCTCCCCTAGTGATAGTATCGGCATCCCCATCGACATGCCCCCTACACTACCGACTATGGAATCATGATAGCACTTGCTTATGTGCGATCTGTGACATTCTCCCCCACTGATAGTGGTGATGTCCTCGTCGATATGCCCACTACACTGCCCCATATAACACCATATAGGAATATCCTCATCTCCTCGCTCCATGGACCACAATGCATCACTGTGTTCACCCTTTTCATGTGAAACCCCATATTTTTAAATATGTACATTAATATTTAATAAAAATTAAATATTTAAAATTTTTAGTTTTCAATAATATATATATATTAGTTGTATGGCAAGCCACGTGAATCTAGCTATAGCCTATCAAATCTTATTATATGGCTTTAACTATATCAATTCATTTCAACCTTATTTAATATTTATACACACTTTAAAAAAGCATTTAGAAAGGCTTTTTGTTGCTTACTAAGGTTTCTCTTAAAGATTGACGTGTTGCATTATGGAGTCCTCAAAAACCAATTAAAACATGAGGTGTGAGCACAATAGGTATTCTTATATATATAAACTTAATTGGAGAGTGCTCACTAAGCACTCTACAAAGCCAACACATAAGGCTATTTGGGAATCTAGCAAACTATAGGCTAGTTAGGTGGCACAATATTAAGCTTCATCTATATATCTTTGCTGACTCTAGCTTACTATAAATAGCCCTACCTAATAGTTCTTGGATCATAGGTTCTTCAAATTGTGTTAGTTTACTAAAAATCGTAGACAAAAGAAAAAAAGAGTGAGGACTAAGTGTGGTGAGGTTTTGGAAATGCTCAAAGTGTTTGGACTTACAACTAGGAGTTATACAATAGCTTTGGATTTGAGGTAGGGGTTTTCTTGGGGAGGCTTTACATAAATTGATTTGATTAAATATTGTGAACACTATATTATGCTTGGTAATATTATTTGATTATTATCCTTGATATTGGGTGTTTACATGGTGTCAATTATTATTATAATTTGATTAATTTTGACATGTTCATATATTATCGGTGGTGGTTGGAATTCTTGGGTTGATAAAGAAAGTATGGAAAATAGGGTAATGGGAAGGTTCTTTTATGTAGTTGAGTCTAACCATTGTAGGGACCAAGTCCAGGCGAGCCCATGTGCACAGTGGACTAGGAAATCGGCGGTATAATTGTCGATTGAGTGATTTGGGCTTGGAGATCAATGGTGTAGACAAGATGACTAGCAAAAGGAGAATTATGGGTGTTAGTTTATATAATAGGGTATTCTGAATTACAGTGGTAAAATGCATGGTATGGGACTTGCAGATTTGTTTGCCTTATTATATAGATTAACGAAGTGGGTAGAATTGAAGTTCATTCATGCATTGCATAAATTTTACATTATAAATCTCACTAATCACATAAGACATAGACCCCTACTGTGCATGTAGTGCTCACCCCTTATTAAATCTATTGCAGGTTCTAAATCTGAAGTTTAGTTTGTGAGGAGGAAACAAGAAGAACGAGTTGTGGATAGTTTTGAATGTTTTGTTTAAAGTTTGTTACTTTCTTGTTATTTTGTTTGTAAAATTACAATGTAAATTACTTTGGTTTAAATATAAGTTTATGTTCAATCTTCATGTTACTTGATATTTAAATTTTTAGTTTTAGTTTTTCTTTTACCTCACACTCCCAATATATAAAATAAAAAATATACATATATAAAAAGGTTGGGGTGTGACATTTCAACTCCTTTCGAAGTTCCACATCTTGTCCCTCTTTGGGTTGAGACCTCTGTCTCTTGTCGCACTCAACCATTGAACAAACACATAGCTCGCTGGTCAGGTGCTTCCACATTCTCCACATTGAAAGAGATGCACCCCGCCTGGGTGTGGCTTGTAAACCAACCGTGTGTCTTCCACGACACATCCATTTGTTTGTGCATCTGCACTACCATACCTCCATGGTATTCGTGGTTCTCCCCTACTTATCTCGTCAGCACACCCTCACATCAATGTGCCTCCACAACAAAGTTCCACAACGCTTAGGCCATCATAGCTCACCAAGGTTAGACATCATCCCTACTACGAGTAGAACCACCTAACTACCAACGCCCCAAACTCGGACTCGGCAGGACCACTTCTATAGCATCCACACGGGAACAAGTAATATGTTAACACCTAAGTTACTCGAACTTTGTCTACCATCAAGTGTGGACATATTCAATGTCCTTAGCAACTATGCTCACAAGTAAGGCTCTAGAATCCACCTCTGGAACACTCCATCATTCCGAATATTTGTTAGCAACCTTATGTCAAACATTGTGCCTCACCCACACATTCTCCACAATTGTAAGAGCAACCATTTAAGTGACTCCTTCATAAAGCTTAACCCTTCAACAACTTACTCACTCAATGGAGCCTAGCCCATCAGCGACTTACTCTCTTCGAAGACTACACCATTCTAGTCTTGAGCTCCCACAATTCTTCCCCGAACAAAGGTCTTGCACCATCCGTTCAACACTCATCACCAATTGAATTCAACACAACCACCAGTGGCATGCAATGGTTCAAGTATTGCCAACCTTTGGCACTCTCACCAAACTTGCGCTGCCATCTTCCTCACATCTTAACCTTGAACAAGCAACAACACTTTGTCAACCATGTGTCCTCCAAGGCACCTTCATTCGTTTGCGCCTAAGCACTGCCATACCTTCATGGCATTTGTGGGTTTCCCCTACTTATTTTGTCATCTCACCCTCGCATCAACGTGTCTTCGAAGCGAAGCTCTATAACACTTTAGCCCTTCACAATTCACCAAGGTTTGTCGTCATCCGTACTACGAGTAGAATCACCTAACCAACACCCAAACTTAGACTCGACAAACCCTACTTCTTTAGCATCCACAAGGAAACAAGTAAGACATCCTCCCCCAGGTTACTCCTACTTTTGCTTGCCATTAAGTGCGTACATATTGCTTATTTAGCAACCATCCTTGCAAGAAAGACTCTAGGATCCACTTTGGAACATTCATTCGTTCCGAATATTAGTTTGCAACCTTATGTCAAACATTGTGCCTCACCCACACGTTCTCCACAATTGCAAGAGCAACCACTTGAGTAACTTCTTCATTAAAGCCTAATCCTTCAGCAACTTACTTCCTCAACGGAGCCTAGTCCATCAGTGACTTGCTTGTTTTGAAAATTGCACTCTTTCAGTCTTTAGCCATCACAAATCTTCCCTGAACAAGGGTCTTGCACCGTCTGCTCAACACTTGTTACCAACAGAGTTTGCCACAACCTTTAGTAGTATGTCATGGTTTGAGTGCAAGCCAATCTTTAACCCTCTTACCAAACTCACGCTCTCATCCTCCCCACATCATGAACTGAACAAGCAACATCACTTCATCACAAGTCAAAACCCCTACCTACCCAACTTCCCGGCACTTAGTGCACGGATTAGAAAACTAGGCAACCGAGCAGCAAAACCAATTATCATCCCATATCTTAGAGTCATCCTGCTTGATGTCTTCTCACAACTTCAAGGCAAACTTTTGGATACATTCTCCCGTTAATAGGATCCAGCATCAAGACGGGTTTCCATCATTCGTCACACAACCTGATTCCAACAATCGTCCACAGTGACGTTGGGGTCTTCATCCAATTTCACAGGACCACTATCCATCACAGGCAATGACCTGCTACCAAAGTTCCTCCATCACCAATCTCTTCTAGGTGGGACTCCGTCACATTGAAATCACTTTATTGGTTGATCGGCTCTGGTACCATTTGTCATTGGATTCGAGCTTCAACATTTGTATCCCAATGTGCAGATCATTTGAGTAGAAACCACCATTTGAATTGATCAGCTTTGATACCATCTGTCACGGGATGAGTGAGAAGCGCAGCGCGGCGGAAGCGAAACACACATTTCGTCGCTCAAAGCACACCCGTGCGGCCTATGATCCCTTCATATCCTGGTCAACCTTTGCCCATCATCATGATATTCATGACTCGCACAACTCAGTGAAAGGTTCATCATCAAGTGTCGTCTCCCACAGGCGTCATGCCCCATGGCTCGACAACGAGTCACACTAGCTTGTGACAATCCTATCACCCTGTATCCGGCAACGAACCCTCGACGCCCATACATCAAGCATTGCATATGACACATCAACTGCATCGACCATGTCACATGCTAACTCGTGGCTCGCTCATGTCCGAGTCAAGACATAGCGATCCAACACATCATCGGTTTACTTGCAGTTCTGTCGGTTATTCCATTAGCAACCAAGATAGTCCACATCCTCAAGCTATACACGCAAGCTGTCATACTTGCATGTTGCCTAAGCCTTGGCTACATATGTATTATGAATGTCTCACATAATCATCTATGCATTGCACGGGGTCGCAACTCGTGCGTACCGGCATCCGAATATCTTTCTTCCATATTGGACAAGGCCGAACTCAAGCCAAGTCCATCGAGTATTGTCAAATGCCTCGCTTGCCGATGGCTTAGCGAATGTCATATGTTGACCTCACTATTCATAACGATGCGCAATACGAACGGCCCCGCGTGTTCGAACTGTCCTTAGGAATTCCTTTCATTCGGAGACATAGATTATCTTTCAATAATCTTATACCCGCCCTTATGACTACCTCCAATGTCATAAGGATGCTCGCTTAGTGCCATAAGAGTGTAGGCACCAGGGGTGGTAGAGAGCGTGACACCATGTCACCCCCTATATAGCATTTTATGTATTTAGCCTTCTGTTAGGAGAGAACATCACTTATGCACGAGGAGTCATAAATTGGCATAACTCCTTCATACGAAATCCGAATGACGAACCGTCAGTTACGTTGCATGCGCCTCAACATCACGAATGTTCTAGTATTCTTAGCTTACTTAGATTCCCCCCGTAACCTTTGTAAATACCCAAAATACCCTTCACATGTGCAACCCGGCCAACATAAACCATTCTCGCTCTTAAGCTCGCCCTTCCACACTTAGACTACCTTATAAGTGCATAAATGTCTCAATGGAGTCAAGGTAGAACTTGCTTATGTGCGACCCGTGACACAAGGGACCACCTTTGGGTCTTTCTCCCCCTTCTTTCCCCTGCCTTTTCTCACAAATAGCCCCTTTCCCTTCCTCTCACTTTCTCCGCCCCTTCACCCAAAACACCCACCCACATATCCCCATGCACCTCCATTCCACAAACCTTCGCATCTTCCGACATAGGACCATGCACTAGATGACCTCTGTTTCTCTGATCAAGGTCTTTACACCTTCCAATGCCGACAGTGTTGCGTCGATTCAGCTACACCAAAATGGATTCAGCTGCATCCTCAACTTGTGATACTCCTAAGTGCATAAATCGTTGGTAGTTTAGCATATGTAAGTGCGAGGTCGATTCCACAGGGATTCGTGATTGAATGATCCAATTCAATTTCCCCATGCAAAACAGAAAACAAAAAAGAAAGAAAAGAAAAGAACTAAGACAATAAGATGATGAGGTTTTAGAATCCACCCTAATTGTTCTAATCATGTTATGGCAGCAAGTAAACAAATTGATTCACTCATGACGATGCTTACAAATAAGTCCATGGTGTTTGGATCAAATTGCATTGAACATCACAAAGACCCCAAAGTATGATGTTTACATTAGGATTCCTAGAACCCAAATCACATGAACCATTTCTATGTAGTTCATGAGTTGCTAATGGATGGACTGAAGATGATCCCCAAACCTTCCCAACAAGAGCAAAATGCATAAAACCTTATGTGATCAATCAAAGGATGCAAAACAACTCCATTAAAACAGTGAAGAAGAATTCATGAATGAAATCAAACTTTATAAACTCAAACCATGATACAAGACTAGCAAGATGTTTATTAAAACTAATGACAAAAAAACAAAGTAAAGCTAAGGAACTACAATAAGAAAATAGAAGACAAAAGGAGGAGAAGAAGATAAGGACAACATGCTAGAAATAGAAAAGATTCATCTCCATGGCTGCCAGGAGGCCAAAGCCTCCCAGATGCTGCCTTCTCTTCTCTCCCTTTGTGACTCTCAACTTTCCCTCTCTTTGTGTACAATGTAAGCGTAAATGATGGATATCAATTTCTTAACTTCTTATCTTTCTAGAGACTCTCTATTTATAGGCACAAGGGTTAGTTGAATCAGATTATACAATTAAGTTCACTAACCACACCTATTTCACCTAAAACACACTTGCATTTGAAAACAATTCTTCTTCTCTTTAGGCTTAGTGTTGTAGCTCCTACTTTATCTTGTTTTATTCCCTTTGGCTGCTGCAATACTCCACTCAAATATAAGAAATGCATCTGCTTCGCCTAACTTCCCCACAATCAAAAACACCTCATGCTTACGTCATTATGACCAAGCACACTTAGCTCATCCTTAGGTCAGCATGACCAGCAACTTCAAGGGCTTATGAATTGGGCTTCCCTTAAGCAAATGATGACTTTGAGCCCTCAAACTTGAAGTTCAGAATGTCTTCTTTTCAGCCACATGTCATTTGGGCCAATCCAAGGTCGAAGGAAGAAGTTAAGGCTGAAACAAATTGCTAACTCATTTGGCACCCTGACAAAATCCATCATGAGGCTGAATTTTGGATATGTTATAATAGACAACCATTGGAACAACTTTTATGAAGAAGTCTGCCTCATCCGAGCTGTGTAGGTTGCTGAAACAAATCTTGCAATATGACCTACGAAACTGGACTGGCAAGGGGTTGTAGCCAAAATGGGTTTGTCTTTAAGCTCTTTTTCCATTCATCCAAATCAGGCCTTAACATGCTTGAATTTCATGAATTATCCTCTTTTGCTATATTGGCCTACAAAACACACAAAGAGAGGCAAATAACTCAGAATTCTAAGAAACTGAGCAAAATGAGTAAGTAAATTGGGCATTTATATGTATGAAATTATGAGCTAACAAGCAGCGGCACCGATGACGACGACATGAGGAGGGGCATGTGTATCTCTTACTACCTTTGTTAAAGACGACGGGCGTCGCTGACTCGGTATCGTCCTCCGAAGGTTATGACCTGATGATGCAGTGGTTCATCTCTTTTGCCAACGCTGGAGTCCAGGGTATCATCATGGAGCTCTTATGGGATGTTGTAGAGAAAAAGCCAAGGGTTTACGATTGGAAATTTTATTTGGTGATGGTTGAGATGGCACGCCGGTGCAATTGAAAGTTCAAGCTGTGTTGGTTTTTCACGAGGGTGGCATACACCGGATCTGTTGTGTGCCGATGAATATGATTGTTACTTTTCTTCACAAATCTTTGAATCTTTTAACTCTTTCAAGGGGTAAGTTTATTAATAAATGTTTGATAATTGTAAATATTTGATAAATTTTAAGTCTTTAAGGAAATCTTGTGTTGTAGTAATATAACTAAATTCAGTCTTAACCTTGCAATTATTTTTTGAGGAATAACCTTGCAATTATTTTATTATTATAGTATTAAATAAAATTGATTGATGAAATTAATTGTTAACTTTGTGATAAGTTTGCTTTCTAGAAATGATGATAAAATCAGCCCACACATCTTCATCCCAATTCACCACAATTGTCAAAACCTAGGCCCAAACTAGTAGCTCCTTCGTTTTTTTTAGAATAGGCTTTATAATCTCTCATCAGAATTAGCCACCACATAAAGATGTATGCTTTTTTTTGGTTTTGGGGTTTTGCCTCACTAGTTCATAAAAAATAAAAAATAAAAAATAAAGGATTTATGCTTAATTTTCTTATCTGTCCTTTATTTGCTGATGTTGTAACTTGTAAATGGTAGCTAGTGATGTACACAGTCTGATGAACTGAATTAGAATATACAGTACATTTATTTTTTTCAAAGTAGTCTTATTCTAAGTCTAGGTATGCTAAATATAATTAAGCTAAGAAGTAAGTTGAAATTGATGTCACCATCTCTAGCAGTACTCTGTAATTCACTAATTCATATAGGTTTCTTCTTATTTGGTTCAATAATCAAATATCCATTAACAATTTGACTTTGACCACAAGTGATGTGATTAATTGCAAGTGGAAAATATCACTCAAATTAATATAGTAGTAAGTAGAGTATTGTTCCAACAAAGATCAAGTTAATCTATTAAATACTAGAGTGATTAACTTCTAATTATATTTGAATTAAACGAAAAGAGAATTATGATGATTAAAATCTAATTAAGCAAGTAAAATAAATTAAGATTAAGGAAATAATGTAAAAGATGAAACAAAGATGATAAAGCACTAGGGCACCGATTTCACCTAGCTAATCCCACCCAAATCCTTCTAGCTTGTTTATTCTAATTACCTAACATGTTGATAATCGTTTTCCCTTACCTCACCAATACTCTCTTCTGAGTTATATTTGTTGTATTCCTTACCATCAACCCACTATATTCCTAGTTATGGATTTAGCTAAGAACCCATTAAGATTTGTGGAAAACAATAAAGATTACACAAACCATAACTAGAAGTATGTAATTTATGGTACTTATTACTAGAAGCTTTTTATTAGGAATCTCCTTCCGGTCTCAACCTAATTCTTCCAATCATGCAATTAGTGACCAATTAATTGAAAGCATTAAGAACGGTAACAAGCACTCAACATGTATAGATAAATAAAATTAACAATATCAAAGAATTTGAATATTCATAGATAGGCTACATCGTAGCCCTAGTAAAATAAATTAGTTCATAAAGGACTTATTGAGAATCATGATGGTTGATAAAGACAAGGAAGCCACCGAATTCTCCAAGTAGAATGCCAAGGTTGTGCAAGATCTCTTCGTATTCTCCTTTGAGTGTATCGGCTATGAGTAAGAATATGTAAGAATTTGATGGTAGATGATGGAGGATGGAGGATGATGGAATAATAGAGGATTTGAACAATGACCTAAGCTCTCTATTTATAATACTCTTACAAATCCTACCTATCTAAGGTATAATTACAATTGTTATAAAAGTAGGATTCCTTCTAAAATAGGGTCTTCTTTATTTCTCCTTGTTTGACTTGACAAGACTTGAAACATCTTGAACTAGGAAATTTGTCAACATTCCTTGAGACAAAAGGAATCAATTGGCTTCTTAACTTGATTAATCTCCAATCTTCATTTTCTTTCCCCTTTTTGCCTCAATTTATCATATTTCACAATTCCTTCACAAATCTCACAAAACCAATTAAACAACCAATTTAACCCAAGGAAATTAACAAATAAATAAGTAAAGGAGGCATAAAATATATATATAATATAGGCTTATCAACAAGATTTGAGAGTTCAACAATACTTTCAATGCATTGCATCAACAATAATTACAGCCTAAATCACGTTCGTAGAACATTTAACTGTTAATTGTTAGATGTTATTAATGAATACTTTATTTGTGCACTGAATGTTTATTTCTACATTGAAAATTTGTCCTCCCTCCTTGGGTGAGGAAAGAGATTACTGAATTTCCAGAGTTAGCATATTGTGACAGATTTGGGGGACAATATTCCAAATACGTATCTCTCAGTTGTGATGATGTTCCTCTCCTAAATGGTCGTACACCAATACAAGTGTATGCAGATTTTATGATGGCTTTTAAAGATACTTTCAAGAGCTATCTCGGTGAAGTTATAACGGTGAGATTATATGAGTGAAAATATTCAATAACAATAAATCAATGCATTGCATGCTGTGTTGTTGTTGGGAATCCAAATCGAAATGGGTCTAGAGGGAGAATTGAAGTATCCATCTTTCAATCCTAATAAGGAACCTATTGAGCTTCATATTGGAGATCCAATGCTATGACAAGGTACGAAGTTCCAATACTATGGAGCAACCTACATATATATATATATATATATAGTTGTGTTTCGGGTACAGTGATTTTATCCTTTTGTTGTCCTACACAAAAGTAAGCAAGCTCGGTTTAAGTTGCTAATTATATATGCTGACTTGTATATATTGGACAGTTTATGTTTGCACGTGGATGTGAAGGAGTTAATTTGCAATTGATGGGGACTCCTGATGAGACATTCTTCATAGGCGCTGGTGTGAAGTTTGGAATTCACAATATGGCCGATCTTTCCCAGGGATATCACCTGGGGTAAGAAATAGTATCACACATGCTACAAACTAACAGAAGAGTCAAAATCAAGAATACAAAACAAGACAATCATCTATAAGACAATTATAGCACACCATTGACAATAAACTTAAACAAACCCATTTGGAAGAAGAGAATCATCTCTAAGAAAAATCTGAGGTACTTAATTATTAAAATTGAGATTGCATGTAGAAACATGTCTTACAAGTACATGATACCATACTGAAATTATATATAACTTTGTGTTAGTATGAAATTGTGTTTGCATTTCCTAGACCTTAGTATAGGTTTGGAAGTGTCATTTAGTTATAAGTTTGAAGCAGAGTTGTCTCCGATCTGTAAGATTTAAACAGCTCAACAATCCTTTGAACTCCAAACTTGTGACTTAATGCGTTTGAGGTATTTGATCATGCTAAAACCATGCATCCATGTTAAGCAACTTTTTTTTAGTCTGATTTCAATCATGTCTCTTGATTTTCTGATTTTAAATCAATTGGAGGTTTGGAAAGTTATATTTCAAATCAATTTTATTCTCATATCATTGGTTTAAAGTTTTCTTGCTTTTTTCACATGATTTTGGTTGTTTAAAGATCTTGATTTTAATCAGATTACAATATCAGGGTTTGATCATATTTACAGTTGAACCAAGAATTTTGATAATCATTAATATTATAATTGATTGCAACCTTGAAGTTCTTTCCGTTTCTATTTGGGTGTCGAAGTGTATGCTCTCTATAGAATAGGAAAACTTTGTCTCTTCAATGTCTTTGGTGTTTTACACGTGATTGAAAGTTGGAATAGGAACTATACTTTTGTAATTTTTGTAGCCTTGAATATGGAGATTTGGTTTTTAACATGAGTTTATTTCATATCAAGAAAACTGATATAAAACAAGGCTATCTTGTAACACCTCATCCTAAATTTATCAAATAGAAACTTCATTAGATAAACTTTGACAGTACAATAAAAGATATCAACAAGACATCTAAAATACCAATCCCAAGAGGGCAACAAACTAATATGCTAAAAGCAAAACTAATGCGGACAAAAGTCGCACTAAAACTACTAGCCCACATCACCAAAATTAGCCATAAGTCCAAACAAAGCCCACAAATCCAATATACCCTAAATCAACCCATGAGCGTAAACGAACCCTAGTACCACCATCACCACTTGAAGAAGCATCGTCGTGGCCACACCCACCACCGCATCCGTAATATATCTGGGGAAAATATGATTTCCAGCTATCTATCTATGCATAAGAGCGAACAAATAAATGAAAACAACAACTTTGCCAAAGAACAATTAGGTGATTTGCAGCAACCTCCATCAAAGACGATGTAGAATCAAATTTAAAGAACATGAGCGGCGTTAGGAAGCGGGTTTTGGGAGTAGGATTTAATTGAGAACATAGACTAAAATGGGTGATGAGAAACTTCAATCTAACCATGGCTTAGAAGGAACCACCGCAAGAGGCTTTTTATTCAAACGCCCCAGTGGGCTTATTCACTAACCTAAAAGGAAAATATGAGAAGAGAGGATGAGGATGAGGGGCAGTGACGCTTCTTCCTCCTCCCCCCTCTATGGAATTTTCCTTCATGACTCACAGAGGGAGAGAGCGGCTAGGGTTTGGGAGATGCAAAAGAGTATAAATTAAGTAGCTTAATTGGTAAATTAAGTATTCATTTATGAAATTATAATTTTGCCCTTGAACATAGGGGTATTTTCGTCACTTTTTATTTCGGGACTAATTTTGAATTTTGAAATGCACCATTGCGTAGAGTTCAACAATACGAGTTTGTAAACAGGCAGCAGGCTCAATTCTGAGTTCGACGATATGAGTTCAAAGATATGCGACAATACGAGTTCGTGGACATGCAACGATACGAGTTCTCATCCTCTCTCATTCTCTCACAGCTGTCACTGTAGCAACAATGACTATTCAACTTCCCGACCACCAATCGATGATGTTGTGCACCAGTTGACCACACCGTGTTCACCAAACTTGTTCATCTCCTCCTCTACAAAACCCACTAAAGAATTGGTCTTGAAAACCCAAGATTTCACTAGAGTTTGGATTGAAACCAATACCCAAAACCATCCTTCAACGCAGGCGGTTTCTGGGACAAAACTTCATGTAGAGCATGAAATTGGGTGTAGAAGCATTTGTGCGATACCTTAGTGATGACAAAACTTCATGTAATGACGTAAGCACCCTTCAATCTCCATTGAACTCCAACATCGTAGAGCCAATTTTTGGAAGCATTTCATGTCGATAAGGCCAAAATCGACCTAAAATTGTATCATGGTGGGAGGAGGAAGACGGAAAATCTGTACCTTCATGTGGAAATACAGAGGGAGAAATATTATTAGCTTGATCTTGCACCACAACCTGCAATAACTTGTAAAATTTTGTTTTATATATATATATATATATATATCTATTTGTGCAATATAATGTTGTAGAATTTATAATTCAACATAGTTTGGTTGGTTAAGAGGTTTGAGTTACCGAAGAGGTGATGAGAAATTATTATATTGAGTTTTCTCATAAGTCACTTAGCGTGTAATGTGACATGGCAATGTTCACATAAGTTTTATGTTGCAAATAGTGACTCAAACTAGGACATTTTTGGCTTAAAATTGACTTGAAAATCTGATTTTGGATGCTTAATGATAAGGTCATAATTTCACACATTTGCATGCCTTCTTTGCTTAGTAATTTTGTTTAGTTTCTCTTTATTTTGAGTCTCTTACCTATGTTTGTGTGTTTTGTAGGTTCAGCAAGGGGATGACATTTGATACAATTCATGCATGTTAAGGGCTGAGTGGCACAAGAGGAATATGAGCTTAAAGACAAAACCAATTTGAGCCACACTCCTCGTCAGTCCAGTTTCGTAGGTCATTTTATAGGCCTTATTTCAGCAATTTACACAGGTCGGATGAGGAGACATCCTTGATAGAGGTTGTTCCAATGGGTGTCTATTATAACATATCCAAATTTCAGCCCAATTGGATAAATCTGGAGCCCTCAGCATGTCAAAAACTGAATCAAGTTCACAGAAATATCATGTTGGCTGCCATCACATTTAATATGGCTACATCCCTAGAGCCATGTGCTAAGCATGGGCAGCCACATATGGGAGTCAAATCAGCTCAGGAACTCAGAAAGATGAACAAAAGTCAAGCTTTTCATAAAGAAACCATACCAAAGCATGTATTTGGCAGTTGGAGCAGTTGGCAAGTATGGGCAGCTGGAGCAGTTGTCATGTATGAGCAGCTGGAGCAGTTGGGAGCAGCTAAGAGAGGTGTGCTTCACTAGCCAAAGGGGAGGACGAAATTGCTCTCTATAAATAGAGAGCTGCTTACTCATTCAAGATAGATAGATAGAGGCAGACACACACATTCACTTCATCCATTACTCTCATACACACATTCAGATTCACCACAAAGAGAGAAGAGAGCTTGGAGCTGTCCTGGGAATTCCTTGCTGCCATCATCTAGTTCTTCTCCTCTCTTTATCCTATCTATGTATTTCTTATTTTCTGTACTCATAGTTATGTCTAACTAATCCATTTTGTTAGGGCTTAGGATGAAGCCCTAGTCATGAATATTCAATGTTATGGATGATTTATTAGTTAATTGATTTCCTTGCTTTCATTATCAAGTTGTTAATCTCTAGTTTATTATGTGCTTGATGTATGTTTTCTTAGAGTAGCTAACTAGGATTTTATGCATCTAGCACAGGTTGGGAAGGGGTTTAGATTCACCAATTCTACTCTCCTTTCACAAGCAACACATGAATGGCCTAAGAATTATTCAAGGGGTTAATAACCATAGGTTGACTAGGACAGATACCATGTTCTAGGACTTGTGTGATTATCATATTCTCAAGGAGCTTAATGACTCTTATATGCTTTATTCTAAGTAGATACCATGCTTAGGTTGCATATTAGAGATCACGTGTTGTGTAGATACCATGCATAATCACATGTCTTAGGAGAATCGTGCATCCTGCACCTAGATACCATAGGCTTGTATGAGATAATCTATTATTGATGAAGCTTGAGTCAATTTCTATGCATTCATAACTTGGATAGGAAGACTAGTGGTGGATTCCAAGGCTTTAACACCTCTCAATCTTTGTTTCACAACTTGTTGATCGCTGTCAGTGTTTACTTTCGAGCACTTTCATTTCACATTCTTCTTTTCATTTCAACAACAAAACTCCTCATTTCAAGTGCGTGTGTGGTGCTAGGATTCTGTCCTAGACCTTGAGTAATTAGCAAGAGACATTGTTGAATTCGACCTTGCCTTTAGCTAGTTAGTCAGTTTCTTTATTCTATGTTTTTCTAGCATTCTAAGTAATTTAACTTGGAACCAAGTTACCATTCTCCGTGGGATCGACCTCGTATTTACATAAGCTATACTATAAACGGTTCGTGCACTTGCGAGAATTAAAGTTGTTGTTTTTAATAACTCATTTTAGTTGTTAAGAATAGGCTCAACACTTAAGCAGCAAGCATGGAAGCGTAGGACATTAGTTCTTCATTCTTTGGATATTATTATTTAAGCTCTCTAGATCAAGAAGGTTTGAATCCTTAATCAATTACGACGCAGAAAAGAACTTATGCCAAGCTAGCTCCCTATTTGGCTCAAAATTGTTTGATTCAGAGTTAGATTTATTAGCGCACATATCTCACGGATATTTTCTCATTCTACCAAATATTTGGTGGTCACAGGCTCAAATAATCATTTGGTGGTCACACGTTCGAAAATCTACCAAATTTTCTTGAACTGTTTGAATAAAAAAGTGTACATTAGTCATTCAACTATTTGGGAGCTCAAGACGTTCAACATATAGCAACAACACTAGTAAAATTATGTGACATGGAACATATATATATATATATATATATATTCAATTATTGAATTACTTTTTCTAATTTGGTCCATTGAAGGTAGATAGATATAGTGTTTGTACCATATTTGGAAAATGGGCCAAAGTTGGTTTGTTTTTCAAATAAGATTACATTAGACCCAAGCCTAGTTTCTTTCTTTCAAAATAACAAAAAGGGCTTTGTTGTACATGGGCCATTAATTAGTGAAATCCAGTCAAAGACCCATGTCTCAAAAAAATCAAACTTAACCCACAATGGAGTTAGAAAATGGATAACCGTTACCAATTGACCCACGTGACTTTCTGAAGATGAGCTTTCGCCATTCAGAATGACTTGACTGCCGTCTCTCTTAGCAAGAAAATAGGTTGGCTAATTGACGTCAAAACCAAGAGGAACCGTCTTTTGACTGGGTTTCCAACTGTGAAAGGACGACAAATCAAATGAATATCCCTTTAAACCAGTGTTTTCATTTAAGATACCTTTTCTCCTACCTAGGGATCGATTCACGAGGACAAATCAGCGGTTGACTTTGGACAACACTCAAATATTATCCTCTAGCCTTCACTGTTATCATTGGAAATTTTTGTCTATAAATATAGAGGCTCAACAACAGCACAAAAGGACTCTTTCTCCAAAATCAAATGCAACATCTTATAAACACTTGAACAAACTTCAAGATTGTTAAAGACAGCACCCCAATGAGGCTATTATTGAACACAAGGATCTGCTCAAGACTTCGAAGCTTCCATATGCTAATTGGAATTTCACCAGTTAAATGATTTCATTGTAGCTGCAGAGTTGTAAGGTACTTCAGTTGGCCAAAGGAACATGGAATACTCCCTTCTAAATTGCTACCCACAGCAGAAAATTGTGTTAATGTACTACAATTTCCAAGCCCTAATGGAAGAACTCCACTAAACTTATTGTATGAAAAATCCAAGTAGTTAAACTACTCATATGTAGAAAGACCAGGTTCTCAAGGTTGTTCAGACTCTTAGGAAGCTTTGTTGTTCCAATAGTTGAAGGAATCACTCCTGAAAACTGATTCTTATATAACGACGAATGCACAAGCTCACTCAAATTCCCAACATTTCTAGGGATGTAACCATTCAACATGTTAATACCCAGATTTACGTAGGTCTTGGAGTGTTTGTGCACAACACCTTCCTTATTTTTGGGTGGAAAGTGTCATCCTTTCACGTTGGTAGTGCGTTTACCCTAAACCCTAAATCATTTCGCATGTCATTTCCCATGTTTGGTAATCCGAAGAAAATAACCAAGAAATCCCAATTTATTTCCTTTCACATGTTTGGTTTGTGTAAGAATGTAAAACAAAGTTTGTTTAATTTTTCAATTATACCCATATGAAATCATATTAAAAAAAAGAATGCATTTAATACAATATTGTAATTCTAAATTATTAATGGGGATAATATGGTCATGAAAAATATGCATTTAATGTTAGCTCATTTTCCTAAACTTTTCCATGAGGAGGAAAACAAAATCCAAGGGGGGAGGAGGGCTTCACTTTCCCCCTACTTTCTCATGTGCAAGGCAATGATTTTCCATGCCCGGACTTTCCAAACATGGAAAAATAATTAATTTTTCATTTCCAAGTCTCCTTTCCCATGAACCAAACGGGGTCTAAAAGGTGACACGTGTCCCATAGTTAACCTTAATTAACTTTTATGTAAGAATAAATAAGGTTAATTATGGGACACATGTCACCTTTTAAGGGTGGTGATGATCATACCTTTTGTTAATGTGGTGAGCCAAAATGCTCCCTCTCATAAGATGCGTTTAGGGAACCACACGACCAGGACCCACCCAATCAACCACCTTATCAGCCTCCACCTAGGCCCAACCAAGTTAGGAGCTTTTTCGGCCCTAGTGTTAGCCAGACCAGGCCAACCCTATCTTAAATATGATAAGCCTTAGGCCCTAACCAAGGGCCTAAAATTTTAGGGCTCATGGGCACGCTAATAGGCCATGCCTATATGGCTCTATTAAATGAGTCACTTATAAAAATAAAAAAATTTAAATGCAATCACAATGAATTAAATGTAGTCTTAATGAATTAAATACAAAATCTTATGCATGAGATTATAATGTCAAGATTGTGTTTTCAAACACCCAAAAAAAACCAATAAACCAACTTTTCCATCTCACCTACTATAATATCAGGCTGAGCCAGCCCCTAACCCAAAGTATAAGGTCGGGCTCGGCCTAGCCCATCGTGCTTGGGCCTGTTTTACAGGCCTAGTAAAGGCCTTAGTAAAGTGGAAATAGCATTTACAGTCCTTGGGTCTTCATTATTCGTTGTTTTTGTGCTTTATGGACTGGTTTATATGTTCGTCTTGCGCTAAAAGACCAAGAAGGAAATAATGGAGTAATGGAGGCTACATAAAATCTTAGTGATAAATATATCATTGGGAAATAAGTCCACGGAATTGTCTATAAGGCCTCTTTGGCTCCAGACAAAGATGCTTGTATGTGCAGGGCATGAAGGAAGGGGTTCGAGCATGGTTAGAGAAATTCAAGCCCATGCCCTATCTAGTTACGGGGCTTTTTTGCCCTAGGGTTTGAATGGGCCGAGCCGGGCCAACTTAATCTTAAATATGATAAGCTCATGCCTACTCAAGGGTCTAAGGCCCTATTTGGTTCATGGGAAACGAGGTTTGGGGATGGAAAATCAATTGCTTTCCCATGTTTGATAAGTCCATACATGGAAAATCATTGCCTTGCACATAAGAAATTAGGGGGAAAGTGAATTACCATGTTTGGTAAGTCCATACATGGGAAATCGTTGCCTTGCACATAAGAAATTAGGGGGAAAATGAATTACCATGTTTGGTAAGTCCATACATAGGAAATCGTTGCCTTGCGCATAAGAAATTAGGGGGAAAGTGAATTACAGCCCCCTCCTCCCCCTTGGGTTTTGTTTTCCTCATCATGAGAAAGTTTGGGAAAATTAGCCAACATTAAATACACATTTTTCATAACCATTTTGTCCCTATTAACAATTTAGAATATACAATATTAGATGCATTTTTTTTTTTTTTTTTTTTTTTTTTTTTTTGATTTTATATGGGTATAATTGAAAAATTAAACCAAATTTGTTTTACATTCCTACATAAACCAAACAAGTGAAAAGAAATAAAGTGGTATTTCTTGATTACTTTCCCAGAATTACCAAACATGGGAAATGGATTCATTTCCCATCCCTTGGGAAATGACATGGGAAGTGATTTCCCCTCAAATCCGTTCCGTAAACCAAATGGGTTAAATGCAGTCACAATGAATTAAATGTAATCATAATTAATACTAGTTTTCTTTATAATAATACTAAATGAATTTATTATTAATATTCTTATTGGATGAGTCATTAATTTCTTTTAAATCTTTTAATTCAATGAAAGGGTAATTAACGTTAATTATATATATATATATATTATCTATTAACTTAATTATCGGGCTTGGCCGTGCTGCCCATGGGCTTAAAACTTAAGGCCCATGCCCTACTCATTACACAACTGGTTGGATAACATTGGGCCAAGCCAACTTATAGCCAAAATAATTGGTAGGGGCTTGGACTAGCCCATCGGACTTGGATCATTTTTGCAAGCCTAGTAAAGGCCTTAGGAAAGGGGAAATTGCATTTACACCCTTGGGGTCTTCATTATTCATTGTTTTTGTGCTTTATGGACTTGTTATATCTTCGTTTTGCGCAAAAGGACCAAGCAAGAACTTGAGGTCTTTGCTCAAGACGAGTTGTCTTCCTTACTAAATGAAATAATAAAGGCTACAAAAAATCTTAAAGATCAATATATCATTGGGAAAGAAGCCCATTAAACTATCTATGAAGCCTCTCTTTAGCTCAATACAATAAGAAATCTTGTATTTGCAGGGCAATAAGAAAGGCGTTGGAGCATGGTCAGAGGAATTCAAACAGTGGGGACAACCGGATACACAGCTGCAATATGGAATTTCATAAAAATGCAAACAGCCAAGAGAAGTACACAGCCTATAAAGCAGCTAGGCACAACAAACAACAAGAAATAAAACAGCACAGCTGCATGGAAGGAGGACTAATAAAAAGACGTAGTCATAAGACAACCAGATACGTCGAGAAGCCCACACAACCGCAAACATTAAGCACTCCTTAGGAGGCATGGTAAACCATCTTTGTTCAAGATATGCATTAGAGAGGATGGGGGTCGGTTGACCCATACTTCCAGGCTCATCCTCGAAATGGCAAGCATTGCCAAATGATCTACCGCTTGGTTGGCGGTTCTAGGAATCCACGTCCAAACGTAGGTCTGGAAGCAGTTCAAAACATCTCGAACATTACTTAGGATAGGATAGATTTCCCACCTTCCATTGGATAAGGGGCCCTTCAAAGGAGAGATTATTTCCTTGCAATCAGATTCAAAAGTTACTTGACGACAACCCATCTCAGCAACGAGCTTACAGCCTTCAAGACAAGCTTGTGCCTCAGCCTCAATAGCAGAGTTCGCCACTGATGGGATGGGTGAACCCTTGATAAAGTCTCCATAGGTGTTCCTAATTAGGATACCAATGCCAACTCTCTTTGAGTTTGGATTCCGCAATGCATCCACATTGACTTTGACAAAGGGAGAGGCATGGGGGTTCCAAAGATGTTACTGGTTGTCATTAGAGAGGGTAAGAGGCTCAGTTTGATGGCTGCCATGATCAAGGGAGCCAAGGAATTCATTGATGGCAATAGAGGCAGTGTGGGTAGTTCTAGCTGGTGAAGGGGAGATGTGTTCCAGCACTGCTTTGTACCCATCCTTCCAGATCTGCCAGCAGAAGTACACGATAACAGTTAGGCATCTCGATTACTCCTGTGGGGTCTTCCCTTTCTCAATAACATTCCTTAACCATTGGCCGAAAGATGTGACCGCCTGACGATTTATACGCAGGTTGAGGGAGCATCCGAACCAGACAAGCTCCACCCAAGGACAAAGGAGAAGGATGTGTTCAACCGTTTCCGGGTGATCATTATAGAGCGGACACATGGGCGTTCTAGCGATTTACTTTTTGTGCAAGTTTGCCGATGTAGCAAGGCAATTTCTGAGAGCTCGCCACAGGAAGTTTCAAATTTTTGGGGGGGACATCTGCTTTCCAAATCTGCTTCCAAAGCCTTGGATCAATCGCCATTGAAGAGGATGGGCGTGGATTTCTTCATCTACATTCAATATTGTGAAGCCAATGGTAACCAGAGCGCACAGAGTAAGATCCATTCCTTTCCATAGGCCAAATCAGTCGATCTGGCAGTGTGCTGCTACCGAACTTGATTCTTGTAATTGCACGGGCATCACTATTAGAAATGGCGTGCCTAATTAGGTCCAAGTTTCATTCATCAAGCTCCCTGTTAATAATAGCTTCAACTCGTAAGTTCTGATCAAGAGTTTCATTAGAATGTAGGCAAGGAGCACCATTTGGAGAGTTTGGAAGCCATCGGTCAACCCACAATCTAATATGTGCCCTGTTCATAACTTGCCAATGAGCACCACGAAGTAGGATATCCCTGCCCTCAAGCAAGCTTGCCCAAGCCCACGAAGTACGACCACTCTTCTTAGCTTCCAAAAAATTGACATTTGGGAAATATCTACCTTTAAGAACTTTAACCCACAGGGATTGAGGCTCCATCAAAATTCTCCAGCATTGCTTTGCGAGAAGAGCTAAGTTGAACTCGTGGAGGTTGCAAAAGCCCATTCCCCCCTCATGCTTAGGTTGTCCAAAGGTGTCCCAGTTGATCCAATGGAGCTTTCGATTATCTCCATTCTGCCCCCACCAGAAGCCCGCCAAAACATAATCAATTTCTTTGCAAATGGAGGTAGGGAATTTGAAGATATTCATGGGATAAGCTGGTACAGCAAGAGCCACCGATTTAATTAAGATTTCAAGGCCAGCTTGTGAAAGGCAATGTTGATTCCAGCCATGCACCTTTCGAAGAATTCGATCTTTCACATACACCAACGCTTCCTTCTTTGCTATGCCCTAAGAAGTGGGAAGACCCAGGTATTTCCCTGCATCAGTAACATCGGGCATGCCTAGGATTGCACACATTGAAGCACGGAGAGAGGAAGGGGTGTTGGAGCTGAAAACCACATTGGACTTGGTCAAGCTCACTTGTCGTCCAGAAGCAGCTTAATATGCTTGAAGGAGGCGAGAGATATTCTGACAATTTTGGGTGGTGGCTTTCGGGAATATGAGAGTATCATCTGCAAATAATATGTGGGATAGGGTAGGACCTCCAGAATTCAGCTTAATACCTTGTAACAAATCTATCTCACAAGCATTTTTTATTAGTAGGGACAAAACTTCACTAATAAAAAGAAATAAGTAAGGGGAGATTGGTCACCCTGTCGGATACCCCGGGATGGGGAGAAGGCACCACCCGGTTGGCCATTGATCACCACAGTGAAGTTTACTGTTGTTACACAGCGCATGACTAACTGAATCCACCCTGCATTAAACCCCATTTTTTGCATAATCTTCTCAAGAAAATCCCATTCCACGCGATCATAAGCCTTATTCATATCGAATTTCACTCCCATCTCAAACTTCTTCTTTGATTTCTTGAGTTTTAGAGCATGGAAAACTTCATGGGCTACCAAGATGTTATCCTGGATCTGTCGATCAAGAATAAATGCATTTTGAGTTGGGGAGATAATGCTGGGTAGGTGAGGCTTAAGACGGTTGGCTAGAATTTTGGAGAGGATCTTGTAGGAGAAGTTGCACAAGCTAATTGGCCTAAATTGGGAGACAACTTCAGGATTAGGAATCTTTGGAATAAGGACTATTTGCGTGGAGTTCAAAGGCTTTGGGATGGCTTGGCCAGTGAAAAAATCAGCAGTGAAGCCCTGAATATCATTGTGAATAATTCCCCAGTATTTGTGATAGAAAGTCCCATGAAAGCCATCAGGCCCTAGAGCTTTCGTGGCCCCCATCTGAAAAGCAGCATCTTTAATCTCCTCAAGTGTAATTGGCCTAGTCAAGTCTCTGTTCATGTCATCAGTTACCACTGGTTCAATACAATTCAGGATGAAATTCCAATCTCTGCTCCCACTTGAAGTAAACATCTCTTTGAAATACTCCTCAAAAGCCCTGCGAACTCCCTTCTGTGATTGCTCCCAGTTGCTATTTTCCCCTTTAATTCTCGTGATCTTGTTTTGTCTTCTTCTTTGGATAGTCGCCTGGTGAAAGTAAGAGGTATCGGAGTCGCCATTTTGCAGCCATTTGATTCTGGAGCGCTGCTGCCAGTAACACTCTTCTTTTCTTCATAGATCATTCAACTTAGCCTTAAGACGAGATATATTCTCTCTATTTTCCTCCCAGCTGTGTTGCATGAGGTTTAGTTGGTCCACTAGACTGTCTATTTCGATCTTGTTATTCTTGAATTTCCTTTTACTCCAATCGATAAGATGGTTCCGACAAATGTGCAAATTCTTCTGCCATTGCGACATCCATGGACCGTTGAGGCTACTACTCCACGCCCTTTCAATGACCTCTCTAAATTCTGGATCATCTGCCCATGAGGGTTCAAACTTAAATTGTCTTTTACCAAACTTCCCTTTTTGAGTCGTTGAGATAAAAATGAGGCAATGATCAGAACCAATTACTGGGCAATGTAAAACCGTGGTGTCTGGCCATCAAGTTTGCCAAGCTGCATTTGCTAGTCCCTAGTCGATTCTTTCTTGCACAAAGTGTGTGTTCCTTGTGCCTCTCCAAGTAAACCTCGGTCCACTAAACCCCAAGTCAATAAGCTCAGCCTTCGTGGCAAACTCAAGAAGATGTCGGGGTCTTGAGTGGGAAGCAGCAACACACCCCCCCCAGCCACCCCCAAAAAGTTGGTTTTTGCTCTCTGTATGGCATGCCATAAATCCAAGACACACGGAAGTAAGAACCATCGCTTAGACCATGCACCTTAGTATCAATCAGGTTTTCGAAACTAAAAGTAACATCCACATTTATGGACTCATCCCACCAAAGGCTAAGCCCTCCTGCTAAACCATTTGGGGGGGACATTATAACCATTTTAGAAGCCCATTCTGCGTCTTACAAGGTCAATTCTGCTGTTCTGCATTTTTGTTTCCATTAAGAATATAGCAGAGGGTCTATGTTTTTTTATGAACCCATGAAGGGCTCGAACCGTCAGGTCAGACCCTAGGCCTTGACAATTCCAGAGGAGGTAACTCATGGCTCCCGCGCTGCTGTTTCAGGCCAGCCGCCACCGCCCTGGGAGTCTCCTCCCACTTCATCTGTTGTTTGTTTTCTCACTCTCTCCCAATCTTCAGTTTCTGTAACCTTGACCTCCTAAAGCCTTTCCTCCGAAAATAGATTTCTTCTCAAAGCCTGACCTCTCCTACGATTTGTTCTTCCATAGGCCTTAATTGTCTTTCCTTTTGTCGACCCCGAGCTTTCTTCATGCTGGGAGCCTTTTGCCTTTTTATCAGGAGATTTGAAATTGCCAACCACTTCCGTTTCAGCAACCCTTTTAAGACCAATGCTAATGAACATGTTGTTTATCTGGCCCACCAGTATGGGGGAGTTTTGCTTTAGCTGGGGTCCAAAAGGGTTTGAGAGCACAGGTTCAAGCTGCAAATCACTTCCAAAACGCCCATCATCAAAACTGTCTTCTCTGTGGCTTGGGCCTGGTCTGGTCCAGTCAGTTATAAAAAAGGCTCCCTTTGTGATTTGGGCCTTCAGTAACTCCATTCTCTCTTCTTCCGAAATGGGGCCCTTTCTGCCTGCAGGTCTGATAAATTCTGAGGGCAGATTAATTTCTTCCAAGGTTACCGTGCTGTTGAAACTTCTTTCTGCTGCCTTCCCCAAAATCTGAGTTGTTTCTCCTTGATTCTTGCATGTCACGAATGCGTGTCTCGAGGGATTTACAGATCTGCTCAGAACGAGCTGATTTGTTGTGTCTCCAGTGGCCTGAGTTACCACGTGAGTCCCATCAGTTAGCAACGGGTGGATTCTTGAGCCGTGTGTCCTGAGGTGACTTGTCATCTCACAGGTTTGCTCGCGACTTTCAGATGCTATATCCTCCCTGATCTCACGCGCATGGTGCACGCGCCGCCCCCTTCCATTGGTACGTCTCTGATTTGGGTTGTTGTGGCCCTTCGCTCACCTTGCGGAACCGATATGGGTTTGGGTTGTTCATACAGCTCTCTGATAGCTCTGGCTCTCGTCCAAGTACCGTATCCCGCAGCTCCCTCCTCCGCTCTCTCTTTTGGGCACTCGGTGTTGCAGTGTCCCAGTCTGCCACAGTTATAGCAAAAATCAGATAGACGCTCGTACTGCAGTTCTGCCCAAGTTTTGGAGCCATCGCTGCGCGGGAGCCAAAAGCATGCCGGAAGGGGCTGGACGGTGTCTATTTCTATGTGAAGTAACTATGCAAAAACTGAATAAGTAAAATTACCAATGTTATTGTTGGAAGTCATATTTCCGTTTCCAGTATATGCTTCTCAGCATCAACTACACAAAAATTGACCCACAGTTTGCAGGAATTTTCCTTACGAACCAGATAATTCACTGCAAATCACCAACCATCCATAGAGCACCAATTGGTCACACTCAACGGAATTATTTGGAATGGAAAGTGGTAAATTAAAGCTGAAATTTCATGCCAACATCGACATTCAAAATTTATGAGGTAAACAATCCAGAATTCAACAACACCAACAAAACAAAATTCAGAAAGGAAAATGAATTCATAAGCAGGGAAACGATGTATGGGTTTGTTGTTGTGTGTGATAGAGTGTATTATGGTGTCCCAATGATATTTTTGGTAGTTAAATAAGGTCTAAACCCCATTTTATTTTGGGAGAGTGATCAAAATTTAACACAAGGGATTGGCTTCTTATGTGAGTGAGAAATCTTACATTCATGACTCTTTTAGCTTTGCTTTTGTGCTTTTGAGCTTTTGCCCAAATAAAAAGCGGAAGGGTTATTGAGAATTTTTTATTTTTTATTTTTGGGTACAATGGAGGACCAAAGCCCAAAAATCACTTTTTAATTTTGGTCCTCAACTCAAATCGGACAATAAAATTATCATTTGGGTCCCGGTTGTTTTTTTTTTCCGGATTTAGGTCCCGGTTGTTTGCGAGAACATATTATGAAGAAAGCATGCAATCACTTCCAATTTCACATAAGTTGTGGCTTTGAAACATCCCGGAGCCCATCTTGTGAAACATGCCATGTTTACATATAACCAACGAATTTTTGGACTTCCATGATTTTTAGATCGACCATTTTGGAAAGAATCTTGATGTAAGATGGAAGAGGGAGGAGGGATAGGATAATTGGCTTGCACCACAACTTGTAACAACATCACCATCACAAGCAATCTCATAATGTTTTCCTCCACACCTCTGTTCTCTTTGAATTTTTTTGTTATTTGGAAGTTGAAAATGAAGATGTAAGATCCGTTTCTTTGACTAAATATGATACTGTGTGCGTGTATCTCATAAATTCTCGACAAGCAAATGGTCCTCAGCAAGCTCGAAACATTTTGAGAAGGGCTATCATCAAACAGCATTATAGATATGGTAACAGTTGAGATGATCTTCAGAGGCTTAAACTTGTAAATGTGTGTGAACAATTTAGGTTGATCAAACATTTAGTAGACAATACACACCAGTAATCAGTAGGATCCTACCCACTTTAAAAATGTCTGCACTTCAGGAAAGCTTGAAAAGATCCTCATCATTCATGTCTTAATGTCTAAACATTTTAACATTTAACAAGTGATCGCCCTAATCACATAGACCTCAAGAAGTTATCTTTCTGACTCAAATAACTAATATGGTTATTATGATAAACTAAGAAAGCTATACTGCTGGCAAGCGAGCTAACAGTGTAGCAAAAACTGCATGCAGAGGATCTTATCGGGGGTCAATAACAGGCCAGTATACGGTATACCAATACATTAGTTGTGTAAATATAGATGCGGCAGAAATAAAATGCATCAGCAAAGTGGAATGTGCATAAGAGACATATGTACTATCATATAATGGTCATTCATGAATGACGTACACATGTTACATACAGAAGCAACAAGCAACAGGCTACAGCATGGGAATTTCCTATCTCAGCTTCCGAGGCTGGGCGACTGACTTCAATTGCTGGAACATTGAGGGAAATGACTTCAAAACAGATAATTATGAGGGAAATGACTTCAAAACAGATAGTCATTTCCCTCCTAATAACATACAGATGCAACACTATCAAGTAGGACTAAACCTAGTGTACAGTAGAAAAAGCATACCAGTTAGAACAACTCATTCGGAAGATTCAAGAGCTAGCCTTTTATGCTTCTCATTTGGGGATTTGCATCTAATAATTGCTTCACAACATCTCTCATCGTTGGCCTCTTTCTAGGATCTTTATCAGTACATCTGAATGCCACCATAAGCACATCGACAACTTGGTCCATAATACTTGAATCCAGAAATTCCTCCTTAAGGCTTGAATCAACAATTTGATCAATTTCTTCTGTGTTGCTCCACACTGACCTAACCCATCCTACAATGTCAGTTTGCCCCACAAATGATGGATCCAATGCCCTTTTTCTAGTTATCAGCTCAAGTAGAACAACCCCATAACTGTACACATCAGATTCCACGCTCTTTGCTGGTCTAAACGCATTTTCTGTCACAAAATATGCCAAATACTTTAGTTCATTGTACACCTGAATATAGAAACATTGTTGATGAAAATGAAACTAGAAGAATTACCTGGTGCAATATATCCAGTTGTTCCCACAACTGCAATGGACGTCGTTGATGCAGAAGACTGATCCAGAAGTTTAGCAATACCAAAATCAGCAATATGAGGCTCCATATCAGCGTCTAAGAGGATGTTCATTGGTTTGACATCTCGATGAACTATAGGGGGGTCACAATCATAATGGAGATACTCCAGCCCGTATGCAGTTCCAAGTGCTATCATATAGCGGACACTCCACTCAAGAGTTGGTGGGGGTTTAATTTCATGCAAAACATCATGAAGGCTCCCATTTTGCATGTACCTATACAAGATTAAACCGTGGTCCTTTCTTAACCAGAAGTCTTCCAATTTAACCAGATTCCGATGCCTAATCGTCCCGAGCGTTTGAATTTCTCTAACCATGCTCAAACGCGTTCCTTCATGCCCCGCAAATAGAAGCTTCTTGACAGCATAATCTCTGTCTGGAGCCAAAGAGGCCTTATAGACAGTTCCATGGGATCCTTTCCCAATGATATACTGACCATTAAGGTTTGCTGTAGCCTCCAATACTTTGTTGAGTAAGGCAGATGGCCCCTCTTGAGCAGAGATCTCAAGTTCCTGCTTTGTCTTTTTGCGCAAGAGAAACATATAAACTAGTACATAAAGCACAAAAACAACGAATAATGAAGAAGCCAGGGATATAAATGCAATTGCCACTTTACTAAGGCCTCTATGCTTGCTTGATTGACTGTTGCATGGCTTAAAACTGTTGTTTCTTCTTGCACAAGTTGAACCACATGATGGAAGGTAATTGACACATAGGTAGGGATTGCCCAAAAATGATAATGGGGATGAGCTCAAAAGATTCATCAATGTCTCTGGTACTGCACCTGTGAAGTTATTGTCTGAAACATCAACCTCAATCAATGAATTCATATAATCAAGAGCTTTTAAAGTCCCTGTCAAATTGTTATGAGATAGATCTAGTCGTTGTAGTCTTGCCAACTTCCCCAGCTCTGAAGGAATCGGACCTGTCAATGCATTATTGCTGAGATTCAATGCATAAAACATACTAACCAATGCTCCAATTGATGAGGGAATGGCACCTCCCAAAAAATTTCCACCAAGTTGTAGCTCTAAAAGCTTTTCAAACTCCGACAAGAAAGATGGAACACCGCCAGTAAAACTGTTGTCACTTAAAATCAGCGTTGATAAACCTGTCCAACTTCTCAAACTCGATGGAATGGAGCCATTCAACAAATTTGATCCCACATCAAACTTATTCATTTTGGTACAATTTGATAGGTGAGGAGGCAGAGGACCAACCAAATTGTTTTTGAAAAGAATCAAAGAACCAAGTTCTGCAAGACTCCCTAGCTCCTGGGGTATAACTCCTGTTAAATTGTTCATGGACAAATTGATGGCTGTGAGATTGCTACAGTTTCCCAAGGTTGATGGAATTTCTCCACTAATCTCATTGTTGCTGATGTCCATATATGAAAGGCTTGAATTTTTTGCAAACTGTGGAAGAACCCCAATGAGGTTGTTCTGTTCCAGTTTCAACCTCCAAAGAGTAGAGCAATTTCCAACATCTGAAGGTATGGTGCCTTGAAATCGATTGAAACCCAGATTCAACACTCTTAAATGCTTTCCATGGCAAAGATTTGGAGGGATTTTACCAGTGAACTTGTTATTGGTAAAATCTAACTGCCACAAACTGCTGTTAATCCCTAAACTTTGAGGTATAACTCCAAAAAATAGGTTGTTGTACAATGATATATTTTTTAGTTGCTTCAGCTCAGTCATCACTACAGGCAGCTCCCCAGTGAGGCTATTATTGTACACAAGGATATGCTGAAGACTTTGAATCTTCCATATGCTAACTGGAATTTCACCAGTTAACCGGTTCTCAAATAATTCAAGGTCCTCTAATTGAGTCAGCATTCCCAATTCACCAGGAATTTCTCCCACTAGTTGGTTCTTATACAAGCGTAGTATCTTCAAGGATTCACACTTGCCAAGTTCAGGAGGTATTTTTCCAGACAAATGATTTAGAGGAAGGTACAGTTCCGAAAGGTACTTGAGTTGGCCAAAGGAAGATGGAATAGTACCCTCTAAGTTGCTACCCACAGCAGAAAATTGTGTTAAATTACTACAATTTCCAAGTCCTGGTGGAAGGCCTCCACTGAACTTATTGTATGACAAATCCAAGTAAATTAAATTCTTGCAAGTACCTGAACCCAAAGGAATGCTACCCTCAAGACTATTGTTAGCTACATCTAGATATGCCAGATTATCAAGGCTGTTTAGACTCTTAGGAAGCTCTCCTGTCAACTGGTTGTGACCCAAAAACAACTCCTGCAATTTACTACAGTTTCCAATGGATGAAGGAATCACTCCTGAAAACTGATTCTCATACAAATACAGATGCACAAGCTCACTCATATTCCCAATATTTCCAGAGATGGAACCATTTAAACTGTTAGTATACAGATGTACATAAGCTAAGGCAGGAATTGCAAACAAGGATTCAGGTATTGCACCAGAAAAGCCATTTTTATACAAGTCCAAGTTTTCAAGAAGACTACAATTGGCCAATTCTTTTGGGATTTTGCCAGAAAAATTGTTGACACTCAAATCAAGAGTCTGCAAGTGCCTAAAGCTGCCAACTTCAGGTCCCAATTGACCAGAAATTCCATAACCAGTGAGGTTCAAGGTAACCACATTGTGGGCATTGTCACATTCTATTCCAACCCATTGGCATGGAGTGGCATCAGAAGCACTCCAGCTTGAGGATATGGAAGAAGGGACAGAGGTCCAATGCTTGGAGAGTGACAACAAAGCCAACCCATCAGAGCTCAAACCAGATACAGTAGATATGGACACAGAGAAACACAGCAACAGCAACAAGAAGAAGAAATTGAACAGATAAAGCTGCATGCTTTCTAGTTAGTTGAAGAAAATTACTTGGTAGAGATATATGAGCTTTGCTGTCAACAGTGCATCGCTAGCTGCTTTGAGCTCACAGGAAAACCCAGCATGCAGATTGAACTTGCGTCTGTCTGAAATGAGTTGGAAACAGAGTTGAAAATGTTGAGAGAGAGAGAGAGAGAGACAGAGAGAATGGATATGTTGGGTTGGCATGTCGGTTTGGGCTTAAATAAAGGATTTGAGCAGTGTGTATTGTGCTGCTGAGGCTAACCCATAGAACCCAAAAAAAGAAGGAATAAAGTAAATTAACACTACGCGGTCTGTGGTCTCTGACTGTCTGCCACGTTTTGTAGGACTTTCTCTATCCTAGAGGTGAGAGAGCGACTTGAGTCATATTTATACTGACAAAACCAAAAAGATAAAGACTCTTTCTTTCTTGTTTTGCTGTGTGAACAGAAGATTTCTTTCTTCCTTTCTTTTTTTAATAAGTCCACAAAAGATAATAACTTAACTGAAATTATATATTATATGGAAGGTTGCAATTGTATCGTTTTTTATTGGATTATAATTTATATGTCCCCCAGCAGCACCTACTTGGTCTAAATCAGTGGGCCGTTTTCACACACAACATGCTGTAAGCAGAACATGCTTTCCACAGCCTTTTGACCACAATATATTTATTGACACTCCCTCCCCTTTGGTTTTGTTCCAAGGCAAAGCAGGAGGTTTGCATTGCAATTTGCATGCTTTGCCATAAACATCGCCATAAAATAATCTCTTGGAATTGTTGTATAAATTATAGAAGCCTGTAATTCAATGTGAAAAGCGGGTATGGACTTCGTCCTGTCCACACGTGGAGTGCCAAGTTCCAAGTAACCATAGATTATATGCTATGACTCCACACGGCCATACCAACAATGTTTTTCCTTTTTTTAAAAAAAAAACTTAGTGCAGTGGTCAAGATCAAGAAGGTTATGTGCTCATTTTTTTTATATAAAAAAAACTATACATTATGTGCATGCAGGTTGATTTTGTCCGTCAATGTATTGTAAACCATATATGTATAAACGGTGAAAATAAATTCACAGGTAATAATTTCATTACTAAGATTTATCTGGGCGTGAACAACTAATCATACCAGTCTTCTTCCTACTTATAACAAGGCCCTACTTCAATTCTCTATTCTGACTTCACAGGGTAAAAATAAAAAAAAAAAAAAAAAAGTTTAGGTAGCCATAAAAAAATAAATTTAGGTGTGTATGCATACAGCAGCTGGAGATTCAGCCTTTTTTGTCAAAGAAATACTGGGTGGTGGAGCCTACGGACCATGACTACTCAATAACATAGATGGTGATACGGTGGGGTTTTTATGTATAGAATTAATTTAGCTTGTGGTCCATATGGGTACGCAAATAAATATAGGAGGTCAATTATTTGTGTTATAAATTAAATAAGACGAAAGGGCTTACCAATAATTTTGATATATTCTTCCTTTTTATGATAGTGAAGTAGATGATATTAGGTTTGGTGGGCCAAGTTGTAATGGGAAGCAAGGAAAAAGAAAACACAGCTTTCCCTCTGCCCTCCTCCTGCCTCTACTTTTAGCATGGCCTACGGAATATTTCAATTATAAGAAAAAATAATTATGAGACTGATCTTATATTATTGTATGTTGATAGCTGATGTTATCCTATTAAAGTATCTGGCAAAAGAATCATGTCTTAAATAATATTTTGGAAAATAAATATTTTGTTACCCTCTTGTATCCTTCTAAGCAAAAGCTATGAAGTTTATGTTGTAAACTTGTACTATTGGAAACACCAATGGAAGTGTTTATGTTTAGTTCTTAGTAGTTCTAATTGAGTAAGTTAATGAGTTTGACTTAATTGAGTAAACTTGTATTGGCGGACCTATGCAGGTGCAAGGAGGTACACCTGCATCTCCGGTCGCCAGAAATCTCCATTAAAGCTGCTGGAGTTGCACCTCTGCTCTAGTTGCTGTTGCACTCCAAGTGTTTGAAAAAAAGCTTAAGCAAACTTGCTGGGTTTCTTTCTTTTGCTGCATGCACATCACAGTTGCTGTCCTTCTGTTTTTTAAGTTATGAGCAAAACAGCGTCATGTTGCCCCAAAAAAAAAGAGGAATAAACATGTGAGTGCGACTGCAATTCCTACATGCTATTTAGTATATGATAAATCAATTGGGTCATTGGATGAAAAACGAATTGGGCCTTAAATAAGGATTGTCATTGCATAAATTTGTGGGGCTGCAATATTAATTGTCTATCAAGTCTGCAACGTTAATATCGATCAAGTATGTATAAAATTGTATTATTTAAGAAAAAGAAAAAAAGAAACCAAGTTTGTATAAAATATTGTCATTGTTTTCATGATATGAAAGCTCGTGGTGAACAATTGTAACTTAATTGTAATGTAATATTTTTTTTCTAATGAATTACATAGTATTTTGTTCTTCAAATTAGTAAATTGTTCAATTTTTTTTTTTTTTTTTTTTTTTTTTTTTTTAGCATTTTTTAATTTAAATTGCCCTTTCCCTAAAAAATTATTGGGTCCGCCAGTGTATACAACATCATACGAAATCTCTTTATCTTTTACAATGATGAAACTGAATGGTTAAGGTTTTGTTTCCTTCTTGAAGATGGAAAAGAACTTTCCCATTACTTGGGAACGAAGTTATAACTTGAACTTTAAATTTTTTGTTTAAAAATAGCATGTGGTAGTTGGGTTTTGGTCAAGTCCATTGGTAGTTAGGGTTGAGAAGTGAAAAGACAAAATGATAGTAGGTGAGATGGAAAAGTTTGCTTAGGAAATTTGTGCAATGGAAGATCCTGAATTTGAGACTTTCTACACCAAAAATATTCTCTTAAACGAAAGTATTCATACTTGGCGGTTCAAGATCAGCTTCATGAAAGTCCATTGGTAGTTAAGGTTGAGAAGTGAAAAGACAAAATGATAATAGGTGAGATGGAAATGTTTGCTTTAAAATGGCAAAGTTGGTTTCTCGGATTCTCACCCCCAAGCAATTTTCTTTTTCTTTTTTCCTTGACTTCATACGTCTCATGCATAAAAATAAGATTGTATTTTTTTTTTCCAACTTTTTATGGAATCTTAATTACGCAAAAATAATTCCCATTATCTTTCCTTGAGTAAATATTACGTCTATTGCAGTTTGGCACACAAGTCATCAAATAAGACCCCCCTTCACTCTTTTCCGTGCACATATTAAGAAACACATACAAAAGTGTAAAGGCAAATATCCAAATCAATGACTAGTGACAAGATCAAGAGCACCGTATGAGGTCAACCAGGGCATGCAGAAAGTGAACCAAGAATTGAAAAGTAGCACCGTATGGAACATTAAACTCACTTCTTTCTTCTTCTTTTCACTTTTCCATGTTCTTCACAACCTATATTTTTCATTTACAATTAATCAGTGTCACCCCCAACGACCAATGATATGTTGGGTTGGCTTGTCTGTCGGTTTGGGCTTAAATAAGCAAAAAAACTTTACCTATAACAAGCTGACTAATGATACAATAACACACGGAAAAGTTATCTTACATGTCATTGTATTATTAAGATAATAAAAAAGTGTTATTCGCCTAATATGAAAGTGTTTTAACATAGCTTAATATTGTGTTGCTGAGGATAATATGGTTACTTGAAGCTTGCCACTGCACGTGCGGACAGGACAAATTACAGGGCTTCTATTATACAAATTTTCTATATTTCTAAGATATAATTTCTGCTTTATTTTATGGCAATGACTACACATAGCAGTACCTCTTTTTTTCTTTTCTTTTTTGGAAAGTGAGAAGAATGAGATGCAACATGAGGACTTTTTAGAAAGTTACCCTAGTATTACTTTTGTCCAAACTCGCTTAACCTCTTTTTTTATTTAGTTTGAGGTCATATCAACATTATAAATACAAGAAATCCTTAACTACTACGTGTGTGCAGTTTGATTTGATCCCTTGATGCATTGTAAATGTTACATATATGAAAGGGAAAAATCAACTCACGCGTGTGTGCGATTAATCATAACAATTTGTTAACTAGTCATAATTAACTTCATGTATATCAACGGTTAATTAACATCAATCCGCGCGTGCACGAATGATCATTCCATTCTTCTTCCTACTAATGATCAGGCCCTACTTTATTTATTTATTATCATTATTTTTCTTTTTTGGGAATAATGAAGCCCTACTTGAATGCATGAGTTCTGACTTTGCGGGGAGTAAATAAATGAATCAGAGTAGTTGGGTGTGTATACATACGGGCTACATCAGCTGGAGCTTCAGCCTTTTGTGAAAGAAATACTCCCGACCATGACTACTCAATAACAAATTTGAGGGGTTTGTTTTTGTATCTAGAATTAATTTCGCTTGTGGTCCACATGGGTCCATATTTCGTGTTATAAAATTTAAATAAGACGAAAGGGCTTACCAATAATTCGATATGTTCTTCATGTTTATGATAACTATTAAAAAGCACAAGTATTCTATAAGTGTATGTTGACAACTGATGTTATCTTAGAGTATCTACAAAAGAGAGATTTTATTTTCCCTGAACGCATCTCACGAGGCTTACGAGTATCTGAGCAATTCTTCATGTTGCTTTTACAGAACTCCCCTCTTGTATCATCAAACCGTCACCCATTAATACAACACCAACATTATTTGATTCCAAATTCAGAGCAAAGCCTATCACACCCTCTTCAAATTCTACTAATTCACCTGCCATTACTTCATCAAGACCATAAATACGAGCGATGCCATCTCCTACTTGAAGTACAATACCGGTATTTAAAACCTTTACTTCTCTATTATATTGCTCAATATGTTCACGGATAATATTACTAATTTCATCATATAAAATAAATCAGGGATTCATTTTTTAAAAAGAAGCTTATATGACATCATATATATACAAAGTTTCTTTTATATTTAAAATGATGAAACCGAGTAAACAAAACTTTCGTTTTCTTCTTTGAAGATAGAGAAGAAACTTGGCACAAGTTAGGAACAAATCAAAGCTACTTATAAAAATAAATAAATAAAACCTTTTGGGGTTGGGTTGAGGCTAGTGAAATAGTAGGTGAGATGGAAAAGTTTGCATTGAAAATGGCAAAGTTAGTTTGTTGGATTCTGACCCTCAAGCAATTTCTTGTGTTTGAAAACACAATTTTGACTTCATACATCTCATGCATTCATAATTACGTGAACCAAAAGAGCAGCTGCAATCTGACCTCCTCAAATGAATAGCTTTGTCATTTTGTATTGGAAAATCCTCAAATGAATAGATTTTCATGATTTTCAGGCTGACCATTTCGAAAAGAATCACGATGTAAGATGGAGGAGGGATAAGATGATTACCTTGCACCACAAGCAACCTCATAATATTTTTCTCCACGGCTCTGTTCTATTTGAATGTTCTTGTTATTTGGAAGTTGAATATGAATTCAAGATTTATAAGGTAAATGCCCCTTTATCCAAGAGAAAAAAGAACCAAAGTATTGGATAATTTAGCATATGGGTAAAATGATTTGTAAGTTTAACATTTGAAGGACCAAAAAAGATAGTCTCAAAAAGATCTCGAGTATCTTTCAATTTGCTCACGTTCATATCTCTTGGCATTGCTTTTAAGCTTTTGATACTAAAACTTGACTCTATGTTTTTATGGTGATACAACGGAAGATCTGTTCCTTTGCTACATACACTAGGACTAAACTAGAGCAGAAAACAGATACCAATTAGAACAAACCATTACGAGGATTCAATATCCTTCTTTTTCTCACTTGGGGATTTGCATCTAATAATTGCTGGATAACATCTCTCATCGTCGGTCGCTTTCTAGGATTTTTATCAGTACATCTGAAAGCCACCATAAGCACATCCACAACTTGGTTGATTATATTTGAATGCGGGAGTTCCTCCTTAAGGCTTGAATCAACGATCTGATCAATGTCTTCTGCGTTGCTCCACGCTGACCTAGCCCATTCCACAATGTCAGTTTGCTCCCCAAATGCTGGATCCAGTGCCTTCTTTCTAGTTATCAGCTCAAGTAAAACAACCCCATAACTGTACACATCAGATTCCACGCTCGTTGATGGTCTAGAAGCATTTTCTGTCACAAAACATGGCAGATACTTTAGTTCATTGTATACATGAATATAGAAACATTGCTGCTGAAAATGAAACTAGAACCAATACCTGGTGCAATATATCCAGTTGTACCCACAACTGCAGCGGACTCCATTGATGCAGAAGACTGATCCAAAAGTTTAGCAATACCAAAATCAGCGACATGAGGCTCCATATCAGAGTCTAAGAGAATGTTCATTGGTTTTACATCTCGATGAACTATACAGGGATCACAATCAAAATGGAGATACTCCAAACCGTATGCAGTTCCAAGTGCTATCCTGTAGCGGACACTCCACTCAAGAGTTGGTGGGGGTTTAATTTCATGTAGAGCATCATGAAGGCTCCCATTTTCCATGTACCTGTACAAGATTAAACCGTGGTCCTTTCTCAACCAGAAGTCTTCCAATTTAACTAGATTTCGATGCCTTATCATCCCCAGGGTTTGAATTTCTCTAACCATGCTTGAACGCGTTCCTTCATGCCCTGCAAATACAAGCTTCTTGACAGCATAATCTTTGTCTGGAGCCAAAGAGGCCTTATAGACAGTTCCATGGGCTCCTTTCCCAATGATATATTGATCATTAAGATTTTCTGTGGCCTCCATTACTTCCTTGAGTAGGGAAGACAGCCTGTCTTGAGCAGAGACCTCAACTTCCTGCTCGGTCTTTTTGCGTAAGAGGAACATATAAACCAGTCCATAAAGCACAAAAACAATGAATAATGAAGACCCCAGGGCTGTAAATGCAATTTCCACTTTACTAAGGCCTTTATGATTGCTTAATTGATGGTTGCACAGCTTAAAACTGTTGTTTCTTCCACAAGTTGAGCCACATAATGGAAGGTAACTGACACATAGGTAGGGATTGCCCAAAAATGATAATGAAGATGAGTTCAACAGCTTCATCAACATCTCTGGTACTGAACCTGTGAAGTTATTGTCTGAAACATCCACCTCAGTCAATGAAATCATATGATCAAGAGCTTTTAAAGTCCCTGTCAAATTGTTATGAGATAGATCAAGTTGTTGTAGGCTTGTCAACTTCCCAAGCTCTGAAGGAATCCGACCTGTCAATGCATTATTGCTAAGATTCAATGCATACGATAGACTAACCAATGCTCCGATTGATGAGGGAATCGCACCTGCAAACAAATTTCCACCAAGTCGTAGCTCTATAAGTTTTTCAAACTCTGCAAAGAAACGTGGAATTTCTCCGGTAAAACTGTTGTCACTTAAAATCAGTGTTGATAAACCTGTCCAACTTCTCAAACTCGATGGAATGGAACCATTCAACAAATTTGATCCCACATCAAACTTATCCATTTTGGTACACTTTGAAAGCTCAGGAGGTAGAGGACCAACCAAATTGTTCTCGAAAAGAATCAAAGAACGAAGTTCTTCAAGATTCCCTAGCTCCTGGGGTATACCTCCTGTTAACTTGTTTATGGACAAATTGATGGTTGTGAGATTGCTACAGTTTCCCAAGATAGATGGGATTTCTCCACTAATCTCATTGTTGCTGATGTCCATATATAAAAGTCTTGAATTTTTTGCAAACTGTGGTAGAACCCCAATGAGGTTATTGTGTCCCAGTTTCAACCTGCTTAGACTAGAGCAATTTCCAACATCAGAAGGTATGGTGCCTTGAATTCGATTGAAACCCAGATTCAACTTCCATAACTGCTTTCCATGGCAAAGACTTGGAGGGATTTTACCAGTGAACTTATTATTGGTAAAATCTAACAGCCACAAACTGCTGTTAATCCCCAAAGTTTGAGGTATAACTCCAAAAAACAGGTTGTTGAACAATGATATATTTTTTAGCTGCTTCAACTCAGTCATCACTACGGGCAATTCCCCAATGAGGCTATTATTGTACACAAGGATATGCTGAAGACTTTGAATCTTCCATATGCTAACTGGAATTTCACCAGTTAACCGGTTCTCAAATAATTTAAGGTCCTCTAATTGAGTCAGCATCCCCAATTCACCAGGAATTTCTCCCACTAGTTGGTTTGTATACAAGTGTAGTTCCTTCAAGGATTCACACTTGCCAAGTTCCGGAGGTATTTTACCAGACAAATGATTTAGAGGAAGGTATAGGATTGAAAGGTACTTGAGTTGGCCAAAGGAAGATGGAATAGTCCCCTCTAAATTGCTACCCACAGCAAAAAATTGTGTTAAATTACTACAATTTCCAAGTCCTGGTGGAATACCTCCACTAAACTTATTGTATGACAAATCCAAGTAAATTAAATTCTTGCAAGTACCTGAACCCAAGGGGATGCTACCCTCAAGACTATTGTTAGCCACATCTAGATATACCAGGTTCTCAAGCTTGTTCAGACTCTTAGGAAGTTCTCCTATCAACTGGTTCTCAGCCAAATACAAGTCCTCCAATTTACTACAGTTTCCAATGGATGAAGGAATCACTCCTGAAAACTGATTCTCATATAAATCCAGATGCACAAGCTCACTCAGATTCCCAACATTTCCAGGGATGGAACCATTCAAACGGTTACCATACAGATGTACATAAGCTAAGGTAGGAATTGCAAACAAGGATTCAGGAATTTCACCAGAAAAGCCATTTTCATACAAGTCCAAGTTTTCAAGAAGACTACAATTGGCCAATTCTGTTGGAATTTTGCCAGAAAATTTGTTCACACTCAAATCAAGAATCTTCAAGTACCTAAATCTGCTAATTTCAAGTCCCAATTGACCAGAAATTCCATAACCAGTGAGCTTCAGGGAAACCACATTGTGGTCATTATCACATTCTATCCCAACCCATTGGCAGGGAGTGGAATCAGAAGCATTCCAGCTTGAGGATATGGAAGCAGGGACAGAGGTCCAACGCTTGGAGAGTGACAACAATGCCACCCCATCAGAGTTCAAACTAGATATAGTGGATATGGACACAGAGAAGCACAACAACAACAGCAACAAATTGAACAGATAAATCTGCATGCTTTCTAATGAGTTGAAGAAAATCACTCGGTAAAGATATGAGCTTTACTGTCAGCAATACAAAGCCAGCTGCTGTAAGCTCTCAAGAAGACCCAGCATGCAGATTGAACTTGCCTTTGCAAAGTCTGAAATGAGTTGGAAGCAAAGTGGAAAATGTAGTGCGAGAGAGAGTGGGTATGTTGGGTTGGCTTCTCAGTTTGTGCTTCAATAAGAGATTGGAGCAGACTTTTATTGTGTTGTTGAGGTTCAGAGAAGACGTTTATTGTGTTGCTGAGGTTGAGAGCAGACTTTATTGTGTTGCTGAGGTTGAGAGCAGACTTTTATTGTGTTGCTGAGGTTGATCCATATAACTAAAATATTTCTATTGGATTATATGCCCCCAGCATCTATTTGGTGTAAGTCAGTGGGCCCTTATTTGTAGTGGGAAGCAAGCAACTCCCAAGAAAGGAGAAAATCAGGGTTATTTTTATTTTTCTTTTGGTGAATGGGTTGGGTAATCCAAAAGAAGGGTGGTTTAAAAGAAACATAAATTTCATAGATAGCACAAGTATTCCATTTTAATATTGTACGTTGACAGATCATGTTTTAAATTATATTTGGGAAATAAATAGGGCTTCTTAGATCTAGATTCAAAACGATTAGTTGTCATTGGATTTAGTCCACGCGTTTTTTATCTTAGATGTAAGTCTTTTGACATTACTTTTTTTGTTGTGTCAATTTTATCCTTTGATGTACATAAGGAAAACACATTGAAAATCTAAATTTAATGCATTATTTCCTTGTAATTGAATTCTCAGTTTGTGCTTCATCTTTTTTTTTCTTTTTTTTTTCATTCGCTAGGGAGGATAGAAGGAGTATTATATTGGATTGTCTTAAGATTGTCTCCTACGTGAATCTCAGTTTGTGCTTCATCTTTTTTTTTCTTTTCTTTTTTTCATTCGCTAGGGAGGATAGAAGGAGTATTATATTGGATTGTCTTAAGATTGTCTCCTACGTGAATCGAACCCGTGTACACTTGTGGGGTAGAGGGAGAGTTTGACTCACTTTTCCACTAATGCTGCGAAATAAATGGTATATACACATCTCATGAGATGAGATTATTTAAAATAAAGCTCCATTTAGATAAGAAGAAGAGCTTATATGACATCAGAAAAGATTTATTTTTTCTGTAAAATGACAAAACAACGAGCCTCTTCTGTTTATTCTTTGAAGATGGAAAGGAACTTCCGCACCAATTGTTTATTCTTTGAAGATGGAAAGTCAAGATTTGAAAATTGGTTTAAAAATAAAATACCAAGTGACTAATTTATTTTTATTTTTTATACCATTGGTTGTTGAGATTAAGACTTCCAAGTGGAAAAAGAAAATTATAGTAGGTGAGATAAAAAAGTTTGTTTCAAATGGCAAAGGTGGTTTATTGGATTAAGCTTTTTTATTTTTATTTTTTTGAAAACACAATCTTGACTTCATACATCTCGTGCATAAGATAGGATTGTAATTTTGCAACTTTTTATGGAATCTTATGAACGCAAAAGAGTATCCTTATTTTTCCTTAACCAATGTTTCGTGTATTGCCAATTGGGCAACAATCCCACTGTTTTTTCAAGAAAAATAACACCCCTTCACTCTATTTCGTGAACATCTAACAAACACATACAGAAGTGCAAAAGAATATTTGCAAAAGCAAAGAGACAAATCAACGGCTATGTCCAAGATAAAGGGAACCATAGGGAATGCAGAAAGTGAACCAAGAATTGCAAAACTATTTCAAAATGTTTTTCTTTTTATTTTCACTTTCCAAGTTAATTATTATTCACAACCTATATTTCATTTCACTTACAAAGCAATTAATGTCACCCCAAGGACCCATGAATAGTTCAATCATATTTTGCTTCAAACTTCTAATACCAAAGTATTGTCATGATCCGTTTCCAAATTCCTCTTGTTGATAAATGTCAAAAATTTATTAATCCTTAGGCGGCTTGATGATGGTGAATCAAAACCTCCATACATAAGGTGTGTCTGACAGTAACCTTGCCTAGTGAAGTAATATTACCTGAAACAAAAGAGCAGCTGCAGACACCTGACCTCCTCATATGAATAGAGCTTTGTCATTTTGTATTGGAAAATCCTGTATATAAACCACACAGCATATAATACCCAACATCTTCTCAAAATTTATGCGTCCAACATCTTGAATGTTAAAAACAGCATTACTAGCACCTCGCTTAAACGATGACCTATGACTAATCTAAGATTATAGTATGTCGTGGTGATGGAAATGACAATGGTTATGGAAAGGAAAGCATGATAATGGTGTGATTTCCTAAGTTTCCACATCCTAAAAAAAGTTATGTCATGACAGAGAACCGGGAACCACCTTCAGATGAACTGTTGATACAAGTGATCACTCAAACCTATGTAAAAAAAAAATTGTAAGATAGAAAGATGCCTAAATAGATGGCCATTCCTAATTTTGATGTGCAGCAATTTAATATGAAGCAAAACAAACGCAATCCAACAGATCTGCAGACCCATGCACCACTCATCCTACAGATGATAACAATATTTATGCCCCTAATATCCAGGCATTAACACATACTTCTGAAAAATGCATGTCAAAAATACGTTATAACATGGACAAATGTTATGTTCATGATGCCACTATGTGCATTCATTCACATGAGGAGAGATGCTAATGCTGATGACGTGAGGATGAAATGGATGCATGCAACAGCTGCAAGATGCATCCTATCATGTGGTTGGTTGTATTTGTCGGTAGCATAAAAAACAGAGTACATCCCCTTCAAGCTACTGGTATGTCATAGCCGGTGGAGCTCCATTGGCAGCAGGGACAGCACCAGGGTGGTTCCCATCCTTCCTTTTCCCAAATGGGTTCTTCGAATATGTATTTATAGGTCAAGGAAAAACACATAAATTACGAATCATAAAAAGGAACATGGACAAGTTACAAGCAACATATATTTATCATCCAGTGAAGTGGATCAGACTATATATTTGGAACTGTTAAGAGAAAATAAATGTTGTTGAGAACACCAATTAGCCATTCATATATTAGCAAATTAGATATATCTATGGTATACCAGAGAAAAAGAAATATCACCGTGCTCTACATGCAAACCCTTTACATAAATATCTCTAAGGTTAACATTAAGAAATCGCACACACGACAAACAGCAAATGCAATTCACGAGACTATAAAGTAAGTGAGCATACATGATGACTTTTGCACGCCACTAAACCAGAAATACCATACATCTGGGAACCAAGATGAAAAATTAAAGCTACTTCTGTTCCAACAAATACCACATAAATGAAAAGCAAGAACCTGATGCATTGGACTCGCCAACATTAGATTTAATAACCTACGATGGCAACGTTCTGGGTTTTGATGGGTTGAAAGGTAGGGTATTTGAGAATGTGATGGGAGTTATCTTTCTCTGTTATTTTGTAAGATTGGAAAGCACTTGTAGTTCTACTTTCCGAGGATTGAATTCTTTCTGTAGGTTGCACATTTAGTTTTCTTCCAGTAGTGCACTCCTTATTCACTAATTTTGCACCGCTTCACCTTTATTTCTAATGAATGGTTCTGTTTCTTACCCAAAAAAAAATTCATCCTAGATAACAATGTTCTGAAATGGTTAAAGGTCACTTGAGTGATTAGCATTTAGCAACTAGTCAGGGCGGTGCCTTCAAGAGAGTCTAGTACCCAGGTAGCACACATTGTAACTATGCTAACCAGTGCTTGCAGAGTGCAATTAATATATAAAAGTTCAAAAAGAAAAAACAAAAGATCAGCCATAACAAAACTTTAAAAGGATATTGTATTCTCATGCCTACAGAGCCCGAACTGGGGATAACAGCACCCTGCAAACTGTGGTGTACATTGGAGGCACTGTTTACATCCTGCACATATTATGTGGAAAATCCTTTTAGAAAATATAGAAAAAGGGCAGGTACTCAAAATACATATCTCAACATGAAAGGTTAATGACCAATGCATAACTGCTGAATAACCATTACTCACTTCAAACTCAATGAAGCAAACAGTATGCCTTTCTTGTCTCAAGACCTTCATTTGCTTAAATCCAGGTTGTCTGCAAGACCAAAAATCATGAAATAAACAAAAGATTATCCAATTTAGTGGACATCTTTACTGTGAAACAAAGAGATGAAACACATTGCAAGATAAGCAGGGATGAGATGTTCATACGAGTTGAAAAGGCCCCTCAGTTCTTCCTCATTAATGCTCTCTCCAAGATTGCCAATAAATAAGGTATTGCACGGTGGGTTATCTTTTGTATTCTGCAGGAATCACAAGAAGCATCACAAAAAAAAGAACAAATTATGGGCTTCCTACCACATCACTCATCATGAAAAGCCAACATTCAGAAAAAATAAATAAATAAAAATAAAAAAATAAAAATTTTGACAGATCTGAAACAACAAAATTACAGCAAACATGAAGAAAGAAATTAGGAAACACAAACAAAATAAGCTACATAACACTAACATTAACTAAGAAAAATTCTTTGAATTTTAAGTACAATAATATGAATAAACATATGGCACAGTGGAGTACCAGAACAGGTACATAACTACTAGGTGCTGGTACAGGAGCAGAAGGGGGCATTGGTACTGGAGGAACAGGATAACCACCATATGGATCATATGGAGGAGGTGGTGGAGCCATATACCTGGGCCACATAAGCAACATTCACATGAGAAAATGTGATGTATCTGGAAAGGGAAATATATGATCCATTGAGCAGCAGAAACGACTGATTATTTTTATTTTTTTCAGAGTACATATTTTCCCTTCTAATATACACCGCTTTTTAGAAGAATAACAACAAATCAGGCAGGAAAATAGATGAGCAAATGTTCAATTACCCATGTGGGCCCCAAACAGGTGGTGGAGGAGGATGAAAAGGAGATGGACTGCTATAACCAGCCTGCGTGTAGTCACCACCAGTTCGCAATCGTTTACTTTGATCATAAGCATTTGCATCAGCTACGATTCCTACAGTTTCCAACTCATATTAGCGCATCATAACACATTACATTCAAACTCCCAACAGCTAACTGGAAACTATTGACATTATGATCTGAACGACCATAGTGTGGTAATGATAAACAGAAGTCACAGAACCCAATATTTACACATTACTGAAAACAAGACTTCTCTCCTTTTCCAAAATCAAAATCGAGTTTGAAATAAAAGCCATTGATCACTCCACATGCCCTATGAATGTAGATCATATTTTCTGGACTAGCTTCCTCACAACATATTGAAAACAAATAACGTCTCCAATTCAACTCAAAACAGTAACAAATTGCACCTCATCCTCACCTCTTTTAACAAAAAGATTCTTCTTTGCCATCTCCGTGTGCAGCACCGCCTTGGACTCCGAATCGAAAATCATTCCCTAAACCGCAAAATCCAACAAAAACTCAAAACTTGAACATTTAAAATTAAAAATGATAAAACATAAGAAAACCATAGATAATTATACAAAGCTAACCTGAAGGGCGTCTTTGGCAGCAATGGCTTGCTGAGCAGTGGAAAAGAGAGCAAAACTCATAGGCTTCTCGCCTTTGTGGTTGACCTGGGAGGCCTCGTAACCCGGCAACCACCTCAACAGGTTCTGTATCTCTCTCTCCTTTACATCCTCCGGTAGACCCGTGATGAAAATGGTCCGGACCTCGTCGGTGGCGGGCCGGTTAGGGTTGTCGACGAGGTAGTGAGGAGGAGGAGGAGCGACAGCGGTGACTACCGGAGGAGGCGGCGGAGGACCGGCAGCCTGGGGCCATTGCTGGTGGTATGGGTGGATCCCAGCGCCGGCCATGTCGATTTGTACCCAAAACCCTAGAGAGAGAGAGAGAGAGAGAGAGAGAGAGAGAGAGAGAGTTGAGATTTTTCGAAGGTACAAGTCGAGATTTTGGAATGGGTTTTGCCGCGGGCGCGATTGGGAATCGCCGAATTGGGATTGGGGAGAACTGAAACTGTTGGAAGTAGAACCTCTACTTCTCCTACCTCATCCTTTAACCGTGTGATGACACGTGGCTAAGATAAGATCGTGTGGTTCATAATATTTTACGTTTTTGTATAATTTTTTTTGTTCCGGCCTTGATCAATTGAAATTTTTCAGCGCATCAAAGAAAATTTTTGGTGTCACTATAGAAGATAATATTAATCATTTATGTTATGTAATTGTAACAGGGGTGAAAAAACGCCTTTAATTTTTCGACCATTGTTTGGCACTTAGACTCCTTCTAAGTCAGTCTTCTTTTCACCTCCAAACTCGTGAGGCTTCAGAGTACACGCAGTGGAACAAGTGACACCAACGCACACAAGTGAGACTTGCCTCACGCAGGAAACTTTCGCTCACACACATATACGGGAAAGCTCCCAACCTTCTATTCACAATAGCAAAGGAGTACAAGTTTGCACTTTCAGTTGGATTACCACATTACTTGGTATCTCAACCAGACACCTTCACAAGGTATTTATAGGCCTACGCTATGTAGATGACACCCCCATCTACTTAGGACACCTTGCCAACAATTAGATCAGCCACCTAGACACATTTTCCCTACTCAAAAACCTGTCTAGCATTCACAAGCTGCCACCTTGCAACCCATTCTTGTCATGGGGCAGATTTTCCTCCTTAAAAATCTCCCCACTCCTGGGAACATGCTGCCACTACCAAGTAACTGCCACTAATGCTTCAAGATAAGCCATAATCTGAATTTCAAGCATGCAGCAACTCTAGCCACATCCAACCACCCATGGACTGCTCAAAAACCGTTTTGCCACGTCCTAGACCCACTCCAGCATGTTTTGAGCCAAAATGCAACGTCTAGCCACGATCTACCTACATGCGTTGCACAGTCTGCACACACGCTGCGTGCGCTGCCTGCCAACGCTACTCTGCGCATAGCTGCCTTGCGTGTTGTAGCCTTGTGCCTAGTGTTGTCGGCATCCTTGCACATCCTACGCACAGCTCCTGTCGACATCTCTTGGCAGATTCTGTTGACAGTTCTTATGTCATGCTGCTAGTCTGCTGTGCTGCTGCCATGTCTTGGCTGCCAAGTCTCAGCCCAAAACACATGTCTTCCGACCTTGTCTTGCTTCACGAGTGCACCTCCCATGCACCTTCGGCTTGTCTTGGCATGGTGCAAAACATCAAAACCATGACATGACCTATGTCAACTTGTAAGGGTCATATAGTAATACTGTAGGATGATGTTATATTTTGATTTTAGTGATTACTTTTTTCCTAATTTTTTCATCACACTTCGCGCCATCAACAAATCAAGTCCAATTGGTCAAATTCCGCTAACACGCACTTGCTGGGTGTGTGCAAGGGCATTATTGCCTTTTCACCCCAGCCTAGCTCTCTCCCTCCTTCGTCATTAAGAAATAAAAACCCCGGAGCAAGTGTGGATCCACTTATACACAAGAGGGGCTCAAGTGCTAACCGATTACTGAGTTTTTAGAATATGCACCTCAAACTTTGAAAGAGCAACTTAAGTAGAATTACTAGGAGGGAAGGAAACTTAAGAAAGCTCATACAACAGCTGAATACAAATAAGTTCACAAACCAGCAGAAGAATTACTTCTACTAACTACTACACAAGCATAGGCAATAATGGAACAACGACAACAATGGCAGCGGCCATAACAATCACTGAAAGCAGGTAAAGAATTGCAAAAACGAACTAAACAGCAATTCCAAGACCCTCACTTCTGCCATATATCAGGTTGGCAGAATTTTTCACTATCCGATAATAAATTCACAGCTGCAGCCAAGGGTATTATTCTATACCAGAAACTATAGATTGAGGAACACAAACTCTTCAATATCAGGCACCTTCCCTATTTTTTCCAAAGTCCTTTTGTTTGGTTCCTCATCCACACCAATTGCCATTAAGGCCTTCTTCTGCACTGTTCTTCCCACACTCATAAAGCTCACATTCACATTATCATTCCCAAGTATGTTCCCCACCCGGCCTATCATGCCGGGTTGATCCACTTGCCGGCACAGAATGAGGTTTCCTTCCAGGCTCACATCCACACCAAAGGATCCCAAGCATGTCAGATGTGGCTCCCCATACTTTACTTTCCCCTCAATGCTTATGCTTCCACTCTCCGAAACAGAACTTGCAAACTTAGACTCCACATTGTATATTTGCACCTGGATTGAATCAACAGGGAACCCAGGAGATGAATCTACAGCTACCCTTTCCTCGCTTATGCGCAGGCCTTTCTGCTTCGCGACGAAATCTGCATTGACTAGATTGATGAAGGAGGCGGATATCGGTTCGATGATGCCCTTAGTGATCATGGCCCTGAGAAGTCTGGTGTCCAAGTCATCGGGGTCCCGAGCTGATTTGTAAACCACCCTCACTGATGTGATTCCATTCCCTCCCGCTACTAGTTGGACAGCCAACTTACCAAGCTTCTCAGCTAGAACAACATAAGGAGACAACTCAGACAGAACCTGAGAAAGTGAAGGATGTTTTGTGCCCAATTAATCTTCTGCTATGAATAAGTATAATTTATTGGAGATGGGAAGGATGCACATTGTGCATCATGTACCTCAGGAGGGACCATGGGAGCGTTGACGGCAGTTGCAGAAAGTTCCCCTTTCAAAGCTCCAACGACAGCCTCTGCTATTTCAATGGCTACACCTTCCTGAAATATCAGGTTTCATACCCAAAATTCGATTACTTAAAGAAATAATCAGATATCTTTCAACAAAAATTTGTATAGGAAAAATTAAAGATACCTGTGCTTCCTTTGTGCTAGCTCCAAGATGAGGTGTGAGAGTGACATTCTCATGTTGCACCAACTTGCTATCTTTCGGTGGAGGCTCCTCTGTGAACACATCAAGTGCAGCCTGTTCCAAAACATTATAAAAGACATAACAGAAATTCAGCATAGATGAAAAGAATGCTGAAAACATCAGCAGACAAATCAGGAAATGTGGATCATGAACACAACATATAGACAGTATTTTTCCCTCCCTGCGAATCGAAGTGATTTTGAACAAACATCCTATGCTTCCATGTTTGTTTAACTTGGTCAACCTTGACATAAATTTAAATTAGAGAAATATATTACCTGAGCAACAACTCCACTTTCAAGGGCTCTCACTAATGCATCTTCGTCAATGACGCCGCCCCTGGCAACGTTAATGATGCGAACTCCCTTCTTCATCTTTGCAAACGTTTCATCATTGAACACCTTTGCTGTGGCAGGGGTGAGAGGCATATGCAGTGAGATGAAATCTGCAGTGGCAATGGCCTGCTCAAAAGAGACCAAATCCACACCGACGGCACGGGCTCTGTCAGCTGGGGCATATGGATCATGTGAAATAACATTCATTCCCAAGCCCTTTGCACGTCTAGCAACTTCTGATCCAACTTTTCCGAATCCCATTACTGCTAATGTCTTCCCAACCAGAGAGACACCAACGTACTTGTTTCGCAGCCATTTTCCTGCAGAAGACCATCATTTAAGTTAGCCTTATCTGCACGTTCCAGTCTATCTAGAGCATCAAAGGAAAGCCAATAGTCACCAGTCACCAGTCACCATATTTGGTCCAAAACAATCAAATTTTAATCTTAGCATTCATTCTGATTTAACACAGCATGAGACAAGCACAAATTAAACACTGCATCATTTGCTAAGATCCCATATCAGAAACCCAACACTTGAAAAGCAACCCTGTGCGTTTTCAGAAGTTATAACTAGCTAGATGAATATCCGACACAATTTGATTCTGATTTTACTTGGAAAAAGACAAAAAAGAAAAAAAAATGTTATGCCCACATGCGAATCATGTGCACCCACCACCTCCGGTATTTGTCAGTTCAATAGCATCCCACAGTCAAATATATTTGGACATTTTTGTTCACTTGCTCAGGCAGGACAATCACGTTTCTACCCAGAAAGCGACAGATCGCATAGATTCAATGCCCAACCACCACTACAGTTCTTTTTCTTTTTTTGCCAACAACCACCACTAGTACAATTCAATGAATTGAAAACAGTGCAAAAGCGGAAATTCGACCCCGGCATGATTCGTGTCATCAAACTCAGCAAACTCAGATAGTTATAGCAAAGAACAATTACTTTTACCATCCAGATCAATTATTTTGCTCAAGAGAGCATACTTTGCATCTAGTGAGAAAATTGACCCATCAAGTATATCTTAAAGCTTAGATCCTCAATCCCAAGGGCAAATTTCTTATTTATCAACGACCAAGCATATGCCACTAATTTATATTAGGCCAATTTGAAGCTAAAAGTAACAAAATTTGGTCTTTTTTCTTGCGTAAAATTTTTGTAATGAACCCAAATATAGTTTCGCTTAGCAAATATAAGGGTGAGTATGAAACGAGTTGTAAACTCAATCTGAATCTCGCGACCAAAAAAATATCCAACTTACCTGAGGTCTTGTTCCCATAAACGAGGAAGTGGGTTGGAAAATTTTAAAAATTATGATTAATTATAAATTTAAAAAAAGGTTGTTTATAGTTCATACCAGCTTTGATGGAAGCATCAGCCTGTGCAACATTCCGTGACATGGCAGTGAGCAGAGCAATCCCGTGCTCTGCGGCGGCCACAGTGTTTGCCGTGGGCGCATTAACGACCAGGCATCCGAACTCCGTGGCCGCTTGCAGATCCACATTGTCAATACCAACACCAGCTCTTCCCACCACCTTCAACCTCCCTTTGGCTGCCTCAAAAACCTGCCTGGTTACCTTCGTGCCGCTGCGAACAATCAAAGCGTCGCATGTCGAGATCTTGGCGCAGAGCTCTTCAGGAGAGAGGTTATATGCGCACTCCAAGTTGCCAAAGCCACGTAGGACTTGAAGACCGGCTTCTCCGAGCTTCTCGGAGACCAAAATGGTCGGGGTTGAATCTGAAGACGTTGGCTTGAGGTTTTGGGACTTGGAAACGGAGGTCTCGGATGAGTCAGCTGTTTTCAAAACGTTGGTTATGAGAAAAGAATGGGAATGAGAATTATGGGCATGGGAATGGGAATGGGAGAGTTTTAACGAGATGGGGTTTGAGGAGGAGGTGTGGAGGAAGGAAAGGAGGGAGGGTTTTGAGGAAGACGGGGGCTGAGTAGAAGGTGAGGAGGAGGCTTTGAAGGGGGAGATGGCTTTGATGGAAGAGGAAGCCATGGAAGCTGGAGGAAGTGTTTTGAGTTTTGTTTTTCTTTGTTTCTGTGTTTTTTGGGTATCTGTGTGGGATTGATTGGGTGTTAGTGTTCTCTAAAAGAAGAGTTTCGTAAACCCAAATTGGGGTTTTTATTTATTTATTTAATTTAGATATGGATAAATGAATGAGAGAGGGTGTAACTAAGAATAGGTAAGTTTTGGAGACTAAAAGTTTTACTTTAAATTACAGCCTCTGCCGATTTGCCATCTAAATCATGGGTTGCAGTTGCACGATTGGATGTAGAGAGCAAACATTAAGTTTTTTTTTTCCCCTTTTTTTTTCAAGTAAAGCAGTATCAAATTCTCGTTCACGATATTTAATTTATCCTCCAACAAAGTAAAAATAAATATCTCTAAATTAAATTACGAGATAATTAATATTGAATTGTAGGGTTTATTTCTTGGACTACAAACTTGCTTGGAGTTTAGGAGTTGTAAGTAATACTTGCTCGCAAGCTCAATTCTATTTATAGGGAGATGAATTTCGTGTTTGATGAAATTACTAGCTTTAGGATATTATTGTTGGGGTTGCTTGATTTCATGCCATTTTTGTTTTTAGTTAGTTTGGAAACAAATGCCTCTAGACTAAATATAGTCATGGATGAGGACAACATAAAGTCGTATTCTACCTTTGGTATAAACTTACAAGTGTCTTGCATCTAAGGGATTCAAATTTAAGGTTGGTCTGCATGTTCATGTTCTTTTTTTTTTTTTTTTTTTTTTTTTTTTTTTTTTTTTTTTTTGTAAGTCGTGAGGTGTCCGGGCTAATTTGCGCGTACCTTAACTAATCCCCACTTGCGAAACTGAGTATGTTGCTGGCCACCAGGTGTTGCAACTACTGGGACTCGAACAATAGAAATTAATTTGCATGTTAGAAATCAAGGCTTAATAGAAGGAAGACTTTAGATTGAACGTGGTATAGCTGTCTTACTTGGACAACAATTCTTTTTCTTTTCTGTGTAATTACCTTAGACATAGGATCTAAAGATTTCTGTCCTTTTGTATTCCTGGAGATTTCTTTCTTTTTGTATTCCTTAAGCTTTGTTATATAACTGCAATCTTTGTACAGTGATCAATACAGAAAACATTCACCATATTTTCTTATACACGTATTTGTCACTCTTTCTATTTCTCTCGTCAAATAAAATTGACAAATTAATTGTGCGTGTAGACCTGATGTCTTGTCGTTAAAAAATACTTTCTTGTCTCGGTTTCGTTTTCCTCTCTTCATATCTCCTCCTTTCAGGTAACAATCTATCACATAAAAAGATAGATAGAAAGATGTGATAACGAAAACGAAAGCATATGGAAGTTTCACTCATCGTGATGCTATTAGTTATAAAATTTACGAGCCATAAACACAGGGTACGTAATTAATTGTATGGTCACTTAAACTGTGATGACATGATTGTGGTTTTAAAGTAGTCATCAACTTTTGTACAAAATGTTGTTGATGCAAGACTGGTCATTCAGTACATGTCCCCACATCTTCCCCACTTCCATTTTCTTTTTTCTTTTCTTTTTCTTTTTTACTTTCTCCCTCCCAATCCATTGTGAAGTTTAGCCTATGAGATCTTGGTTTGTCGTAGAGGTTTTGAGTTCTAGTTTTAGGCTTCTTCTTCTCTCTTAAGAACAAGAGGCCAAGTCAATTTGAATTATTACAGGGCCCATGCCTGAATTCGTGATTGCCCAGCTAAAATGGACAAGTACCTACTTTTGGCCTTTCATTCAAGTATAGCCGTCACTACTCTTCAAGTCTCTAAATAGTTAAGATCTATCTTGTTGAGATAGATACATATTCAAATAAAATACATAAATTCATCAACATTTAGGCATTTTTCTATATTATACATATTGTTACGAGAACGCATTTGTAACTGTTAGATCGATGAATATAGTATAAAATTAGATAATCACATATTTATTATAAGACATAGACTAATGGCATGATATATAGCATTTCTCTCTCTCTCTCTCCAATAATGATGAATAAGAACACATCAAGTTAGAGAGAGACTTACTAATTAGCAATGGATCATGATCAGATCATCCATGTGGATGTGGGTCTTGGAACCTCTCTTTTTCATTGTGCACTCAACAACTCAACTTTGTCTTTTCATGGGTCCTTCCTATATTTTCCAAAGTTTAAGTTTGCCTCAAATTGTACGTAATTGCCTCAATTTAAGAATGATTTGACTTGAATTAATAAACATTAATAGTGCTATCTTTTTTGTTTATTCGAAGGGTAAATTACTCAAATGGTTCTCAAACTTGTACCCGATTTACATTATGGTCCTTCAATTAAATTATTAGTCCAAATGATACATAAACTATATTTTAATCGCCCATTTGATCCAACCGTTACATTCTGTCAATATTGTTGTTAAATATGAGGGCAAATTGGTCATTTCGTATGTTAAAAATAAATAAATATAAAAGATGAAATAAAAATTGGTCTTTTCATTCCTATAGTTCCCTACCGACATTTTATGCAGTTGCTGTACAGCAGAAACACCAGAAGAGGGGCTTGAGGCCAACTCCTTGGGTGGTGAATTGGGAGACGCATTGTCGGCGACATCTGAAGCGGCGTCGTTTGCCTCGTTCCCAAAGTTGGGAGCATTTTCTACAGCAGCAGAAAAAGACGATTTGTTGGTGGTGGGATTGACGAGCTTGGGAGCCTTGGAAGAGGCTTTGGACGACGTCGTCTCCTTTGGAAGCAAAATTGGGTTTATCTGCGGAAGCACACTGCCACTGGCTATGGTCACTCCTTTCAAAAGCTTCTCCAGCTCCTCGTCGTTTTTCACTGCCAATAGCACGTGTCGCGGGCTGATCCAAGTCTTCTTGTTGTCACGTGCCGCATTCCCCTCCAACTCCAGAACCTGACCGATTAATTTGTGATTTAATGATATAATTACATAAACATAAATCAATAAAAATGTCAATTTTCTTTTCATTTCCTTCCTTTTCTCAACAACCAAACAGGAAAGAAAAACAACACCTTCTTCATCCTCCATGCCTTGCTCATCTGCACCTCGCTCAATTCGGAGCCTCCTCAATCTCTTGCAACTCCGAGCAAGAACTTCTAGTCCTCTATCTCCAATAACATTCCTTGTCTGTCCATGACAGAAACAAATTAAAGTTCATATGTAAGTCCCAAATATGATTCCCACTCCAAAACAAAAAAAATCTTCCACAGACCCCTCCCAACAAACCCAAAACCCCAACTCAACAACGACCCAAACCTTCTTCCCCTCCCCTTGATTTCCCTTTGTTGTTGAGAGAAAACCACCCACCACCCTTCTCCCTACCTCATCACCTGCCAACCCTACCTCCCAAAATCACAGCCACTGTCAATTTCTCACCCTCCAAGATGCCAAAATTGCTGCGAGGATTTTGGGGATTTATGCCCATATGGAGAGGTCGGTAGGAATGGGGGAGAAGAAATCGAAGGGGGGGTTGGGTCTCTTTATTATTTTTTCTCTTTTTCTTCAATTATTTTCTAATTTTTTATTTGTTTTAACCCTATTTTATTTGTTAATTATGAAAAGTCGTATTTACCCTAAAACTTGGTTATGTTTAACAGAAAATTAGATGGTTGGATCAAATGGGCGATTAAAATATAGTTTATGTATCATTTGGACTAATAATTTAATTAAAGGACCAAAATATAAATCGGGTACAAGTTTGAGGACCATTTGAGTAATTTACCCTTTATTCGAATAACTTTTTGACTTCCATTCTCTCCCACTAGCTAGCTCACTGTACTCCCACTTTAACTGATAATTATCTCTTAAAATAAATAAAAACAAAACTGATAAAATCTCTCCTACTTTTTTCTGTTTCTGTTTCACCATGCATTATGCATGTTCATTTGTTTTGGGAAAGGGTTTTTCAGAATCCAACTTTCTCACACCAATAATGGTTTTCAACTTTCAACTCTTAAATACGTCTCACCTCATGTAAGAAAGTTTAAAATAAATAATACTTCGAACAAAAAAAATGTTGAAAATCTATACATTTATGATGTTTTACAGTTTGGGAAGAAATGCGTGGAGTGAAAGGGACAGTATTTACACATCTTTGTCCACCAAGTTGTGATTAACTAATTCTAACTATGCGTAGAGTGAAATGGACAATACTTACATCGTTTCTCCTGTAAGTTGTGATTAACTAATTCTCGTTGTACACATGTAAAGTGGCGGACCTATTAAGGCGCAAAGAGGTGCAGCTTCACATCCCCTCATCGGAAAAAACCATTGTAGGTGCTTCAAATTGCCCATTTGCTTATCTGATGGTGGTGCATAGTTGCACAGTGCACAAATTACCTTATTTCCATTTTCAGCATTTAAGTAAATGTCTTTGTCCTTTTACTTTCATTTATTTTTATATTACTTCATTTACTTAAATTTACAATGTAAATAAGGAAGTACCCCCCATTTGGATTCAAAATTGCACTTCCGCTAAAAAATTCATGCGTCCGCCATCATTGGAATCATTCAATTTCTAAAATCGTTTATGCAATCAATTAAGTTAGAGACCTTTTAGTCTTATGTTCATCATGAGAATCGTAATTGTTATAAGAATCGTTGATTTGTTCGATAATATGGATTACTAAGTATTGTTTAGAAATAAAATGAATCCGATTATATACCTAGATGGTTCGTTAATCATAACTTGATGGAGAAAGAGGTAAGTGCACCTTGAGGAGAAATATATATGGACTAATGTCCATTTATCTAGATTCCTCAATGACACGGTTGTAACGTTTCCAATTATTTTGTGTATTCAAAGAATCTGGATATTTCTTTGAAGATTGCAAGGGTTGGTGATGGATGAAAAATCGGTTGGGAAGCACTATCTGATGGAACCTCACTACTTACATTTAAAACAAATTAAACATTACACATGCATATACATTAAGGAAAAAAGTGGGCTTAGATCCAAATCAACTTTTACTAACACTAAAAAGTACATGTGGGGAAGGGTTGGCGTCAATTATTTTATGGGAAGCTCTAGGGAACTCAGGATTTGGAAAAAGATTCCTTGGCCTTTTTCTATCGTGCAGAACAAATAATAATAATTATGTCCACTTTCTGCCATTATAATCTTTATTTAATTATTAATATTCTTCTAATTATTCTAAAGGGTTTTATTATTCCTCAATTTAATTAGTGTTTCTCCTCCTTGATTCTGAAGCTAGATACCTAGTCTTACAACAAAATTATGAGTAGCTGGGCTAGAAATTTTAGCTGAATCTGCCCGTGAACTTAGGCAAGTGCATATATATTAATATTGGTCCAGAGCTGCATCATTTATCAAGGAGTTATTTTTTCCACCTCTTAAATAATATTAGTACCACTGCAAGAAATGGCCGAAGTTTTTTTTTCTGGTAAATAGAAAAGTTTTACGAGGTTGTAGCTTAAATTTATTTCTGCACTTGAAGTTCTGTGTGCGATTCTTCGCTAATGGTACCAAATTATCAATGAAAAATGTAAACGGGGCAAGTCAAGTCATGATCTTATGGCCAAGAGATGCTTTGCATCCTTCGAAACGTTTTAACCCTCGCAAACTAAAAGGGCCAAGAGATGCTGTCTGGCCCGTAGTCTCAAGCCTAACAGAGTTCCAAGTGTGCAAGAACAGAATCTATCTAGGAGCAAGTTTTATACAGGGAAAAAGAGCCGAGCTGCCCTTTGGGGCCAGGGAGATGCTACATTAAAATGAGGGGTTCAATCCAACCATCCAATCATTAAAATGAAACCAAGGACATGTAACATTGATCATTGTCAAGTAAATGCTAGGAAGACAGAAAAAGGTCAAACACTGCACAGAAATTACATGCCAAGTAAATTTTTTGAAAACCAGAAACTGCACAATTTGCTCTTTCAGTTTTGAAAGAATGAACCAACATACTAATTCTCCTGAGAGCACCAATCTACTCTTTATCTACAAGAAAATACACAAGAGCTGCTCAACAAAGTAAAACCAATGCAGAAACAAGAGATGATCAGTCGATCATTTTATAATCCTTTCTGTCTTTCATCATCTTCAGCCCAACATATCTGCCAAAATTGATCAAACAAAACAGTCAGCACTTTTCAACAACATTTGCTTTTTCAAAAACTACAAATACAATGAAAGTGTGCAAACATGATTTCAGGAAACTTACCTCCCAAGCATCATAAGAGTGGCCTGAGGATTGTCCCTGGTGATATTCCAAACGTTGATCCATCCACAACTCTGAGTGCATCAATGCCAATGACCCGGAAATCAGCATCAACCACCTTCCCCATAATGCAGCCCCCATGGTAGTGCCATATGGTGCTGACGGTGCGGCGACAGAAATCTGCCATTTCCTCATAGTTAGATTGGTCAACAGGCAATGCAGGTCCTACAAACCTAAAATCTTTGCTCCCAAACCAGCCCTGGAACTTGAAATCCTCCATAGACCGGGTCCTGAGTATATCGCCAATCATGCGCGTCCCATTCACACACCTTTGCACATCCACCGGATTGCTGAAGTAGTTGAATCGAACAATAGGATTCACCTTAACATCTGTTGAAGCCAGCCTCAGAGAACCAGCTGAGGCTGGCCCAACAGTCTTCTCCATGAGGGTGGCCACAGTGAGATAGAGAGGCGCAGATGGTGTCCGAATGAACACAGATCTTGCAGGAGATGCAAAAGGGATGACATTGGAGGCTGCTTCAATGTAAGCTCCTGATTCAGTAATGCCAACCACTTGAATCAGTGAGTGCTCCAGTGGAATTGGTGGCACAATTGAGATGCCATTTCTTGGATTATCATAAAGATACTGCCCAACATAAGGAAGATGATGAGCCACTGGGATCCCCCAAGAGGAAAGATAAGGCCTTGGGCCAATACCACTCAACAGAAGTAGCTGTGGGCTTCCAATGGCACCAGCTGAGAGAATCACCTCACCATGCTCACGTAACAAGGCATGGTGATACATCCCAATTCGATCACGAAAAACAACCCCCATTGCAGACTGCCTTGACACTGCTGATGGCATAGATGAACCCACCAGAATCCTTTCCACATTGGCATGTGTCACAACTTTGACATTCACTGGTTTTGCATACTTGAAAAGATCAGCAGCACTATGTCTCCTTCCCAAAGTGTCAAATGTTGAACCACCAATCTTGGTCCCCACTACATGATCAAAACTAAACCCATTATAGGGATCAACACCAGCTTGCAATAACCCATCTCGAACTGCGGATTGCCAAGTCCTCAGCTCTGGCCTAAATACTATTGCCTTTTCAACCCACTCATAGGACTCATTCACCATTCGAAAATCCCAATTGACACTGGTTTTCCTGTAAAAGTCTTCATCTGCACGGCTATAGAAACCAGCATTTATGGCACTGCTGCCCCCAAGAATGCGGCCTCGGACATTCGGGACACCATCTTCAGATGTGAAGGCTTGTGTAGGCGAGTCAAAGGAGTTAACATCCATGAGCGTGGCCAAGAAACCTTCTTTGGTCATCAAGTTTCGATTTCCATAAGCAATACCGCCACGTTCGATCACGAGTACACGAAATCTAGATGATAGTGTCGCAGCCAAGGGGCACCCAGCAGTGCCACCTCCAACGATAATGTAGTCATAGTAATCTTCAGATGGGAAATCTGTGGCGTTGACAACAAATTTCAGGTAACTTGGCTCTGCAAGAAAACAGAGAATAATTAGCCTCTGTTTGGTTATAAAGGGGCATTAAAACAAGCATAAACGGAGCAGAAACGGAAGTATGTTCTGTTGAAAACAAAATTGCAGTAACTCGGTTCTATGAGAAAACAGAGAGGAGGTAGCCTCTGTTTGGTCACCAAGAAAACTCAAAGAAAAACCAAATGTCCAAGAAAATAAAGTTTGCTACGTGGAAATCAAAGTTGAGCTAACATAGTTCTCTACAATAACAGAAAAGAATTAACCCCTTTTGGTTACCCAGAAACTTGAAGCAAAAATAACAAACTAGTCGGTTGGTTTTGCCAATGATTATTAAGAAACTAGTTGCACTGGGCTCACTCGAGCAGAGGGTAACATTTTCTCTGCACTTTCTTAGTTACCAAACAGAGAAACCAGTTGACAAAGGGTTTCAAGAACATCAAAAAAGAAAATCCCATAACATCATAGGGAAAGAAAAGAAAATTCATACGTGGGTCTTATTTTATAACCTCTATAAAGCTACATAGTTGCGCTGGATTCACTAGAGCGCAACAGAGAAGTGTAACCCACTGTTTAGTTTCCAAGAAAAAAAGCAGAGAAAATTGAAAACTTTCAGACATAAAAAAATGAAAACTTGTCAGCATTTCAAGCACGATTGTCTTCTCTATTCACAATTTCTCACATACATACAGAAATTCAAGCCAAAAACAATGAACGAATTAAATGAGATGGAGAAAAAGAGCTACCTTGATGAGGCCTGTGTGAGCCGTGAGGCCTGCTGGCATAAGTGACAATGACATTTAGAAACATGAAGAACGCAAAGTGCTGTAGAAAAAACCAAATGGGTCTTGCCATTGCTGAGATTCTCCCGGTGTTTCTCAGAGGTGAAAGAATTTTCTTGGTGTTTCTTAGAGGAGAGAGAATTTTCTTGGTGTTTCGTGGAGAGATAGAGGGAGAGGAAGAGAGGCTGTTCCTCTTTACAAGTAGTAGAGAGGAAGATAGTGTCTTTTTGGTTAAAGATTCAGTTGAAAATCGTTATTTAGCGGCAAAGAGCAACAGTCCTCTGTGGCCACAAACAGAGTTGTCCGTCTGCTTAAGCCAATCATCTACCGTTGAATTTGCAGAGACCCCACTTGTCATGGAACGTAAGGGTAAGAATGTAAGTTCACATCAGGGGTGGGGCCGATGGACTAACTGCCTAACAGCATCTGATAATGCCCTTCATATCCCTAAATCTTAATTAAAGTAGAACGTGTTGATTGTCAAAACGGCATCGCTCAGGGCCAGTACGAGAAGTCATCATCTCTCTCCTTCAAATTCAAGCTCCTCTTGGCTGATTGGCTCCCAGAAGGCCTGTCAGCGCCAGCTGAGCACCGAGCAGAAGAACTTCAGGTAATTTTGAAATTGGACTGGAAATTAAAATACCCAAAATTAATGGGTTCTGTTAGGGTTATGTGAGCTATAACCTAGGAAGATCAGATTTTTTTGCCAGGAGGGTTGTTGAAATTTTATCAAGCAAGCTTGAGTTTGTTAATTTGGGTTTTTGATTGTTTTTTCTATTTCATTTCTGAAAGATCGTCTATGATTTTTAAATGGTATTGTAAAGAGAAGAATGAATAGTTGATTTTGTTACTGTGCAGAGGGCAGCACTTGTTAGTTTGAGTAGACATGGATCTTAACGATCTTAACAAGGTTTGGGAAATCAAACCACTCAAGAAAATTGGGGAAGAGGATGCAAGAGAAATACTTGAGAAGGTGGCAAAACAAGTGCAGCCCATAATGCGAAAACATAATTGGAAAGTCAGAATCCTTTCTGAATTCTGGTAAACTTTTTACTTCTTTCTTGAAACTTTTTTGTGCTTTATTGTATGTTTCCCGCTGTCATTTGCAAGTTTGAAATGCAGCCCTGCCAATCCAGCTCTTCAGGGGCTCAATGTAGGAGGAGGTGCCGAAGTTAAGCTCAGACTACGGAGGCCAAACAATGAGTGGGATTTCTACCCGTATGAACAGATTCTTGATACAATGCTGCACGAGCTCTGCCACAACGAGTATGGTCCTCATAATGCTGACTTTTACAAACTTTTGGATGAGATCAGAAGGGTAATTATCTTATTTGTTTCATGCCTATAAAGTACTTATTTCCTGGTGCTTTTCACGACCCTAGTAAGTTGTAAGAGTATCTTTCATGGAAAACCCTCCTTCTTGAAAACTAATGGCCATCTATTTGTAACCCCTACTTCTATATTGTTAGATTGTTTGTGGACTGCCTGGAATGCGGTTTGTATATAAATGCAAAGCTTACATTTTGAAAGTAATTTCTTATTTTATCTGGAGCATTCCTAACGGATGGCAATTCTCTGACTCTGATTAATTAGTGATGGAAAGTTATAAAAGGCTCAAGTGAAGCCTTTCAACATTTTGATTGATGATGTTTTCTATGCTCTTGTCTAATTTATTGTTCCTGTTGGATTGAAACTTTTAGTGAGGTGTTGTTCCATAATATGTATGTGCTTAACTTTGTGAATATCTTCTTAAATAATTAAATTAAGTATTCTCAGTATCCAATTGCATACATTAGCTACTATTTTCTGTTGTAGTTCTATGCTTTCTGTAAATGCATGCTTTAGGGATGATTGTCTGTCACTAATTTGGTTCCCATGGGTTTCTGCAGGAATGTGAGGAACTGATGGCTAAAGGGATTACAGGGACTGCGCAAGGATTTGATCTTCCGGGGAAACGTTTGGGTGGTTTCTCTCGTCAACCCCCTCTGTCATCTATTCGTCAGACTGCCTTGGCTGCTGCTGAAAACAGAGCACGGCGTGGAGCTTTACTACCATCAGGACCTAGGCGTTTAGGTGGTGATAGCAACATTAAGGCAGCTTTGAGCCCAATACAAGCTGCTGCTATGGCTGCAGAAAGGAGACTGCATGATGATTTATGGTGTGGATCCAAGTCTTCAGAGGGTGGCATTGAAATCCAGGGGAATGTTGGGACTTCTCGAAGGACAGAAGCTTTCACAGTTACTAATGGCATATCTACCCAGACGTCTATTGAGTCGGAGTCAGGTCAGGGAAAAATAGATGATCAAGCAAAGTGGAAATGCAATATGTGCACTTTATTAAATGAGGTAAAGTTATCTCTATATAATTTTGTCGAACTGTCAGTACAAAATTGATTTATTGTTGTTGTTATTGATTCTGGAGCTCGCTTAGTTCTTTGCAAGCGCGCGCGCACACACACACACACACTCATATCTCCCTTGTATTTTGTCAATCATGTCACCCTTTTTTTGTTTTTTTGTTTAACATGGCACTGTATTCTATATATTACTTCTTTCTTGAAAATTTATGCCTTTACACGTGAAGGTTTTTAGTTCAAAACGTATAATTGTTTCTCAAGCTGACTATAGATAAACTGTTGAGATTTTTATTTTTGTTGTTGGTGGTGGTGTTTTTTTTCATTTCAATACCCTGTTCTGTACTGTTTTTGTTTTTTGCCAGAGGATGTAAGAGTCCCTAATCCTGCAAACCTTGTCCTGTCCTCAGATTTGATTTGATATTCTTGATAAATTTGTGATATTTGGTTGGATTTTCAAATTTGAATCTCGACTTTTGACCCAAAAGAAGTGTTGCAAAGAGTGATACTACTCAGACCCTGAAAATTATAGCAAGAGAGAACACTCTAGGAATGGAAGTCATACATTCATCTTAGTTGGGGTGAGGTCTTTTACTTGCCCATAGGTTTTTATTTTAATCATTTTTGTATCCCTTCAGTTTATTGGTATTGTGGATGTTCTAGAGTGTATCTGATGACAGGTGAATTTAATGCTTTGAGGTTGTTGCAGCTGTTGGCGTTGAGATGTTCAGCCTGCGGGACCTTAAAAGAGGATGTGAAGTTCAAGGTTTGGTCTTGCAAATTTGTACCCTAGACAACAGAGTTGAGCTAGATAGATGCTCAGCTTGCGGAGAATGGAGATACTCGTCCGGCCCTCCTGTCTCTAACCGTGGACCATATGTCGGCACCTGAGAAAGTGTTAACTGTGAAATCTGCTCCAGACTTGTAGAGTTATACAGAATGATCTTATATACATACTACCACAATCAATCACACTTGCCATAAACTGAAATCCTGTAATGAATGTGATTTACAGTATCCATTTTGATTGTACATACATATGGCATAAACTGAAGCCTTTAGGAGTGTTTTGTTAATGTGATGGTTTTTTATTTAGAGCTTCAAGAATGGCTTTTGTGCTTTGTATACTATGCTGCCGACTGTGCATGTTAAATGCAAGGGTACGAACAGGAAGAATGCATTCAAAATTGGGAGATTCACTATTCCCTTCAATCAATATTTTAAACCACGTAAATACAAGTCGGAATCTTTTTTGGCCGAACGGGTGGGGAAATGATTACGTTATTTTGGTTTTCTGGGAATGCAATGATCTAAAACTAAATGAAAATAATAATAACATTTGACTAATTCCTAGTGTAGGGGCTTTTTCTTCCTGCAGCTAACGGGTTGGGCTGCTGCAAAAGGTGGACTGAGGAGATTGCCCCTTTTGTCTAGGTTCGAAAATTAAGCCCTAAAATACCTCGAAAGGGCAGCGAAACCTTAGGAGATATTTTAGATAATCTTCACCAATGAGAATAATAGTGACTTACAGATAATTTTGGCATGCTTACAGATGGTTTTTAGGCTCAGCATGAGTGGCATGAGGCATGGAGAGCAAAACCAACATGGGTTTAGCACTGAGAGAGAAATTAGGCTTGGTTTAGGAGAAATGAAAGTGTTTAAGTAAGGAATGGGGTGTTTTGTGAGGAATTTTGACTAGAGAAAGAGAAAAAAGAAAGGCAGGGTTCTTCCGGCAGCTGCCAGAAGAACAAATTGGAGAAGAAGATGAACAGTGCACGAATCTAAGTTTTGCAAGATAGAGAGAAAAGCTTGCTCTCTGCAGGTTGTGAGTTGTGTTTGTTGGGTAGGGGAAGGCTCAATTTATAGCTGCCGGAAATCACCATTTTTCAAGAAACCCTAATGGCTTCTACTTACTTTGGCTGAGCTTTTCTTCCTTTCTCCTCCCCTTCTCTGACTTCCCTTTCTTGGCAAAGATTGCTTCTGTCTATTTCATGAATTCGGGGGATTTGGGGGCTCAACATCCTCCTTTCCCGCGGCTGTGCAATGAGAGCTTCCACTCTTGGTTTGCTGTTTTTCTTCTTTTCTTTCCTCTTCCTTGGCTGAATCTGATGAAGGAAAAGAGGTGCAAATGTATGCTGGTCCAAGGGATGCTTCTGACAGCATGCGGGATGGTATTCATTGGTTCTTTGGATGTCTTGGCTTGGGACTGGTTTCCAGCAGCTTTGCTTAAGGAGCCTGCCATCTACTCCTTCACGTGTTCTCTGTTTTTCAAAAGGGCTGAAGCTCTTGTGGGCTTTTTTGGGTTTTTCTAAGGGCCAAGATGGCTTTCTAAGCAAATGGGCTTGTTGGGCTTGATTTGGGCTTATTATTTTTTGGTTGGGTTATCTCTTGGCTAGGTTATTTTGCTTGGGCTTTTGGGCTATTTTTTCTCTCTTGTGCTTACCCACATGTTTGGGCCTAAGAAATGGGCTTGAGTCTCGAGGCTCCCAAGCAACCCGAGACTTTCCATTTCTTGGTCCATCAATGGGCCTCATGTTGATTTATCACCATCCATGCCACAACCCACTCAAGCAAGCCCCGGGTCTTTTTTTGAGTGGCTTGGGCCCACCTAGGCTTGTAGCGTGGTTGGGTGCGAGATAACGGCATGGCATGTTGCTCGGCATATTTTACCTTATCGCCCTCGGGAAGGAATGTTTTAATTTTTTTAGCATGAGTTAATATATTTTATCACAGCATGATAATTTGTTTATTCAGCGTGGCATGTGGATTATAACTCGCATGCGATAGATCCTTTTTTTCTTTTCCCTTATGGAATATTGTATTGGGCTGATAATTATTCGGGCCCAATCCATTGATTTTTTGGGCCTCAACACCTAGTATTAAATCCTAAATTTTGTTTGACTAAATTAAATTTTCCCTTGTTTTTATGCATAGGTTGCAAAGTGGGAAACACACAATTAGAGCGTTGTTGCTGTCCTCAGATACAGCTTATTATTGTGTGCAGAAATATTTGCACACAAGTAATGGGATTTCAGAAGAACTACAAAGGATAAGGTGATCAAACTTCGGAGAGATTATTGTATAGTACTCAAACATCGTCAAGTAGTTGCGTTTACCTCTTGCACCTAGGGTTTTATGTTCAATTATCTCGCTTAATATCAATTGACGATTGCGTAAAATTTATATATAAAAAAAAGAAAGTATAATATCAATAAATATACACTTATTATAACATATTTCTATTGATAGCATATAAGCCCAGGTCAAACAATTACAAATGATAAGTCAATTTGCTTTCCATCCCATTCCCACTTTTTTTTTGGTTTGTAGTTAATGTTTTCATATTGTATATGTCTAGCATCTTTATATAAATTTGTCTCGGGGAAAACTCGATGTTTGATTAGTACAAAAATGTCAAAATCTCAAGCTTCCACAAATAGTCTAACCCAATAAAAATTTCTAGGGTTGCAATTCATGTACACACAGAGGCAAATGTATGAAGCCAAAAGCCACTATATATATTCCTTTTGTTGACTATTTATAAACCAATGCAACTTAACCTACTTTACTTCTTTTATGTAACGTAAACACAGAAATAATCCGTAATCGGAATTGAACTCTTTATTTTGATTCCCATTACGGATTAGTAAACATGTCATTATTATAGAGAATAATTCATTTAGTCAAACACATGCATATCTCCTGTGTCCTTTGACAGCAACTGGATTTTAGGATTACTGGATTAAGATTTGAATTAGCCTCGAATTAAAAAAAGACTAGGAAAATAGCCACCAACCATGTGAATGAAACTTCAATTATGGCAGTTGGGTTGGAGATCTTGTGTTGATTTTCTTGCTTGGCTTGCTTGACGGGTTTTTTTTGTCCAAGCAAGAAGATGCAAGGAAATGAAAAATATATGAGCTGCAATCTGCAAAGATGCAACCAGCAAATTACCAAGAAACATCCCAAAATAACAGTTGGCAGGGCACAAAAAGGCAGGGTTTCAAAGTTGGAGAAAGAAAGAAAAATCTGACAAAGTCCACTGCTTTTGTCTACATACAGACACAGATATTACACGTTGCTTATAATTGTCAAATGCCTGTGAGACTCCTCGTAGTCAAGGCTGTCTTTGTCCCTATTTTTACAAACAACGCACACATCCTTTTTTTTTCTTTTTTTCTTTTTCTTTTTCTTTTTGGTTTTGTTTTTATGAGAAGTGGGGTCCATATTCAGACCAGATAGAGATTGATTGAAAATAAGTCCTTGTAGACTTTTAATGCAAAAGGAAAAATTAATGTATATGATATTTGCTTGTGTGAGGTTTTTATTTCAATTTCGGCTTCAAATATTGATGTGTCATATCGACCAACGCACACGTTTCACTTTCGTGGGACACATCTGACTTTAAAGTGAGAGAATCTGTGTGTGGATGGATGAACGAGCTTGCAAATTGCAAGCAAAGATTGACTCCTGCTCAAGAAAGTCGTAAGGGTTGAGTTTAATTTGTGAGTTGAGTTTTATGTACAACAATATAGACCAAGAGCTTCAATTCCGGGATCCCGCAATTGCAACAACATTTCAAAAGTCAAATTGAAGATCCTGCAATTTCAATTTCTATGTTAAAAAATAATGTCCATATTGTAAGAAAAGTACACACATTCTTTATAGAATTACTCAATAGTATTTTTCAACGATGAGAAAAATATGAATAAGCAATTTCATGATTCAATTGATTTGTTGCGTAGGTTATTATCCTTGAATGACGACTTAAAAGTTGAACGTTTTCAATCATTGATTTTTATTCCATCAATAAGTTTTTGGCGGTCATCGAAGTATGTGTGCTACATTATGGAACCATATGCATCTACGAATAGAAATCGCTGTATGGGTGACTCGCGGGAATAACTCTATATATAAAAAAAAACACACACACACACATAGAGGTAGGATTGAATGATGCCTAGCTTGTAAATTGGGTTGGGCTTACACAAACTTTTTGCCAAAGATACAAGCCCAATGATGACAGAGTCAGTGTATGGAGAACAAAAAATTATTGAATAATGATTATAGATAATCCATGATTATTACCATAAGAAAGATTGTGATTGCGTACATAGTGATTAATCTCTGCCGACTAGGCATTACTTTGTTTTGTTTAGTCCAATCATGTTGCAGCAGTGGTAGGCTGGGCCCCACGTAATCGCATGAGAGCCCAGGTATTGGTGTAGGGCCCAGGCCCACCCAACTCCTAACCCCAAACCAAATCAACCTCATTTGACCGCCGGCGGGTAAGCCTAAGACAATTAACCTTTTCAATTCTTTTATTTTCTTTAATCAGCTCTTTTTCTTTTCCACTTATTACAAGACGTGTGCTGCTGCTACAGCTTCTACGCATGCAATGACACACAGGCTAAACGAGGTAGAAAGGTACAGGGAGAAAAATTAATAATAATAATAATAATAATAATAATAATAATTCGTCACAAAACGCACCGTAAAAGGGTTGCCTAATTCGGTGGGGCCCATATTGGATTTATTTGTCTTAAATTTTCCACGAGATACCCGATGCCGGGAAAATTCACGCGCGGAGCTAAAGGAAAAAAATCACATTTATATACCCTCCCTCCCAAAAATGCCAGCGGGGCCCACCACCAGACACTGATTGGTCCTTCTCGCCCACTCTCTCGGGGTAGTGCGTGAGGCTCTCCCGCCTTTAAAATCTCGACGATTCCCTCTTTTGATTGCTACCTCTCTCTCTCTCTCTCTCTCTCTGGGCCTAAATAAAATAAAAAAATATAAATAAAAAATAAAAAATATTTTTAATTTTATTTCCACCCATTAAAAAAAACCAGAGAGAAAGAAAGAAAGCTCCGTTTTCTTCATTGTTTTAATTTTCTGGTTGTTTCCTCCTCTTTTCCTTAGAGAAGTCTCCGATTCTGAGAACCAAAGAAAGGAATTTTTATTTTCTTTATTTATTAAAATAAAAAACGACACCAATCAATCAATCACTCAACCAATCAAACCATCAAACGATGACTCGTGATCCTCACGATCTCCATCATCGTCGTCTTCGCCATCCTCATTAACCCAAACACCCCCCCTCCCTCCCCCACCCCTTCCAATTCCACTGAACGACGCGGTTTCTCAAAAACCCGGCGACGACGTTATTCATCATCAGCAGCCGCAGAAAAAGAAGAAGAAGTTGTGGTTTTCATCATGAATCGGATTCAACCACCGCTCGGAGCGAACCCTCCGCCCGCCAGGCGTGGGGACAACCCGAGACGACGTCGTCACGACCTAACCCTACCTCTCCCGCAGCGGGACGCGTCCCTGGCCGTGCCCTTGCCCCTTCCTCCGCCCGGGCCCAGCTCGGCCCAATCGTCCTCGGCCCACAGCGCCGCCCAGCAGCTCATCAACTTCAACGAGCTCGAGCGCTCGAACCGCATCGGGAGCGGCACCGGAGGCACCGTCTACAAGGTCATCCACCGCCCGACGGGTCGTCTGTACGCGCTGAAAGTCATATACGGCAACCACGAGGAAGCCGTCCGCCGCCAGATCTGCCGCGAGATCGAAATCCTCCGTGGCGTCGACAACCCCAACGTTGTCAAGTGCCACGACATGTTCGACCACAACGGCGAGATCGAGGTGCTGCTCGAGTTAATGGACGGCGGGTCGCTGGAGGGCCAGCGCATCCAGAACGAGAGGACCCTCTCCGATTTGGCCAAGCAAATCTTGAGCGGCCTCGCCTACCTCCATAGACGTAAGATCGTGCATCGCGATATCAAGCCCTCGAATCTCTTGATCAACAGCAGGAACCAGGTCAAGATCGCCGATTTTGGGGTCAGTCGGATTTTGGAACAGACCATGGACCCTTGCAATTCTTCTGTGGGCACCATAGCTTATATGAGCCCTGAGAGGATCAATACTGATCTCAATCATGGCCAGTATGATGGGTATGCCGGTGATATATGGAGCCTTGGGGTCAGCATATTGGAATTCTACATGGGCCGGTTTCCGTTCTCTGTGGGAAGGTCAGGGGAATGGGCTAGCTTAATGTGGGCTATCTGTATGTCTCAGCCTCCTGAAGCTCCGCCCACTGCTTCGAGAGAGTTCAGGCATTTTATCTCTTGCTGTTTGCAGAGAGATCCTTCGAGGAGATTGTCGGCGGTGCAGTTGTTGCAGCACCCTTTTATCTCTGGCAATGGCGGCGGTCAGGCCCAGCAAGCACATCAGAATCTTCACCATCTTCTGCCACCACCCAGGCCTCTTCCTTCTTAACTAATAGTGTACTTTCTTCTTTCTTTGTTTTCTTTTCTTTGCCAATTACTCTGCCGTTGCTTTCTTTCTTTCTTTCTTTCTTTCTTTCTTTTTGATGATAATCATAATGATCATATGATGATTTTGTGTTTTTCTTCCGGGTGATGATGATGATGGGGAGAATGGGTTGGATTTGATCTCGGGAAGAATTGGGGAAATGGGTTGCCTTTGTTTTTTAGTTTTTACTTCTACTAGTTTTTGTTAATCAATCTATCACTCAACTCAATCAAATCTGTCATTCTGTCCTTTGATGATAATGTGAATGGTTTACTAGAAATGGCAAATTTAGCTTCCTGAAACTCACTCTGGTCTTCCGATTTTGAGCAATTAGACTCATTTTAGCTATTTTATGATTGATTGGTATGTGATTATGGTCTCATTGGGGATTGGGTTTGAAGTTAAAATCTTTTGTTGGGTATTTCTGGGAAGAATCAATTCTGAATCTTTGAGCTCCTGAGCTTGTTAGATTTGCACGCGATCGAATCTCTCTTTTTCTACCATCATAGAGGAGAGATTACAAGGAAATGGAAAGCTGCAGATATTCTTTTCCCTTTATATCTCCCCCTTTCCCTTTCTGTCTGGAACTGAGCTGAGTTACATTTTCATAGAGCTGAGCTGAGCTGTATTTTGATGGGGATGGGGGGTGCGTGTCGAAAGAGTGGGTTGCATTTTCATCATAAACTTTTCATATGATTGAACTGATGAATTAGCACACTGGAATGGATAATGAGCCTTTTCAGGATTCTAAAGCCCTAGCATCAAAACAAACTTTACAAGCCACCGTAGTAGAACGAAGATTAGCAAACCAAATCTCTCTAGTTTCTAATTAGAGCATAATTTAATCCCCAAAAAAAGTTTTTGACCATCATTTAAGCTCTAAAGGACCAAGCAAAGCATGATGCATGGCTGTCTCTGTCATTACTTAGATTCATTTCTGACAGTTGGGTTCAAGAAATTTTTAGACAAGCTTTGGATCACGCCATCAGAAAGCATGAAAAAAATGGAAATAGTGTGTGTGGGGCAATAGATTTCGTGAGCCTAATTTGCTCGCAAGTGCTCATTTCCTCATTTGGGGTACAATTCTGATTTCTTTTCCTTTGGATGATTGGGATGCTGAAGGAGGGCTGCCATTTAACGTGTGAATTTGGTGCATGAATATGATGAATCTTCCTCTTTTAGCCAAAGCTAAAGTTGCATATGTTTGTGCCATTATCGTTTTTCCGTACATTTTGCTTGTCTAGGCTGCTTAGGCTTTTGCCTTTTGCGTGTGCGAAAGAGAGGAAAATTAAAAGAGGGGCCAATTCACGTCACGACTTTGATGATCCACACCTATCCTTGGCATGCCCCCTACCCTTTAAATCAGCAATAAAGATTTGGCAAAGAGGGAAATTTTTTTGGACAAACTATAAGGTAAATTTGGAACCCACATTAATATTATTAGTGACGTTTGTACTAGGATCCGTTTTCGGTTGATTTGGTTTAGTTTTTGGCTTTGCTAAACTTATGTTGGCAGTCGTAAGGAATTTGTAGTTCAAGTGATTATGACTAGGCTCGGGAACATTTCCCTCATTACCAAATCAAAATTGCCAAACACAGCCATTCCAAAGAGAAATGTCTACATATATCAAAACTCACCCAATCATATCATCTTTAATATGTAGACAATAAAGCTATATCCCAAACATTGGATAAACTGTAACCATATCTAGTAGCCATCCCAAAACTCTTCCCACTTTGTTGCCTTTTTATTTTTTTCCAATTGTCATTCCCCTACCTCCACTAGCTTTTGGAATTTGGATTCCCAGCCATACCTGATAGCCCCACCCTCCCACCCCCACCAGCCTATCCTATCCAATCCAACTATCCAACCCTGTCTCTCCCACTTTTGGACTTTAGCACTTGTCCCAGTCCCAGTCCCAGTCCCAGTATTGTGTTGTTTGTCCCACAAGCCTACAAAAGGCTGAAGGCTTGGCTGAGGGCATCTCCAAATACAGACCCAATTGGATTTTTTGAGTCCAAAATGTGAAGATTTTTTTATTTTTTATTTATTTTTTCAAAGAGCTTCTGTAATGGGCTGCAGTGAAAGGACTCTCAGAGTACCCGAGGACCTATTGGAGCGAAAGATTTGGGTTTGGGCCCTCCCGTTGGAGTTGTCTTCATGGCTCTCCCTTTCCTTCTCCACCCAATAAAGTCTAGTTAAGCAATGCACTTGGATTTGTAGGGTGGAGGCGCGTGGAGTGAATGGATTGATAAGTTTGTTAAACTAGTTCAATCTCTCATAATGTGTGGGCATCGTATGCTTTGCTAAAGTCTAAAGATATCACACTTTCTGTCTTTAGGCTAACGTGTTATAGAATAGCCCTCTAATCAACACTAAAGCGATATGTAATTTATTCTAGATCCATCAGGTATGCGATGCATGTGTAGTGTGATGGATGGAAAATGAATGGGTATAAAGTGAAGTGTAAATACTATATTAAAAATGTATAGTTTATCTTGTAAATCATAGTGACTGCACATAATAGAACATTTGTCTTTTGGTCTACCAAGAGAGCTGTCAAAATATCAAGTACGTACAAGTACTCTTCTCCTCAATACAATCCCTCATACACTGATTCTAAATGGGGTGAATCCTTTAGTGTAGGTTGGGTTTGATCGTTTGAGCATGGGTACTTGTATTTATATGCATCTACCTAAGAGTCTATCCCATCAGGAAACTCTTAATTAGTCCTTATTGCATTAGAAGAATAATACCCTAATCCATATTAAATAAGGAACCCTTTTAGTCTTGGTATTACACTAATAACACATTTAGACAAAGACTGAAAAACTAGGCTACATCTAAGCTCCTAATCGATATAAAGTTCCAATCCTTATATGAATAGAAGACCACATTAAGTGGTTCAAGATAAAACACCAATTGTGGTACTCTTTCAACGTCTCCAATTTCTCTAAGTCTTTGCATAACCCCCAAATGAGTTATTTTTCATGCTTAAATAAAACACCACACGTCTATTCCAACCATAGCTGGGCTTTTACAGCAGCCCAAAAAAAAACACCTAATTAAAACATAAATCCAAAATGAGTATGTAATTGACTCATCTTCCTACTTTGACTAGGATAACACGTTAGTTACTTTGTACGCACGTTTGAGATCGTTCATCCTTTAAGAAAATTCGGGAAAAATATGTAAATTGTAGTTCCTTGTCTTATCTTTCCAGTCATATATCGCACGCCTTGAGGAAAAATCATGAAAGTATTCAAATAATCATTCTTCCACAGCAGCACAGTTTTGACGGGATTGCACCTTATGCAGACGTAACTTCAAAGACTGCTCTCATTGGCTACTCCGAAAATTCTAGAAATTTTCCACAATCATCTTCAAGATCTTAGCTTTCATCTCCAACTGGTCTTGTACAAAAACTCCACCAAAAAGTGGTATTTCAATTGAAAATCAATTACTTGCTCCGGAAAGCTGAAAATTGAGAAAATAAAGTAATAAGTCCTTTTTAAATCTAATTCTCCTACAAAAACTAAGTATAAAGAGTACATAAATGTGTAAATTTATGGACTTATCAGTGATTGTAGCTAGCTATACTGCATGATGACATGTAACTAGATTCATTTGTCAAAAAAATAATAAACATACAATTAAACTCACATAATTTATTAAAAGAACTTAACCAAACAACAATAAACAAAACTCAGCTCCACTAATTCTGCATAATGATATAGCCATAATTGTAACAAGACTCCTAATAAAACTTTTGGGAATAACCTTATTCAGTGAATCAATCAAACCAATGCAATTTTCTTTCTTTTACCTTTTCCCCTACAAGCATAAAACACAAACTAAATGCTTATTAGCAAACACAAAATCAATAAAAAGTGAAAGTCATTGATTAACCAATGTCGACTGAAAAATATGAATTAATAAGAACAATTACACATTCAAAACAATTTTTGTTCTTATTAGCCTTAAGTTAAAACCCTTAATGAAGAACCAAAACTTTTGTGATTAATCATAAACATTCAAACTGAATATGCAACAACGAAGATCATTGAATGCTCCTACTCATCTAGCATGTATTTTGCAACCAAAACATATTTCAGAAGCAATAAAACAAATTAATTGATGCAGAGAGTCTAGCAAATACATACATGGACCATGGGGATCACGTTCATGCATGGGGAAAGTCTTAATAACCTATATTAAATAAGTGTTTCTTCGTATTTGGGAGTTATCTAGGTTAATGAATAAAGTTATGAAGAGTCTTTTCATCTTTGTGAGTTATAGGGAGATTTAATGTGAAATTATCATTAGGAGGGAAGTTGGGATAGGAAAGGTTTAGGGGAGTTATGAGGAGTTATCCCATCTTGATTGAAAGGCTGCAGGAAATTGTAAGAAAGGGGCAGTTGATGTTTGTTTATTGAATGAAGATTGAGATTTTTCTCTCATCTCTTTACTCTTTTCCTAGGTATTCTCATAATTAACATAATAGAGTTTTAATTTCGGGTATTCTTAGAATCAACAGAGTTAAGTTTGCTCGAAATTATCTCTTGTTCTTGTTCCGCTACATCAGTTGGTATTAGAGCGGCCTTTCGACATGCACTCCGAAATCTTGGTCCCCCCCACCCCCCAAAAAAAGGAGGTCTAGCTCTATGGCTCCAAGAGGCAGAGGACACGGTGGTCGGCAAAATGTTGAGGATGCAAGGTACGCACGTTTGGAGGAACAAATCCAGCAATTTGAGGAGCGCTTTGACATGATTGCGGAACAAATTGCTGCACTAAATATTGAGAACCGTTCTCAAAGTTGTCATGGAGAGGAGGAAGAACGTTATGAAAGTGAAGAGACTGAAAATCCATTTGGGAATCATAGACAGAGAAGACATGTTCCTCCACGAGATCATGGACGATGGGAGTCGGGTTTCACACTCGAAATTCCATAATTTAAAGGATATTTGCAACCAAAAGAATTCTTAGATTGGGTTGTTGCAGTTGAAGAAGTTTTGGATTTCAAAGATGTGCCACAAGACAAGCAAGTTCCCTTAGTGGCTATTCGATTTCGAGGTAGAGCAGCTGCGTGTGGCAGCAATTGAAGCAAACTCGAATCCGAAAAGGAAAGCAGAAAATTCATACTTGGGAAAAATTGCTAAAGTATATGCGACCCACCTTCTTTCCACACAATTATTCCAGTCAACAACTCCAGAACTTGGACCAAGGTTCTCACTCTGTCGATGAATACACAACAGAGTTCTATCAATTGATTGCCCGTATTGATTTGGGAAAGTCTGAAGATCAGTTGGTATCTCGCTATATTATATAAAATATTTATTTTGTCATGATCCAAGGTGGTTGGCAGGTTGCCATATGCACTTACTTTAATTAAGTTTTACTTTTTTTTCTATACAATACTTTAATTAAATTATTACTTGACTCGATTAACAAAAAGTTAGTTTAATTAAAAATATAGGGAGCTTTTACTTGTAGTACTCTATTTTGTTTTTTTATTCTGGCAAAAAAAGAAAAAGAAAGAAACCCATAAAAAGCATAAAGGGAAAGAAAAAAAAACTCTTTAAGATAACAGAATACACCAAATAGAAAAAATGGTTACTTAAAAAGCTTGATCTCACCTCAAATCTAAAGGTCTTTTTTGGTTGCTCAGTCTATTTCAAAAGTCGAGTACTACCAAAGGAATATGTGCTTTGTAAAAAGGAGGGTGGTTTGTCACACATCTACACTATTAAGGTGTTATCAAGGTTCGAATCTAAGACTATCTGTTTACAAGTAAAGACTCTTTTCTATTGAGCTAGATCCCGTTGACATAAAAAATATAAACATATTAGAAAGATACTTATATCTGGTAAGAGGCTTATGTTGTTTGCACAAACACAAATAATACTACTAGACAAGCATGAATTACACCACTCTAAAATGCAAGGTGACCGTGAATCACGTTGTCATGCTTTAGTTGTAATCGGTCGTATTTATTTGTATACACTTGATAATAAAGAATTGCTAGAAAAATGTTTATGTTGTCAGACAACAAATTTAAAACAATCATGTAGAGAAAAATCAACTCGATGAATAATTTAAATGTTATTCAAATTCACAGTCTGACTTTCAAAAAGAAGTAGTAATGTTGTCCAACAATTCTAGTGAAGTAACATTTCTCACTAGTAAATAGCATATAACTACAATCCGTAAAACTCCAATGCCAAAAGAACAAAAAAGAACAACAAAAATGAGTCTCTATAAGTTCTTTATGTTTTCCAAATTGGGTCAACAAAATCGCACGTACTTTTTTGGTCCGAACATGTAGCACATTAGGCATTTATTTAAACTACAATATATTTAAATCTAAATCAAGCAAGAATTGGTGGGAGTGGGACACAAAGAAGATTCAAAGATTGGAAAAACAATTAAGAAATCAAGCTCAACCATGAAAGACACTGCTTCTCAGAAACTTCCTTGTGTGTATAATAAGTCGTTTGTCTTAAAACTCTACGCCGGGTGCCGGCATCCAACGCCATCTCCCCAACTCTTGACTCTTCACCTTTCTTCTTCTTCTTCTGCAGAAGGACATCGCATTGATCTCTCTTCATTCAAATCGGAGCTACCCAAGTAGCCCAACCGTTTGAAGTGGGTCAGGACAGGACAGGACAGGACCCAAAACTGGTGGTGGTCTCCCCTTCTCACTCTTTCTCTCTCTGGAAGGGGCTAAGGCTGAGGAGAAGTTGATCCATTTGATAAAATCCAATTTATTTTGCTTCTAGGTTCGAGGTATTTAATTGATTTCAATTGATCCCCGTTTTGTTTGATTGTGTTGTGTTTGTTACTAAAAGTGAGCTCTTTTAAAGTGAATAGGTGTAATTGGAATCTGTAAGTTGCTTTCATGCATTCCATGCCATCTGTTCTGCAACTTCATTTATTTCAACTTTCAAAAACTGGTTTGTTTCAATATTACTGAGCTATATTTTATATGTGAAAGAAGCGAAGAAAACTGGTTTGTTTCAATACACTCGTTTTGAATAAGATTGCATCCCATAGCTCTAAAAAGATGAACAAGAGAAAAGAAAAATGAAGATATAATCAGGACTTTGCGGAAAAACCAATAAAGTTTCTTCCTTTGGGTCACCATACATTTACTATTTATTTCTAAGTTTGTTTATTTCATGTGCATTATTCTTCTGCTTGCAAACATTAATATGAGTGATTGCTATTACATGGTCTAAGTTACTTTATCAAATGGGTAAATGCATCTTATGTTTTTGTGAGCAGGGTTCCTGCTTTGGTGTAATTTCATTTCTGTGTTGTGGTTCCTTCTGAATCGGTTGGTAATCTGTACTTGCAGATGGTTTCCATAGATGAAAAGACAGACCTTGAATATGATGAAGAGATCCCTTTTAGCTCGTCATCAGCCACCAGTAAAATGGAGGCCTTGGATTTTGAGATGATCCATTTGCATTCCCGGGCAGAATTGGCAAACTCATGGATTTCAAGACATATACGGATGAGAGTTCCGAAGAGTATCTACTTTGTCTTAATCAAAGCAAAAATCAACGTATTGCTACCGTTTGGTCCGTTAGCGATTTTGCTACATTACCTTACTGGACAGCATGTATGGTTCACATCTCTCTATCATTTTTATGACCGTTTCTTTAAGTTTGGAGAAGAATGTAGTGAGACTTAGGAAGTAGGAAAGTATCGTAGAAAAATTGTCTTGAAATTGTTTTGCAGCAAGTGATCGAGATTAGTGGTTTGCTTGTGTTCTTTTGCATTTTCTATTAAAACTTGAAATAATAACCTTGTGATGTAGCCTTATCATATGTGGCAAGGTGTTCAAACATAGTTTCTCTTAGACACATTGTTCAAGATTCAATAATTTAAATTGACATCACCCCAAATCCATTGACAGTTGCTTTGTATACGTTAGGGATGGGTTTTCTTCTTCAGCTTAGTGGGCATTGTGCCTTTGGCAGAGCGTCTAGGATATGCTACTGAGTAAGTTCTGGTTTGTGAAATTAAATATAGCATTAAATTTTCCTAACTTTGTCTAAGGCTAAGTCTTGCCTTGCCAATTATTGTGCTGCAGGCAACTTGCTTTCTACACAGGACCAACAGGTATGATTATAGTTTTTACCATGCCAACTGATGGTAGCCTAAATGTTTTTTGCATTTTCATGAATTTTTGTTGTGATATACATATTTCTAACTGAATTACGATTTCGGAGAATCTTTGTCTGAATATATAACTATATTTTTGAAGGTTCCTGTCTTAGTTTAGACTCCTGGCTCTTCCACTGCTATACAATAATGTTCTCTTAACAAATTATCTAACACGAAATTTTGCTAGGTTGTCAATCGGGTCTTTACCTACTTTCTAGTTTATCACTATGTACGTGTTCTGGTTCAGTGGTTTATGTGAAGTGGATTGTTTTTGTACACGACTTTGATCATACCAATGTGTGTAATAAAGTTTGTGCCACTGGTTGATTAGATTGTCTGCTTACAAGTGTGTGTACTGTACATTCCTTAAGATTTTTAGTTGCTAGAAAAAGAGTGATTCAGATAATTAAAGGTTATCACAGTTTCCCAGTGCCAGATAACCTGATGTACTGTTCATTATGGAAATGGATAGGTAGTTCCTCTTGTTTTCAAATGGAGAAGTTTCTTAACCTACTTACTGATTCAAAGTATCTTATACCTTTATGTAACCTTTTCTTGTTATCTCTCAAGTGGGCTGGTTTTTGTTGGGATTGCAGTTGGAGGTCTTTTAAATGCCACATTTGGAAATGCAACGGAAATGATTATATCAATTTATGCATTAAAGAATGGAATGATTAGGGTTGTTCAGCAATCTTTATTGGGATCAATCTTGTCCAACATGCTTTTAGTGCTCGGATGTGCCTTCTTCACTGGTGGAATCGTTCATTACCAGAAAGTTCAGGTTTTCAACAAGGTAGATCTTCAAATTTTGTTGAACCTTGTACCCTGAATTTTTTTTAGTGTGGGTTCTTTGACATTCTTTCATCTTGCTGTCATGAATTTACATCCAAATGTGGTTACTTTTGCAACAGTCTGCCGCCGTTGTGAATTCAGGATTGCTGTTGATGGCTGTCATGGGGTTAACGTTTCCAGCTGTGCTTCATTTTACACACTCAGAGGTCCATTTCGGGAAGTCAGAGTTATCTCTTTCAAGATTTAGCAGCTGTGTAATGCTAGTGGCATATGCGAGCTACCTTTTCTTTCAACTTAGAAGTCATCGTAATCTTTATAGTCCTATTGAGGAGGTTAGTTAGGTTTGCTCAATCGTCTTAAGGGATCTAGAATGTCATTTTCTTTCTATTTTGAACATTGTGCATTAGTTGTTCTTCATCCTTTGTTAGTTGTTTGTTTTTTTAAAACTATGGACCTAAAATGATGAATTCGTTACATTTTCTGAACCTTGTATGATCTTCAGATTCTATAGGTGCTTTAGTCAATTGGTTTTTATTTTAAAAAAATTTCAAAGTTAAGGGGTTTATTTCCTTCTTAAATTTATTATGATTTTATTATCCATAAAGAAGAGTGATTAGTAGTTCTTTTAAGTATCTATTGAAACCCAAAAGTTAATACATGGAATGGTTCTTGGGAACATTTTCTGACTTAAACTGCTTTTAGTTGTTTAATTATCCTCTATTTTGCAATTGTCTCAGGAAGGAAACCAGGGTGGAGATGATTCTGATGAAGAGGAGGCTCCTGAGATAACTCACTGGGAAGCAATTGGCTGGCTTGCTATTTTAACTGTGTGGGTGTCCATTTTGTCTGGATACCTTGTTGATGCTATCCAGGTAACACCTGCTTGATATCCTTGCCCAGTGCTATGGATGCATATTTTCTGAGCTGATATTCTGCTGACCCTTTGCACTTTGTGTATGTTGTCAAAGAAATGCATACTACTAACTACCTGGTTTTCCAATTATGAATGAGAAACATTTGGTCTTCACTTAAAAATTATCATTTAACACTATTATATTATTATATCCAATTCATGTCCTTAAAAATATCGTAAATTTCAAAAGCCCATCAAGTCACTCTGTCAGTAGATGGCCCTTCTCTTGGTCAACAATTTTAAGTTCTCAAATCCAATTCCGTTCCACTTGTAAGGAGGAAGGCTGTGACAGATCAGTCCAAGTGTATAGCTGTGGCTTCATGTTCCAAATTGACCAATTTAACCATCTCGTAGTGGTAGAAGAAATCCAGCAGATGCTAATGGCAACTAAGATTCTAGATGTTGTGTAACTATGAGATTATAGAACTAGTTTTCCTTGACTTCCCAAAGATGCGCCCAGCCTCAACTTTGCCAGATGAAAAACATATTCATCAAATTTAGTTGATATTTTCTTCTAAATAATGAGATGACCATTCTAACCATATTATCACCCTGCAACCAAAGTCCCTGTTTCCTGAAACCAAAGAGTCACTTCAAAGTTCTAACCCTTCAAGAGCTTTTTAATACTCAAACCCTTGATTCATGACTCCAATAAATTAGAACTTTTAACTGACCTTCCCTCCCCTAAATTTTCCTTACATCATGATGAAGTATAGGTGGCTTGTTCAACCTTCCATTTCTGTATAACCATAACTTTGAAGCAAAATTTCTTGTCCTATATCAATTTGTTACCAAGCTCTATATCCTATGCCAAAATGCCTTTTTCTGTATTTGATTGTGAAGCACATTTTTTTATATTCTTGGTTTACTGGTAATTTGACCGTAGTTTTGGGTAACTATTTGATAACTTAACATATTTACTGTTTCTCCAGGGGGCATCTGACTCATTCAACATGCCTGTGGCATTCATCAGTGTTATACTGCTCCCAATTGTAGGAAATGCTGCAGAGCATGCAAGTGCTATCATGTTTGCCATGAAGGACAAGCTTGTTAGTGCTTTCAAGATTTGTAAACCTCATTTTATAGATTTCATTTATTTTGTTGATGAAATTAATCTTTCTACAGGACATCACACTTGGAGTTGCTATTGGATCTTCTACACAAATATCCATGTTTGTGGTAAGGACTTGACAGTTGACTAGCTAGCTAATGAGTTCTCACTGCAGATTCTATGAACCATCACAAACCTCTGTTGGACTTGCTTGTTATAGTTTCTCTTGAGTTGATTACATTCCTTAAACAGGATTACATTTCAAAACAGGAACTAGGAAGCTAATAATTTTTGTGCTCTTGACAATTGTAGATTCCCTTCTGTGTAGTTGTTGGGTGGATTATGGGACAGCGAATGGACTTGAATTTTCAACTCTTTGAGACTGCTACACTTTTTATTACAGTGTTAGTAGTGGCATTTATGTTGCAGGTTTGTGATTTTTTTCTTGTTTGTCTTCCTTTTAGCCATGAAGATTTCTCTAGTTTTAACTTTTAACGTATTTTTGCCGACTTAGAATTCCAGGAAATATTCTAAAATTGAGGAAAAAAAGGAAAGTTATATGTAAAACGATTACTTATAAACTAAAATCATCCAACTTTGAGGCTTCTAATGACATCATCCAAGATGAATTGTGCTACATAAACTAAAATCAGGGAATTATTTTCTCTCTCTTGTGGGAAAACTGCAAAGCTGTGTGTCATGCTTTTTTATTTTATTTTATTTTTAATTGTACAGTATGACAAGTTGATTTGCCGATGGATTTAGACATTTCTTATCACCTAGTTGCAGTTTTTTTTTCTTGTTCATTATTGCCTGATATAAGATTCATTGCCTTTATCTTTGTAGGAAGGGACATCAAACTATTTTAAAGGCTTGATGCTTATTCTGTGCTATCTCATAGTTGCAGCCAGTTTCTTTGTACATGTCGATCCTTCAGACGGTGAGTCACAAAGAACTTATTATATTTTTTCAAGAGAAAACAAACGTGGATATCTTTGTATGCAAGGGCATATTCCGGCCTCGAAAATATGAATCTCTTTGTTGTTTCATTTTCTGCATATGATCCCTCAAGTTTCAACTGTGTCAAAATCAACACATTAATTACTTTTACAGAGTTGATATTCTACTAAAATAACAAATTAAACTTGGTCTTAGTTATTTGTTTGTTGGGTTTTGTTGCAGATGATGATTAAACTAACCATTGGAATGGTGGCCATACATGTAAGAATCTATCTATCTATCTATCTATCTGTAGGAGATATACAGGAAGCTACGCTTCCGCAGCCTTCTCAAGCCTGTGATATGCATTTTATTTGCTTTATTTTTGTTGATCATAGAACGGAAAATCCAAATGATCCCCCAAGCATCAAAAGTCTGCAAACTTCCTCAGCTTTGTATAATAGAGTAGTATGATTCTCTTCAGAAGCATGGACACTCCGTTTTGCAATGGTTTTCGACAAAATGACATGCCTCACTTTCGAATCAAAATTTTGTTCTTCGATCTTTGTTCACTTAGGTTGTGCTCTCTCAATAATGTTTGCCCAATGCCGTATTTTAATTTCACGATATTTCAAAACGATTAATGTATCTGTTCATCTTGATTATTATGATTTATTTATTTATAAGTATCTATTTACATTACTTTGAACCATTTGAAATTTTAAAAAGAAAATATATGTAGGTTTTATATTAAAATTCGTAATTCAATACCTAAAATACTAGGAATTAGGTTGATTAGTATGAGTAGTTGATTCAATTCCAATTCCTCGTCTGAATGATTGTCTCTCTAATAAATACCAAGAACATGTAAAAGTGTAAAAAAGGTAAATTATGTAAAAGACTTAACAAAGTCAATAACTAATAACAATTACTTATACTATTATACGAAATTTGCCACTACCACCAAACCAAAGTCAAACAAAAACACTAGTTAGAAACAAGAAGATAAACTCTAGCAAATTCTAGTCGACCTAAAAAAAATAAGGAAAGTTCAACAAGTTGTTCTTTTCTACATGATAGCGCAGGCATTAGGATTTTCATCATTAAAGAGACTAGTATAAGCATCCATTGCATGCTCTTGCTGTGATGGCAGTTCATTCAAGTATTGCCCTTGGTGATTAGGGCTGCCGTACCCAATCATCCCTTGTGCTGCTGGACCCACTGGATAGTTGCCCATGATGCCCATCTGGACCATCTGGCCCACCTGACCCTTTTGATGCATACCCCCTCCACCGTTGCCTTTACCTTTGATCTCCTTCCCTTTGTTGCTCGCTTTGCCACTTTTGGCCACTTTGCCTTTGTTTTCTTCTTTGCCACTTTTGGCCTCTTTGCCTTTGTTTTCATCACCACCAATCACAATGCCACCGTCTCTTTTACTTGTACTTCTTCTGCCAAGCCAATTTTTCCATCCAATTTTTTCTTTACCTTTTTTACCATCATTCCCTCCCATGCTTACCTTGGGCATCTCAACACCATCATGAAGCTGACTGGCCATTCTTCTTCTTTGTGTATGTGAGAGAGAGAGAGAGAGAGAGAGATTGATCGAGTGAATGTGGTAATTGAGACAGTTTAACAATCACACCTCAAACACATGTTTATATAGTAAAACACGATTGATAACCCCATTTGAAAACTTTGAAAACAGGAAATATATCTTGTTTTCTTTGGAGAAACAGGAATGCTAATTGAGGAAGCAAGAAGAAAAGAAAGAAAAAGGGAAACCAAGATTTACAAGATTTGTGAAGAAAAAAAAAAGGAAAGGGGGAGGCTAAACCCATGATTTTACTTTATAAATTTTACAACTGGTACACCTCACTGCCCTACTTGCCGATTATTGGAGTAAAAAAAGGGGTAACATTCAAAATTACACTTTGAAGTACAACACAAGTTAAGTCGTGGACAACCATGCAATTGACAATCTCTCTGTCTTCTACTGCAAATTCACTTCCGTTCTTTCCTCTCTTTTTTTGGGTCGAAATAATGTACTTACTAAAATATAAAGATTAAAGTGGTGAAGAGCATTCGATTCTCCATTTTCTCAATATCGCTTTCGTGAAAGAAAAAATAAATCAATTTACCGAATCAATTTAATTGAAGCAACCAAAGCATTGTGTATTGAGAACTGTAACCTTTTCTTTTCACTTTTGCTATGGTTTTTCCCGAATACGACAGTCTGCCTCCAAATCAAAGTTTATTTCCTTGATGTTAGGTCCACCCCATTCATTTAATTTTGTTTCTTTCATCCTAAAGTGTCTATTTTGATATATTTCAAAACATTAATTTATGTAACAAATTGGATGCCTGGAGTTTTCAAGTTTGCTTTCAGAATGAATTTTGAAAAGCCATAATTTGCAGTTCAACACAAATTTTAAATTGTAGATAATCACTTCCCCCTCAATCATAAAATGGAAAGAAAACCCTTTGAAGTTAACTAAAAACCCAATTCCCTTCTCTACCTCCTTCTACTGGCGGTGCAATATTATGGCTTCTGCTTTTGTGGTACTTTTGGTTTTGCAACTTTTGCAGCAAGTCAATGCAAAGCATAGTTATGAAGCAGAAGGTGGATCAAGATGTGATTTGTACGAAGGAAGATGGGTTTTTGATGATTTACATCCTCTATACGATTCAACTCACTGCCCCTTCATTGAGAATATTTTCAACTGCCAAAAGAATGGTCGACCTGACAAACTTTACCAGCAATATAGATGGCAGCCATCTGCAGGTAACTTACCAAGGTACCTCAGTGCCGAAGATTTCTTACAAAGATTCAAAGATAAACGCATAATGTTTATTGGAGATTCACTGAGTTTGAATCAATGGCAGTCACTTACATGCATGCTTCACACAGCCATGCCACACTCTGAGTTCACCATAGAGATGCCACCCCTCAAGTACACCACTGAGAGAACCCTTTCCACATTCACATTTCCGGTAAGATTGGCTTTCTCCATTCACTTGGTTCTACGTCACGCCCTATCTTGAGCATTAACCTAAAACTTGGATTAGACTCATTCTTGAATTGGGGCGTGACAGTTAAGGCATATCGTATCCCAATATTATTCAATAATTATTAACCTCAATGCATAATGCACATCTTGTCTTCTATGATGAAGCAATACAATGTTTCGGTGATGTTTGCGCGCAATGTATTTCTTGTTGATATTGAAAAAGAGGGTTCTTGGCAAGTTTTGAAACTCAACTCAGTCAAGGACACCAAAGTATGGGAGGGAATGGATGTTTTGATTTTCAATACATGGCATTGGTTTGTTCACACCGGGAACATACAACCGTATGTAGTCTTCACCAACTCCTAAATATTTGCTTCATAACTTTGTTTGTTTCCCTTCCAATTAGGGGTACCAAAAATGCATGCATAATGCATTGTTGGCTATCTATGAATATGTTTACTTTGTTTAATTTGTTGTAGATGGGATTTCATCCAAGATGCAGAAAATACATACAGAGACATGAATCGCTACGTTGCCTTCGAGCAGGCTTTGGAAACATGGGCTCGATGGGTGGATGAGAACATGGATCCCTCCACAACCAAGGTCTTTTTCCAAGGAATTTCACCCACTCATTTCAAGTAAGTTATGCAGAGCTCATTCGGAATTAGAATGATTTCAATATATATGTCCAATGTCTCATGTGTAAAGCGTTGTTTTTGATGTATGACAATTTATTTTTCTCACCACGATGTATTTGAAGTGGGGTATATTAGCCCGACCTCTTAATAAAGGCCCACATCATACCTTACATAGCCCAAAGCCATCTTGGAGCACCCAATAACCTATTAAATTAGAGTAATTAGCATTTTCGCACGCACTTCTGCGAGGGCCTTTTTAAAAAAAAATTAAAATTTATTTTAGAATTGAAAATAATAATGAATAGTTGTGTTCTATAAAAATTGGATCAATTATCTGATTTTTCTTTTAATTTTAATGTGAAAAATGTGAATTTACCATATTATCCCCATTTAATTAATAATTTCAATTCTTAATATTTGTATTAACCAAGAGCATTTTCTGGTATTTTGAATGTTTTACTATTCTCTGTCTTTTGCTTTATCTATATACTAGCTTCTCTGCACACGCTTCCGCCCGTATGAGAGGTTTTTTTTAAATCACGCGCGCTACGCGCGACTTACAAAGTTTCGTAAATATTTTTTCGCAATTATATTTATATAGATGTCCGTTTCAAAAGTTTCATATTTTAATCGTGTGCATGTGATATATCATCGTTTTAAATGTTTTCCTTTATCTACTGTATTTTTCTAGACGTCCATCTTAGTAGATTACACGCTATATTGTGCATGTCTTATTTTTATAGAACACAACTACCCATTATCTTTTTTAATTCTAAAATAAATTTAAATTTTTTTAAAAAAAAATCCCCTTGCATGCTCGGAAGCGCGTGCAGAGAGGCTAGTATATATAAATTTAGAATATCTCATTGTAAAAAAAAAAACAACAAAAAATTTTAACACATGCATACTATGCTATCACATGAGTCATTAGTAATACCATGTGGGGATCACCGCCACACCATAAAATTAATCCAATTTTTGATTATCAACTAATATGGGATATACATATGTGAGTTAGACTAATTGACATGCGTGCCCTTCCCCTTTACCCAAGTTCTAATTCCTCTCAAAATTGGTCACCATTTAGTCACATGGCTTCTGGATTGCATCAGTCATCATTGGGGGGCATTGGGGAACCCAAGAATTTTTTAGGGGAGGGGCAATTTTTAAAACGCTAAAAGCTAAAATTAAAAAAATAACACCAAAAAGATAGACAACCAAATAAAAAATAAAAAAACCTTAGAATTTAAACAATTCTAATGTCATTTGTAATTCATAGAAAAAAAATATAACATTACAATTAAGTTACAATTGTTCACTGCGAGCTTTCATATCATGAAAACAATGACAATATTTTATACAAACTTGGTTTCTTTTTTTTTTTATAAAAAAATAATGCAATTTTATACATACTTGATCGATATTAACATTGCAGACTTGATAGATAATTAATATTGCGGCCCAACAAATTTATGCAAGGACAATCCTTATTTAAGGCCCAATTTGTTTTTCATCCAATGACCCAATTGATTTATCATATACTAAATAGCATGTAGGAATTGCAGTCGCACTCACATGTTTATTCCTCCTTTTTTTTTTGGCCTGGTACAACATGACGTCTTTTTGCTCAGAACTTAAAAATCAAAAGGACAACAGGTGTGATGCGCACACAGCAAAAGAAAGGAACCCAGCAAGTTTGCTTAAGCTTTTTTTTCAAACACTTGGAGTACAGCAATAGCCAGAGCAGAAGTGCAACTCCAGCAGCTTTAATGGAGATTTCCGGCGACCAAAGATGCATGTGCACCTCCTTGCGCCTGCACAGGTCCGCCAGTGTTGGGGGGCATTAACTAAATGAAAATTGGTCATCAATCACATGACATTGTAACCAATTGAAGTGGCAAATGACATGACGCAAGACCTGTCGCCCAAACTTTTGTGTGCGTAGAATTGGCATTAAAAGTTGTTACACTGCTCCTATAAGAATACCATTTTTATCATGTTTTACTGGGACAACTTAAAGATTTATAAAAGAAATGTTGAAATTTTTAAAAGAAAAAGGTCACACACAAAGAACATTGAAAAACCTAATCACAATTTTTTCTTGTTGTGCAGTAAAGATTTCCCACCTTCATTAAAATCAAAGATAGAACAGAGATTCCAATGCACAATATGTAAAGTGTGTCAAGCCAAAGCTATCAGCCTATCACATTAGCTATGAATCCATGACCCTTCCACAACAAATATAGCCTCTCCTCATCAAGTTATTGACCCTCCATTAATTCACCCAAATTATTTATCTCTGAAAAAAAAATGTGGGAGGTGCTGATGACAGTTTTAAAACTTCCCCCAACCCCCACTCATACACGATTGAAACTTTTCTGCCAACCTCTCCATTGATATCCATTCATTCATAACGAGTGACTGCAACTTGAATTGAATTCTTTACTTCTCATTTCTTTCCCACAACTTAAAATATAGGAAAACTCTCCCATCAACTACACCATCTACCTCTTAATAAACCCACCAATCTTTTTCTTTACCAATTTCTTTTTTTCTTTCATTTAAATATCCACACCACTCAAGCTTGAAAAATCCAAACCAACTCGATCGATCTAATTTCATTAATTCTTGCATATGGGTGCACTGGGTTTGGGGATTGCCTTTGCACTTCTGGTGCTGCTACCAAGTTTAGAACACCAAGTGCATGGGAAGCAAAGCAATTACGAGTTGAAGAAGTGTGATATTTACCAAGGAAGATGGGTTTACGATGCTTCTTACCCTCTTTATGATTCCAGCCCCTGCAGCTTCATAGAGAATGCCTTCGCTTGCCAGAAGAATGGTCGAGCCGACGAACTCTATCTCAAATATAAATGGCAACCCTTTGCATGCAAGTTACCTAGGTACGTAATTTCTTTTAGGTCAAAGGGAAATTAGAGTTTCGAACTCAGAGTGTGGGGATAAATGCTCACTAATATACGGGAGCTACAAGCCCTAACTAAAGTATGCTCTTTTGTTATATTTTTTTTCCCTAACTAATCTTTGTTTTATAGTACAAAGAAGGGGGCTTGATTACAATTTTAATCCTCTTAAAATATTTACCAAAAAAAGAAGAAAGAAAGAAACTTTAGTGCCTCAATTTCTCATATTCTTATAAATTTGGGCTCAAATTCTTGGTATTGCCTTCATATATCTTATTCCAAGTTCTCTTTTCATGAATGACAAAATTCATTAAACTAACTTATTGAATAGGTTTGATGCGGAAGATTTCTTGGAGAGATTTAGAGATAAACGCATCATGTTTGTTGGAGACTCATTAAGTTTGAATCAATGGCAATCATTCACATGCATGCTACATGCAGCCTCGTCTGAATCTGAGTATAACTTTGAGAGAATAGGATCAACCTCTACATTCACATTCCAGGTATTCTACATGGGTAGCGATGTTCATATTTGTCTTCTAATTATCTGCACTCCAAACTGAATATTTTACAATTTTTTATACGCCCAGACAGAACAATGTAGGAAGCGAAAAGATGAGTGTTCAAAACCACTAGCCTTCTTTATATTCATTTTAATTGAGTATCCTCTATATACATGTGCAGAGTCACAATGTTTCTTTGATGCTTCAACGCAATGCCTTTCTTGTTGACATTGCACACAATAAATATGGGCGGGTTTTGAAGCTCAACTCGATCGACCACAAGGATGGCCTAGCCTGGAAGGAATTTGATGTATTGATCTTCAACACATGGCACTGGTGGCTCCACACGGGAAGAAAACAACCGTGAGATAAATAATTGAATTGTTTATAGTTTTCATGCTAGATTATTTTATATAACTTTAGTAGTAGATTACTTATTTTGTCGTAATTAATCAAATTGAATGTGGTTGGTTGTGTAAATGTATGCATGGCAGGTGGGAATTTATTCAAGATGGAAACACTTTACGTCAAGACATGGATCGCTTTGTTGCCTATGAGAAAGCCTTAAGAACTTGGGCCCGGTGGGTGGACAAAAATGTTGATCCTACTAAAACCAAAGTCTTCTTCCAAAGCATTTCACCGACTCATTGGAAGTAAGTTCACAAATATAATGTTGAGCCTTAGTCTCATAAATTGGTTAACATACGTATCTACTCTTTTTAGTTCAACGGTACAACTTTTGAGTTATAGAAGAGGATAACCTTCCCTTCTTTTAAAAGGGTATCAAATTCTGTCACGTATATAAAATCGAAATTCAAAACCTCCTTCAACAAAATAATAATTAAATATCACTAAGAGCATGTCTAATGGGACTGATCTTGCCTAGGTTAGGTCTAGATTTGGTCTCAAATGAAAAAAAATCACTTTCTAATGCAGTTTAGCCTAGTTCAGTTTAGTCTAAGGCAAGATGAGAGGCTGGTATTGTCTACCTGTTGGCTCGTGCAAGATAAGGGACCCATTGCCAATTTTTGAAAAGGAAAAAAGAAGCAACAAAAGCTGACTCAAACAACTATTGAGGAGTTGCCACGTGGCGCTCTCAAATGGAACAACCAACAACAGCTGGTTGCTTTTTTTTTCTTTTTTTTTTTTTTTTTTTTTTTTTTTTTTTCCTCTATAAAAACCTAACCATTTGTTCATCTCTTAATTACCCCAACATTTCTACTTGTCTGTATTTTTTCATTTTGCTCAAAATTGTTGTTCAAAAGTATTGCTCAAAATTGTTTCCAAAAATAAATTTTTGTGTTGCTTTTCTTATGCTTTGATTTTTATCACAAATAAAAAAATAAAAATTAAAATAACAAGTTTCGAGTTTTTGCCCCTAGCCCCTCATCACCACTAGAACCACAAAATTTGAGATGCTAAATTTTGTGAATAGTACCATTTTGAGGGACTAAAACAGCACCTAGCCCCTAGCCCCTTGCCCCTTGCCCCTTGCCCCTTGCACTTGCATTAGACATGCTCTAACTAAACCAAATGATTATTGACGGCCCAAAAATATATCTATGGAGTCTCTCCATCTATTGGAGTACCAAGTAAGTGACAAGATCAAATTAAGACTATTTGAAATGTTATGTTAACTTGCATGTTTGTTGGTTGTTTTAAATTGTTACTTAAAATTAAAGATGATCATGTTGTGAAAATCAGTGCAAGTTTTTGGGGAAACCCAGAAGGGAGGAACTGCACCGCAGAAACAAGGCCACTGGCAGAGCCACCATACCCAAGAAGTCCACACCCAGCACAGGTGATTGTGGAGAAAGTTTTGAGAGGCATGTCAAAGCCAGTCAACTTGCTTAATGTGACAGCTCTGTCACGGCTAAGAAAAGACGGTCACCCTTCTATATATGGCAATGAAGGCCATCGTGGCATGGATTGTAGCCACTGGTGTCTTCCTGGAGTTCCTGACACTTGGAACCAGCTCCTCTACACTGAGCTCATTCGAAACTGAAATATTATTTCATTACTTTGGGGATAATTATAAGCTGTTTTTGCCTAATAAACAAAAAAATCATGTCAAATATTTGGTTATTGTTACAATGAATATAGAGTCTTTCTTTATTTCAGTTTTATTGCTTTGGATTTTATATGTACGTTTCTTCTTTTGTTTTTTTTGGAAGATAAAGAAGAAAAAAAACCTCAAAACAAGATACATAGTGGTTTGGCTTTGAGACGGTTATGCGATTCTGCCTCACCAATAATTAAGAAAGTTCTTAATTATTTGATCAAATAAAAGGATAATCCAGACTCATAAGAACAAGTAAAATAAAAGAAAATGGGCTGCGACTACCATATCATGTACAAGGGAAATCAATTCTTCAAATTTCACCCCATAAAAAGGAGAAGAACTTGCATGTAACCAGAATATCATCGTGACGATATCCTAACGCTATAGCACATTTTCATGTCGGAAAATTAAAGCACATGATAATAGATGATGGACTTAGGATATTGCCACGCTAGATTGAAAGAGTCGTATCCGCCTTGTTTATTTCCATCTTTTAGTAGAGAGTTGAACCCGCATCAACTTGTTCGGCTTCTTTATCATGCAATTGAGTCCTCACTTGCAGGGGATAGTTGAAGTTTCTTTGCTTAGCCATTGAGTCTCGATTAGTTAGTGACTGCCTCAAAGGTATACTAGGGTGATAGAGTAAAACTCGGTCTAATACATCAAATTTCCTCCGTTTTATGTTTAATTATTCAAATATAAAGCCTTGCGTCTTTGTCCCTATTTGCGACATGAAGAGAGAGCACATCGGTTGACAATGAATGTGAACAAAGTGGATTGAACAAGCAATTTGCGCCTATTAAAGGAACCTGAATTATGCTATAGTCAATTACTTGTATATTTTTATCCATAAAAAGAGTATTGCTATTTGTACCATATTCAATGACCACATTGCTGACCACCTCTCTAATATAGGTGGGTCCCACATACATTTGTGGAGTCAGCTATTAAACAAGTGTTCAGCAATATATTCAGTAACTATGGTATAAATAGCATTGTTGTAAATAAAATTAAAAAGCCCATTATATTGTTCGTTAGATAAATAGTAAATAGACAGAGAAATAATAAAAGCTACGAGTTGGACTAGTGGAAATAGAGTGCAGACCGTTACATGCGGTTTTTTTGGAGGTCCCAGGTTCGAGCCTCAGTAACGTCGCCTTCTTCGTCTTCTTCCTCTTGAGGCCTTGTCAACCGGGTATGTAATGGTGTAACTTTTTTATTTTTAATAATCTACATCAGTAAATTCTGAATTTTATCTCTAGTTCGTGGTTGTAAATGAGAATAATCAATTGAGGCTGTTTCTGTGAAATTAGGGTTTAAGTTTGGTGATCATTTCGTCCACTATTTTGTTAAGCCCTTTTCAAATAATTTCATGACAATGATTCTGCAATTTGTTCTGTCTCACAGAGTTCATCTCTCTGCGGTTTCGAAATTCAAAGAACACGATGTGTTCAGACGAAGCCAAAACCCTAGTCTCCACCAAACAGCCCTTCATCGAAGTCGAACGGGATCGCAGGGTAGAACAGCTACCGTTATGTCCCCCTCGGAGATTATGAAAATGGCGTAAGTTGAAATCTTTAGAGGCGTGTATTATGGTTCCGATCGAAAACCCATCGAGGGCGGCTTATTGGACCCCCGCTTGGGCCCTCCAAACAAGAAGTGTGGAAATTGTGCAACTTGTGGTGCAAATTACAAGGACTGCCCGGGGCATTTTGGGTATTTGGCACTTGCCCTCCCTGTTTACAATGTTGGGTATATGGGCACTGTCGCGGATATTCTCAAGTGCATCTGCAAGTCATGCTCTGGTGTGCTTTTGAAGGAAGAAATGCGGGTTGAGCTTTTGAGGAGGATGAGAAATCCCAAGCTGGGTCCTTTGAAGAAAACTGAGTTAGTGAAAATGGTGGTGAAGAAGTGTACTGGTTTGGCTGCTAACAATAGGCCAGTTGAGTGCTCCAAATGTGGATATTTGAATGGTTCTGTGAAGAAGGCTACCGGCATGGTTGCTATTATTCATGATCGTTCTAAATTTGGTGGTGTTATGGATGAGTTGAGGTCACAATTTCCGAAACTACAGTTTCCAGTGCACCATTTAGCTTGGAGACTCATTTGATGAACCCTGGAGAAGTTTTCTCTCTGTTTAAACAGATGCTTGATGAGGATTGTGAGTTACTTTATCTTTGTACCAGGCCAGAGAACCTCTTGATCATGAACATTCCCGTGCCTCCTACTGCGATTCGTCCTTCAGTTTTGGTGGATGAATCACGGACAAATGAAAATGACATTACAGAGAGGTTAAAGAACATTGTTCAAGCAAATGCTCGTCTTCGACACGATTTAACACAAGATTTACCACCAGCTTATGCAGGCGGGTTTAAGCATAGTTGGGATGCACTTCAAGTTGAGGTTGCTCAGTATATAAATAGTGAAGTTTGTGTTCCCTTGCCATGCAAAGTGGCAATCCGTTGGGTGGTTTTATGCAGCGGATCAAAGGGAAGCAGGGGCGTTTTCGTGGGAATTTATCTGCCAAGCGGGTTGAATATACTGGCAGAAGTGTTATATCACCTGACCCTAATCTGAAAATTAATGAGGTTGGGCTCCCTATCCAAATGGCTCAAATCTTAACCTACCCTGAACGGTTTCCCGTCATAATATTGAGAAGTTGAGGAAGTGTGTCAGTAATGGAATTTATACGTACCCTGGTGCCAGATACGTACGCGGTAATGGCGACGAATTCTACTTAGGGGGTAGCAACAGAAAGGCATATGCTGATAAACTGCAATATGGTGACATAGTTGAACGTCATCTAGAAGACGGGGATGTTCTTCTTTTCAACAGACAACCAAGCCTGCATAGGATGTCCGTCATGTGTCACAGGGCTAAGGTTATGCCTTGGAGAACATTGAGGTTTAATGAATCTGTTTGCAACCCTTACAATGCTGATTTTGATGGTGATGAAATGAACATTCATGTCCCGCAAACAGAGGAGGCGAGGGCGGAGGCTGTTCTGTTGATGGGGGTGGAAAAAAATCTATGCACCCCGAAAAATGGAGAGATCTTGGTTGCTTCAACTCAAGATTTTCTAACATCCTCTTTCCTTATAACAAGGAATGACACATTTTATGATCGAGCATCATTTTCACTAATTTGTTCATATATGGGGGATGGCTTCGATTCCATTGACTTTCCAACACCTGCCGTAATTAAGCCAATAGAGCTGTGGACAGGAAAGCAGTTATTTAGTGTTCTTGTACGCCCGAATGCAAATGTGAGAGTCTATCTAAATCTGACTGTTAAGGAGAAGTCCTACTCCAAGACTGATGAAGATGGAAGAGCAATTGAGGCAATGTGCCCAAATGATGGGTTTGTCTATTTTCATAACATCGAGCTTATAGCTGGGCACCTTGGGAAGGGTACTTTAGGAAATGGCAATAAGGGTGGGTTTTTCTCTGTTCTTCTCAGGGACTATAAAGCTCATGCTGCTGCTGCTTGCATGAATCGTGTAGCTAAGTTAAGTACGCGATGGATTGGTAATCACGGATTTTCAATTGGGATTAGCGATGTACAGCCAGGTGACATTTTGTGTGAAGAGAAAGAAGAGATAATTAAAGAAGGCTATAAAAAATGTGATGAGCAGATAAAGTTGTATAATGAAGGACAGCTGCAACTTAAACCGGGTTCTGATGCAGCACAATCACTTGAGTCTGAGATAACTTGTGCATTAAACAACATCAGAGAGCAAACTGGAAAGTTGTGCATGCACAAGCTACATTGGAGAAATAGTCCCTTGATCATGTCCCAGTGTGGTTCAAAAGGATCTGCTATCAATATCAGCCAGGTGGTTGCCTGTGTTGGTCAGCAATCGGTTGGTGGTTGTCGTGCACCTAACGGATTCATAGACCGAAGCCTTCCTCACTTCCCTAGAGATGCCAAAACCTCCGCAGCTAAAGGCTTTGTTGCTAGTTCCTTTTACAGTGGCTTGTCAGCTACGGAGTTTTTTTTTCCATACAATGGCAGGGAGAGAGGGGCTTGTGGATACAGCTGTGAAAACAGCTGAAACTGGGTACATGGCTCGTAGATTGACCAAAGTTATGGAGGACCTATGTGTTCAGTATGATAACACAGTACGGAATTCAAGTGGATGTATAATTCAGTTTTGTTATGGAGATGATGGTATGGATCCTGCAGTGATGGAAGGAACAGAAGATGGAGCTCCATTAGACTTACCCCGATTGTTTCTGAAAGCCAAGGCGACATGTCCTGCTAGAGAAAATGAGTACTTGTCTCCTGAACAAGTGACTGAGATGGTGAGAAGCAGGCTTTCAAAACAAGATATGACTCTTGATGGTAGTTGCTCTGTTGGTTTCAAAACTTCTTTGGAGCAATTCCTGAATAAATATGTTGAAGCATTCAGAAAAACACACGAGACCTTTTTGTTGGATGATCATTTTTGTTGGATGATCATAGTGCCTGGAAGGAGAAGATTGTGCAAAACATATCTGGTGTTACTTTTAGACAGCTGGAAGTTTTTCTAGATACTTGCATTTCACGCTACCATTCGAAAAAAAATCGAAGTTGGAACAGCAATTGGAATAATTGGAGCTCAAAGTATTTGCGAGCCTGCGACGCAGATGACGCTGAAAGCTTTCCACTTTGCTGGAGTTGCCAGCATGAACATTACACTTGGTGTCCCTCATATCAAGGAAATTTTAGACGCAGTGAAAAAGATCCGTACACCTGTCATCTTTGTAACACTTGAGTGTGAAACGAATGTGAAATTTGCAAGGTTGGTAGCAGGTCGGATTGAGAAAACAAATCTCGGGCAGGTTGCTGAGAGTATAAAGATTGTAATGACTACAAGATCAGCATCTATAGTTGTCATGCTTGATATGGCCATGATTCAAGATGCACACTTGTCTATAGATGCTAATGCGGTAAAAGAATCAATTTTGCAAACTCGGGGAATCAAACTGAAGCAAGAGCATGTTAAGGTTTTGGATGTCAGAAAATTAGAAGTTGTTCCTGAAGAGGCTGATAGGAGCAGACTTCATTTTCGCTTCCACAATCTAAAGAGTATGCTCCCAAATGTTATAGTGAGGGGTATAAATACAGTTCAGCGTGTTGTCATTAATGAGGTAAAAGAAGAGAGAGAAGACAATAAGTACAAGTTGCTTGCAGAAGGCACAGGGCTTCTAGCAGTAATGGGAACCGAAGGAATTGATGGTTGTAAAACCACAAGTAATGATGTTTTTGAAGTGCAGAGAACGCTTGGCATGGCACAGGGCTTCTAGCAGTAATGGGAACCGAAGGAATTGATGGTTGTAAAACCACAAGTAATGATGTTTTTGAAGTGCAGAGAACGCTTGGCATCGAAGCTGCGAGAAATTGCATCATTGGGGAGATAAAGAGTACTATGAAATCTCATGGGATGAGCATTGACGATCGACATATGATTTTTATAGGGGATGTGATGACATACATGGGTGAAGTTCTTGGGTTCACAAGATTTGGAGCTAAAAAAATGGAGAAGGGTGTTTTGGCATTGGCTTCATTTGAGATGCTCTTCTGTTTAATGGTGGTGTAAATGGGAGAGTTGAAAGTGTTAGGGGAGTAAGTGAAAGCATAATCCTGGGTCTGCCAATTCAGATTGGCACTGGAATGTTTAAAGTTAGAACAAAAGTTTCTTCTGGTTTGGGGCAGCTCACAGGTTCTGGACCTCCACATTCAGATGTGCAACTGCCTTATGGGTCTGCAGGCACTACTTTTCCAACTTAAGTTGAAGAAAAACTGAAGCTGGATTTTGCAGAACTGCTCTTTTTTTTTTGGGTAATTTGAATCATCTCATTTCCAAGTCATTTTTGTTGTGAACTTGTCATATCCATTGCCACATAAACCTGACTTATTTTTTTACTTTATTTTTGTTTTCTCTAAATTGGAAGCCAAACTTCAAAAGATCAGAGTGTTTAGATATTCATGGAGAGCCAGCTGGGGCTACTAGTGTTGTCATATCAGATTTGAACTATAAGAAAATTTTGTACTTCCTATGGTTTCTGATTGAGGCTCCTGCCTTTTTATCAGATTCATCTTCATGATATAAGCTCACATTTATTCCTTGTTGCAGAAGTAGAATCTAACTGTGCCTGGAAATAAATTTTCCATGTCATGCTTCGAGAAATCAACGTAAGAGAATCAATCGGTCTCAAACTTGAGCTGCGGCTTTATGATTTAGTTCATCTGTTTGCATGTCAATAAAAATTAATCATTTTTTCCCTTGTATTTTACCCCAGAAAAACAATGAAAAGGAATAGAAAAAAGTGAAGAGTACTAATCATGGAGGTGATAAGAAATTTAAGTCTCAACCTCTTTTGATTTGTCCTGATGGATAACAGGTAAATATTCCTTGCATATCAACTGTGGAGGAAAAGAAATAAATATTGGTAGCAACAGGTATGAAGCTGATAGAGAACAAAGAGATGCTTCAATGTATTAATGGGTCAAAACTGGGCTCTCAGTAGCACAGGGAACTTCATGGACAATGAAAGAGGCATAATTGTGGTAGGACATTTCCTTATAACTCAGTTTAGGGAGATTACAGCCTACTTGTTCAAACGAGAGACTGAAGTTGCCAACTGCTTGTGTGATAGTGAGAGAGATTTTTTTATAACTAGCTTGTGCAAGAAGCTGATGATATTACCTATTTTCATCAAAATTTTCATGTTTTTGGACTCCCGATATTTTCATATAGACCGATATTGAAGTTGTCTTGTGAAGCAGAAAAACTTGTATGACATGTGGGATTTCTCTTGGTTATCTGATTACATTGTATTCTTATCATACTTTGTATAGGACTCTATCTGTAATACTGTATAAATCAATACGATATGCCCTCATGATGATTGAGTCTTTACCCCATACTTTCCAATTCTTTCATGATTGAGGCTGTAAAATATATACAAGAAAAATTTCAGACTGTAAGCCAATAGGCTCTTGATACCATGAAAGAATTGGAACACATGGGGTAAAGCCTCAATCATCATGAGGGCATATTGTATTCAAGGGCAGAACCATAAATTTTTCAATGGATGGGCTAGCTAAAGTTATTAGCTTAAAATCTAATGAATTTTTTTTTTTACTTGCATTTTCTATAGTTTTTCTAGAAATAAAAATATACATTAAATCATGCTAATTATAAACACAAGAAAAAAAAAATAGAGCCATATTATTCATGAAAGGGTGAATTATAATTAAAATAATGCTTCTCTTTTGGAGACAAATTGATGTTGGGACAAACTTTGACACCAAATACAAATGTGGAAGACCTCTAACTATGCCAATCGCTATTGAAATTGTGTGTGTGTATATATATATATTATACATATATATAATAGTTAAAATATTAGGCTATATGTATATTTAATTTATTTTTTGGCCAAACCTTCCTTGGGCTATAGCCAATGATAGCCCTTGCCTTGGTTCCGCCCATGATTGTATTGATTTATACAGTATTACAGATAGAGTCCTATACAAAGTATGATAAGAATACAATGTAATCAGATAACAAGAGGAATCCCACATGGAATAAACATAAATACAAGATAAGATAGAGTCTTGAGGACAATAGTCATCAAATAACGGGGATTTTGTGATTGGATGAGGATAGCAAAATAGTGTTATTCCAGTTTTATTTCTCCTTGTGAAGGCTTTTGTGCTATTTATATTATAAATTTTATTTTTCAAAAGGCTTTTGAGCTATTGTTCCACTATATGAAGGACAAGATGCAGACGTACGTATAGGTATTAGGTAAGTGCCGGGATCAATATATAATTCATGGGGTGTATACTGATTGTATTACAAGGATAAATAAAATACAAATTTATAAATAAAACGGCTTTGATGATAACGTAGACTATGATAAGCTTTAACAGATAACCATAGCAAATAATTACATGTTCATATATACAAAATTAAATAGAGGAGGTAGAGTTGATTAGGAATGGGTATTGGAATGATTCCAATTCCTACTTTTCCTATGTTTATTAACACACGAGTATTGGAATGATACAAATTCCTGACCTTCCCTGCATTTGTTAACACATAAGAAATGAGAAATTAAGTGCTATCTACGTTAAAATTGTAATTGCATACACTCAAAATCGAGAATGAGATCAAGTAGAGGGAGTAGTTGATCTGATTTCTATACATTAATTACCCAATTTAAATTTTCCAATTCATGACTTCTCACATCCTAGTAGGTAAACATGAATGTAGAATTTGGGAAAGAAATACCTATTAAAATATTCATTTTGGCTCCACAATAAAGAGAGGAGGTAGAAATTTCCTATAAAAAAAAAGGTTGTGGAAAGTGAATAAGAGATAGAAAAATTTCTAATTAATACGAGGAGTAAGTTATTTCTGGACCCTACCAATATAAATTATTTGATATTAAAATAGGTGAGCGACCGTGTGTCCCTCAAGTCAACGGGATATTAAATATATCAGGCTCTTTTGAATTTTCAACTGAATCAATATAAACACCACTCAAAGTCTTTGTTTATTTCTAAAATATATTATAAACTGTTAACTTTCTAATAATTACACCAATAACATTCAATTTATAGATTTCTTTCATGGTCATTTTATTTTTTGATGTGTTGACGGATTCCATTCCATCATCACTTGTTTACATTTTTCATTAGCATTACAAGAAAAAGGTTTATTAGTGGCGAACAAATTGGTGACAAAAATATACCAAATTAGCGTTTAGTGGTCAACCAACTTATAAATCAATTGATCAGTTGGTTGACCACTGATACGCGGTCAATTAGTGACCTCTAGGCACTACTCTTCTAACTTAAGTTGAAGAAAAACTGAAGATGGATTTTGCAGAACTGCTCATTTCTTATTCTTTTTTGGGTAATTTGAATCGTCTCATTTCCAAGTCATTTTTGGTGTGAACGTTGTCATATTCATTGCCGCATAAACCTGACTTCTTCTTTTTTACTTATTTATGTTTTCTCTAAGTTGGAAGCCAAACTTTAAGAGTGTTTAGGTACGCATGGATAGGCAGCTGGGTGTTACTGTTGTCTTGTCATGTCAATGTCACATCTTTGGACTCTTGACTTTGATATTCTTCTGCAATCTTGGCTTTCTTCTATTCTGTTTTCTGATTATCTACAAGCCAAGCCTTTATGAACCAAGGATGAAGAGCCGACCTCCCTTCACGTCCCCACACTGCCACACCCGCTTGTCTTCATATTGAGATGCTTTTCATGTATTGTCTGTATGAACGCATTGGTTGAATGGTGGCCCCATGTCAATATGCCTAAATGAGCTGTAAAATGCAAATTTCGTTTGCTGTTCTACTGTTAAAAAGGATCATAAAGCGATAGTGCATATAAGAGGGAGATTCAAACTTGAGTGCAAGAGAGCCAAGCTCAATCTCTGACCAACTGACTTAATTTACATCTGCTATCTAAATAGTATTTTAACTCGTAATTAATTATTATGTAGTACCGAAACACGGTCTAGCAAGCGAGTTCCATATATTTTAGACTTAAAAGGGTCATAATCTGGCATTTACATGGTATTTTACAATATGGAGGGCCCTATATTAAGGACAGAACGATAGCGATGGATGATGAAAGCTCAGCATTTTACGACATGTACGTACTGTTATGCAAGTTGCTCTCCCATGCATTGCATTCAAACGCGTAGAATTAAATAATGCTTTGGATTTGTTTGTCCCGTTGAAGAATATCATCAGCTGGGCACTCCTGTCCTCTTCTGTTCTAACTTCTGTGTGATGCATGTCAACATTATTATAATATGAACGTGCTGCGTCCATTGAAGACTTTGACTGATAAATACATGTTGTGCTGCGGGGGGGTTTGAGGTGGGTGTTGGGGTTGGGGGATGTTTGTTTCACATTTCCATTATGTGCGTATGGACCACGTTTGGTGTTATCATTGAATTACAATGCTGTGGCTCATCGGTTAGCTCGATTTGTTCTATTTCTTTTTTAAGTTGAGTGTTCTCGACCTCTTTTTTTGAGGATTCTTGTACTTCGAAATTATTTACCTATCAATAAAAATTACCGTTTTAGCATTTGGAAAAAAGATTGGATTGTAGTGAATTAGATTAAATAAGCATTGTAATCAATTTAATAAGTAGCCTATTTATTAGATTAGTACAGATTAAGCACAGAAAGATCTAGTTCTAGGTCACATCGTGTATGATTAATTTAATCATCTTTATATATTATTTTCCCCTTTTGGACAAAACAAGAATGTTACTGAATCAGCCACGTTTGTCACCCTGAAGTGAATTGAAAATGAAACAAGAATCTACGCCACGAATTAAAAGGAACAAAAAGAGGAGCTCGAATGGAATAGAATATAAGCCTTCATTTCCTCTCTTTGTATTTTAGTTTTTTCGTCAACCAAATTACTTTTAGAAGGAGATGGTGGACAAAAATGCATTCTTAGCGGAAGACAAATTGAACTTCCCAATTGATTTCCAGATCTCATATTGACAGAAATAAACATTTATTATGTATGGTGTCCTCAGCTCAGTCCACATCTACACGTGTACATTACAGTAAAGGGCAGCTGCACACCCATAATAAAATTATGTTATCATGATGAGTATTATGCATCGAGCTAATCACAAATATATATCGTCTTGTATTCATACGTGGGCCGAAATTAAAACATTCTCCTATTGAATGGAGATAATTATCACTAAACTAAAGGCTAGTTGGTTGGTTATTTTGTTTCATAATTGTAAAAATTCCACTCTTATTCCTTACAACTGTGATTTTGTGATTTTATAAACTGTAAAGCATGTGTTGATAAATGACTAGTTACTAATTGGAAACGGTAATTTAATAAATTAACAAGTTCAATTGAGGATTTGCTTGGAAGGTTCCTATTTCCAGTAATGTTCCATCATGCCTTTTCACTTTTGTCATCATGGGTCAAAAAAACACCCCATATGGAAAATATCAGAAAGATAGAAGCATACATTGCAACAAATAAATTTTCATAATTTCCACACACAAATGGTCAAATACCAAACACCAAGTTAATTATGGATTAACATAATGCACTTGAAACTAAAAACTCCCACACACTCTCTCCTACCTTGTCCCAATCTCCACCTTTCTATGCCTCTCTCTCTTTCCTTGAGCTTCAAAAGCTGAGACTCAGAGTTTGAACTCAAATATGGGAACTGATGATTTTTCATTTCCAAAGTTGCTTCTTGCATACCTCATATGCTCCACTACATTTTTGTTCTTTGCAACTTTTGGACAGTCAGCCACAGCCACAGCCAAGCTTCACAGTCAGGAAGGTACCTTAAAACTCTAATTTGCAACTTTCCTCACTTACCCTTTTGGCAGGAACAGCTTTTGGTTGAGCTCATTTCAGCTAAGTTGAGTTGTTCTGCCAATCAAAATGAGTCCCAGGAAATTGGCAAATCAACTCAGCTTAGCTGAACTGAGTTCTCATAGTATTCAAGTTTCTTCATTACATTCAATTCATTCCTTTTCCTTGGTTGGTCTTTTGGGAGGAAGTAAAAGAGATTTGGAATCTTGTTTATCATGAACTTATGATATTTTATTCAAACAAATTAACATTAGAAAGATGTCTATGTATTGGTCCTGTTTTGTTTTCCTGCAGTTCCTTGAAAACCAAATTAACAGGTAATTTGATTTATTCACCCATGTATTTTTGTTGGGTACTTTAATGGAGCAGTGAATGCATTGAAGGAGATAGGGAAAAAGCTGGGGAAGAAAGACTGGGATTTTAGGAAAGATCCATGTACAGGAGAAGGGAATTGGAATGGGTCGATTGAAGGGAGGAGGAAAGGCTTTGAGAGCTCTGTCACATGTGACTGCACCTTCAACCACAATTCCTCTTGCCACGTCATCAGCATGTACAGTACACCTCTCTCTCTCTCTCTCTCTCTCTCTCTCGACTTACAAAATGTTTAGAGTTGACCAGTAATGACAAAAATGTCCTGCATTATGGCATATTCAAGAATTTGAACATTTCATTTTTTTTATCAAACACTTTTATAACTAGTTTAAGTCAATAGGTAAGTTCTTGTTTATTTGACATTCATGAGACTAGTGATGGAATTATTTCACATGGGCTTTATCATTTATGTTATGATCATTCATGAGAGCTCTTCTAATTTGCTCTGAGGATATATTGCAGAGCTCTAAAGGCCCAGAATCTATCAGGTACTGTGCCACCAGAATTTTCTAAGCTTCAGCACCTGAAAGACTTGTAAGCAAAACCAGTTCCTCTCTTATGTTAACTGATTTCCATTTCCATTATAAAATATTAGTTTTTCCTTTCCTTACTAAACCTTGTTGGTGCATCCACTAATCTTTGCAATCCTATTACTTTTATAGAGACCTGAGTCGAAATTACCTCAATGGTTCTATACCTTCCCAATGGGGTACTATGCGCTTGGTTACGCTGTAAGCGCCCCATTTCTCATCAGTTACTAATTATTTAATGAACTTGTAATCAACCGAATGCCTTATACTTTGCTATTGAATCTGCAGCTCCCTTATGGGAAACAGATTGTCAGGTCCATTTCCAAAAGTTCTCACCAATATCACCACTCTCAGAAACTTGTATGCTTAATTCTTTCCTTAATTCTCATATGATGATGACTATGAATAGAGCTGATAACTAGATGCTGGTTGATTAGAAATGAGGCTCTCTATCCTTATTTGTTGAAACTCGACATCAAATCCATATTTCAATGTATTAAAATGGAAAATCCAATGTATCATATCAATAGAAAACTGAAAATATATTTTATAACATCAAATGGTATCTGCCTTATGTGGCCGGAGCAAATATGTCCTTGATATTAGTTGAAACTCAGTTAGACTTTGATGGCTCTATATTGTTTTAAACACCATTTCAGATGTTATGATAAAAGTAAGCATTACTATATGATTGTATATTACTTACAGGAGCATTGAAGGAAACCACTTTTCGGGACCCATTCCACCAGAAATTGGGAAGTTGATAAAGTTAGAAAAGCTGTAATTTCTCATTACCTTCTCTGTGTATAATCATTTATTGGAAATTCCCACTAATGTGGTCTTTTTTTTTCACTCTCATTACCATTGACATTATCCTTATTTTTCTTCAGCGTTGTATGTTCAAATGCCTTCACTGGAGAATTGCCATTAGCACTAGCAAAGTTGACCAACTTGTCTGATCTGTAAGCAAGCATGTGTTCCTTGATCTGTGGGTTTGTCAACCTAAATAAATAATCCTTTGCGAATACTGATCTAGTTTAACTAAAATGATCTCAGATAAACCTACCTTTAAGATATATACAATATACAAGACATTAGTTTTTGCTCTGGTTACAAGTTCACTGGGATGCCAAAAGCTATACAGATAACAGATTTTAGATTTATTATGTATATGTGAGTGTGATGCATATGCTATCACATCAGGTGCCTCAAAATATATTGATAGTTTTCTAATATCTTTGAAATGAATAACTTTTCCTGGGTTTCTAGCTAAGTTTTGTTTCCATGAAACTTTTAGGAGGATTTGTGACAATAACTTCTCTGGAAAGATACCTGATTTCATCGGAAATTGGACACGGATTTCAAAATTGTAAGCTTCCCCCTTGTAGTTTTCTTACAGCAATCAGAAGTATATATTTTTAGGATTTTGAAAATTTCCATTCTTATGTTGCAGGCTTATCCAGGGTAGCTCTCTTGAGGGGCCTATACCTTCTAGCATATCAGGCTTAACAAGTTTAACTGATCTGTATGCAATTCATTTGCCTTATCTTTCTTTTCTGTCAAACAAGAATGTGAACTTATGGTTTTACCTTTAATGACTTTTAGGAGGATAACCGACTTGAGAGGTACAGAGTCTCCTTTCCCACCATTGAGAAATTTGGAATCCTTGAAAAAACTGTAAGTTGGAATCCTAACCAGATTTGCATTTTCCTTCTACCGTGCAAATTGAGCTCATAAATAGTTAAATGTTTTTAATCCAGGATACTGAGGAATTGCTTGATATACGGAGTGATCCCATCTTATATTGGGGATATGAAAAGATTGAAAAACCTGTAAGCACTTAAAACAAATGAATTTCTTGAATTTCTGACTTCCCATCATTCATTTTTTTCTTATGTTGGAGATACTAATCTGCCTTTTTTTTTGGTAATCAATACAGAGACCTCAGCTACAATGAGCTGACCGGTGAAATACCTGCATCTTTTGTCCAACTAGCAAAAGTTGACTTCACGTAAGCAGATTTCTGGATTATATTTTCATCTTCACACAAACTTATTCTCATTAACTTTTTTCACTCTAGGTATTTGACAGGAAACCAGCTTACTGGAACTGTACCTGGATGGGTCCCAGGAAGAAACAATATTGTGTATGTACTACAAAACTGCAGGAGCTATCTTGTTTTGCTTAGAAGATTACTTTTTGTTATGATTAGTTGAAATTTTGTATACAGGGATTTATCGTACAACAACTTCACTTGGGAAAGCTCAAGTCCTAATGAATGTCCTAGAGGGAGTGTGTGAGTATGATACATGCTATTATCTTTCTCTTACATTTTTTAACCAACTACTTTGTAGAATGATAAAACAATGCTTTGGTGCTCTGTTGCAGAAACTTAGTAGAGAGTTACTCCTCGTCGGCTAATAAATCGTACGATTTCTTTCTCGTCAGCTGATAAGAAAATTTTGTTGCTTCCTATGGTTTCTGATTGAGGCTCCAGCCTTTTAATCAGATTTATCTTCATGACATAAGCTCACATTTCTTCCTTGTTGCAGAAGTAGAATCCAACCATGCCTGGAAAGAAATTTTCCATGTCATGTTTCGAAAAATCAACGTAAGAATATCAATTGGTCTCAAGCTTGACCTGCGGCTTTATGATTCAGTTCATCTATTTGCATGTCAATATGAATTAATCCTTTCTTCCCTTGTATTTTACCCCAGAAAAACAATGAAAAAGAATAGAAAAAATTGAAAAGTAAAAGAAAACTAGTGATGAGGTGATAAGAAATTTAAGTCTCAACCTCTTTTGATTTGTCCTGATGGATAACAGGTAAATATTCCTTGCATATCAACTGTGGTGGAAAGGAAGTAAATATTGGTGGCAACAGGTATGAAGCTGATAGAGAACAAAGAGGTGCTTCCGTGTATTACATGGGTCAGAACTGGGCTCTCAGCAGCACAGGGAACTTCATGGACAATGATATTGATTCAGATATCTACATTGAAACCAACAAGTCTGCACTTTCAAAAAATGTCTCTGTGCTTGATTCAGAACTGTACATGACCGCACGTGGATCTCCCATCTCTCTCACATACTATGGACTCTGTCTCATAAATGGAGACTACACTGTCAAACTCCACTTTGCTGAGATTGTTTTTACTAATGATAGAACTTTTAACAGCCTCGGGAAGCGTATATTTGATGTCTACATCCAGGTAAATAAATCACACCAGATAAACAATGGAGACTCAATCCTATACTAATATGTACTTATTTATTTATTTATTTGGTATAAAGGATAAGCTGGTGCTGAAAGATTTCAACATAGAAAGTGAAGCTGGCGGTGCTGGCAAGCCCATTGTAAAGAATTTCACTGCAGTTGTTTCGAGTCATACATTAAAGATCCATTTTTACTGGGCTGGAAAAGGGACAACAGGCATCCCAGACAGAGGATTTTATGGCCCTCTCATATCTGCTATATCAGTAGATCCTAGTAAGTACTTTTAAAATGCACTCTCGCCATGCATTTTTCCTACTTGAACGGTCTAAGCATTAGAACTTACTCGTTATTGATGCTTTCAACAATGCAATATAATTGTGCTTAGGAGTTACATCTGATTCTGGCCAACTCCTATTGATAATTCCACATGAATTATTACACTAGAGACTACATGACAGCTTTTAGTCTACCTTAGCTAAGTTGAGAAGCAAATATATATATGCTGGTCCCATGCATAACACTAAAAAGAAGAAGGAAGTGAGGGATGACGTAATAGGTTACTGAGAAAGCTTTACGGATTGGCCTTCAATCATAAAGTGAAGAGTCTTAAGTTTTAAGTTTTTCTGTACAAAAACATGTTTAATGTTTTCATGGAATACATGAGTTAATTAAGGTACACTTATTGCAGACTTCGAACCTCCCTCAGTTGAGGGCAACAAGAATCACGTTGTTATAGCAGTTGGGGACAGTGGCTGCAGCACTACTTCTTCTGCTTCTGATCTTAGGCATCTTGAGGAGAAAGGGTTGTTTGGGAGGAAATATCTCTGCAGATAAAGGTCTGATTTTCTATTTCATAACAAAACATGTTTAATTTTCTTCTTAATGTATCTCTTGTTCTCTCCCTAATTTCTCAACAACTCATGTTGGTGAGCAGATTTACTGGTGTATCTTTGTTATAACAAGAAACAGTTTTAATTAATATTCTTCTCTTAACTGACTTTCAAGCAGAGCTCAGAGATTTAGATCTTCAAACAGGATTATATACTTTAAGACAGATAAAGGCTGCAACGAAAAACTTTGATGCAGCAAACAAACTTGGGGAGGGTGGCTTTGGTTACAGTCTACAAGGTAATTTTTGTTTCTTTTTGTTCTTTTTTTTTTTTTTTTTTTTTTTTTTTTTTTTTATGGCTCTATAGTGTTCTTAGAAGAGTAGGTTGCCTCAGATGAAAAAGAAACATTTAAAAATGAAAAGCCTAAGAAATGAGGGAATGCATTCTACAAGAAATTGGAGAAACTACAAACATCTACCTATTCATTTGGCATCACAGCAATGAATTTACATGAAAAACTTTTCGAAAGTAACTTCTCAAATATAACTTGATTCTCTTACAATTTCTGATATGACAAGGTGGTAGTGTATGGAATGTGGAGGCTTAAAAGACAGCAAAATCATCCAAAGAGATGGAGTTTTAAGCCAAAACTAAACCTTTTAGCAGTCAATATGAGCATGTGTGCAATACACAACCAGAAATTGCTGATCTTCTTTTGCTTTCTGAATAGGGTCTGTTATCAGATGGCACAGTAATTGCAGTGAAGCAGCTCTCTTCGAAATCAAAGCAAGGAAATCGGGAATTCGTGAATGAAATAGGCATGATTTCTGCCCTGCAACATCCGAACCTTGTGAAGCTGTATGGATGTTGTGTTGAAGGGAACCAGATGCTTTTAATTTATGAGTACATGGAAAATAACTGCGTATCACGTGCTCTTTTTGGTGAGAATAGTAACACTAAATTGTTTAGGATTAGCATACCATTTAAACAAAAGGCAGGATTGATTCTAAGTATGAAGTAGATTGACTCTGATTCGGATCATATACAGGAAGCGACCCTGCTTGCAGATTGAAACTGGGCTGGCCTACCAGGAAGAAGATTTGCATAGGTATTGCCAGAGGTTTGGCCTATCTCCATGAAGAGTCGATACTAAAGATAGTGCATCGCGATATCAAGACAAGCAATGTGCTGCTTGACAAGGACTTTAATGCTAAAATTTCTGATTTTGGCTTGGCAAAGCTTAATGAAGATGACAACACCCACATCAGCACGCGGATTGCTGGAACTGTGTAAGTTTTTGTAGAAGGAACTTAATACACTATCAACTCCTTTCTCTTATTAAATTAAGTAAATATAACCTATGACATGAGTCTCTGGCACAGTCTTCATGAGGTGGAGCAGAAACTATATTCTTTTTTGGTAATTTATTTTGGCCCTTCAACTTTGCAGTGGTTATATGGCTCCTGAGTATGCAATGCGTGGTTACTTAACTGACAAAGCAGATGTTTATAGCTTTGGAGTCGTCGCATTGGAAATCGTTAGCGGAAAGAGCAACACAAACTACAGGCCAAAGGAGGAGTTTGTCTACCTTCTTGACTGGGTAACAAAACACTTCCAAAACAATTGTTCCCTTTTCTTCTCTCATATATCTTCAAGTCCATCACAACCAACTCCATACCTTGCAAACCTAGAATGTTAAGATGAATTTTCTCAGTAAAGCATTCTTCACTGAATGGCGAAATTCAGCTTATGAAAATCTTTCCCAAGTTTCTCCAATCAATTAAGCTTTGCCACTTGCTTCTTTGCATCTCATACTATATGTCTTCTTAACTCGGTAGTGTTTGTTATATTTATTCTGTCTCAAAGTTGTGCTTCTTTTCAGGCTTATGTGTTGCAAGAGAGAGGGAGTCTATTGGAGTTGGTTGATCCAGCCTTGGGTTCAGAATATTCATCAGAGGAGACAATGCTGATGCTAAATGTTGCTCTCATGTGCACCAATGCATCTCCCACTCTTAGGCCTACAATGCCTCAAGTAGTGAGCATGCTTGAAGGCAGAACAGCAGTTCAAGACCTACTTTCTGATCCCGGCTTTTCGGCCATCAATTCCAATGTCAGGGCCATTAGAAATCACTTCTGGCAAAATCCAAGTTGTACACAAAGCATGTCAACCAACGGTCCAAGAACTGATACCTCTGGTAATTCATACATTGAAACAGAAGAGAGTGGCCGTCTTTTAAGAGTTAGTTCTGTAACTTCAGTTAAATCTGAAGAGTAAACTGTACATCAGAATGGCAAGTATTGTATATAGGTTCTGGATGTGCCATATATAGCAGTTTTTGGCCTCCTCCAACCGTATAAATATATAGTTGAAATATAAGGCTACATATTCCATTTTTACGGCTCCGGATTCCTGTGCTTTGGAAGTTTGTTTCTGTTACATTGTGTAGCAGTTGGGATCCGCTTGTTACATAAACTATTTAGGCCATTTTAAATTATCATTCTAATACCAATGATAATTTACAATTAATTCAATTGAAATTCACAAAACTAAAAAATTTGCTCAAAGCCAAAATATTGGCAGATAAAATCACATAAATGTAAATGCATTTTTGTGATACGTAAGGTGAAGGCGGGAAGTATGGCCCGTGCTTGTGTGCTATGTGTTTTTTGTTTTTCTACACATTAATACAATTGTATTTAAGGTGAAGATGCGATTCTTTTGATTGCTGCTGTTTTGCTTGCCCTTGATATGTCAAATACATGCCAAATATCTGCAGAATTCTTGCCATAATATATTGTTTGTTGCTTAAAAGCGTAATCTAAATAAAAACTCTGGCCATCAATGTACAATATTGTTTAGATTTGGAAGAAGTCTTGAGAGTACTGCGAAAAGAAAAATTTTATGCAACAGCAAAAAAAATGTTCTTTTATGACAGATAGGGTGTTATTTCTTGACTTTGTGGTGTCGAAAGATGGAATTTTTATGGATGATTCAAAGGTCGACGCAATAAAAAAATTTGCCACTATTGCAAAACCTACACGAAGTCCGAAGTTTCCATGTGTTAGTATCATTTTATAAGCGCTTTATTCATAATTTTAGTACTATTATGGCACCCATAACATATTGCATGAAGCTTGGGAGGTTTAATTGGTCTGAAGAGGCTACAACTACTTTTCACAAGATCGAACAAAAGCTTATTTCAGCACCCGTTTTAATTCTTCCAGATTTTAGCAAGACATTTGAGTTGCATTGTGATGCATCTAAAGTGGGTATTGGGGCTTTTTTAAGCCAAGAAGGATGACCTGTAGCGTTTTATAGTGAGAAGCTCAATGGTTCGAAAATAAACTATAGCACATATGATGTGGAGTTTTATGCAGTTGTTTAGGGTTCGAAAATAAACTATAGCAAGGTATGGATTGAAAGGTTTTGAATATTCTCGATGATTTTCATTGAACAATCGCGTGATAATTATATACAATACTTTGCTTGGTGTCTACACAAAGGATTTTTTATTCTAGGCAAGAATCAAGTCCTTGAGAGACAAGGAATATATACAGCAAATCTATGAAATAAACACAAATAAAACAGGAAACTAAATCCTTTTAGGATCATGTCTAATTACACCCCCTCAAGCTGGCAGGGCGGGGGAGCACATGCAACTTGGACTGAAGGAAAGAAAATCGAGTAGGAGATAGACCCTTAGTGAAGATATCAGCAATCTAATCAACGGTAGAATAATAAGCAATAAGAAACTCATTGTGCACTACCTTTTCACGAACAAAATGATAATCAACCTCAACATGGTCAATGCAAGAGTGAAACACCGAATTAGAGGCAAGAAAGAGAGTACTAATATTGTCACACCAAAACTTAGGGCAAGGAATTAAGAAATAAAGCCCGTAATCAAGACAGAGTGATGGCAGTGTAGGCAAGCTGAGCGGGAGACACCATGTTGCATTTTGGAACTCCAATAGATTAAGTTAGTACCCAAATAAACGCAATAACCACCAGTGGAGAGACTATCGTTGGGATCCTCTGCATAATCGACATCAGCATAGGCGCTGAGTTGAAGGGTGCTGGGCGAATAGAGTAACCCAAGAGTAAATGTGTCATTGAGATAACGAAGAATGCGTTTAACATCGAGCCAATAAATAGTAGTGGATTGGTGTATAAACTGACAAATGTGATTAACAACAAAGGCAATATTTGGGCGAGTAAGGGTTAAGTACTGAAGAGCACCAACAATACTAAAGTACTCAGTAGGATTAGAGAGAGGATCTCCATCAGAGAGGCTAAGACGAAGTCTACTGACAGCCGAGGTAGGCACGGTTTTGGCTTCGCGCATGTTAGCACACTTGAGGAGATCCACAACATATTTGGTCTGAGTAAGAGATAGACTAGACGAAGTATGAGCAAGTTCCATGCCCAAAAAATAATGAGCGGGCCCAAGATCCTTCATAGAAAATTGATGACCCAAATCAGAAATAAGTGTGGTGATGCGAGTGGGATCGGAGCCAGTGACAAGAATATCATCAACATAAATCAACAAATAGATGCAAACAGAACCATGAATGTAGATGAAGAGGGAAGAATCAGAGTGAATCCCAACTGAAGAAGATGAGAAGAGAAATACTGAAACCAATCGCGAGAAGCCTGCTTGAGACCACAAAAAGAGCAACGTAAACAACTAACATGATCAGGATAAGCGGTATCCACAAATTCAACAGGCTGGTGCATATAAACCTCTTCATCTAGGTAAAAAGGCATTTTGAACATCCAATTGATGAACGATCAAACCAAACTGCACACAGAGAGCCAAGATAAGACAAATAGTGGAATGATTAACAACTGGACTATAGGTTTCACAATAGTCCAAGCCCGGCTGTTGATGAAAACCATTAGCCACTAAGCGAGCCTTGTAACGTTGAATAAAGCCATCAAAGATCCTCTTGACACAAAAAACCCACTTGTTCGGCAGCACATTCATAGTGGGAGTATGAGGGACCAAATTCCAAGTCCCGACATGAAGAAAGGCATTAAACTCATCTGTCATAGCAAGACGCCATTCTTCATGCTTATTAGCTTGTGAAAAAGAGGTAAGCTCAAAAGTACAATTAGTAGAAGATAAAACCAACGCATGATTATCATATTTAGGATTGGGTTTATGGATATCGGTTTGAGCATGAGTAACCATCGAATGAGCATGGTGTCACTTACCAGTGACGTATCAGAAATAGGATGAGAAGATGTACCATGAAACAAGAGTGGTAAGCAGGAAGAAAAGTTTGCGGTTGGGGTTTTGAGTGTAGGTCTGAGAGAATCGAGAAGCTGAAGGCACATGGGGACTAACTGGCGAGTGAAGGGCATGAGGGATTAGTAGGCACGGCGGGAGGTGGGCGTAGGAGCAGCTATGGCATGGGTGATGGCAGAGATGGACAGCACAAGGCTAAAAGCACGAGTTTTTGTGGAGGCGGGAGGATCAGGTGCTGGAGAAAGGGGACTAGGCACAGGCTACGATGCTTGAAGGTGTGGGCTATAGGAAAATAAACTTGGGCCAGAGAGGATGATAAACAGATCTGACGACGGAGAATGGTCTAGAGCAGGAGTAGTATGGACCTTGTCAAACAGAAAAGAAAATTCATCAAATAACACACAACGCGATAAAAAAAACACGATTATAAATAAGATCCAAGCATCGATAACCCTGATGGTTCAAAGAATAACCAAGAAACACACATTTGGAAGACCGAAATTGTAATTTATAATGATTATATGGTCGTAGATAAGGAAAACATGTGCACCCTAAACTTTTAAAAAATGAATAATTTATAGGGTGATTTGTGTTGAAGCAACTTAGAAGGAAGACTGTTAATTAAATAAACAGCAGTGTGCTTGGCCTCGGCCCAATAGGAAGAAGGCATAGAGGCATGGGCTAAAAGAGTGAGCCTGGTGTCAACAATGTGACGATGCTTACGTTCGGCTAAACCATTTTGCTCAGGATGATGTGGACAAGAAAGATGATGATGAATGCCATGATGAGATAAAAAAAAATCTTTAAATTGATGACTAGTGTATTCCCCACCCCCATCGGATTGAAAAGCCTTAATCGTAGTGAAAACAGATTTTCAACCTAAGCCTTAAATTTAACGAAGTGAGAGAAAACTTTTGATTTCAATTTCATTGGAAAAATCCAAGAACAACGAGAAAAATCATCAATAAATAAAACCAGAAATAGATTTATTTGAAGAACTCCATACATAAGAGTGAATAAGTTTCAACGAAGAAGAAGAGACATAAAAAGAAGGACTAAAGGGTAATTTAACACTTTTACCCAACGGACATGAGTGAAAAAAAGAACTAGATAGAGCTAGAAGATTGCAGTTTATTATGAGATAACAAAAATTGTAAAGTGGACGAAGCATGATGACCAAGGCGAGAGTGCCACACGGAGCGGGCAACATGGACACCTAGTAAAGCAACACGATTAGGCAAAACTTGAAAAGACTCATTTGGTGTAAACGAAAACAGATATAGGACATTGCTACTCTTGCCCAAATCCTGGATAAAATAACAATCAGGAAAAAAAGTGAAGAAACAATGGTTGTCATTAGCAAATTTATGAACAGATAAGAGAGGAAAAAAGGCATCGAGACAGTGAAGAACATCATTAAGATGAAAAGAAGAATTAAGGTGAGAGAAACGAGAGCAACCAATATTTTTAATAGGCAAACCTATTCCACCAAGCACACCTCCAACATTGTTAGAACCATGATATTCTCTAGCAAGGGATAGTGGCTCAAGTCGTTGGTAATATGAGTGTTCGCACCGGTATCAGCAACCCACTGTTGATGGCCACCATGTGAAGGATATTGAGCAGTCATACCTTGAAGACGAGACGGAAGAGGAGGCACAAAAGATGCCTTGGAGGGACAGATAATTGTGATGTGGCCAAAACCATGACAATTGAAACAATGAAAAAGCCCACGGGCAGAAAGAGGCCAGCAAAGCATTGTATATAATTATTCCACTATTATTCAATGAAAATCATCGAGAATATTCAAAACCTTTCATGGTATCAAGAGCCTAGACTCACAGTCCTCGATCCTCAATTTTCTTGTTCATTTTTTTTTGGCACCCATGGCTTCTTCATTCTCTATTGATTTTCCTAGCATTCATCATGTTATCTTCATTCGTCTCGAGTGTGATAATTATCTGACGTGGCTTGCTTAAATTGTTCATATCCTTCGCAATCCCCTTTCTCGGCTTTGTTGACTGCACTTCTCTGTGTCCTTTTCCGACCCAAAGACTAAAGCCGATGAATCTACTTCTTCGCCTCTCCTCCCCAACCCAAAGTATGATGATTGGGTCCAGAAAGATAAGCTTGTTCTCTCTCTCATCAACGGTTCTCTTCACCATAAAGTTCTCACCACCATAGCTTCCAAGACCACCGCCCGTGACACTTGGTGGCCCTTGAAACTCTTTTTGCTTCTCCAAATCAAAATCATCTTCTTCAACTTCGCAGTGATTTGCTTCTCACAACCCGTGGTGACTCTTGCATAACTAATTTCCTTGGTCGTATTAACTCGATTGTCGATAACTTGGCTCTAGCGTGTGCTTTAGTTGATAACTCTGATATCCTTACTGTGGTTGTGAACATCGTTATCCTCTTTATGATAATACCGTTGCTATTGCTCAAGCTAATGAGAAACCCATAGTATGCCTGATCTTGAGGCTCTCCTCTTGTTTGTAGAATGTTGCCTGCAATCATCTTCTTCTCTGGTCATTTGTTATGGTGCAACGGCTATGGTAGCTTCCTATGGTGGTCGCAGTGGTCACGGTTTTGGCGATCTCAGTGGGTTTGCTGGTCGTGGTCCAGATCGTCGTAACTCATTCTCTCCCTCACGACCTAGTTTTTCTTCCGGTCGCGTTCCCTTGACACTTCTTATATCGCCTCTCATCCTGCCTCAAATCAACAACATTTTGGTAGTAATTTTGGGCGGGGTGTTCTTGGCCCACCTCCTTCTGGCTCTACTGCTTCCTATTTTGTCTACCCAAAGGATTTCCTATTCTAGGCAAGAATCAAGTCATTAAGAGACAAGGAATATATACAGCAAATCTATGAAATATATACAAATAAATCAGGAAACTAAATCCTTTTAGGATCATGTCTCTTTATGAATTCTATTTATGTGGTTGCTGATCGGTTTTCTAAGATGGCTCATTTTATCCCGTGGATAAAAAAACTACGAATGCAGTCAATATAGCTCAGCTTTTCTTTCGAGAATGAACAAAGTCATCCTTATATTTTGAGTTTTGATTACAAATCTATCGTCACTTATCCATTGGGAGATTTGTGATGTCCATGTATTTTGAGCCAATTAAGGGCCAATATTATCAATCATTCTTATATTTTGAGTTTTTATTGCAAATTAAATTCTTCATTTTTTTGGGTAAAATGAAAGTGTTCCACACTTCTTTTACAGAACAAGTGATTTTTTTTTAAAATCTCCCCCTGCATCCCTGATTCTTGTTTTTCATATTGACCTTTATTTACACTAGAAAACTCATCTTGGGAATTACAGTGACGAGTGAAACCTTTGATGTGATTACAGAAAGCAAAGCATGAAGAGCATGCAATTAGCAGCAGCTGCTGGGAGCCTGGATCAAGAAATAAGACTGTTAATGTATGTGAATAATGGTGCATCCTTTTGGTGATTACTACTATGGAACAATTGTTCGATGTTTTGGTGATTCAAGCCTGTAAAGTTGTAATTGTTGAGATATATGAATAAATTATATATATTTTTGCTGTGTTGCAGGATACTATAGGTTACTTTTATGTCTACGGGACCGAGCTTTACTCTCTAGGAAATGTGATGTAGCCATACACACATCAAACTCCTATGTGTCTCTTTTTTGGTCTGCCCTAAAACTCCTATGTCTCTAGTCACCAAAGGTTTCTGCTTACTGGGTGAAAGTGGGACTTGAAGCAACTGAACCATGTATCTCCTTCTCTACCAAGGAAATGTTGAGTTCTATATATGGAAACAACTTCTGAATCAGCACTGTCTCGATCGGTAAACAGAAGTTCAATAGGTCCATTCTAGGTGAGAATTAAAGAAGCATTTCTTGGACAAATTGGTGGTATTGGAACTATTTTATTAGGCAAGATACCATTTAATCTAAATACCACGACCTACGGGAGTATTTTCGAGTGGCACTTGGATAGAATTTCTTGGAATTACTGATCCTAATCAAAATTTTGGGGTCTTGGACGGCATGTCACCCAAGGTATGTTCTTATTATTTTGGTGCAAGTTTGTCATGTTCATATAATGTCCATAGAGATGTCTTTAAGGAGCAAAAACCAGATTGGAAATAAGATGACATCATAGGTTCAATTTTACCTTCTATGTGTTTCTACACATAAAATTTGTAGTATTTATGCGTAGAAAGCAGTGTTTTCTGGCTTATGGATGATGGGGAATGAGTTAAAGATTGAACTAGAACTGTGTACTTGACATATGAAAGCAGTGCCAAAGGTTCCTCTGCTTGCACTTTGAGAGGCTTAACTGCATACCTTCAAGAAGCTCAAGGACAGAGAAATCAGAAGCACCCTCAAGATAAATAGGAAAAGACGGATGACAGACAGATCGTTATAATGTGTTATGTGAGGGATTAGGTAGGTTTATTAGGCTTCAAGTAAGTCATGGTAAATGGTTGTAATTTAGTTAGCTTCACTGCATTGCAAGATTTTGATTGTAGCCGTTGGATTCAAAAGTAAATGAATAAATAATTTAATAAGCGAAGCATGAGTAGCTGCATCCATAAATAATTGACAGAACTGTTCAGTATATTGAACTACTATGCTTTTTATTATTTTTATTTTTCTTTAATACAAAAAAGTAAGGGAAGTATGATTAGCTCCACCCATAAATAATTGATAGAACTGTTCAGTTTAAGGAAGTGATATTCTTTTTCTTATTAATTTTATGGAAGTGTTTAACATAAATAAATAAATTGTATGCAATAATGCAAATGTTATAACTTAATAGCTTCAAAGAAAAAAAAATTGTTAAAAGTGATTAAGAGCATTTATTCATGTATATTAGGTTATAGGCCCGATTCCTACTTCCCTTCACTTTGTATATAAATAAAAATACTAACACAAGTCGGAAAACTTTGTCTTTCTCTTTGAATATACACACGAACATAAACCCAACAAGATAGAAACTTTCTTTTTTATGATATAAAAAGACAGAAACTAAGAAACGTACATAATTTCGAAGGAAAATATAAAGCTTCAAGATAAGAAGAAAATTAAATATAAAAAATATTTTCAGAAATTTCTCGAGTCAAAAAGAAAAAAGAAAAGTCTTCCTAAAATGAATCCCAAAAAAGAAAAAAGAAAAAAGAAAAAAAAGTCAGTTGAGTCTCTCTCTCTCTCTCTCTCTCTCTCTCTCTCTCTCTCTCTCTCCACTTCCCCAACTATATATTGTTTTTTCTCTAAACCCTTGTACAATGTACTAGACCAAGTCCTCACTCCTTAACAACAGCTGATACATATCCAAGTGTTCCTATAAGATTAGGGTTTCTCTTTCCCTCCAACTCTCTCTCTCTGTCTCTCTCTGTATATCTTTTTCTCTCTTTGGCGAGATCCGATAGTGTCAGCTAATGCAATAGGTATACTTCTTCTTCTGGGTTAACCCTCTGTTGGTTTCTGAGAAAAAAAAAGGATATTTTTTTATATATTCATGAACTGTTTCTTTTGACTGACTTACTATTTGCCATGTTTATTGCGGGAACCAAACTGAGGAAGACCCTCCATTCGGTTCCGTGATTGAGGAAAAATATATATTAAATTTTGAATCTTTACGCATGAGTGTATGATATATTTGGTTTCTGTTTAATGAGAAATCACATTGGCTGAGAGCCAATTTGTTGGTTAAGGGTCAGTTTGTCTGCTTTCCGGGTCCCAATTTTTGTTGAAAATTTAAGAGATTGAAAGTCTTAAGAATTTTCAGCTGAAAATATCATTTTTGAACAATAGGCTTTGATTCAGTTTACTTGTTGGCGATTGAGAATAGTTCTACTCTACCTGGTTTGTAGTAATTACTGATTATTATTTAGAAAAATGATAGAATATGACATTTTTTTATTAATAAAGGCAATGTCTGTCCGTCTATTGGGGTACTCTTGCATGGTGCCATTAGCTTTAGTATACGCTGAGGTTTTAGAACTTGTAGAGCTGTTAATTGCTCTTGAGGACCTATCTGTTTTGTCCGTAACTATTAACTGCTAACCACGAGGAAATTCGTTATGTCTGACACTAAAAGACAATTGCTTGGATGTCACTTATGGTATTACGAGGAGGATGGAACTTTTACCCCCATTGCATATGTGATTTTTCATGATAGAGACCAGTTATGTGGCGATGAAGAGTATATTGGGAAGAATATAGCTTGCAATTACAGGGAAATACTCATATTCATTAAGCGTATGGCAACGGATAGTTGTGTATTCATCAGAGGCACATGTATATTTGATTCTGATTTAGTACCAAGTTGAATTAGGAAATTGATAATGGGCCTTGAGTATGACTAGTATATATTTTCATATTGAGCCATTGATATTTTCTTGAATTGCAATTTATAACTTTTTATGCCTGTCCCGAGGAGATATGAACTATTATTACCTAATATATCATCTCAACACTCCTTGTGGCGCCCAGTTGATTTAGAGTTGTACAAGGATGAGAAATTAATCAGGGAATCTATAATTTGCTAATATGGGTCCGTACTTCTTGTAGACGACAAAGTTTATGCTCATCATGGAAGCTAATAATTCTAATGTTTCGCGAGCTGAAGAACTTAAACTCCTTGCAAATGAAGCATACAAAGGTAATAATCTGTGCTTCTACAATTTGTTGTTACGTTTTCTTCTAATTTAGTTTGATATATCTTGCAATGAAGTGAACTATCCTTTTAATTCTTTGGATTAAAAAAAAAGAAAAAAAGAATTTGTAGATCACAACTTAAATCATCAGAATTGGTTCCATACTGATGAGATTTACTTTTGGTGTTCCTAAATAGTAAATCTTAACAAGTGACAAAAATTGTACACTCTCACACAAGTAGACTGAATTGAATGAATTCTTGTGTGGCATATTATTTTATCTATTTATATCCTCACGACGAGCAAGAATCCTTACCTAGAGATTAACTTTGAACACTGCTTTATTGGTTGTGAACTGTTGTGTCTGTAGTGATTTTTTTTTGGGTCTGGGTATGATCTGTGTGCTCACTTTCATTATTATTTCAGCTCATAAATTTGCTCAAGCAATTGATCTGTATACACAAGCGATTGAAGTAAACAGTCAGAATGCTGTGTACTGGGCCAATCGTTCAATTGCCCACCTTAAACTGGAGGAATATGGCAGTGCCATACAAGATGCTTCTAAGGCTATTGAAGTTGATCCTAAATACTCAAAGGCATGTTTTATGCCCTAAATTTTGTGCATCTGAATATGTGTAATTATGTTCTGATAGTTTTCTATTGCTGCAGGGATATTACAGGCGAGGTGCAGCTTATCTTGCTATGGGGAAATTTAAAGAAGCACTAAAGGATTTTCAGCAGGTGCTTTGTGTAGACTCTTTTTTCCTGAAAATTGTGAACAATATTTATTTAACTTTTCTAGTATTGCATAATACTGAAAGAAGTTGAAAGCTTTCTTTATTCCAACAACCCTTTTGACATCAGAACACATAAAATATCTGCTTGATATGGATGTACTGATGACACCAGGGGGTTTTAAACAATCTATTCATCATGTGAAAACGGCTCTCTGCCTAGTTGATTGTTTTGTACCATATCAAAATTGTGCATCTAATAGCATTATTGGTACACATGAGTTTAAGTTTCTGAAGAATCTGAGGAAGTGCACATTCTAGAGGACTTGATTTTTGTTCATTTAATCACCATCAAGTTGCATTTTAAATGTCTGTTAGGATTTTAGTACACAATCTCTATCCTTATCCTTTGTGATTCACATATCTTATATACCCATTCACTGGAGCATAGCTAAAATAGATGGTTCGTGGAAACTGGAACAGGGTACGACACCTACCCCTGACATGGAATGATAGGGGTAGAAAATCAAAATTCATAAACTCTTTAAGCAGAAGGTTGAATGTGATAAGACAAGCTTAGGTCAAGTGTAAAAAAAAAAATCATAATCTACAAAAACTTTATATTTATAATTATCATTTTTTCTTATATCAAGAAACTAGAGATAAAATGAAAGGATACTTCAGGAAATGTGTTCTAAATTTTCTTTTGGTAACAATTGTCTTATATGTGGCATTGCATAATTTTTTCTACTTTATGTAAAATAGGTCAAAAGAATCCGTCCAAATGATCCTGATGCTACCAAGAAATTGAAGGAATGTGAGAAAGCAGTGATGAAGCTTAAATTTGCAGAAGCAATTTCTGTACCAGAGTCTGAAAGGCGTCCTGTAGCTGATTCTATTAATTATCGTTCTATAGGTATTAGTGTTGTTGCCTTTCCACTTTATTCTGCTTATTGTATATGGGGGGTTTTTTTTTTATCTTGTTGGTATTTTCCTTTTCAAAATTTTCCAGATGTTCATCTTCCTATTTTTTGTTATTGTTGAAAAATTTATTAGATTTTCTTCTATATGCTTCTGAATCCTGATAAATGTTCATGGCATTGTATGAATCTTATTCGTTGAAAATGTACTCAAATGCATGCATACCGTGAAAGGAGTGAATGAGATAGCAGTCAGAATTGACTACTACAAATCTTTCTTTTAGGTTTGAAATTTTCTTAACTGCAAGGTTTGCTCTTCTCAACATCGGTGTCTTTTTTCTTGGAAATGTATGATGGCACTTGGTTTCTTTCTTGATTCTGTTGTTATTTTACCTGATTCATTTTTTTTATTTCTTTATGAAGTTCTGAACTTTGTTACTGATCCCTCTTTGTATCAATGTTATTCCCTGAAGCCATTTTTTGTGTCTTAACTTCCCAATGGATAACTAAGAATTTGAAATCATGAATCTTTTCCAACACTTGTAATTAATGAATATCGGTTGCAGATTTATTGTATATTAATGCTGAATGAAGTATGTTTAGGCTTCTTATAGCAGCTGCAATAAGTAACAGTGCTATGATAATTTTGAGTGTATTTCTATGATTCGGTAGTGTTGGTTGCACTGGTAGTGCAAGCTATTTGGGTAGATATGGTAGCTGCAGCAGTGAGCATGTTGGCCATTTAAGGTGCCAAAAGAGTTAACATGTCCGTGGGGATGGAACTAATAGTGTTAGGCTAGTAATTTTGAATGGTGATTTTTCAGTGCTATGGTTCAGAGGGTCCTTTATTACCTAGAAACTCCTTTGTGTGTGTATGTGCGTGTATTTAACAGTATCATTTGTACATTCTGGGATTCTTACTATTTATTTATGGTCTGGGGCGCAATTTTTGTGAAGTCAATACAAGGTTTAAGCCTAAGTGCAAATACCTTGTTTCCACCTTTGTTAAAGGGTACATTTAGTAGGAAACCTTTGGATGAAGGGTTTGAATTGGGTCTGAGTCTGATATGGGAGGATCCTATGTGTGGTTTCTCTCCTTTCAGCATGGTTTATTTGGAACTCTGTAGTTCTCCCATTTGGATGGAATGTACACAAAGGTTATCCTGTTTTAGTTACGCATTAGGTCCATCTGTCTCTGTTGCCATCCAGGGTAGGACTATGTTTCTGGGCTCATTCAGGAATCAGTCTTTGAAACATGTCTTCCTCAGTGTAGTTAGTACCCACAAAAAGCGTGATCAGCATTAAGCAACTGATTGTTATTTTCTTTTCAAAATTCCTTTTAGTGTTAACTATATAGTGTCCATTAATAGTATTAATTAGAGTATTCTTATATATTCTGTCATTATAGGAATGGGCCCCAGTACATCATCAGTGTCCGCCGAAGTTGCCGTAGCAGCACTGGCAATGACAGTTGGGGCAGCGATGGTTATGATGAGAACAGCAGTGACTGCAGTTATGGCCACAGTAGTGGTGGTGGTCATGGTGGCCCTGGGGGCACGTTGGTGGCGTGGCTTCCATGGTGGTGTCTATACCAAGAGTCGAGTACATGACCTAGGTTTGAGTTCACAATCCATGGATATTAGAGAACAGTCACAAGTCACTGTCATAACTCCCAAGAGTTGGAGATTAGTTATTAAATAAAAAAGACTTGATAGTTGAAAAGTTGTGTTAGGTTCTAGGGGATGTATTACAAACTGATAGATACATTAAGATGGCATCCTTTCTTGAGAATGGATTTTCAGTCGAGTACATGATCTTAATGGAGTTAAAAAAGAGCTCGCCTGGGACATGGAAGATATTTACTCTAGCTGACCCAAGTGGGTTGTATTGGCCTTCTGTTTTCTTTTCTTTTTTCTAAGTTAAGGCTTTTAGAGTTAGAGTTGAGTTTTGTTGCGTGTTCTAAAATCTATGTTGCTTTGGATCTAAGGGTAGACACAGAAAATTGGAACAAAGACTGAGTTTGTAATATTGAGAAAATAATCATACTAGGAACATTAAAATATTCATTTTAATGAAATTAGAATGTCAGTTTATTATAAAAATAAAGATAAAGTGAATCTGAATCGTCATGAGCCGGATATATCTTTCTTTGTGCTTGTGTGAATTTGCATTAAGTAGCTTCGTTCTGTGCTTGTGTGAATTATTACATTCACATGTGTTGTAAAAGTTATTAACTATTAAAATGAAATGGAGTTGCTAATTTATTTTGTTGACGATGAGACTTATGACAACATTTTGTTTGGCTCATGTTTTACTTTTTGAATTAAATAAAGAATACAATTATAAGAATAGATGGTTATGTTTGCTTCTTTTTGTTCGGTTAAGAGATGTCAGAGAGAAATGAAAACAGGAAAATAGAAGCATTGAAGATAGGAAGTATTATAGCGGCTTATTGTTGCAAAGCTAAAGTTAGTACTTAACGGAGTGGGAGGTATAATTTGTATATTGATGACTGATTGAGCATTCATCGTTTCGGACATGATAGTGCATAAAACTAGAGCCGTTAATTTATATATGATAAATGATTGATATAATAAGTTCCTATCTTCGTCTATATATGGTAAAGCTTATTTACTTGCCTTATCACCTAGGAGAGCTAATGAAAGTGATATCTGTTTGAATTCCAGATGTGGAGCCACAATATTCAGGTGCAAGGATAGAAGGAGATGTTGTTACTTTGGATTTCGTGAAGAAAATGATGGACGATTTCAAGCATCAAAAGAATTTACACCAACGGTATGTATGGGAATCACAATACTATGTCACAGAACTAGTCAACAAATATTATTGGGCAGTCTTTTCACTTCACTTGGTATCGATATTGTAGATATGCCTTCCAAATTGTCTTACAAACGAAAGAAATGTTGCAAGCCCTGCCTTCTCTTGTCGATATAAACGTTCCTAAGGGCAATCATTTTACTGTTTGTGGTGATGTACATGGTCAGGTAATTACATTTCTTCCATATTCATAAGATGCTGGTTCAATTGCTTGATTTGACTTGGAACAACATACAGCATTTCAAATCTGAAAGGTTGCATGTAAACATGAAGAAGGTTACTTGATAGACAATAAAGGCTATTGAATAATAGAATGTTTAATACTAGGTGAAACAACAATTTCTCAGATTCCTATTGTCTTGTATGGTTTTGCTGAAGTCAGCCTAGTTCTGAAAATCTATCATAGCTTTGAAATTCTTGTTTCGGTGGCTGTCTAAGTATAATGTATCTATATATGTTCTGGGCAATCTTTTATTTGTTTGTATGTAATGCCTGCAGTTCTATGATCTCCTAAATATTTTTGAGCTTAACGGGCTTCCTTCAGAGGAGAATCCGTATCTATTCAATGGAGACTTTGTGGATAGGGGATCTTTTTCGTTGGAGGTGATCCTAACATTGTTTGCATTTAAGTGCATGTCTCCATCAGGTGAATCAATATGTTTTCTTGATTGGTTTGCAAATAATTTTGTTAATTTAGTTAGAATTTTTTAGTCTTCCATATCTCATATGTTTAGTTAAGTTGAAGCAACGTTGCAATTACTATGTTGTGACTTAATTATTTCTGTCCCAATTAATTACTTTTCTAAGTTCACTCCAAAAAATTTATCTACATTGTTATAGATTTATAGAACTTACATTCAATTATGGCTTCGTTTGCCCTTCTTTCAATTCCAATTTAGTTTTGACACACATTTCTTTTGCCCAGTAATATGATCTTGTTCTAACTCTTTTCAATTAAAAGAATTCACGTTCTGACTTGATAACCTGTTTTATTGTTTTCAGCAATATATCTTGCAAGAGGAAATCACGAGAGCAAGAGCATGAATAGGATATATGGTTTTGAGGGCGAGGTCCAGTCCAAGTTAAGTGAAAAATTTGTGGAGCTGTTTGCTGAAGTGTTTTGTTGTTTACCGCTGGCTCATGTAATAAATGGGAAGGTTTTTGTAGTTCATGGGGGTCTTTTCAGTGTTGATGGGGTTAAACTCAGTGACATTAGAGCAATTAATCGGTTTTGTGAACCTCCTGAGGAAGGTAATTTATTACATTCCTCCCCTCACCCTTGATTCTGCATTTGGATGGCGTCTGTTATTGGCCTTTACCAGTTGAATTTAAAAATTGAAAATTTCATCACAAACCTTCTGTAAATTAATTTGTAGGCAGATTTTATATATATGTTTCTGGGTTTCATCAGGGTTGATGTGTGAATTGCTGTGGAGTGATCCACAACCTACACCTGGAAGAGGCCCGAGCAAGCGAGGTGTAGGCCTTTCTTTTGGCGGTGATGTGACAAAAAGATTTTTGCAGGAAAACAATTTAGGTATGTCTGCTAGTTTTGGCAGGGTTTTATTTTATTTTTATTTTTTCTGAAGTTAGTACTGGCACATATCAAAATGTATGAGAGGTTTTATGTTGCTTAATCAATGTACAGATTTAGTTGTGCGCTCTCATGAAGTAAAGGATGAGGGATATGAGATTGAGCATGATGGCAAACTCATCACTGTTTTTTCTGCTCCAAATTACTGTGATCAGGTAACTGCATGATGACTACTTGGCTAGTCTTCTATCATTACTAGAGTCATCTTCTAAAACTTTTTTTGTGTGAACCTTACCTTACCTGTAGCATTTAGATTTTATTGAGGGTTATTTTTCTGCACATCAAAAGTGTGGTATGAATAGTAAAACTATCTTACGACTGTACATTTGGAAGTCCTCTGAGAATCGAAGATTCCAACAACAATGATGTTGCTGCTGTTTTTTGTTCTTTTGTTTTTCCCAAAAGTGGAGTGATTTATGATCTTTCAGTATTATTGAGCACATTCCAAAATTTGCTAATCATGTGTATATAACCTTTGTTTATGGTTTGGATGTTGCAGATGGGTAACAAAGGCGCCTTTATCCGTTTCGAAGCACCAGATTTGAAGCCCAACATTGTTACTTTTTCAGCAGTGGTCAGTGGCTCCTGTCAATTTAGCTGCTCCAATTTTTCAAAAACAGAGTCTTTCTACCATTTCTACTTTAGTGATGATTTGTCTGGTTGCGCTCAAAAGTTTCCTTGTTTATAGGTGTAATATATAGTGATTGTTGGTTTTACACCTATTTATTTTTCTCTTGTGTATAATATTGCAGGACCATCCTGATGTCAAGCCGATGGCATACGCGAATAACTTCCTCCGACTCTTTCAGTAAGTTATGTCGCTGAGCGGAAGGGCCAACACAGTATCTTTTTTTCGCTATCCGACAACTTTCCCGCTGAATACAAATTCGTTTCCGAAGGCTACTGGAGAAGGGTTGGTGCATGTTGACATGCACCATGTAGCTGTGATTATTTCCGTCTTTTGATTTACCTTTCTTGTACTTCTCACCAGTGGGAAGAATATTTCAGGCATTTTCTTTGATACCGTTTGTTTGATCTTGTGCTTGCTCGGAAGCGAGGCTTAGATGAAACTCATTAGCACATGAAGAATGACTGCCAGCTAAAAGTTCATGGCGTTTTCTCTGTGTTTATTTTATTTATATGATTTTTTTCCCCTCGGGTTGTTGGAGATTCAAGTACTGGCGTAAATATGTCATCAGATGTGTTTTCCTTTTTAATTTTTATAATCTTTTTTTTATATTTTCAATGATATTGACTTGTAAATATCTGAATCATACTTGATTTTGACCTGTAAATAATGTAATGTAAAATTCAAAATATGAGTCATCTGACTCTATTTTGTTTTCGAAAATTCATTTGTGTAGGGTCACATCTACGTGTGCATTTCAAGACAACTCGTAAATTGTTCCCAAAGAAGAAAAAAAACTCCTGATTCTATACCAATTGCAACTAAAATATAAATTACAAATTTATAAATAAACCCAATTCTAGACATGTATTTATAAAAAAACTCAAGCACTATTTAAACATAGAAACACATCCAAAATTAACCTCAAAATCAACAATTGTATATTTTTTGGGTGTGTTTATAAATGAGTTTTGAGTGTGTGTAATGATGGGTTTTGGGTGTGTTTATAAAGTGTTTTGGGTGTTGGGTTTTTTTATAATTTCAACCCCCATTTTGGGTGTTTTAGTGAAACTCCCGAGAGATATCGCTGATGTGACGATTTCTTATTTACTGTGAATAATGAAGGTCCAAAACCTAAATGCAACATTGCTACATTAGTTGGTGTCTACTATCGCCCTCGAGTGAATAATCATGTCGATGACGGCGTGGTATAAATGTTTTTTTTTATAAATAATTTTAAACTCTTTCAAATTTAGGGTTTTGGGTATGAGAATCAGGAGCTTCAAAATTTGGACTCAATTGTAGGCCCAGCTGAACTCATTTGTTAACTTGCCCAATTTGGAGATTGGGCTCGGGTTAGGGCAAGCCAAACCCGCCCAAAATCGAGCCCTAGTAAGAAAAGAATTAGAAATCACGAGTTGTGTTTTGCTTTAGCTTCCATCGTCGTTTCGAGGCTCCAATTGCTTGCGTTCGTCGACGCAGCTCTCCGGCGTCGTTTTGCTTGATTTGCATTTCAGGTTTGTTTATTCGCCATCCCTTCTGTACCTCTTTGCCCCTCTCATAAAATTCTCTTCCTTTTTCTCTTCAAAATCTGTCTCACTCACTTTTCTCTTCTTAGCATCTCTGTTTGGTTGCCGAGAAAATTAACCAGCTTCTTTTAAAAATTACTTCTCAAACCTAGAGTTGTACCACCACTGTTTTCGGCTCACTTATATTTCTGAGAACAAAATTAAAAACTAATGATAACTAACCCGTAATCTCGTTTTTCTTCTCTTTTTCCTCTGTTTTCTCGGGAACCAAACTAGGGTTTTCATTTTGGTGCTGATTATGATGAAGGATTAGTTCTGTGTTCGGATACAATAAACTATTGTTTGCAGATTACAGGATTGTGAATTTAGCTTTTGAACGCTAAACGAATTTATGTGGCACTTAAGCCCTGAATTGGTTTAATTATTTAATTTGATTTAGGGTTTTGGGAGCTGTGTCTTAGCTGGTAGCAAAAGTTCCTTTCAGATAGTGATTTTGGTGTGAAGGTAAATAAAGATGATTAGTGTAACTTCAAGTCTTAGTGTATCATCTGAGCTGAGACAAATGGATCTTGCACCCTTCGTTTCGTTCCTCAAAAATTACCAGAGAAATTGAAACACTTGATGATGGATAATGATGTTCCAAATGAGTGGATGCTTGTTGATAAAAGTTGTTCTTTTTTCATCACCTAAAAATGAAGTCCATGGGAAAAATTATAAATTAGAGGTTCTAGAGTTTCTAGAGTGAAAATTAACTGCAGTGTGAGACCTTACTTCTGTAATGATCTCTAAATTCTAGTATTGGACATATTGGAAAGTGCAGAGATTAAGACCTTCATTCAAGGCCCTTAATTTGATCCCGGTAGGTTTAGAATCAGTAAAAGAAGTTTAAATTCTAATGTAACTAAAGTTTTTATTCTTGGTTCTTTCTAACTGCAACATTTGTTTATTTATCCCAACTTATGCTCGAATTTACGTCATTCCCATATGTAAACCAAGCTGCCTGGAGCTTGAACTCATCATAGAGTGTAAACTCGATAGAAGTTAGAGCCAAATATAGAGTATAATTAATTCCCTTTCATAATTTTCTCATTGCTTGCATTTGACAGATGTACTAAATATGATTATGAACTTAAGATGTTTCTCTCTAGTTATTTTGTGAAGCTAATATTCCCTCTACACTGGATAGTTTCTGTCATTGGCAGTAATGGACCTAGCACTAATGGACCCTTATGGGACAAATCCTGGACCAATTGATGGTTCAGTGCTTTATGATCAGGAGAAGCATGTGTCTTCAGCAGTTTGGGATGGACAGGTGCAGTGTACCCTCAAATAAGGATGCTTATTATTAATATTATCGTTTCATTCAGGTTTATCTAACAAACTTTTTGCACTAATATGGACTTTAACTAACACTTACAGGAGCGTGGTGCACTTAGATGTCATGAACACACTTCGAAGCTTGATCAATGGACACTCACGGAAAAGCAGATTGAGTTGGTAGATCAGGCTGGATTTGGTTATTTAAGATTGATTCCTGCAATTAGTCTAGATAACCCACTCATTTCTGCCCTAGTCGAAAGGTGGAGGAGAGAAACGAACACTTTTCACCTGAATGTTGGAGAAATGACAGTAACTCTTAAAGATGTTGCGCTATTGCTTGGACTAGCTATTGACGGAGAACCTGTTATTGGAATAACGCATACCACCTGCAACTCCGTTTGTGAGAGGTATCTTGGAAGAGTACCAGAGTCTAGTTATACTAGTGGTGGAATGGTGAAGCTAAGCTGGTTGAAAGAGTTCTTTTCCTATTGTCCTGAAGATGCACCACTTGAAGTGATTGAGTGCCATACACGTGCTTACCTCTTATACCTTGTTGGAAGTACAATATTTTCCACTACCACTGGGAATAAAGTCCCTGTCATGTACCTTCCATTGTTTGAGAATTTTGACCTATGTGGGAAATATGCCTGGGGGTCAGCAGCTTTGGCATTCTTGTACAGGGCACTTGGCAATGCCTCACTGAGATCTCAAAGTACAATTAGTGGCTGTTTAACACTACTACAGGTTATTACATGCCTTTTCTCTTAAATTTTTTTTCTTCTTATTTTTCTCTTTTTTCAGCAGTTCCTTTGATTGCATTTCTTTTTTTGGCAGTGCTGGAGTTACTTTCACCTGAATATTGGACGACCAAAGCTCAACACTGATTCTATGCATGATCGTTTCCCTTTGGTGCTAAGCTGGAAGGGAAAACAAAGTGGGCCAACAACAAACCGTGATGTAGTGTTTTACCGTAAAGCTCTGGATTCACTGAAATCCTGCGACGTAAGTTTTTCCTTGTTCTTTTCTAATATTTATCGATTTGATGTTATATTCTAATACTTAGTGTAGAAGCATAATACATTTGGTATGGTGCTGACTTACAGGTGGAGTGGCTTCCTTATAGAAATATGGACAGTACAGTGATTCCAGAAGATATCAAGAGCAATCTAATTTTAGGGAGGTCAAAAACAATGCTAATATGCTTTGACAAGGCAGAAAGGCATCTCCCAAATCGTTGCCTAAGGCAATATGGCATGTTTCAGTCAATCCCAGAGGATGTACAGCGATGGGAGAGAAAGAGTCGTGGAGTTGATGGTGGGGTTGACTTGTCAGGTAAAATGGAATCAGAGATTAATGAATGGTTGGAACGTCGATTTCATATTGTGGAAGGTGATGATGGTGCAGATGAAAGTGATTATATGCAGTGGTACCTGAGAATTACGCGTAAGTTTGTAGGGAGGCCTATATCTCTCTCATCTGAGTTTCAAAGAACGGTAAGGCTGGATTAATTAACTAGTTAATTATGAACTTATTGGTTATTGTCAAGTACGAGGAATTATGTATTAATTTTAAAAGATAACATTATTAACTTTTGCAGAATGCCGGTTTGAGGGAGATCGCACGCATGGCAGATACATTCTCAACAAATGGGTTGGACGAGGAACAAGTTGACTTAATTAATAGTATCAGGACTATTGCGCATGAATGTTTGAGGGACCAGGTTGGCGGTCCGTACATAGTGTCAGCCACCCCACAAATCGAAGTTGGGAAAAGGATAAGAGGGAAGGAGAGGGTGAGAAGGAAAGGTACGGGAAAACGTTTGCGGAAGGATGATCCAGCACAATATATTGCTGCTAGTGAGGATGATCAGTCTCAGTATTGTGGTGCCACTGTCAGGGTTGAGCAGTTACCATTACATCATCTACATAGAGAGGAAGATCATTCACAGCTGTGTCCTGTTGATAACGAGGTGACTGGTTTGGATATGATCAATGGAGATGTTGAGGGTGAGAATATGCAGCTATGCAATGCTGACATTGGGTTTGATCATTCAGAGCTAAGCCATGAGGCTGGTGAGGAAGGTAATGCTGAGCTAATCCATGCTGTTGTCAAGGTTGATGACACACAGCTCTTTGAAGCAACCGGAAAGATCAACGACTCACAGCTTTGTGATGTCATGAACGAAGTCAAGGACTCACAGTTTTCTGATTCAGCTAAGGTGGTTGATTCACAGATTTGTGATGCAACTAACGAGGTCGGTGACTCAGAGCTTCCTCATGTTACCAGTGAGAGTGATCGACAAGCATCTAAAGTGGAAGCAGAGGTTGTTTTAGAGTCTTCTCTTGAAACTCCTCAGGATATTGCACAACAGAGTAAATGTAGTGTTGTAGTATAAAGTAAAGGTGCTGTCATGCAATTTTTCTGAGGTAATCCTTTAACATGATTAAGGACCACTACTCGGATTTCTACTGTTTTCCCCTTGCATTTCCTTCTATATATCAGATGAATCCATAATTCCTCATTATTTTCTGATAGGCAGTGCGAGGCTAACAATACAAATATGCAGCTAGATTAGTAGTAAAGTAAAAGCTCTTAACATGTATAAAGGCTGTGGATTTTTGGCTAGACAATAAGATACTTGTGATCATGTTGATTAGTGTACTGTTTTCTGCTGTAACATTTCAGGTTTTATTGCATCTGATCTATTTTGATGACGTCTTCTTTAGTTCTTAGATTATTCATTTTCTTTTCCAAATGTAAAGGTAACTGGAAGTTATGTATATTTTTATCCCTTTGAAATTTTGAAGTTTCTGCTATTGGGTGTTTATGTTTTTTTATTTTATTTCGTGTTCTGTGTATATTTACATAGATTGCATTCATATTTTCAGTGACCTCTATACAATTTATGCCCAAATGCAATATAAGTACACCATTGAACCATATGTGGGTGTGTAAAGGGACAATGGGCCCATAAATCTGAATCCAACATGGACCACTAGAGGCTACGGCATTATTTGCAGATAAAAATATAACCTTCCTTCTGCACTTTGTCTTGAGTAACTCATGTTTTGACTTGGGGTAAATCAGGTTTTTTTGTTTTTTTGTTTTTTGTTTTTGTTTAAACAAGTGATATTGGAAGAGGGGAGTTTTCTCACACACACACTGTCAATGCGTCATGAGAGTTCGAACCTAATCACGTGTTTTTTTAACGAAGGGTAAATCATGTTTTGACACAACTATTCCCTTCACCATGCTTAAGATGAGGACAAACTTAGCAAATTTGCATTCAATTCGAGCTTGTAATAATTACTTAGGAATTCAGAACACCAAGTAATTGGATAGTTTGATTAACCCCTCTATTTTGTAGCCGGTGTTCAGCAGTGTCAGAAAACTAGCAAAACACTAGACACTCCATCCTCCTAAAGTCCATAAGTAAAATCTTACTTTACCATAAAGAAATCAGAACATGTCTTCAAGTCTTAGTTTTTTAGTTTTCAGCAATTGTCTAATGTTTTGTGCTACTATGCGACACTGCCTGGTTTTTACTTTCATGTCATGATTTTCTGTGAACTCCATTGTTTAAGTTTAAGGCTTTTGTTTATTAAACCCAACAATTTACACCAGAATTTGAGGTTGAGAGAAGACAAGAGCAGCATTTCCTTTTGTGGAGATACAGTTCCAATGTAACTATTCTGATTGAATAAGTTCCCATGGATTGTAGCCACCCTAATGCTTAGTGGCCCAAAATTGCAAAAGGGAAAAGAAAAGAAAAAACTTAAAAGCAATGCCAATTGCCAATGTTATGTAAAAGTTTGGATTGGCTGCAGAGTTATGATGGATTTTTAAGTTCATATCTAGATGAGGAAAAACTACGTAGGATGAGCATGGGCATTAGATCTACACTCCAAACTAAATACTTCATAGTTTTTTCTCTGCACTCATGAAAAGACAACAAACAACTAAAAAAAAATCACAAGCCAAGATGATTGTGAACCATAAGACAACAGGGGAAAATAAAAATAAAAATAATTCCAATGCTTTTTTTTTTGGGTCTGAAAAATAATTCCAATGCTTGGAAAAGGGAAACATGCCCCTTATTTTTCACAACACTCAACTTTCTGCCTAATAAGTTCTCTCAATCTCTTGACCCTACCTTGGCTTTCATATAATCAAAATCTCACTCAAATGTCATGAGCACTCCACCTATCACTTCAGTCACTTCCTTTACAACTCTCTCTCTCTCTCTCTCTCTCTCTCTCATAAGTGAAAACTTGAAAACTTGAAAACTTGAAAACTTGAAAGCCACATCTAAAAAACCACACAACAAAGTGCTGCAACTGAGCTGGCCTCCTCAATACCTGGACACAATGCACTGTTCCTTCTCACTCTCTCTCCCTCTAATTCTACTTCTCCTCTCACTCCCTTCTTCTATTCCTTCTGTCTCCACCACCAATCCCCACCATGCAAATAAACAACCACCCATCAACGCCCCCAAGCCCATCAACACCATGGCTCCATCTGAAGCAGAAGCTGTGTTCAAGATCATGGACTCCATGTCCTCTGATCAAAACTGGAGAATTTCCCATCCTAACCCTTGTCAGCCAGGCTCATCCTGGCCTGGAATTGAGTGCAAAGTAGGAAACGACAACTACCTACACGTCTCCAGGCTTGACTTTGGCACCCCACCAAATCCAACTTGCAAAAAAACAGCTACATTTCCTTCACAAATCTTTGCTCTCCCATATCTTCAATCTGTGTTCTTCTTCAATTGTTTCACTCACACCAAAACCACTCTTTCTGTTCCACAAAACAGAGCCTCCCCTGCTTCATTTCAACAGCTCAGTCTCCGATCTAACCCGGCACTCGTTGGCCCAATCCCACCTCAAATTTCAACACTCAAGTCCCTTGAAATCCTCACGTTGTCTCAAAACCGCCTCACTGGCCCAATTCCATTGGAGATTTTCAGCTTGGGCAGTTTGGTACACCTTGATTTGAGCTACAATATGCTCACAGGCACTATCCCATACCAGCTGGGCAGTCTCAGAAACCTTCAAGGCCTTGATTTGAGCTACAATATGCTTACAGGGCCCATCCCAAACACAATTGGCCAACTGGGTTTGCTTCAAAAATTCGACTTCAGCTCAAATTCACTTACTGGGGGCATTCCTGATGGCATTGAGAAGCTCAGTTTATTGGTTTTCATGGCTCTGAGCAACAACAAATTGGGTGGGCAATTTCCAAAAGGTCTGGAAAAATTGCAAAGCTTGCAGTATTTAATTTTGGATGGCAACCCAATTCATACACCTCTGCCACTAGAGTTCGGTAAGTTGGTGAAACTTCAAGAACTCAGGCTTGCTGATTCTGGGTACTCTGGCACAATACCAGAAAGCTTTTCACAGCTTAAGAATTTAAGCACTTTGTCGTTGCAGAACAACCGTTTAACTGGTGAAATTCCGGTTGGTTTTGGCAGTCTCTCACATATATACCACATGAATCTGAGCAGAAATATGTTGGGGGGTGTTGTGCCTTTCAACTCAAGTTTCTTGAAGAGGTTGGGAAGAAATTTGGATCTTAGTGGAAACCCAGGTCTTTGTTTGAGTCCCTCTGAGGCACACAGTTTGAAGATTGGAGTTGATGTTTGTGGAAAGAATAACAATGCGTCTTCTATCCAGCCCTGGAAGAAATCTCAAGCTCCATCTGGGCTCTCCAAGCCATTGTTCCTATTTACTGCTTTATGTGTTTGGGGATTGCATCAAATGTTGTCTCTGGTATGACAAAGTATGTTTGTGCTTTAGTCCAAATTATTACTGGTTATTATGGTGCTAGGTCACTGTAGAAAAATATATGTAGATTGTTTAATAAATATAAGGATTTTCTGGGACTTTGCAGGATTTGATGTGCATTTGGGTTCTTTTAGTTTGGAAGCATTAGGAACTGCCAAGTTTAGAAGAAATGTAAGGTTTGCTTCTGCTATGCAAGTTTCTGTTTTTAGCAGACCCCCTGGTTCCTGTATAACATGTGTCTAGTGTAGTGTAAATTACTGGCTTTTTGTTTCAATTATTTGCATCAAATGTTCAAGAAAAATACAAATAGAGTTCAGGAGGTAAATTTGAAACCATACTTTTTCTTTAATCAACATAAAATTTGATGTTTTTTTTATTTTCCATGAAAGTTTGAGGCTCCTGATTTTTACTACCTGTTTTTTTTAAAACCTTTTGGGAGAGATTTTCCATTGGCATTGGATACTCCTTGCCTCCTTTCCAGAAAGGAGATACTCCTTCTTGCAAATCACAGTTTGACATATATGCAAAAATAATTCATCAAAAACACAAAGAAAAACTTTTGCACACACATCACACTCTAATTGGTAGTAATGTAGGAGCGCCTACTCAAGAACCAAAGTTTGACACATATGCAAAAATAATTCATCAAAAACACAAAAAGAAAAATTTCTGCACACACATCACACTTCCATTGGTACCAATGTAGGAGCGCCTACTTTCATAGCAAGGAGAGAAGTATTTTCCAAAAAAGAAAGCATCATCTGACACTATTTTAGGGAACATGTGGTTTGCTGTCTCGAAATTTATCTTGCATTGCATGTCACACGTTTCATGTTGGTTCGATAAAAAGGCTTAACTTAAGCACAAACAGATACAAATAGAAAGCCATAATAGGTTTGCTGGGACCAGATAGGTTTCTCTTTGGAAACTAGACATCAATTTACAACAATAATATTTCTACCACCCAAATCAAATTTGTACAATTCAATAATGTTTGGTGCGGCACATGTGTAAGAAGAGAACGACTGGTTTTAACTTCGTAAAACTATCAAATGAGAGTGAAAAAGAAGCTACAGACGACAATGCCCCCTGAGAGGAGGTTGATGAAACAAAGACCACCACCTGCACAGAGGACTGAATAATGGCCAAGGACACATAAACATTATAAGAGCTGGATCCCACTCTCCCTTTTAGACTATTTGTACACAGTGTTTTGGTACATTTACTGCTTGCCCTATTGTTGTCTCTCAAAAGTGACCTATATTTACCCCCACCACCCCCATTCAATTTTTGAATCTGCACATTAGGTAACCCTAGCTATATCATCTTGCTAGCTCTCCATGTTATTTCAACTTAGAACTTTGAATTGGTATGCATAGCTCCTCACATCGATCTTTTTCTGTATTTATCTGAAGTCCGGCTTCATCACTGGAAGTGTTGTGTATAACATACTTTAAGCTGGAATCGTATAGTCACAATTCATAATTTCATAACATAACATATACGCCTTAATGGTATAGTGGATTATATTGTCATAAGTATGCATACATGATGAATTTATGGGCCCTCATTTATAAGGTGGGCAACCATTGTCAAAGTAGAATCAAATGCAGTTTCCTGTTTGAGGAAACAGTTCGAACAAGTAGACTCCAAAATCTCACACACGCCCATCCGCGTCCCCAATGCAATAAAGGAGATAAACAAATGGTTTTATTGCACAGTCACTTGTCACACCCACTCAACATTTTTCAGGCTTGCATATCTGAATCTACATTCAAAGGCTCATCACTGTGCCCACCACATTTTGTCACCAAACAAATTTTTGGCAAAATATGAAGATGAAACATGAAACTCCCCAGAGAGAGAGAGAGAGAGAGAGAGAGATTTTACTAAAGGAGGAGGGTTGATGCTGATAGGAGGCAGGAGGGTAGGGAGACTGAGACAGAAACAATAGTTTCTGTCACTTTCTTTGCTAACCAAAGTTTATAAAGAAAAAGTTTGCAGAGCCTCACGTGGGAAAGCAGTCCTTTGTGCAAGTACAAATTTTCACACCCCAAGCTTCTCCTTTTTCTTTTTTCACCTACTTTGAGAATTGAGATATATACTTTGGAGTAAAATTTCAGATGTCATGTTCAATCATGTTGTCCTATTATATATATATATATATATATATATATGTTAAGTGAGAGTGAGCTAGGCTTTGAGCTTTGAGCTTTGAAGAGCAAGGCATGCACATGCACCTCTCTGCACACATCATCTCAAGGGCCATTTGAATGTCTGCATATTGGAATATAACAGCTATATATGTCCTGGAGAGGGAACATCAAGTGGTATTATTATTTTCCTTGTAATTATGAGAGATATAAGGAAAAAAAAAGAGAAGATAGATGTGATAATACATAAAAACAAAATTCAAAGCTGCCTTTTTAAAGTTTAAACTATTTCATTTGTTCAATTTTTTATTATAACAAGTTGACAACCATTCCACCCTTCTTTCTCATTGAGATACACATATGGCATCTTTCTTCTCTTTCTCATCTCTTTCAAAATAATCATATATATTTCAAGAATATATTAATCTAAATTGCATGTTCAAAATGACCACTCACCTGCTTAATTTCCTAATATATTTTGGCCAAATAACCACATACTCTTCTTTCCCCTCGATCATTTGTAAAGTACAATTTGACCTAATTACAAAAGAAAAGAAGGAAAAAAAAAAAAAAAAAAGAAGTAAGATTTGATCTTTGTAAATCCCCACGAGGCATCAAGTTGTAATATTTTCATTTACAATTGGTAACACGTCCTTACAAACAACTCAAAATCCAAAAACCAACCCAATAGCGAATTTGAAAAGCATTCTATATCGCCAACGGGTTCCCATCCAAACCAGTCCAAATCAAGCCCGTATAACAAACAACCCCCAAACTCCTTAAAGTAGGAGAGTTCCAACCAAACTCAACATACACAGGAAGCACAAAGACCAGAAAAACAGTGAGCCGAAGAAACACAATAAATGTAGCTCACTAGAAGCCAATACAAGGAGAAAATACACAGCAATTAAACAGGGATTATCAGTGCCAAAGCAGAACCCAGCAATCAGACAAGGTACCTCTAGCTTGAAAAGGAGATAGCACCACTAACAGAACGAGCCTGTGCACTCACTCAGCCAAGCATCACATCACTCCCCCTTCTCCTCCACCAGTTTCACATTACCCAGTCTCTGAATTTTCCCAGCAATAGAAAGGCATCTCCTCCATTAAACCCCAATCCTCAAACATGATAAACTCCAAAGCACATAGAAGAGGAGGGGGAAAGAACTGGCACAAAAGACAGTGAACAAACCCTAGAAAATCTTAGGGCATTATACCCTTTGCATTTGATCAAATAACAAAACACAGCTACACGTTCGGAAGCTCCTCGCCTCTATCTGCTAAAAAGCTGCTACTCTGCAGGATGAGCCTCTACACCATCGAACGATGTACGGGGTTACAAAGCTCATGTGAGTAAAAACATAACAAAATAACAACTTGCATTCCGAAGTACATTCTCCAGTCATGGTAGTAAAAAAATACAATCAGGATTCACATGTCAAATTCATATATTACCAATCACCATGAGATATAGAAGGACATCAGCAACATTCCAAGGCTTAGTACACTTACATAGTCTCCACTAGGCCTGGGCACGGTTCGGGTCGGGTCCAATTTTGAGTGACCCAGTGAGTCGAACTGAGTAGGATATCGGTTCTCGGGTTGAGTCGGGTCCAAACTTAAAATCGAAAATGAGTCAACCCGATAGGCTCCGGTTTAGTTCTAGCTTTTTTGTCGGTTTTGGGCTTTAGCCCAACACTAGTTTTTTAAGCCCAACTCACTTTTTTTGGACCAAAATCCTTTTTTTTTATAGGTAAAATTGCCAAAACCTAATTAGTTTATTTATTCAAAAGCCCAATTTTGTTTATTTTTTTTTCACAATGCCAATTTTTCAAACAGGCCATCCCTTAAAGCCCATTTCATTTTTCCTTACCCAAATCATGTAAATTCAACTCAACTATAACCTGCTTTTTTAAAGTTTCTAAACTAAATCACAATCACAAGCATCATCCAACTATCAAATTAGTTGTTTCTTACAAGTTACATCCCAAGCCATGACAAAAAATACAAGTAAAGCACCAAATTATATTTTACAACCCATAAAAAAAAATACAAGTAAAACACCTAATTAGATTTTAAATACCAAACACATTCACTTGTATGATTGTATCAGTTAAGGGAGCTGCAAAAAAAATAAATAAATAAATACACTTGTATCAGTCAAAAATCACTCACCAAACAACCATAATCATACACCAACTCGATAGTTAATTTCACCCCAAAAAAAGAAAAGTGTTAGCAGTTTTTGTCTCAAATCATTTAAACATATCAAAACAAGTTATCGCACCTCAATCAACTCAAATACACATATCAAAACACTCCTCAATCAGTTATCATTCAAAACATCTTATAAGCTCTGTTGTTTCGTTTTCTTAAGAAATCTATTTCAGCCAAGCCAAACCAAATAGCTGGGAATGCCTTAATTTCCCCCAACCCCAATACTTCAAGATGTTAAATTTTTATTTCCATCAATATTTAATCAACCAAATACAAAATGAAGCATCAAATATCAATCCCACCAAAACAGCAGCAGGTCTATCTATAACCACACAAAAATGTCAGAACCAAAATCTCATTAACATCAAACATATTTCAGAACCAATATATATCATGAACATCAAGCAAGCAAATTTTCAGAACTCACCACCGCTAGCACTGAGTCAGATTCATCCATAATCACCACCACATTGTAGTCACAACAGACTTTTATCCAAGTCCTTACCACAAAGACGCACATATAAAGTTAAAAACAACATACCATTGATTTGGATTGAAGAAAATTAGAAATAGCATAGGGTTTATACAGTGTTTTAAAAGGCACGCATCAAATATCACTCCCACGAGCAGTAATCTTCACTTTTGTCAAATATCCATACTTTTTCAAAGTTAAAATAAAAAGATGCCGTTTTTTTTATTTTTCCCTACAGATCAACCAATGGGTACTCAAAGTGAAGAATATTGAAGATAAAAGTGAAGATAACAAGTGTGCGTCAGTCAACATGGCCACATCCTTACCTTTTACCCTAAATTATTATTTTATGACTTTTTCTTAGAAAATTCATAACTAAATACACAAAAATCACAATAATGTTCCGAAATTTGCTACGAGCTCATTGAGACTTCATCTTCCTCCTGAATTCCCTGTTTCATGGTTACGCTACATTAGTATTTTATTATTATTTATCCAAAATTATTTTTATTATTATTGTTATATTAATTTTTAGCTTGTACATTTGTTAATTATATTTACTCCAAATTTTTAATTTTATTTTTATTTTCCGTGCGAATAGACCATTTCTGGTGCTAATCAGTTTCTCTCTTCTTCAATTTGTTAATGTTTTTTCTTTTTTAGGTTTAAGGGATGTTTTCAAACATAAAATGGAAATATACAAGCCATCCATTCTACAACATCAGGAAATAATTATTCAAAGTCTTTCACTGTTCAAGTTTTGCTTAAGAAACGTGTAACCCAATCATTTGGGATATGCAAAGTGGGAAAATGTCATTCCCAAGAACCGGTGAAAAGACACATACTCACTTCATGCATGCGTTTTCGTTTACCAAATATTAAGATTGCAGTTGTGCAAAATATCTGTGTCAGTAAAATGTCATTCGTAGCCGTCAATTATGTCAGTAATAATTCCACTATATAACAAATATTATACATTTATATATAAAACGGTTTAGGACAGCACAAACACCAGACAAAATAGATTAAAACATGAAATAGAAAACAACATTTGTAGAACATAGACACGCATAAAAACCGTAGAAACATACTACAACTAATTATAAGGGTATGGATTCCCTGGCACAACATAGACACGCATCACCTTGAACCAAAAAACACTCTCACGGTGCCATTTGCATCGATTGCAACAAGTCCAGAAGGCAGGATTGATCTTTTCTTCACTAGGCCAGCCTGGAATAACAAAACACCAGTCGTTGTTGTTACAAGCGCTGCACTGATTGAACTTAATCTTCCCATAGTGAAACATATCTACGATATGTCTTCCAACAGAGAAAATTCCGCTTAATCGTCGTCTCAAAGCATCCCTGGTTCCTTTCATATCAATGTTGTTACGTTGATTCAAAGAACACAAGAATTCTAATGCATCCTCTTTTGACTGACCAATTCCGGACATGCCAAGTAGTCCAACTAGATATGCCGTTTCCATATGGCCTGCCGTGGCTGCAACGCGCATCCCAGACAATGCTTCCACATTACCCTGCCTGAAAAACACGTCGAACGCTTCTCTAAATATCGCCTCACGGTTCTCGCAAGCCCTGCATTGTTCCACGAAATGCCGGACCTGCGTTGAGGCATAGTACCAGTTAGGATGGTCTTGGTACTTTTCCATTGAAATTGTGTTCCACACTTGTGGAGTGTTTGCCAACGTATTGAACAATGGGCACACAGATGCCATACAAAAGAGATCTTCCGATGATTGGGTTGCCACGTATAACATCACTTTAAACCAAGCTAATTCCGGGATGAAGGCTTGAGGCACATCCAGATGGAGATGCTTCCTTCTCTTTCCTCCGACTGTAGTGTAATGTTTCGAATTCATTGAAATATTTTTGGAATGGAACGATTTGAGGACTGCAAGAGGGGAGAAATGAGAATATACGGGGTTTTGGGTTTGTTTTAGCCTCTGTTTGCACTGTTTTGAAAAGGTGTTTCCTTGGGGTTTTTCCAAGTTGACCCTTTTTAAAGAAACTGAACCCAACACCCAAAACATAAGACAGGCGAAGGGAAAACGTCATCGAAATGCAAAGGGAGTCAGACCGTCCAAAAGTCAATTAATAACCTATTTCCATAGCCATTGTTAGGCTTTTTCCGCCATTAAATTCATTGATACAAATGTGATGGATTACTGACTAGTGACAGAAGGTCCCATCAGATACTTTTTCATTTTCCCACACCACACTACCCCTAGTAAATGACGGATTCTTATCCAAATAGTTGCCTTAATGAAATATAAAGAAAATAATATATTTAAAGCAGTGTCCCCTCAATTGTAAGATTAATATTTGGTAGTGAAATAGTATATCGCTTTTCGGAGTAAAATGTGTCACAATTCTGACGGTACAGGTGTCCAGATCGTGACCAACCCACCCACACACAGAAAAGAAGGATATAATTCGATTTGGGCAAAGATGAGAGAGCTGAGTGAGAAGTTTAGGGTTATGACTTATGAGTGAAGGGGTATGACTGAGAAGGTATGAGTCCGAAGAGGTTTTAGTGAGAAGATCTGAGTGAGAAGAGGTACAAGTGATAAGATTCAACATGTCTTCGTCTTCATCTCCCGCTCAAACAAAAGGTGTCAGTATTGTGGAGCTGCAATGGTGCTTCGGGTTTCAAAATCAGATAAAAATCGAGGGAAGCCATTTTGGAAGTGTCTAACCTCCTATGTAAGTTCTCATTTCCAGAATATGTATGTGGGTGAAAAAAAAATCCTAGGTCTAACTCTAACAAAATTATTTTGCATATATGATGCCTGCAATTAGGGAGCCACCAGTTGCAATGGATTCGAATGGGTTGATGTAACCTCCGCTGAAGCAGATCAGCAAGCTGACACGTATGATGCTACAGTGCTTAATATGCTAAAGTCCATTAAGGACTTGGTATTAGTTTTATTAGTTGTATCAATTGTCATATTATTTGTTCTTTTAATGACCAATTAAGTGCACGGTTTCAAGGATTGTAAAAGTTCTCCCCAAAAACACATGTTGCACGCACCACCAATGACTTTTCAAACACAATTTGTAATTTTTGTTCTTCAAATAGGTGGATTGGCATTGAGTTTAAATTATTGTTTGAAACAAAAGCATTTATTTGTCAGAAACCCAGTAAAAACTTTCCTAGACTTACTTTACAAAAATAAAGCCATACGAAGACGATAAAATAACAATACAGGGCCAATACGATCCTATAATAAGACAATACCTTTTTTTTGAAGATTGCATAATTATTCAGTGTATATAGATTGTTTATTGATTGTTTACTGCATGTAAATCGCATGATATTGAATGTTTATTGAAGGTTTATTAACTGCATGTATTTCGCATGTTATTACTCCGATATTGAGTGTTTATTGAAGGTTTATTGATTGTTTACATGTTTCGTGAAGGTTTAATGATTGTTAACTGCATGTATTTCGCATGTTATTGAACCGATATTGAAGGTTTATTGAAAGTTGATTGAGTGTTTACTGCATGTATATCGCATGTTATTGCTCCAATATTGCATGTTTATTGGGGGCAAAAGTAGGACTCAAGTTAGATTTAAGGGGGAAACGGTCCTTATTCTTTGTTTTAGTAGGAAGAACAACTGTTAAGTAGAATTTCCTATTCAATACGACTTCCTTATGGTTGATGTAATTGGGGACTGATGTATATTGCATGTCTATTGCGTGTATATTTCATGTCTATTGCGTGTATATTGCTTGTCTGTTGCCTGTGTATTGTTATTTATTTCTTTCGTAAGCAATACAAATCAATACAGACGCAATAAATGTAAGATATGCACGCAATAGACAAGCAATATAGACCCAACAGACATGCAATATAGACGCACCAATATACATTACTTTTATGCTACTCAGCTGCCCAAAACCAATAAAATAAAGAAAATCAACCAATTTATTAACCGATTATAAAGGAGAGAGGGATTCAAACCCGAGGGGCAGTGCGGAACCAATAGGGAGTTTTTAGAGCATTGCACCTGGGGACATTTTTTCATGTGTTTCTATAAAGAGGGCATGGTTGAATAAAATATTGGAGGCGAGGCCATAGCCGCCTATTCCCCTTACAGAATTACCTTATTAAGATGCAACCCATTGCGATTAAGTCAAGGCATGTTGAACGGCTTAAAGATTGGGATATGATATTTGGAATGGTGGCTTGGATAAATGATGACATATCACTTTGCAATGATGTAATACACTTAAAAAGCCATCAGTCCCTATGTGAATATGCATTCTTCAAATCCCAATTCACATATGCAGTCTTCAAATCCCAATTCAATGCAGTTTGGTTGAGGTTAGGTAAATGTCGTGAAGGAGTTAGGCCAATATTACACCGATGTTTGTTTCATTACATAAAAAAAAACTTTAAACTCCATATGCACATTCTATGTATGGGAATGGCATGTGTCTAACTTCAAAAACGCATCTGCCTATCCATTTAAATTGCCCACGTGCAATAGATTTACAGATCCATTTACTTTTCTCCTCACCAACCCTCAGCATCTCCATTTCAGATTCTTCATTTTTCTATGCTCTGCATCCAGCTCCATATACATTTCGCACAATATGAGAATAAACATAGCGTAATATCACACTAATCGAAATGAAAGCATGCATCCGCTATAATATTTGCCACTATTTTGGTTCTAATTGTTATTGTCCAGTAACTTAAATCTAAATTTCTGTACACAAATACACTAAGATTGAGAAAGACGAAGAAGAATTCAGGAGCAGAGGTGGAATTCGAAAAGGACCCATGGGTCTCTATTGTGTATTTACATGACTTTGAAATTGGACATTCCCAAAACCTATTTAATCATCATGTGCCTAAACCAAGTTCAACCGATATCATGGCATGTAAGCATCTCCCCGTGCAATTTCTGCAGCCAACTTCAACCGAAAAAATGGCATGTTCTGCGAGGTGCAAGTAGCTAAGGGAATCTCAGCACTCAACAGCTCAATGTACTTCAACACGAACATACCACAATCGCCTCTGAAGCAAAACAAGAACTCGATCAATTCAACTAATGACATTCTAACGTAATTGACAAATTAAAGTAATAAAATTAAATAAAAAGTTGTGCTCACTGATTAGCCTGTTGTGGAACATCCACACGATGTATTGGCCATGGACACCACCAATCTCGGGTGCACTCGTTCGCGTAAACACCTTCTTCATAAAAGTCGAGGGTGTGCAGAAGATTTGGAATCGTAATTGACAGGGGGCCGAGTTCTTCCTTTAAGCTCTGATCTGGAATGAGTGAAACCATTGAATCGTAGACTTTGATTTCACACTGAATCAAATCAATCTCTAGAGCCACCCAATGCTTATATTTTGGCAACATACAAGGTACATACACCTTATACGTGTTCTGCCAATCCAATCCACACGCCGGAACCTTGCCATTTACAACGTTCACTAAACTGGTTCTAATTTTCCACCCAACTTGCTCTTTTTTTCCTTTTATTATCCGCAAAGCAAGTATGGATGTGATTCTGTGAAATAGAAAACAATCAATGGTTAAACACCTCCACAAAGCAAGTATGGATAATTTGTAATTATTAACTGCACTTGGTCAAGGCCTATGCCATACTGATGTAGCACAGCCCTGGGTGTGTTAGTTTAAACACTTAGAGCAATAAGACAGAACAGATAAGAAAAGCTGAAGGGAAGAAAAGGTAAAAGGCAGGCAGAAATCAGAGAGTTTAAAGGAATGTTTAATCAATATTCAAATCTGAATTGTAAAGAACTACATAGGGGTATTTATAGCAAACTAAAACCTAGAGACAATAGAATTAAAATCCCCAGGTAAAACAGAAATCCTATTCCTAATAAAATAGGAAACTTAGAAATCCTAATAGGATTTGGAAAACTAACTTAGAAATCCTACTAGGATTTGGAAAACTAAAGAATATAGGAAACTAACAAATCAATTAGGAAACTAAACAATTTAGGTCCTATGCATCCTGCATCACATACCATAAAAAATACATCGGTCGTTGTCCAGTCCGATATTTCTACTTCCTCCAACTGTTGTTGTCGCTTCCGAATGAGATACAAGCCCAAATCAATGTGCTGCACATGTTTTCCTTGTCAATCTCATAATCTATGCACATTCAAACAAATGCATAATCAATTAAACTTACATCTCCTTTCAGCCAACCGTCAGCTTTGACGAGGGAAGCGAAGAATTCAATCTCAGCTTCCACGTTGCCAAATTGCATCACCAAACTATGAATATAAAAAAGTTTTAGAACACAACAATTAAAAAATATATACACTCATGCCTTCTATCTCAAAAAACAAAGGACTTACTTTGGGTTATGGCGCCATTCCGAACAAAGTTTCAGCAATTTCACCATATCATCATGCGGAATCGCCTTCATTGGGTCTAACGTCCGAAGTCCGGTTGTCTTTGGCAAATTTTTTTGAACCACTTCACTAGCTTCAACGATCTTCCACATAGGAATAATCCTCTTCCTCTTCCGTAATTGGACCCCTCGTTCCACACCTTGACCTTCATCATTCAACCAAACGTTCAACTGAGATAACACAGTTGTAGGTTGATCCAAATCAATGTCCCCGAGAGTAACCTCAACCTTTGTCCCCTCCGTGCTCTCGCCAATGTCATCGCCAACCAACATAACTTCATCATCCTCTTCCTCACATTGGTTTCTTTGCACTTCATTTTCCTCACTTCTCTGTCTTTTCACTTCCTTGCCCTTCCTTCTTTTTTTTTGCGGATCCTCTCCCTCACTGCTTTTTCTTTGCAGTTCTTCCCCTCCCTCAATGCTCTTTCTTTGCGCTTCCTCTCCTTTGCTGCTTTTTATTTTCACTTGCTCTCCCTCACTTCTTTTCCTTTGAGCTTCCTCTACCTCCCTTGGTTTTCTTTGCACTTCACCTCCTTCAATCCCCTCCTCTTCCTTTTCCTCTCCCTCATTTCTCTTACTTGGCACTTCACCCCCTTCAATCCCCTCCTCTTCCTTTTCCTCTCCCTCATTTGTCTTACTTGCCCCTTCACCCCCTTTCAATCCCCTCCTCTTCCTTGTCCTCTCCCTCATTTCTGTTATTTGGCCCTTCCCCTTCCACTGCTTCGTCTTTTCACTGTTTCAGAATTCATGTCTTTGCTTCTTCCACTCAAAATAAATACTTTTTCACAGTTTAGATAATGGAGTTGCGTTCAACCGTCGTTAACCTTTGCCTTCAACCGTCGTTGCCTGTTGCCTTCAACCGTTTCTCAGAGCTTAGCGGTTTCTCTGAGCTATGAGTTTGAGATCAATGGGTTTTTTTCTGTTCAAACTTCGAACTTGCCTATCTTTTTTCTTTTTTTCTGGGACCAACTTCATTGCTGTATATTAAATTCGGGTTTGGGTTCCTCACCTACCCGATTGCACAACTTTATCCCAATTCTCCCCAGCCCTTGGATTGATCTAATGACTATAAAGTGAACCCCTTATAACTTACCCCTTGTAACTTACCCCTTATTATAGTCTTAGCGATATTAGCCTACCCCTCTATGTTGAAATACGCCCAGTGCTGATATTCTCAAAGGCATGTTTTGGGTTCGTCCTAAATCTGAAAGGCATATTTTGGGCCTTGTCTCAACATTGCATTATAAGCCCAAACCCATCCCAACCATAAACCCAAACTCTCTCTCTCTCTCTCTCACAGAAAATTCACCATGGCCATGGCTTTGAAGCTCCTGAAGCAACTTCGAGGACCGTCCACCACCACCTCTACAATTCTCTACCGCAATCTTAGACCTCGGTTCTCGAACCTGCGTAGTACCATTAGGCTCTTCTCAGATGCTCCTCTCTCCGAGCCCCTTACCACTCCGCCGCATCAAAACCCTCATTCTCCTTCTCCGTCGTCGTTGAATCAGTACGAGCTCGCTAAGTTCGCCGCCATTGCTGAAACCTGGTGAGAGCTTGCCCTTTTTAATAAAAGAGTTTCAATTTGTGCGCTTAAATGTGATTTACCTGTGATTTGAATTATGATTATGAATTTTATGATAAGGAGAAAGAGATTTACTTACGAAATTAAAGATATTGATGATTATAGGTGGGATTCTGAAGGGCCATTCAAACCATTGCATCAGCTGAATCCTACAAGACTTGCTTTCATTCGCTCCACGCTTTGCCGACATTTCGGGTAAATTAAGTTTTTTTTTCTTCTGTAGTTTTGCATTTAGTAATATCACAAATTGGTAGCTGCCAAGCTATCTTGACAGTAGATTGCTTTGTGTCCTGGTATTGTTTGCTGAAGTGAAACGCTTCAAAATAATCATACTTTACAAACGTATATCAAGATTTGGAATGACAAAGATGCTTCCATTTTCATTGTATTTCGTGTTTCTGATTTTCAGGAGGGATCCGTTATCCCCGAGGCCCTTCGAAGGGCTCAAATTTGTCGATGTTGGCTGTGGTGGTGGAATTGTTTCTGAGGTATGCTATCATTTTTCCCCCTCCTCTATAGCACCCTTCTATTTTCAAAGTAAAAAAGTTAGGCATTTGTCTAACTGGGCTCAATTTTAATTCAATAAGTAGCCACAACCTGGTGTTGGTTTGGCTGAACATCCTCTGACACTTGGGTCTATACTATGTTTAGCTTAATTGATTGTTTTACCTGAAAAATGTTTTTAGTTAAGAGGTCATGCTAATCTTTAACCTTCTCCAGCCTTTAGCTCGACTGGGAGCTACTGTGACAGGAGTTGATGCTGTCGAGAAAAATATCAAGATAGCACGCCTTCATGCTGTATGTCCACTCTCTTTTTCAATGGCAATTAACTTCAGTTTTTATGTGTACAAGTTTTTGTGCATGTGCGTGTACTTTGTTTCCTTAAGCCTGTTAATATGCTTCTAAACATTAATCATTCACACAGGATTTGGATCCATTGACTTCGACAATTGAATATCGTTGCACAACAGCTGGTACATGCTAAACTTGTTCCTTTTGTATTTTTTTCTTTTTCAAAATTCAAGTACTTGTTGATTTATTAAACTTCAGGCTTGTGTTTTTCCATTTATGCCCAGAAAAGCTAGTTGAGGAACAGAAGAATTTTGATGCTGTGTTTGCTTTAGAGGTATTCTCTCTCTCTCTCTCTCTCTCTCTCTCTCTCTCTCTCTCTCTCTCTCTCTCTCTCTCTCCACATATGTGCATGCGCTCGTGCGTACATTTTGATTTTCTCCATGGTGTCTTTAGTCCTGGATTATATCCAACTTGTTGGTAAATTGATGATTTTACTTAAGGTAATTGAGCACGTAGCAGACCCTGCTGAATTCTGCAAGTCTCTGGCAGCCTTGACTGTTCCTGGTGGAGCTACTGTTATTTCAACTATCAATCGTTCCATGAGAGCATATGCCACTGCCATTGTTGCAGCAGAGTATCTCCTCCACTGGGTATAATTTGTTAATGCCTGCCATTATAAATGCCTTCTTGTTGAACTTGGTCGTGTTTCATGTTGAATTCCTTTCTTAAATAGCAGACCTTTGCTATCTCTAATATTTGTGATTATGTGTTCTTACATGAAGGTGTTATTAGGATATTCTTTTTTGTTGTAAATACACACCCAAACGACTTTAAAAAGAAAACTTTTGCCCATAACATACGCAAGGTTCTGTGCTAGTAGTTGGTGATCTTGATAATTAGGTTATTCTGGCGAACATGAGATTGATCCATGTGAATATGGTGTCTTTAGGAGAGCAATATATAATTAAGGGATTTCAAGAATGCCCCATTCTTGATTCATGGGAAAATTCTGAACAAACCTGATATTCTTTTATATGTGAGCATGATTCCTATTTTGTGTCAACTTTCCAATTATATTAAATAGCAAACTTCAAAAAATGTTATCCATGAAACAATGTCAGGTTGTAATGTTTGTGCACTGTCTGGAAAATTATGTCCGAAAGCCATTGAAACATTACGATTGAGAAGGATTCAGGAATCAACTGTTATTCTATCCAGTGTGCCCTAAAAGATTCTCTATGAATGACGAACTCGTTCTTTTCTGTATACTCGAGTATTATGCTCAAGTCTATATCATTTATAGAATCTTCAGCTGTTGATAACATTTTAACTTTGTTTTACAGCTTCCGAAAGGTACACATCAATGGTCCAGTTTTCTTACTCCTGAAGAGCTAGCCCTAATCCTGGAGCGCGCTTCTATTTCAGTAAGCCAAACACCGAATTTTTGCCGCATGCGTAGCTAGTTTTACCCCTGTATTTGTAGGTAAAGCTTGTTTTCTGTTTGGTTGATTTTGTGCAGGTGCAAGAGATGGCTGGGTTTGTGTACAACCCTTTGACAGGAAGATGGTCTCTATCTGATGACGTTAATGTAAATTTCATCGCTTATGCTACCAAAATAAAAACAGCTAATCTATAAAAACATTTAAAATTTTCCATGTTCTCCCTCTTGTTTGCTGAATGAAAATTTTGCTTATAGTAATTTTTTACTCTCCCCTCTCCATTGTTTTCCTCTCCATTGTTTTCTAATTTCTAAGTTGATCTGCCTCAACCTAAGTAGGAAAGAAAATTCCATTCAGCACAAGCACAATCATGTCAATTTTTGCTACGGTCAGTACCTCACGCGTGTGTGGGCAAATTTTGGCGGTTGATGACAATAGAAATTCAATTCGTACGTGGATAACTAACCGTCACAATTCCTATTATATTGAGCAAGGAAAACGAAACTTTGCGTTTGCATATCGTTTCTGGTTTCGACTTGAAGGAAAGAAGTCTAAAGTCTGAATATGGAGAGAGCGAGAGTCGAACTTTTGAACATATCGAACTTTGAGGACTATTCTTGAGTTGGGCATTTGTTTCTCCTCGCATGGAGTGGAACTCTGAAGGACCTGGCCCCCCATTAAAGAATCAAACTAGTAACAAATCATGATCCCAAGGAGAAAGATAATTTTTATTTTTCTAAACTTTTTGAATCAACCAAACACAGCCTAATAATAATATGATTAAAATTTCTTTGGAAAGCAAAAGCGTAGACATAGTGCTACGTCATCATACATTATCCAGCTTCCACTATCCCCTTGATGAGCTTCCCGAGATAAACAGATCGCTGCGTCACTGTGTGTGCGGGGCCCACTTCTGACAGTTCGCGCCACAGCATCGAAGCTCAGAACGAGACTCGTTCACGTCTCAAAATCAACCGTCAACCTTGAGATCAAATCATCACGGTCCATCTCAGATGCACATTGAGTGGGGCCCTCTTCTCATAATTCGCGCCACAGCATCCAAGCTTAGAACGAGACTCGTTCACGTCTCAAAATCAACCGTTCAAACCTCGAGATCAAATCTTCACCGTCCATATCAGATTGAACTTGATTGCGAATTACACTAATTGCTTGCCGCAGACGTCGCCCTGCTTTTACCAATAATTTCAGTTTTAAGACCAATTAACTGTTTATTCACAAAACAAGTATATATAAAAGCAGGAAGAACAAACATTTTTCTTCTTTACTTCTTTAGCTGTCTACTACTTCCACCAGCTCCTTTTAACTCTTCTTCTATATTATTTCGCATCATCTCCTTCTCTCTAACAATTCATCGATCAAGAGCTGAAATCAAATACAGAGAATTAGAGATACAAGATACAGAAATGTCCAGGGTAACAGAATTGCCAGTAACAGCTCGTGGCCGCTTGGCCGTGCTTTCCGCCCACTTAGCCGCTGCAACCATCGAGCCCTCTGAGCTCGAACCCACTCTCGAGCCACTCTGCCTCTCGGCTCAGGGGGTGGTCCCACCACCCGGGAACCTCAGGGGCCCTTTGACCATCGTCGACGAGAGGACCGGTAAGAGGTACCAGGTCCAGGTCTCTGAAGAAGGAACCATCAAAGCCGCTGATCTCAAGAAGGTATTCATCTTTCTAAGTTATTATTGAATTTTCTAATCTGGGTTTGGTTCATTTTCCTTTTTCCCCATCTGGGTATTGTAGTTTTGAAATTTTGCTATTTGCTAGAACATTGTCTGCCTGCTTGTTTTGAAATTGCAATACATGGAAGGAAAGTGAAAACTTTTGTGATGATTTTTGTGTTTTGTGCGAAATTCGATTAACTTGGTGGAAGAAAATTTGGTTCTTGTGAATATACAGATCACAACTGGGAAGAATGACAAGGGGCTAAAGCTATATGATCCTGGATATCTTAACACTGCCCCTGTTCGATCCTCGATTTGTTATATCGATGGCGATGAGGGGATTCTTAGATATAGAGGCTACCCAATTGAGGAACTGGCTGAGCGTAGTACCTTTTTGGAAGTGGCCTATCTCTTGAGTAAGTACTCTCCCTAAGCACTTCATAATATTGGGAATGGTCTTTTATCGTAATTATATGTATTTTAAGAAAGGCTATAAGTTTTCATATTTAACAGGAAGATATGCCGCTAATTGAATATGCATGTAAAGGATTTATGTAACCGAAAATGTTTGTGGATACAATTATTGCAGAAATAAGCTGGTTCCTCGAAACATAATGGTGAATTATTGATTATTAGGTGTAGTAGCTCCATGTATTGCTGTAATTTCTCTTCGCCATATCTTCTCTTTCAGTTTCTCTTTCTGAACTACTTTGCTTTGTCACTACCCCTTTTTTTGTCCAGTGTATGGGAATTTGCCTTCTGAAAGTCAATTAGCAGATTGGGAATTTGCCGTTTCTCAGCATTCAGCTGTACCACAGGGAATTTTGGTACACTTTTCTTTCTCTTCTCAGCATTCCGCACGACGATGATGCAATAAGTATGGTAAACTTTTTTATTGTTAATTTGAGCCTTTTCATTTCTGACACGCCAGTGTCTTTTGTGTTGTAGGATATTATACAGGCAATACCTCATGATGCACATCCAATGGGTGTACTTGTTAGTGCAATGAGTGCGCTTTCCGTGTTTCATCCTGATGCTAATCCTGCTCTCCGAGTAAGCTAGTTTATTTTCATTGGCTCTGTGCACAACATGCATTTTGTGACTGAGTCTTAGTTATCAGAGGCGTCCATTGTTTGAGGCATTCTGTGATATCTGATCATATATTTTATGTTAACATAGGGGCAAGACGTTTACAAGTCGAAACAAGTGAGAGACAAGCAAATAGCACGCATCCTTGGGAAGGTTTGTTTTGTTTTTGGTCTTTATTTGGACTTTCTGCCTTAGAAAATGTGGTGTGAATGCTATCTATGCAACCATTCTTTAGGTTGTGAAACTTATGTAACCTTGGATTTCAATTCTCTCCTTCCTCTTTCAATCGAAACACTCCAAACAGATAGCTCCTGTGTCCCCAGCCTCTATCAGGCGGCTACAGCCCCTACCTTCTACCTCCACAGCCTATAGCTATTGTCTTGCTTTATGTCTCAATCACTCATTTGGAATCTTTCATTTAGTTTGATATTAGATTGTACCTATATTTTCAGGCCCCAACCATTGCAGCAGCAGCTTATTTGAGATTGGCTGGAAGACCTGCTGTTCTCCCCGCTAACAACCTTTCTTATGCAGAGAACTTCTTATACATGCTAGATTCCTTGTATGTTACTTTATTTCCTTGTATGCATTTAACTGCATAACATTGTAAATCATCTTTAGAAATCTTTTTTCCTTTCTTCTGATGCTGTTGCTGTATAAAGTATAAGCACATTTTGCCTTTTTCGTTTTAATTATCAGTCATTATGGAAATTTGAAATTTGGGTCCTCCTCTAATCCAATTAAGAATTTCTTTTTGCAAACTGGCAGAGGCAATAGATCTTACAAACCCAATCCTAGACTGGCTCGAGTGGTAGATGTTCTCTTCATACTGCATGCAGAGCATGAGATGAATTGCTCAACAGCTGCTGCCCGGCATCTGGCATCAAGGTAGGCATCATATAATTCGAGTGAAATGATTTAATGGCATTTTAAAACACGTCTGGTTCTGTATTTGCAGTGGTGTGGATGTTTACACTGCTCTTGCTGGAGCTACTGGAGCCCTCTATGGCCCTCTTCATGGTGGAGCAAATGAGGTATTTGCAAAAGATTATGTTTTCATTTGTATAAGCAGTTTTTTTAATGCTTGTAAGCTAGTATTAGAATTTAAGTTCCTTAAGCACAGCGTTGGAAGATCACTTCTAAGTTGAAATGCGTACTTCCGTTTTACTATTCATTATTTTCCTTGTGTTATATTTTGCCACTACAGTTTCTTATTTTTTCTGCCTGGATTATTGCAGGCTGTGCTTAAGATGCTAAATGAGATTGGAACTGTTGAGAACATTCCAGAGTTCATAGAGGGTGTGAAGAACAGGTATTGTGTCTTATATCTAGTAGTTCACCAACTGCCGAAGAGGCTTCATATTGAAACAATTATTTATCATTTGTTTCCGGTTCTTACTTCAGGAAGCGAAAGATGTCAGGTTTTGGGCATCGTGTGTACAAAAACTATGATCCCAGAGCAAAGGTCATAAGGAAATTGGCAGATGAAGTGTTTTCCATTGTTGGAAGGGATCCTCTGATTGAGGTGTATTTCTGATCTCCATGTTAAATGCTCCCCACTCCCAAACAAACTATTGATGTGTGGTAGATATAACTTTTATGTCTGTCTACACTTATCTTATTTCGTTTGCAAGTATCATTGTGGACTTTAATAAATAAACACAACTTGAATTTGATTCAATTATTGAGTTTGAGTGCATTTATCTTATGTCATTTTCAGGTAGCTGTTGCTTTGGAAAAGGCTGCACTGTCTGATGAGTATTTTGTTAAGAGAAAGCTTTATCCAAATGTTGATTTCTACTCTGGGTTAATTTATAGGTACTTTCATTACTTTTCTTTAGACGTGAGATTGTGAAGTTTTCTTCTCCGAGCTTGTAACTATTAAATATGTATTAACTTCATATTAATCAGGGCAATGGGATTTCCAACGGAGTTCTTCCCGGTTTTGTTCGCAATCCCTAGAATGGCTGGGTGGTTGGCACACTGGCGGGAATCCCTTGATGATCCTGATACTAAGATAATGAGACCCCAACAGGTCAGTTCCGTTTTCTTGAAATAGTTTGTTTGTGCTGAGCTTTTGGTGTTTCTATGATTCAGTATTATCTCCTACCACTTTTCAATATTAATAGCTAAGAACCTTTTGAATTTCTAAATCCTACTCTGTTATAATATGCGTGTGATGTCCATGTAACAATGTAACAGACACTGCTTGTCATACAACGGCTTGGATTGATATTGTTTGAGTTTATGTATGAAGTGTGATCTCTTGGGGTGGATCTTATGAAAAACAAAATACTCGAACATATGTCCTTTAGGGGGGACATCTGATAAGCTTGGAACAGCAATATGCCAAAATGATGCTTGAAACTTTAGAATTAATCTTTGGTAGTATTTAGCTTGCTTTTTGCAATATTTTTAGATATTCTATTATCCTACTGCGTACTAGATTTATGGTACTTGCTCTCTATATCTCTGCTCGTTTGTTTGTGTTTCTGTGCAGCGTGCTTTCTCAACCAAATATAAATAGAAGCTGCATTTTTTTTTATGATACCAAGCTACATATTTGTTCTTTCTGGGTAGCATAAGTAGGGTTTATGATGGTCTCTCCACTAAGGGTTTACCAGCAGTATCAATAATGTGTTCAGGGAAAAAAGAATATTTTAATCTTTTTTGTTCTGCAAAAAATAAGTTGCTGCTACATTTCGGATCATCCTGTTTCTTAGTTTTGCTAATCTTTGTGACTATTCAGGTGTACACTGGAAACTGGCTGCGGCACTATATACCACCGAGAGAACGGATAGTAACAAGTGATTCAGACAAGCTTTCTCAGGTTTCTGTTTCAAATGCCTCTAGGCGTCGGCTGGCTGGATCTGGAGTTTAGTCCTCATTCAGAACCGTGTGGAATATCACAGGAAACGAAAATAAATTTCATAAGAAACTATAGGGAGAAAGAAGTATCTTTTTGTCTTTCTGCATAAATTATGCCTTCAGCAAAGGCAGAGGAACTAGAGGCTTTTTAGGTTAGGTATTATTTGGTGTTAATAAGAACACTTTGGTGTCTATTCTATGTATTCCGAAATTTCCTGTCACTGTCATCTGGATTGATTTTATTTCCCTTCTTCTTAGCTTACTAGTACCTCCAGTGAATATATATAGTTCTGTCGTATGTCTTCTTTTCTTTTTTGAAAGCTTCTGTCTTATGTCTTGTGACCAAGCATTTCACCATTTCGTGTTATGTTATGTATGCGCAAGGAAGTCTCTAATTCAAATTGGAGTTTCTAAATATTAATTCATCCAAATATCAGTATTCATCTAGTTGGTGAGATTGATCTTCGTGGTAAAGATTTTGGGGTTCGTTTGTGATGAAGTATCTAGTCACACCCCAATTTCAAATTATTACTTTTCTTTAAATAAGGTTAAATACTTTTTTGGTCACTAAATTTTACACGAAAATTCAATTTGGTCACTAAGAAAAATATTTAGCCAAATTGGTCATTAGGACATTTCGTTATTTGTTAAGTGCAGTTTTTATTTTTTATTTTTAAGGAAGCACCTTCATTCTTATTCCTCTAACTCAACGAGCTAGGATGTATTGTGCTATTATGGGTTAGCAAATTACAAGAAATCTTGGGTTCAAATCAATCAATTGAGGCTTCAATATAACATCCAATACATGACCTTATGGAGCATTTTTGCTCACCACTTTAACCCAATGTGTACACTCACCACTATTCTCAATACTTGACATATGTCCCTAATTATAACTGTAGTTAACTTTTTATTTTTAAATATATTTAAAACAATAAAATAATAAAATAACATTTAATTATTTAAAAACCTCTTTCTCATTCTCGCTCTCCCTTTCTGACCCACCCCCACCCCTAAGGCCATCTCCAAATGGGGAGGGCTATATTTAGCCCCGTACTACATTTAGCCCTCTAACAAATGATTTTATAAAGAATAGTGTCAAGCTACATTTTAACCGTCTCCAACAGTAAATGGCTAATATTTTAATAGTTTTTAATATATTATATTATTTATTAATTTAATTTAATTTAATTTAACTACTATACACTATTTAAAATAGAAAAATATTTTGAGATAGGATTTTTGACATCCACGTGTCGGCACGTGATTAGCCCTATAGATTTCTAATTAGATTTTTTCTCCACGTGGCATATCTTATCATGATGTAATCCCAACAATTTTTTAGATAGGATTTTCGAGAGCCACGTATCGATATGTGATTAGCCCTCCATCTTTATGTAAACAGTAAAAGGATGAAGATGTTGTGAAAAATTATGTAAGAATGAGGTACTTATTTATACAAAAAATTTAGGAATTTTTAGAATTTTTTTTAAAAACAAATTCATTAACGGCTAGCTAATGTTAGCTAGCCGTTGGGGTTGCACTAGACCGTTGATGTGCAACGCCAACATAATCAATGGCCAGAAATGGCTCATTTCATCCAGTAAAAAAGAAAAAAGCTACTAGGCCCATAAAATTATATAGCCCAGGCTGGCCAAATGGCCAAATATGGCTTTATTTTTAGGAATTGGCTTTGATAGATAGCCCTTTTTTTCCTTTTTTTTCTTTTTTTTCTTTTTTTTCTTTTTTTTCTTTTTTTTCTTTTTTTTCTTTTCTTTTATTTTTTGGTAGCCTTTTGTGTAACCCACTCTTAGAGATGGGTTTCGGTGATTTTGGTCTCTTGGAGATGGCCTCAAGCCCTATTCTCTATAGCCACCATTTCCTCTCCCACCACATTCATGCTACCTATGTCCAATCAACCACTCAAAATACGAACCCAGAGCCTTTCACCAAAACCCTGTAGGCTGTAGTTTTCTCTTTTTATGATCTTCTGTATAAGGTATTCCAGATTCTTGAGTATTGTAAATTGTTTAAAATGAAAGTTCTTTTGCGTTTAAGGGGCAAATGACATAAAACATTATAGATTAGAAATTTACACCTTATTGCTAATAAAATCATATAAGCTCCTCGTGACATGTTTAGTGACTCTATTTGAATCAACAAATTATTCAGTTACAGGTTCGATTTCTACCTCTTGTATTCGCACACCCTTCACCATTTTTACACCTTAGGGGTTTTATTTTTGTTTTTGTTTTTTATTTTGTTTCTGCTAAGGGGAATATAGAAGGAGAGAATTTCTGTTTTTAATGTTATTTTATTATTATTTTACTTTTTTTTATTTTTAAATACTTTAAAACATTTAAAAGTAAGGAGTTAACTATGATTATAACATGTCTGTTGGCATGAGCCATGATTTAGGGATCCCATGATCCCTGATTTCCTGGTGTAATTTATGTTACCTAATTAGAATAGCTACCTAGTTAGGATTCTTTGTAATTAGCTAATTACTCTTCCTTGTAGGAAAAGTCAACTTGTACTTGTATATATATATCCTTCTCTTGGAGAAATATAATATCAATCACAATTATTCAATCCTTAGTTTGAGTTGGTATTAGAGCTAGCTAACCCTGGTCTCTCAAACAAAAATACAAACCCTAACCTATCGGCATCCTCTAGCACCGACATAACCAAAAAAAAAAAAAAAAAAAAAAAAAAAAAAAAAGCAAAATAAAAACAAAAGCCAAGCCCTTGTCATCATAAACCTAGTGCGGCAAAAAACTCCTACAACACCAACTCATCCAAACTTGTTCTCTCTCCTACATGGCTTTTGAAGATACCCTAGACAACCCCACCGCAGCTGTAAAATCCAGTGCTTCATGTGCTTCAGAAACCAACAAAAACCTTGACAAGGCACAACCAATTATTACAGTTCGCAATGATAATTTCACTACCTTATTCACCATACGGTTGAATGGAAAGAACTATAGCACTTGGTCGAAGATGATATTGCTTCATGTGTCAAACCATGGAAAAAGAGGTTATCTGATAGGGAAGGTGGCTCAAGTGGAAGAAAATGCTTCGGGCTTTGATTCCTGGTGTATTGAAGACTCCATTATTAAAGGATGGTTGATAAAAACTATGGAACCTGATTTGGTATAGTTGTTCTTAGATCTACCAACAACTAAAGATGTTTGGGAGAGTGCATCCCAGATGTATTATGACACGTATAGTGAGTCACAGATTTATGAATTACAATGTAAAACAACCCGTATTATTCAAGGAGGTCGCGATATCGCATCCTACTTTGCTGAGTTCAAGAGCGTTTGGTTGGAACTTGACTGTCGTCATCCAATCAACATGAAGTGCCCTGATGATGTGAAGATTTGATAGGCTAAGATCCATAAAGACTGTATTTATGATTTTCTTTCAGGTCTAGATGATGAGTTTGATAAAATTAGAGGAGATTTTTTTAGATTGAGTCCATTGCCCAAATTGAAGGAGTCGTTTGTTTTTGTCCGTAAAGAAGCCCAACGCCGGGAGACAATACTCAAGAATGATGGAAAAACTAAATCCTCTGTTGTAATGGTTTCCAAAGCCCCTGTTGCTAGTTTTTCTTTTCCTCGTCCAACCCTTGTGGAAAAAGAAATCATGCATTGCACCTACTATAATGGAACCTGTGATATAGAGGCCACGTGTTTTCACAAGAATGGGTTTCCGAAGTTGTTCCTTGAATGTCAGAAGCAATGTAAGGCGGCATAGGCGAAGAAAAATGGAAGGAGAGGTATAGTTGTTGTCGCCGTCGCCGGCCCGCCTTCTACCAACGCTACCTTAGGTATCTCAACCTCGCTCACGATAGCTAATTCCGTTGATGATTCTCTTACTGTTCTCTCTCAGTTATATCTTCCATAAACTAATGATTGAGAAGGTAATCATGGCAAAGCTTTGGTGCTTTCTCACCATCGAGATATAGGTTAGATTATCGATTCGGGTGCTATTGATCATATGACCTATGATAAATCTTTTTTTCATTTTATGACTACTCCTACAAAAACAAGTGTGGTTACTGCCAACGGCAAATCTAGCTCAATCACTGGGGCTGGTTCCATCACTCTTACTCCTACCCTCACTTTACATAAAATTTTACTTGTTCATGCCTTGTCCCATAATTCATTATCTGTTGGGCAAGTTACCAAACAATTAGATTGATGCGTGCTCATGTTCGTATTTTAAGTTAAACATGCCCAATCATGTCCTTTAAGGGGGGAAATACAGTAAATGAAGCACATAATTGGTTTGAGGTGGAAATAGCAAAAAATAGTGCGATGGAAGACATCAACGACCGCAAATTGGACAACAGCGACCCTTTTCTCTCTCGAACATAAGTCCTTTGGATCCTAGTACTTCTCAAAATATTGTTAAATTTGTGAAAAAAATTACATGCACGAGCAAACAGAGAAATACCACCAGACAGGTTCTCACCAAAAAGCAAGGCGATATAGAAGAAGAAGTGTACATGGACATGCCACCTGGTTATGAGATGTCTAATAACAGTGGGAATGTGTGTAGACTTCGAAAGGCTCTTTATGGATTGAAACAGTCTCTGCGAGTATGGTTTGGGAGGTTTACTGACGTAATGAAGAAGTATGGATATCACTAAGGTAACTCGAATCATACCCTATTTATCATACGTAAGGGTGGTAAAGTTACTTTATTGATAATCTATGTGGATGATATGGTTGTTACTAGTGATGATATCGAGGAAATAGGTAAATTACATGACAGGACCAGCCCCAGATTCCACCCTTGGAATATGTGACGAACCTTGTTTCTGTTTGGCATTTGCCCAATGCCGAGCCCACTTACTAACATAACCTTTTCGCCCCCGATTTAATTAAAAATTAGGTCGAGACTTCAACCGAAATTTCTGCAGAATCTCCCCTGAAAAATGGACATTCTTAAATTAAAAATACCTGCAAACATGCGATAGATAATCCCAAACAGCAGCACACACAATGCTAAAGCACACAATTTACAACATAGGCCTCTAGCCTCAAGTTCAACCCTACATAAGCAATATCAGAGCGTTCTACAAAACTTTAGTTTACAGAAGTATTAGGAGTTCAAAAAGAAATAAATGAATATACTACAAGTAATGGCGTGTATTGTACAGAATACTCGACGTGGACCAGTGAATCTCGTCGAGCTATAGCCTAGAGGGCGCAAAACAGGAAATTGTGAGTGGACAAAAATAAAGTTAATAACATAAATTATATATGAACATACTAGCCCCACTGTTTTAGAAAAACGATGTAAACCATGCAATAAAATTCATCTTTATCCATATACCATTCGATACTTGAAACATTTATATTCACATGATCCTTTCCATAACGAACCAGGGGAAGATACAACACATGGTGTGTAGAACAGCTGGTGGTTGTCTTAACACATGCAGTGTCAACAAAGGTTTTTCATGACTCACTTAACAAGTTGGGCATAAGAGATATCTATGCACCAACTTGAGGGGGAGTGTTGGTTTGAGCCATAATTCAAGGATCCCGTTATCCTTAATTTCCTGGTGTAATTCACATTACCTAATTAGAATTGCTACCTAGTTAGGATTCCTTGTAATTAGCTAATTACCTTTCCTTGTAGGAAAAGTCAACTTGTACTTGTATATATATCCTCTTCTTGGAGAAAATAATATCAAACACAATTATTTAATCATGTGTTTAGTTTGAGTGTATCAAGTATTGAAAAGGGTGGTGAAAACACATTGGGTTGGTTAAGGTGGTGAGCAAAAATACTCCCCATGACCTTATACCTCATAATTTTGATTTCAACCCAAGATTTCCCCAAATTTTTTAAGCCCTAATAGCACAATATAACCTAATTCGTTGAGTTAGAGGAAGAAGACTTGAACATGATCCTAAAAAATTAAAAATTAAAACAACACTTAATGGAAGATAACATATTGTCTATAAAATGTAAATTTTGGGAAACACAATGACCAATTTGGCTAAAAAAAAATTTCTAAGTGACCAAATTGAATTTTCGTGTAAAATCTTGTGACCGAAAAGGTATTTTAACCATTAAAAAAAACGTTCTGAGTTATGCCAGTTGGTCACGACAATGTGTCTGTCCTTTTACACCCAAGTTTAAATCTCCCTTAGCATATTTATACATTAAGTTAAGATATAATTGACAAGTTAGAAATAGAGAAACACCAAACATTCTCTTCATATCAATAGAGATGTGAGCTATGAAGTAATTCTTTTCTTTGATAAAGGGTTTATAGGTTAAGCAGTTCACACTATTTACTCTTACACTTTAGATCATGATTCATGTGTGTGATTTCTCTCTCCTAATATCATTGTATAAATAATTTAAAAAAAACTTGAATGTTCGGACAATAAATACCTTGATTGTTAAAATTAAGATATAATTTTATCAACTATTGAATTACATATACAATGCATATTAAATTCACTAACACATTTAATAGACGGTGAAAATTAGAAATCCTTAACTAATTCTTAACTTAAAATCTTTATTTATTATTATTATTTTTAAACATTTTTTTTTTTTTTTTTTTTTTATTTTTTTTATTTAAATAAAATAAATTATTAGAAAAGCCTCCTTTTGTGATTATTTTATTTTCTCTTACAAGATGATCCCTAATTAAAGCGGGAGACCTACCACTACTAAACTACCATACCACTTTGGCAAAACCGGATAAGTTCGAAGCGGACTCCATTATTGACCCGAATCCGATAGATCCGAAATCCATTATCACCCGAAGTTTCGCAGACACAGACAGACCCAAACCCAACCCATCAATCATACTTCTTGTTTAGATTTAAACTACTCGCTCCTAACCTCTCTCTCTAACTCACCGGCGGCAATTTCCGGTCCGGCGAGACCTTTACATCGTTAGCTGAAGGCGATCACACCAGGTTCCAATCTCTCTGATCTTTATGCTTCCAATCTCATTCTCCTTCTCTTTCATTTTCTCTTGTGTTTGCTGTTTTGCTCTGATTGGATCCAGATTTTCTGTTCCTGAATTCAAAAATTCAGTGTTTTTACGTGAAGAGCTTCTTCATGCTTTTGTTTTGTTTGCTTGCTGAGACTAGTATGGAAAATCAGTGAAAACCCAATTCAGAGACTTGGAATTTGATTTATGGTTTGTGTTGCAAAATCATAGAATTGAATGTGATATCAATTTTGATCATCTGGGAACACCTAAAGTCTAGGGCTTGTAATCAAATCATGTAGGTTAGCTTTAGAGAGTAAAATTTATCATAGAATGCTCCAGCCTCTCTCTCTCTCTCTCTCGAATTCAAACCCTTAATAAATAAAATTTCTCTGGACTCTCTAGGAGCTCTCATCAGGTGCGCTGTCCCTTTTCCCATTTTTCCTTATTTCGTCTTCTATAAACTATTTTCTTTTTGTTGTAATTTTGTACGGATATCATGGGATTTTTGCCCTCTCAATTGTTCTGGATCTGCTGTTTGGTTTCTGTTGAATTTGCCCGATTCCTGTGATTATTCATGGCTACATTGGAAATTTTCTCAAAAGTGCAATCGATACATGTTCATTAATCACTGCGAATTTACACATGCTTGTGTTTTTATTTTCTGAGTTTGTTTTTCTCCGTGATTTTCAAGAGTTTTTTGTGTTGAGTTTGCGGTGTTGGATTGATGCATCCTTTGTGTATTAACTGCCATCTGGAATTTGCTTGATCCCTGATTATGTATATCCATTATGGTTTAGATCTTTGAAAACATGTCCGGCCAAAGCCAGCGCTTGACTGTAGTTCCTACAGTGACAATGCTTGGAGTTATGAAAGCTCGCCTTGTGGGTGCGACAAGAGGTCATGCTCTGCTCAAGAAGAAGAGCGATGCTTTAACTGTGCAGTTTCGTCAGATTCTTAAAAATATTGTCTCAACCAAAGAATCCATGGGAGATGTTATGAAAAACTCATCCTTTGCCCTTACTGAAGCCAAGTATGTAGCTGGTGAGAACATCAAGCACATTGTTCTTGAGAATGTCCAAAATGCCTCTATTAAAGTTCGATCAAAGCAAGAGAACGTTGCTGGTGTAAAGCTCCCAAAGTTCGAATATTTTACTGAAGGTGAGACCAAGAATGATCTCACTGGATTGGCCAGAGGTGGACAACAGGTCCAACTCTGTCGTGCTGCCTATGTGAAAGCAATTGAGGTTCTTGTGGAGCTTGCTTCACTTCAAACATCATTTTTAACCCTTGATGAAGCAATCAAGACCACAAATCGTCGTGTCAATGCTCTAGAGAATGTTGTGAAGCCTAGGTTGGAGAATACAATAAGTTATATCAAGGGGGAGTTGGATGAACTGGAAAGGGAGGATTTTTTCAGGTTAAAGAAGATACAGGGTTATAAGAAGAGGGAGATTGAAAGACAGATGGCATCAGCCAAGCAATTTGCCGATGATCAGGTTGCAGAAAAGTTATCTTTGAAGAAGGGCGTTTCCTTAAATTCAGCTCAGAACATGTTGTCAGCGGGTATGGAAAAGGATGATGATATCATTTTCTGATTGATAGGCTAGTTTATATGTTTGTTCTTAGGATGTGTGGTGCTGGTTGTGCTTCTTGTTCTGCAGAGGAATCCTATTATTATTTAGCTCGACGGTCTTATGTTCGGAATAAAAGCTTCATCCCCTTCGTGTATGTTTCTATTTACTGTGAATTATTTGTAACAAAACTTACATCAGTTCAAGGTTTTCGAATATTTGTCGACAGGAAGGTCTTTGGTTTATTGTAATTACTACAGTATGGTTATTTGATCGCTGCACCATTATTCTTACCTCTCATAATACTACGGCAAGAGTGGCTTCAGATTCATTTAATTTTCTTTATAAAAAATTGTGGTTGCCTGGTGAGCTAAATCTCAATATTAAACCAGCAGTGGCCTTTGAGCTGATAATAATTTGATAAACAAAAAAGTCTGGTACAAAATCGCAGGAAAATACGCTAAATTTTTTAACTAGCTACAATGAACATTTTGTCCCATCAACCAACCGCACCTAATTCAGATATAACAATCAAATTATAATCTCTTATTGTTACAGATGTGAAATATTACTACAAAAGCAAGATGATCAAAAGAAAAAGAAAGAAATGAAGAACAAAAACGATTTTTATTGATTGATACAATTGAAAATGAGGACAGCTGAAATCATGTTGAGGCTAACAAGATTGAAGCCACCAAGATTGTTTACAAATGGAGCCATGCTTCAATAGGGTAAGAGTTGCAGAGCTCAACTGAGCAATCCATCTGACACCCTTGTCTTCACTGATGAAAATGTTCAGAAAGGATAGCGTTTTAAATTCCTCTCTATCGGCTTGGGTTGTTTAGAACTTGAAGCCGAATCTTTCCCGGAAAACTCACCTGGCCGCTTCACAGGAGGGGCACTGTATAACGTAAGGTAGATATAATGAGGACTGGAAGTGAGTCTATATGTAGCTTTGTAAGTACGGGAATATACATCCAAGAATTTTACCTGTAACTCTTCTGGAGCGAATTTTTCTTCATAGCTGCAAGATTTCTCACTTCATGACTGCTCGTAAGAAAAAGAGGAGAACAAAGTCAATATCTTGAAAGTCTATCGCTCAAGAAGGGTAATCTTGAGAAGAATCACTGATGGACCCAAGATCTTTGAACATAAGGCTTCAAGATAATTATCAGAACAATTTGATGATTTACTGAATATGATATACAAAAACTGTAACAATAAAATAAATTGCATCTTGAGGGAATAACATCAGCTAACAAGCCTAAGGGGAATGGCACATATCATGCATCATTTTAAGATACAACATTACCTTTTAAGAAAATCTATTTTTGATTTCTTCATCAAGTTGCTCTTTGCGGTAACATTGTAGCCCCCATTGCCTACAAAGAATTATCAGAAAAACAACCATGAAAACACATTTATTCTGCACCCTATTTGACGATGTATTAGTCTTTGAAGGGACTGATGTGGATGAACTCAAATAAAATGACACATCACAAGAGATCCAACTATAAGAGAACAGAAATACTTACCAAAGCTTCTTTTATTCGATGATGGCGGAACCTTTGTGCAAATACGAACTTGCCGACTTTGTTTTCCTGTAAAATTTGAATGATTGGTAAGTAAGTTAATCATGTAGAAATTAGTATACTGTTGTTCGGTTTGCTAGGATGTGGTGAGGTAAACTTACGAGCATCTTCCTTTTGATATAGACTCTTCAAGCGGTCAGCTACTTTATTTTCAGCCTCATCCACTTCCCTCAATTTGGCCTGCAAGTAATCACCCACAATGAAATTCTTATCCTGTTTTCTTCTTATAAGTCAGAAATATAAAGCAGATCTAGAAATGCTAAATCAAGCTAAGCTACACATTAAAATAATGGGATTCGACTACTGAAGCTAAATGAAACAAATTTGGTTGGACAGAATGAGGGAACTCACCTCATACAATTGGTTCCATCTGAATGAAACTTTCTTCTTTTTCATCCTCTCAATCACCAGATTAGTCCTCTCAATACCAAACTCCTTTTGATATAATTTCCTCCACAAATTATCTGTTATTGGACTCAAATCTCTACCCTACAAGAATTAATTAATAAACATCTCAGAACTTCTGCTGAAGCATAACAAAAACATTTATATAAAAACAATGTGGAACAACTTACTTTTGTACTCTTCTCTACATGCCTCAACTGATCGACCGTACAATGTGGTAGAATTCTCTCAAGAAAATAAAGTTCTGTTTCACCAACATCTCCAAGGTGCCTTATATTATCTATTGCCGTATTAATGCACAGATCAACCAAAGATGGAGGTTCCACACTGGTAAATTCCTCATCCATGCTACCTGGTCACTTTTTCTCCAGGTATGTCTCCCTAAGGCCAATACATTATACAACAAAATCAATTTGACATACTTATATTACTTATTTGAAGTAGTTAGCATTCTGCATATGAACAAACCGAGCTCAACTAAACTGAATTGGACAAAGAACTAGGCGCCATTTAATTGTCAGCATTGCTCAAAATCTTGGAAATTTAGTTGAATTGAGACCCGTTAAACAAAAGCTTAGAACTTTACATCATCCCAGATAGTAAAAGTTTAACTCAAACAACTTTGAACAATTATTGGATGGATTGACCTGAACCCATAAATCCCTCAGTTTTATCAACAATCAATCACAAAAATAAAAATAAAACTACAAAAACAGTAAAAGGTCCAACTTTCGCTACAAATCTTTTAAAAAAAATTTACAACCCACAAAACTCGAATTCATCAACGCAAATCCGTAATCAATCCATACATATCCAATCACAATTTTTTTTTAAGTACATAGAAGTTGAATCTCGTGCACCCAAAAGAATATGAAGAAAAAAGCAAAATCGATAAATAAATTTGAATTAAGGGTCTGGAGAGACTTACAGAGTGATCGGAGACGAGAGGAGGGAGATCGTTTGCCGGAGGCGAATTATTGGTTAAAATTTAATTGAATAAAAACATTTTTCGTTTTATTCTTTTATTGTTTTTTCTCTGAATTTGTGCTAACATGCACCAGGCTTGTGTTTATATGGAAGATGACGTCGGGTTTCTTTTCTTTTTGGGCTTCAGCTAACGTGCGCGGCGCGTGCCAAATTTTGCTGGCGCATGGCGGGGGGGTGACGGATCTTTTATGTCTTAACTAACCCGAACTACCTTCACCACTTTACAGCCAGTCATCTTTTACCGCACCGTATAATTAATAACTTTCATGTTATTTCAGTGATTTTATAAATAAAATAAAATAAAATAAAATTCTATTTAAACCCCGCACTTCTCTTTGTTCACCCCAATACTTAAATTATTAAGCTGTAAGTTTTATTATTATGTAAAAAGACAAAAAAGGTCATCCAACTTAATAATTAATCCTAGTATATCTATACACTCCACCACTTTTCATATTAAATTTTAAAAACCTTCTTCCAACTTCTTGTTTACAAACTCTCTCTCTCTCTCTCTCTCTTAACAATACCCAAGTGTTAGAATTCCAGTTACAGTTCTTGGAGAGAGATAAAGTTGTTCTCTTTCTCTAGAAAGTATTAAATTTCTAATTTGGGGTTTCATTTGTTTGTTTTTTGTTTTTTGCTGGTAACAAAGAAAATTGTGGAGTTTAAATAGAAAATCTATTTTAGTTCTTTTTCTTTTTTTTTCAGTTTGGGGTGTATTTAAGTGTAGTTTGGGAAGATAGTGGGGTTTTTTTAGAAATTTTGAAAATTTAAATTAAAAGTTAGGGTGACTTAAGAAAAGTGTGGGGTTTAAATAGAAAATCTCAACAACAAAAAAAAAGTCAAAATTAAATCCAAAAATTCATAAATGTCAGTTTTTTGAAAAAAAAATTCAAAAATTCACTTAAATTAACCCACATGCCCTTAAAACCTAACCGAAAAGCTAATTGTCATGCTCTCCAAGTCGTAGGCTACTATGACACATAGAACCTGCCTTACCTCTGATTCATCAGCCATAGTTTGTGCTTGCTCTTCTGATATTCTGTACAGCTTCCCGAGCAACACTAGACTTTGAAGCATCTGCACTCTGTGATACCATCATAAAGACATCTGCATTCAGTGATATCATAAAGAAACTATCTTACACTACATGTGGTAAGTATACTTGTGATATAATAATGAAATAATTATCGTCAAGTTTAATATAATCAAACATTTTAATAGACGTAAATGTCAAATATAAATGAAATGCTAGAGAAAATTATTTTGATTTTATAAAATATTAAACATTACTCCCTCAAATTACTTTACATGTTTATCACTTTCTTAATGAAAATTACCTAATTAGTAAAATAAGCATGAAACTAACTATGTTGGATTGGATTTGATTTGATTGGATCCTCACAAGCAAATTCAACATCCGATCCAACCATGTCACTTTTGAAAATTAGGGATCCAATCCAATCCTCCAAATTATCAAAATTTAATAAAATTGAATTGGATTAGTCGGTTTAGACGGATTGAATTGGACCTTACACACCCCTAGCCATAATTAATATAAAATTGTCATGAATCATTATGATATTATAATATGAGTGTTGCATACATGACTTTTCAACTGTTGATGCAAGTGTAGCTCACATATATTATGATATGAGTGTTTGAGTTGAAATATTGATAATCACTCACGTGACCTTCAGATGTTGATGCGAGTGGAGATTACAATACATCAACCGTTTAAAGTCATCCATCCGAGTGTGATGATTTCCCTGGCATAAAACTTATGCCCCAAAAATTGATAGATCAATCACACCACATTTTGATAATTTATTAAAATGAAACCCAAAAATATAAGTATGGGTTAACTTGGACAATTTAGTTGGGGACATTTCAATATAAAAGATGATATTTAGTAGCTTCCAAAGAACATGCCTGATGTCATTCTCAAGTGATGTTGATGTTCTCTATAAAGAAACCTGCTCATACAGAATATTGTTTGGGCTATGGCACAAAGCTGTGACAGAATAACTGGTGATTGATAAAGTTAATTCAATGGTTCATTGATCAATTTGAGAAAATTGGAAAATTTTGAACTTGTTACAAGTCAGGCTGATCAATTTTATAAAATGGATTACATGTGTCAAACGCCATTTTCAGTTGAGCACATCAACCATCAATTCTGGTAGCTAGCTATCATGCAACCTCATCTGCTATCAATGGAGGAACAAATCTACAATTCTGCAGTGTCTGCTCAAAAATATGAGCCACTTTGAGCAATTTGCCCTGCAAAATCAGTGGAAAAATCTCAAATCAACTACCAGCTACTCAACTCTGCAATCCCGTACTTTTCATTTAATTGAGTCACTTCCCAATAAGTGTTTAATTTAATATGTTAATGTAGCAAGTTTTCACTCATGTTCGCCATATAAATACCAGAAAAACAAGGTCAGGGTGAATGCTAATACCCAACGGAAATTAAAAGTTTGCTATGTAGAAGGTGACAAGGCAATACCTCGTCAAATGCTGCACCAATCATTTGAAGACCAACAGGAAGGCCTGCAGGCCCCCCATCAACAAATCCACATGGCAAAACCAATGCAGGTAGACCTGCCAAGTTAACATTGACCTGCATACAGATTAAGTAGAAACAGATCAGCGTCATTTAGTCATCTTACTAGTGGAAACTACATCACATGACAGGCAATAAAAGTTTCAATGGAGAACAAGCACATATGATACATAGAGCATCATAAACAAGAGTCAACATGTGTGTCGCTGGATTCCCCAAAATAAGATCCTGGACCATTTTAAACTTCTTACCACAATAGCATCATTCCGGAAACAACGGTCTGAATGTCAACTATGTACTCTTTTTGAAAGACTGTTAAAATTGAGATCACATATATAGAGCTGGGTGAAGGTGTATCATTCAAAAAACGCGAGTATTCACTGCAATTAAATACATATGTACACAAATTATACTAGCCAGACATTGTTGACCCTAGCAGCAAAAGTAATTAAACTGGTGAAAAGAATTAAAGGAGGCTTAAATACGCCCACAAAAAAATTGCTCAGAAACAGAAAGGGCTTAGATGACATGAGTTTAGCTGAGTATTGATAAGCAAGAATATGTTTTTTTGTGTACATGTCCAATATTGTGACTCAATTATCATAAAAGTCCCAGTACAAACATACACACACCCAACACATGCATATAATAAACAGAATTTAAGGAGTTGGGGTACTCAGAAAAGTGCTTACAGTCATTATGTCACCTGCATACATTGCTAACGGATCATTTTTCTTTTCACCTGGAAAGATAAAAGTAAATGGGTGATTTACTAAAACCGTGTCATTTAAAACAAAATGAAAAGCATACGCATTTTGGAAAATAGCATACCAATTTTATAAGCAGCAGACGGAGCAGCAGGTGAAATTAGGATGTCATGTTCATCCAGTGCTGTCTTGAAGCTTTTCTGAATTACAGTCCTCACCTAAAACACTATAACAATCATTAATTCCTCCTTGAACACCATAAATCCGTAGGAGTAAGAAGCTGAGAACATAACCAAGCATGAGATTCTACAGAGAGGCTGCATGGTATGCAAATATAAATTACATAAACTACTGCAGCACTGATAAACTACCCTAAAAGACCATTCATGAGGATTGAGAATACAAGATTGTTGTTAGGTGAAACCTCAGATAAATGATTTCTCATGAGGTCTTTTTAGCTTTTATGAATGTCAAGGGTTTTGGTTTCTTCAATATTTTAATGTCAGAATGCAAACACTAATGGGATTAACTCCTCCCACCAAAAATCCATTATTAAATTTAACACAACAATGTATTTTTTAAATGAAAATTTTAAGCATGAAAGTCATGGTACCTGCTGGGCGCGCTTATAATATGCATCATAATAACCAGCTGAAAGGGCATATGTTCCTGTTAGAATTCTCCTTTTGACCTGCAAAAAAACAAAAATGGGTATAAGTCTGCTTTCAAAAAGAAACCAAGAAAAAACTATGCAAAGAGCACTGCAACAATGTTTTGATCAATAGAAACTTCAAACCCAACAGGATGTACAGCAAAACAGTGTTAACTAGCCACCTATACATAATGTACCTCAGAACCAAAACCCTTGGCTCGGGAATCCATGTATTGTGAGTTCAGCTCATCAGCAGCAACTTGGTTTCCATACCTGGATATTGATTAAATAATAATAACGACTATGAGCATACTTATTATTCTAATATACCATGCAGAGAGAGATTTTAAGAATAAGTTTAACAACTTCTCTTTTTCTTCCAGTCACAGTGGAAATCTAAACAAGCTTATACTTACTTACTCTCTCTTCTCCCCTTAAAATACACAAATGAAAACCTTGCAGAGATGAAAATTAATATATTAGAAAAATTACCTGACACCATCATAACGTGATAAGTTCGAAGATGACTCGGATGAAGCAAGAATGTAATAGGCTGGCAACCCAAGTGAGAAAGATGGTAATGAGACCTGCAATTTAATGTTTCAAGTATATTAAACCAAGACACAAGAAGGGGTACAAATGACATTTTGAAGAAGAAACAGAGAAGTTGAGCAGTTCCAAAAACAAAAAAACAAAAAAGAAGAAGGTAGACCTCTGTTACGCAGCATCCTAATTCTTCAAGGTGCAAAGCAGCAGTACGGACTGCCGAAATTACTCCAGTATCAACACCATCATCGAGAGTTTCACGGATCAGACCAATCCTCAACCCTTTTAGAGGTTTATATTCTAGCAAATTCATGGAAACAAACTGAGCTGAAAAGTCGGGAACCTCCTGAAAGAGAAATTCAAATGCATTTACATCAACCAACCAATTCCTGATATTAGTCTTTAGTCTATATATTTTTTGTTGAATAAACATTTCAGAGCTCAAATTCAGGATGCATAATGACAAGATAAGTTGGCTTATCCTGCTAAAATTACGCATGGTGAATCTTCAAAAGATAGTGACCAAAGTACAGTTAGAGCCCTCATTAGAGGTTTCAGAGGTGGACATGACACAGAATTTGATACTTCTTCAACCCCCTGTATGCTAAAATTATTTATTTTACTAACAAGAATGTTCAAAATATATTTTTCCAGAGGATTTCCATGTGGTAATGAAATTTGTAGGGGAATTACTTGGTTGATATGGAATCAAATCATGATTTGTGACAATCAAAGTTTGCAAAATATTTGACAACATATGCATGGGTACAATACAAAAAATATCAGACACAAAATTTACTTACACGCTTGCTACTGGTGGCATCAAATCTATCATGGCCGGAAATTGCATGCAGAAGAATCCCAGCATCAGCAACAGACGTACCAAAGCAGCCAATGACATCAAGCGATGATGCATATGCCATAAGTCCAAATCTTGAGACACGCCCATACGTGGGCTTCAACCCAACAACTCCACAAAACGATGCTGGCTGCCTCACACTTCCACCAGTATCACTTCCCAGTGACACCATACACTGCCTGGCAGACACAGCTGCAGCCGAGCCTCCCGATGACCCTCCGGGCACCCGAGAAATGTCCCATGGATTTGCAGTCACCTAATGAATGAACAGATGCACCACCTGAGTAAACCAACCCCAGTTACCAGTGGGAAACATAAAGAAACGAACTTCCAAAACCCCACTCTATTGGACTTTTACTAATACTAACAACCAACCTGCTTTACTACCCACAATAAAACGGGTAACTCACATTCTAAAAGTTCCATAAAAGACTAAAATTAACTTCTTTATTCAACTAAACTTTCATTTCCATGAAGTTGTAATATAAAGTTCTAATCTGTTAAAGCATTTCTTCCAAGATGAATAACAAAAATGAAAATTTCACAGAACACACAAATTATATAGAGAAAAGAAAGGAAACCCAGAAGAGAAAAACCTGATAGGCAGAGGCTTCAGTGGTGCTGCCCATGCCAAACTCATCCAAATTGGTCTTACCCACCACAATCCCACCTAGCTCCTTAATCTTCCTGACGGCAGTAGCATCATACGGCGGCGTATAGCCTTCCAGAACACGAGACCCAGCCGTGGAGGGCATTTCAGCCGTACAGATATTGTCCTTGATGGCAACAAGTACCCCAGCCAAGGGACCCAACTCCTCATTCCTCTGAATCTTCTCGTCAAGCTCACGGGCTTGGGCCAGGACCGAGTCTGACACGTGGAGAAAGGAGCGCAGATGGGGCTCATTGAGTCGGAGGCGAGTGAGAAAGGACTCGGCTAGTTGGGTGGCGGTGAGGTGGCGGGAGAGAAGGGAGTGGCGGGTGGAGAGGATTTGGGAGTGTGATGGTGGGTTTGGGGATTGGGATTGGTCTGTGATGGTGGAGTGGGTGACGGACTGTGAGGATAAGGAAGAGAGGGGTTTAAGGGAGGTGTAGCGGAGGAGGAGGGTGGGGTTAGAGCGGAAGTGGAAGAGTGAGCGTGGAGGTTGGAGTGTTGATATCATAGTTTATTTGACTTGCTTTCTCTGCAACTGGGACTTGTAAGATGAATTGTGTGAATCTCGGCTACAAGGGAAATGGTGACTGATGTGAGGAAGAGAAATGCTCCAACTGTGACGTTTTGAAGATTTTGAAGATTGGCTGAAAACGGTGACTGAACAATGCTCAACTGTTTTATCTGTCAGGAGTTGCTCCTAGTCCGTTTTGTTTGGGCCTCTGGGCCCTGTGTTTACCACATACAAAAAATGACGGCTATCTGGCAGGAGCAAGAAGTCTACAGTGACAACCTTATACATCGCCTTATCTCTACCGTTGGATCAAATTGATTAATCATTAGATCAAATTAGTTAGACCTAATCCAACAATTAAAAGATAACTGTTCTTAACTGGTTAAGATACAAGCTCACATGCACCCAACCACTGGAGCTACAAGCCCTTGTGTATATACCGAGTTAGATTGCCAAAAATTATAAATTCAATTTCTATCCCATTGAAAAAAGGATTGGATAAAATCACAGGATTATGGGTGGTGCATTAAACTCAATTTCTTTTGTGGTACTGTAATTCAACAGCTTCAATAATAACAATAATAAAACAAATATTTTGTTTTTCTTGATCACGTCAAATGGGATGAATTTTCCTCTCTTAAGAGTGAGCACACGAGGCAATGGCAGAGGGCAAATACATTACATGTAGTGATACACGAGGTATACAAAACTAAAATCACCACGATTTGGCAGTTTATTTTCTCCTAGGCTTCTATAGAAATATTGCCAATTGCTCAGTCACGTGAAATATACAAAGAACATTCCCAGCGTCCACCTATATTACACAGATATTCTTTATGTTTATGGTGATTGATGAAGTTTTACAAGTACTCCGCTAAATCTTCTTGGTTCCCCATATCCCAGACAACAATTTTTCCATCCAATCCTGCAATGTCAAGGTGTTAGAGCTAACCAAAGTAGATTCAGTGGAAACAGGAAAGGATTCTACGATAAGCGATTGAAAACTAAATTTAACATTGACTTGCTAACCCGATGTGCTGAAGCGCTTCACTTTAGAACTCCCTGGATCTCCAAGCGGCACGATACAACTACAGTTACCAGGGAGGATTGTTATGTGAAAATATATAAAACATATAAAGGTAGCCCTTAATCCAGAGTCGTCCACCCAATTCATCAGTCAGACCTCCCACCTGACAACTAGGGTGGAGATGTAATGTTTGAAATGGAACTGGGGCTACTACACAGAGAATATCTAATGAGAAGGAAAAGTGAAGTACTTGATGCAGTTCTCATGGACCCCTGCTCGTGATCTTGAATGCTCATTTGTATCATTGTTGAATCCCTGTTTTGGTTGGCCATATAGCTTTCCAAATGCTTCAGAAAACTGTAAGGGAAAAATCCAGTTGAGAAATAGGAACAGGGATAGCATAATGTGATGAGTGATTTTTGCTCCACAACATAACAGGGAAAAACCGCAAATCCAGTTTACACTAACAATGAACTCGAAATGTTCACTAAATTCCTGTTATGCTCTCAGAGATTAAGACTGCTTGCTTAGTTCACTATCTCCAACATACCGCACACAAGCTTTACTAAATAATGAAGACAAACTCACTAGGCCAACAATAAAATTGTGGTGTAGATGAGAACTAACAGTTGAAACTGTTGTCCCACTGCATATGCAGCTGAGTTATGGTCAGAATTATCAGCAGGGCCTTTACAAAACATTAAAGCAATTTCACATTTTAAAACTCAGAATAATAGCATCTTTTAACATTCTTTGCTGTTTTTCTTCTCCTTCAAAACATGGAGGAACTCTTAAACCCAAGACCGATTTCCAACCTATTCAACATGTTTACAACCACAGTATAACAGCCCCTGGCAAGTTGAGTATATTTATTTACAATAGGCACGCATTTAATGCACTACAATAGAGGAATGTGAAAACCATGTAATTTTTATCCCCCCCAAAAAAAACCTCTCTCTCTCTCTCTCTCAACATATAAACAACCAGGTATTTACCTGTGAACCATATTTTGGACCTGAAGATGTTGTCTTTCTTTCCCCCAGAAATTTGATAAAACTCCTACAGAGAAAAGAACAAAGCTATTATTTTGCTATCCTCCTCCAAAGAACAAAGCCATCAGGAAAAGGCATTTACCATATTCCTCTTTCATCTGCCACGAAAACCATTGGGTTGCAATCAAATCCCACACCTATAACTAATCTTTCAGAAAGAAATAAGACCTGAAAAAGTGCCACATATGGATTGACGATACCCAAATAGAAATAAGTTAGTTCATTACATGTGGAGTAGATATTTAGACTCTCAAAAAGTTAACATGAGTTGATGCTGACCCACATCACGGAGAGGCAAATCACGGAATGCAACATTTTGAGCCAAAGGAGAAGGTCCCACATCATCAACAAAGTAAATCATAGAATTATGGCCTGCATAATGCCACAACCCAGAAACCAATTAGTGGGAAATGAATGATAATACCCAAACCAGCTGCTAACTTGACAATTTGAAACACTGCCTACCAAGCTATCAACATACACTATGCCAAAAGCTTTTTATCTTTGTAAAGAACATGCAGAAAGGAGATATGTCTGACCTACATATGCTAAGGTATTGCCACTTGGTGACCACCTTACACCAAATGACCAAGTAAAGGAGAGATCAAGTTGAAGAATTTGCTGTTTCACCAGAAAGAAAACAAGGTTAGCTTCTACAAAAGGGCAAGACAAAAAGCAAAATGCATGAATGGGGGTGGCTAGAAAACAATATGATACCACTAAGCAATGTCTCCAAACCAGGGTCACCAATTATGGGCTTTAAGACAAATGATACTAAATTTTGAAAATCTAATTTTGCTTTAATTTTAGAAAACCAAGCAGGTTGGAGTCTTGAAACTTACTGTTTAGAATTTAGAATTAGCACATACTCAATTATTATTTAACTTTCTTGCACTGATTCAATACCTATTGAATTAACAATGAGCTACATTGTTTATTCTTCTTTTGTAGAAACAACGAGCTAGAGTTTAACATATTCCATAACGTTTAGAACATTGTGACAATGCTCATAATGGGAAATTAGATTAAGGGTAAGCTAAGAAAACATATTTACTTATGAGTATTTCATAAATCAGTGGCTAGGTTTTAATATTGGATTTACAACATTACATTGTGCTACAGGTAACTAGTACTAACAACTCTATATGATTAAATGCGTAATCAAACCAAGCAGCAGTTATTAACTGGTAAGAGACTGTTTGTTATCTATTCTATACGTCAAATATATAAATTGATGCATTAGAAAAAGCTGTGTTTCGACAAGGGAAATTTTTTGCACCTCTCCAAATTTTGAATCTGCAGATGGGCCTGTTCTTGATTCCCTGAGTAATGCATGAGCAATTATAATTATAATATACACAACTAAAATAAGAACTAGACTAAATCCAAAGAATGACAGCTCTACAACTACATGTAACATACTTTGCGTCAACGACCTTAATAAAGGTGGAAAATATTCGGCACTTTCCATCTGTAGATGCAGTTGCAAGAAGAATCTGTAAAAAATGAGCATATATGAATACTTAAACATGCTAAAGGGTTAATTACTTAGCAACCAAACTAACAACTGAACATGAAATTGTCCCAATAGTTCAGCAAAAGGCAGGTATCAAGGTAAAGATAACTTCTGGAAAGGGAAAATGTAAAAGATCATTGACTAACTATACTAATCATGTCTAATACATCAAATATGACAGTTATGCATTGCAAGCCAGACACCCTGGCTTAGGACACAAGATTCAACTTCAGAAAATATCCAAGATTAAATAAAGGATTAACATCCTAAACATAACGTATTGGCAATTATAAAACCCTCATCACCTTTGGGTAGAGGAGGGCCAAGCCCTCGTGCACACAGATTCCGCAAACCCACATGCACCGGGTCCCAGTATGTATGAAAACAATAACTACCATGGAGCTTTGCAAAAGAGGATGGACAGAGTCAAACCTAACTAGATGAGATGCATGCATGCAACTGCTTTGAACGTACAGGAAACACATACAAATTGTGAACTGGGAAAATACGCACATTATTTGGATGCCAAGCAACACTTGTCACAGAAGAGTCATGTCTTTTTCTGATAAGTTTACTGACCCACCTGGAAAAGGGTACAATGCAAATATTAACCAGCAAAAAAAGCATTGAAAATAGAAGGTAATTCTAATCTGTAAATGTATCAAACGGATTTAGCCGAGCACAAAAAGTTAAACTGCGCGTATCATGTTAATTACCAGTTGTTCTCTTGCTCGTAGTAGCATATACAAACAGTTTTTGCCCCACTTCCAACAGCAAATTTGTTTTCTGGTACATAAAGGCATACACATTAGAGTTGCATGACATTTTAACACGGATGGATCTTCTTTACATTTACAAAAAAAAAAAAAAAAAAAAAAAAAAAAAAAAAAAAAAAAGATTCAGTACCTCTTGGACTCCACCGAACACAGAGTGCAGCACGATTTAGCCGAAGGATAACAAGGGTTGGTACCCACTCTGATCCTTCAAGATTCCAGACATAGCTAACCAGAATTGGTAGTTTGGGAAAAGAATTAATGCATCAAAAAGTGTAAGAAAGACAAAGTGAGTGAGAAAGTGAGAGAGAGGGAGAGAGAGAGAGACCAAAACTCAAGTTAAACTTATTTGATTAAATAAATTACCAAAAACAAAGACTATCTCAAACCACATAGGTACTCACGAATTCCGATCATGAGATGCAGTAACTATTTTGTTCGACCTTGCACTCCAGTCTATCCCAGATACAATTTGGTCATGCTGCGAAAGGATAGAATAAAATAATGCTTACCATATTCGCATTCTCTTTGTCAAAAAGCTAAGGCCAAATTTTCTTTGAAAAAGTACAATGATCAGATGTGAATAACCAATAATAAAATATATACTTAATGCCTCTCTAAAATTCTAACATTAAGGTTTTTTTCTTTTTGCCTGATGGCTAGAGATAACAAGGAAACAAAACGAAGACAACGAAGCAGCAAACACAAATGATAACTAATCACCATAAATACAAATCTCTCAAACACAATACTTCACACAAATTGGACAGCAGGACCTTCCAAGAAGCCATCAAATTTATATCAATTAACAATTATCACATTACAGGGAAGTTTGTCAAACAGCTTGATACATCTAAGTAATTTTCTTAATGCTTTTTACCTTTATTTCTGTTACTACTTGAATTACTTTCTAATTGTCTTGAGTAAAACTTAGAAAACTCAGCGCCCCAAAAGTTGCAAATTTTACTTTAATAAAAAAATTCTCTTTCCTCGTATTCATATCATGGTGCAGTGAAATATTATAATACAATTAAATGAGTCTGAATTAAGTACCTTCTGAAGAACATGTAGCTTCTCCCACTTGCCTTGCAACAGAGCATAGATGTGAACTTCATTGTTGTTCGGACAAAATGCCAGCACTACCAGAAAATAGGAATGATCAAATTACAGCATTGCAAATACAAAATACCTACACATTGTCTGAACCGAGATCAAAATTCTCTATTTTTTCAAGTTGATTACCAGAGTCTTTTTTTACTTCACATTTTTCAACAACAATCAAAATATATAGCATAAGCAGAAACATAGAAGCTTAACAGCACAATAATTAACCCCAAACCCCCTGTTTGGTTTCCAAGAAAGTGCAGATAAAAATGGAATCAAAATATTCAACCCAGATTCTTCATATTAATTCAACAAATATGTTGGCTCCAACCTATGAGCTTTCCAATTTTTCCAAACAAAGACACACATAAAAGAACTAAAAGATATCAATGTAAATAAACAAAAATTTGGTGTTTGTTGTCCTATTGGTTATCCCATATTTTCTCAGCGACCAAACAGAAGAAGTAAAAAGGATAAGAGCATTACTGGAGCGATCACGGCTCCAAGCATGACAAGTGATGCACTGAGCGAACTTGTGAACTTCGACCGCCGCCATTTCTTCGTTTTTATCTCAGCGGCAGAGAGAAATCGAAGCTTTTCTCCAAATCTACAGCTGAAAATTGAACTGCGGCTTCTCTGTTCCAATTAATTCGTTGAAGACTTGGAATTGGAATTATACGGACACAGAGTTTAAAAGGGAAGAGAATGCGATTATGTGAGCTGGTATGGGTAGAGAGATCTGAAGCTTGAAATCAGATCCGATGCTTTATGTGTCTTCTTTCTCACTCTGCTCTGTTGGTATTGGCACGGGGAAGTCAAGCACGTGCTTGGTACGTGTTTAAGAAAATAAAAGTTTCTGTTCACAATATACTTTATTTATTGGGTTAATCGTTCTATTAGTCCCTGAACTTTGACCCGATTTGCATTTGAGTACCTCAATTTCCAAAATGGTTCCTATGGTCCTTTAACTTTAGTTTCGTTTGGACAAATAGTCATGTCGTCAATTTTGTTAGGGTAAATTACTCAAATAGTTCTCAAACTTATACATGATTTATATTTTGGTCTCTCAATTAAATTATTCGTTCAAATTGTCTATCAATTCTATATTATTCGCTCTAGTGGTCCTACCGTCTAATTTTCTGTTAGATTTAACCTAATTTTAGGGTAAATAATGACCTATTTGCCCTCATATTTAACGGAAATATTGACAAAATGTAAAGGTATGACCAATGGAATGAATAATATAGAGTTTATAGACCATTTGAATGAATAATTTAGTTGAGGGATCAAAATGTAAATCGAGTATAAGTTTGATGACAATTTGAGTAATTTACCCAATTTGTTAACTTTTTCTATTAAATGCAGGGGCAACATAGTATTTTTATATTAAAACCAAAAAAAATGAATAAAAAATCATATCTTTAAAATAAAAATAAAATAAAATAACCAACAATAATAAATAAATAAAGTTTTTGGAGGAGTAGAAATCGAGATAGAGGGTGAGAGAGTTTAATTTTAATTTTTTATTCATATTTTAATCAATTTTGATACAAAAATATCATTTTGCAGAAAAGTTAACAAAATTAACGACAGGACCATTTGTCCTAACGAAAATGAAGTTAAAGGACCACAAGAACCATTTTGGAAATTGAGGTATTCAAATGCAAATCGGGTCTAAATTCATGGACTAATAAAACGATTAAACCCTATTTATTTGATATGGTATATAACTAGGAAGCTGATTTTCATTCTCTTCTTTTGTCCACTAACCCTCCTTTAACTCATTAGAGCATCTACAATAGGCTCCCTAAATCACATCTTTAGATAAATTTTAGGGAGGAAGTGGAAAAATACAACTTCAACCATGCTCCTTATCCACCTCCTAAATATAAGGACACCTTTAAGAGCTCCTAAATGTGAAAAGAGATATATGACTCATATTAGCTCCTTATAATTTAATGCTACTTTTTTTTTATGTATATTTTAAACTTTTAATTAATGCTAACTTTTTTTTCTTTTTTTTTAAAATAGAGATAGATCAATCATATTGAATTAAAAAATAATGACTCCCTAAATTAAGGAGTAAGATTGGAGTTCAAATTTTATAGAGAACTCCTAAAATAACTTCGTGTATTTTTAGCTAAATTTTAACTAAAAAATAGGGAGGACGATTGTAGATGCACTTAAGGACGACTAAACTGGACTAGACTAGCAAAATGCCTACATTTCATGTGCAATCAAGACATAATATAGATATTGTTGTCTAACTTGAGGGATTAAAGAGGATTATTCATAAGAGATTGATGACTAAAACTTATCCTCATAATCTCACCAATTTCAAGGGGATATGAGGGATAAGTTTTAGTCATAGTGAGATTATGAAGAATAAGTTTTAGTCAACAACCTCTTATAGATAATCTCCATTCTTCCTCCAAGTTAAGCAACATATCTATATTATGCTTTCAATGCACATGAAATGTAAGTATTTTTCTCGTCTAGTCTAGTCCTCCCTACCATATAAAAGTTTTTTCTTTTTTTTAAACAAAATGGAGTAAAAGGGGAGTGGGAAAATCAACACCCTATAAATATATCTAGGTATTTTTAGAATGCTAAGAACTCCTTTTGTAAAGCATTATGGCTAGGAAAAAAAAAGAACCTTGTTTTTCATATGTATATGATGGTAGTTTGTGCTAAAAAGAGAGTACATGAGCAATAACTCAACATGTAATTACTTGTCGAAATTAATGTAAAACCCTTTGAAACCTTGAATATTTTGATTGAAACCTTAAAATTTGGTTAATTTTTTATATTCTGGCAATTGATGAAATTTGTTGGCTGATTAGAGAAACTCATCTGCTAATTGATTTTCGATCAAGGCTTTATAGGAGAATTAGAAAATTAGTTCATTACCGTTTGTTGTTATTAGGCCCCAAGTATTAGTATTTTCTTAGGAAGAATGAGACATTATATAGTTATATTTCTAATATTTATGTATTGCACTTGATACTATCTTTTATGTTATTATGAAATTAAATTTATATACATAGTTATTGATTTTGTGTACTATATTCTTGAAATTAGCATTTGACGAAAATGGGCTATAAAACTCTCTTTGCAAACTACTACACATGCCATTGTTGCTATAGAATGGAATGTATTAGTGCTTTTATAAGTTAGTGGATTCTCTTATGCACGAGGACTCTGAATAGAGACACCCTAATTTACGTTGTCGTAAGATCTTGTGACTTGTGAGCTCTTGAAAACAATTTCATGGAACTAACAAGCGTATGTCAAATCAAGTTTGCATTATATGGTATGCATATGCTGGCAGAGAATGCAGATTATTCACTTAGTTATGCAAAGCAATTGAACCCCACAATGCATATCATTTTGGTCTCCCCATTATGGTCTATGTGACCATTATTATAGCATGGAATTAATTACAATGAAGGTTAATGTACAAGATATGCTTATATGAATATATTAATCACAAAGGCCCTTACAGGGCCACAATAATGAAACAAAAAGCAAAAGAAATATACATTCACAGGTTTTCCACTTCATGACATCAATTTACTCAATAAACCAACTCATAAAAGAAAGAAAAGCAAGTAGAGTAATGAAATACAAAAGGAAATAACAAAAGGACATAAAGAAAAAGAGCTTTTACATGTCTTTAGAAATTATGGATGGTCCTAACAAAAGCCTCCAACCTCTATACTTCAAGTTTAAATACTCTGCAATGCACCCAATTTCATGATATGCTGAAATTATGCAATACTACGCAACAAGAACTTCGCAGCACTATAGTAAAACAAAAGCACCTAATAAAACAAATAGGTAGAACAAATCCAGTCACATCACATTAGATATTAATTTTTTTTAACAAAACAAACAAAGAATCATTAACTCAACCAATTAGTGCAAACCACATGCACACATAAAGAATAACAAGCAACATCACCATCATGAATCATGATCCAATGAAATGTTAACAAACAAGTACCACTCAACAAATTCCAAGATTCAATTTCACAATGAAACACAAAAATGAATTAACTAAGTGAAATTTCACAATATATCATCATAAAGTCACAAGCTTTGAATGATTTGTAGACAAGAAGAAGTTGCATGATCCAATGAAATGTTAACAAACAAGCACCACCTAACAAATGCCAAGATTCAATTTCACAATGAACCACAAAAATGAATTAACTAAGTGAAATTTCACAATATATCATCATAAAGCCACAAGCTTTGAATGATTTGTAGACAAGAAGAAGTTGAAGTTAGGTGTACCTAACAAATATCACACTTGGGCATATGAGATGAAGAGGGAGAGATAGGGACTCTATGGTGCTTACTGGCTAATTTTGTTGGGGGCGTGAATCTTTTGGTCTCATGCCCAGCACAAGGCAGCCTCGTCCGCACAGCATAACATTTTGGCATATGCAACCTCACATGCATTGCATTATATCTTCATCTATATCTCTCTTTTCAACTTTCTCTATGTTATCTGAAACAAAGTATAAGGCTTTTATAATTGGTAGCCTAATGCCTAAAGTAGAGGGCTTTGGACAAGAAGTTGTGAAGTGAAGCTTTTCAATGGCTGAGTTTAAGGTAAAGCTAGAGACTTTAGGAGCAGAAGAAGATGGAGGAATGAAATCTCAGTTCAGGGTTTAAGAAGGCTCAATGCAATGCAACCGATTATTGGTTTTGTCCCTATAATACACTATGGCAGTCCGGATCATTGACACGTGTTCTTACCATATGTAACCCGCGCCCCGCATACTTGTCTAATTGTACACATATGATAAGAGAGAACTGTGATGAGTTTTAAAGCTGCGATGATGAGATTTTTGTCAAAATATCTCGTGATCTCACCTCAACCAACAACACAACTTGATAGATTTGGCGTTATTTGTACCACATTTATTAACCACAGTGTTGACCATGTCTCTAATAGAGGTAGGCCCCACCAGTATTGGAAAAGTGCTCATCAATGTGGTCAGTAAATATGATTTAAGGGGCCTTCTCCATTACGAACTTCTAAGATGCAGAGTGGTTGCGAACTTTTGTTTTTTAATTGTTGGATGGCTTATATGGTTTAGATTTAAAACAAAGTTTAATAACTCAGTTTTCTCTCTCTTCCCTTTCCTCTTCTTCCGCGAGTTCGCTCATCTCTCTCTCTTTTTTGTCTTCTTTTCCTTTGTAAGATGTTTTCCTCGTTTTCCCTCCTGTTCCTTTTTTTTCTTTCGCTCTTCTTCCTTTATCTTCCTCCTTTTCTCTCTTGTACCAGATCAACAAATTAGTCAAACCTGATTCCAAAAATTAGCCAAAATTCCCAACATGAGCAATTACTAATTTTAGGAAGAACACCCATGTAGAATTGCATCTTTAACAACTCTAACAACGAATTCCCTCTCAACAATATCACTAATGAGCTTGAAAGCCTCATGACAGTCCCTACACATTCTCAGGTTCTTCATTATTCTAATGGTGAATGCTTACCAACGCAAAACCCAATGCCAATCTGTCACTGTGCAGACCTACAAT